TGCATCGCAAGCGATACATGCCCAGTACGGTACCCAGCAGGCACGGGAGCGCCGACGCCTGCGTAACAGCGAACGTCGACTACAGCGTCAACAACAACGAGAGTTGCGTCTACTGCCTCAACGCCAAACGTATCCATTGCTGCCTGTACACCAGCTGTCTGAGGAGGTGGGCACATTATATCCAGACAGAACCACAATTGGACCAGTCAGCTTATCACACGCTGAGGCAGTTGCTGTGTCACAGCTGCGAGAATCTCCTGTCGACAACACAGCACCGCGAGTCATCTCCTCCGATGGCTCTTTGATTAACACTGGTCAAGAAGACGTAGCCATGGCCTTTGGGGTCGTTGATCGATCGCAGCCCGTGGTCAGGTGTGTGCAGGGCCGCACAGACGGGTACGCTTCTTCAGCAAAAGCAGAACTCATGGGTCTCCTAGCTGCCATCCTATCTGCACCACCAGACCAAAACATTATTGTGGAGCTCGACAACCAAGCGGTCGTGCAACAATACCAGCAGCTTGTGCGTTCCCGTGCGGACACGTTACCTCGTAAGCGGTTCCGTAGTACGTACTCTGGACACTGGGCAGCACTACACAAAATTGTCCAGGATCGGTCTGGGTCGGTGGAGGTGAGGTGGGTCCGTGGGCACAGCACCAACACTGGCAACAATATTGCAGACACTGTGGCGACAGCCGCCGTCCGAGTCGAGTCAATGCCCTGGTCGGTTGATTTAAGCGAGCAGCAAGACATCCGCTTTTTTGCACATTGCCACGACCATCTTGTGGAACATGATCTGCGGCAGCTACTCAAGCAGCAGACGACAATCAGGCGTCATCAGGCCTGGACAACCCAACGTCGTGTCAAGAGAGCGATACCAGATCTTGCCGACGTGGAGTGGCGGTCCACCCTTGCCCATGTCCACGACAAGCGCTCTGTGCACACGTTCTTCAGCAGTGCTGCTGATACGTCCCAGAGGATACATCATATTAAGAAGCTGCATGGTATGCTGCCTACCCTGAATACCATGAAGGCTCGCCACTCGAGTCTATATCCTGACCGTGTCTGCTGCGTCTGCGATGTTCAGGACGAAGACAACCATCACCTGTGGACGTGCAGTGCTACTAGAGATGTTCACAAGGAGATCTGGCGCGAAGGGCTACAGCAGATTGATAAGTGGGGACGAGCTGCAACGACCGCATACAACAAGAACAGCAAGAAGCAGCAAGAGCGTGATAGGATCCGCGCTGGAGCCGCCGCTGCTGCACCGAAACCCATTCGATGGGTTTGTCCTAACAACGAGACCCACATCCGAGGTCTATCCTGTATCGCCGGGACCCGATCAATGCTCAAAGGCGACGAGTATCATGACCGCTCTCCGGATCTGACCTGGAGCATCAGCGATTTATGCCGTGGCATCACACCCGTAAGCCTTATCAAGGAGTGGGGCAGTCTATTTACCTCGCCATCGTCGATTGCGCGCCAGGTCATTCACAAGTTCGTCGGCTTTATTGAGGAGAAAGCTACGGAGCTGATCTGGAAACCACGCTGCAAGGCCACTGTTGCTCGAGAGCGAGAATGGGGGATCACAGCCAAGATGAAACGAACTCCATACAAGGGACCGAGAGGGGACTGGAGTGATGGGTATGGATATATTAGCGACGATGACCAATGTCCGTGTGGTGCATTACTCGCTGACCATGTAAACGGGAGCTGCCCTGGCCCCGTGCTTGACCCAGACGCAGCGGATCGGACACTGCTGGATTGCCTGCAAGGGAGGAGGCGGTTGACAACTATGGAGGGGATGGGGAAGATACCCTTCTTGTAACAAGGTGTTTTCAGCTTTTAACACACTGATGAGGTGTGGCAATTGTTGCGCAGGCCCTAGGGGCAGGCCCGGGGAATGTGACCTGTCTTTTGGCGACTGTGGATCGGTTCCGCTTTGGTGGTGAGGACAGCGATAGTAGATCTTTGCTAGTTAGTCTGATAGATTCGCAGAGTCAATTGACTCGAGAGACAAGTTGTTATAAAAAAAAAAAAAAAAAAAAAAAAAAAAAAAAAAAAATCTAAATGCACATTCTGTATGTGCACATCCCTGCATGCTTTACTGTACGTTCCTCAATTGCACGTCCCCTCCCTTGATATATATTGTCGCAGACCCAACAAGCGCCATCTCTGTCTCCGTCTGTAACTCGGCCGCAGTTTGGCACTGCTACAAGCATCTGCCTGATGCGGCAGTTTTGGATTCTGATTCAGTTGCTGCTTTACCCAGCTGATTGTGGGTTTAGTTCAAACTCGTTTATTCAGTCCACGCTCGCAAGCAGAAGGCCTGATAGACTTTACCAAAAGCTTTTTTTTTTTTTTTTTTTTTTTTTATTAACATAAATCCCCATGAGCACAAGACGCATGGTCCGCAAAGGCCTTGAAGCCATAGATGCCTTCCATGCACGGCAGAGCCGCATCCCCTACCAACTATGTTGGCTTGAGGCGTCAAATTCATAACCCATGTCGCATAGCTAGCCTAACCTAACTCCTGCGTGACCTGTTGCGCGATACACGTCTCCTAATCCAGATCCAATGTTAATAAAGTTGTTTTTAAACCGAATAACCCCTCCATTATGTCCAACTTCCCTCGCCCCAAGCAATGCTGTAGCACCCTATAATCCGCGGTCCGTCTACCTTCCTGGATCTCCGCTGCAAGTAACCGTCTCCCTTTCAAATCAGAGAAATCACCAACACTACGTTGGTGTCCCCGATCACCGTTGCGTCCTCCGGCGCGTTTGCTCATGAAGGTGATTCCAACTGACTTTTCCCAGGCGACAGTGTCCTCGCATCGTTTGTTCCATATCTTGGTCCTGCCAAATTCTTCGATCCTGCTCACGAACTTTGTCACCATGATCGTCGCAATCCACTTAGTGGTGATAAATAGCTGCTTCCAGGTCTCAATGAGTCCCGTTGGCACCAAACCTCGGTATAAGTCCTTGACCTCCCAATCTGCCTCACTCTCCGGCTCCTCTTCTTCCGCAACCCGATATGTCCCTCGCCTTTCCGCCGTCCCCTGAATCCACTGCATTGACTCCCAGATAGCCTTCGTTCCTGTTGCCGAGAAGTTGGGACAAGTCGCAGTGAAGGGCTTGTCCTTCCGTTCGGCCTCCTCTCTCTCCTGTTCCCATTTTCGCACTGCCTGTCTCCATGCACGATATCCATTCAACTCCACTTCCTCCACCGCGTCCCTCCACTCTTGTCGCTGGTCGCACAAGGTAGCTGAACAACGCCAAAGATGATCGTTCGTCTCTGGTTCCCTCTCACACCTACGACATATGTCCGTTTGGTAGGTATCTGGATGTCGTTTCTTCATCGCCTGCAATGTCGGCAAATCTCCATGCAGCTTCTTGATCCTGTGCGAACGTAAACGACAGTCTTCCAGGCTGGTGTATAAGCGCTTTGGCGGGTTGTTATCGTGTAAGATCCGTAGCGTGGGCGCCCATGCTACCGACCGCCAATCCTTGATGTAGGTCCTCGTTCGATGCTGCAATGTCCACTGATAATGGTGCCGTACCGCGGACTGCAACTTCAGTATCCTCCTCAAGTCCAGGTCTGCACTGTGCGTTGCAAACTGTGCGTGGCATTTCAAATCATGGTGCTGCGTTGCGTCTAGCCTCCATAGTCCTGTATCGATCCCATGTGCTGCCTTGGCAACAGTGTCTGCAGCCTCGTTGCCACGGTGTCCAGCATGTCCTCGTACCCAATGCACAGATATACCTTGTCCTTGTTGCAAGAAGGCATAATGCACCATCGCCCACCACTGTGCATCTGCAGATCTCAAACGCTGCCTTGCTGTTGCTGAATCCCGCTGCTGCACCAACTCCTTGAAATTGTTGACGACTGTGAGATTGTCGATGTAGATGTCGACGTTCTCTTCCCTTGGGCTGATAAGAATTGTTGCTAAGAGCCCACACATCTCTGCAATTGTTGACGACGCGTATCCCCCAACCCGTCCACTGAACGCCGTTGTGTAGGGACCACCATCCACAGAAACGACAACTCCGAATGCTGCACTGACCTGCTCTGTGCCGTTGTGAATCACTGACCCATCCGAGCAGAAGTGAAGCCTTCGATGTGTTTGCAAACGTCTCCTAGCTGTCCGAATTTGCTGGATTGTTGGTACCTGGAGCGCCAATCCCAGTAAATCTCGCTCATAGACTTTACCAAAAGCTAGTGGTGGAAATAATGTGGTTGAGATGATGCAGCGCATTAAGTTTTCGAAGTAAAGTGCGCTAGATCATTTAGCTCGGCAGTTTTTTATGGTATCTGGAGTCAGAAGTATCCAAGTCTGCCTGCATCAAACCCATGTATAGACCCACCAATGACAACCAGATTGTACGTGACAGAAAATGCTCCCCAATACAAATACTGTCCTCAGGCTATCAATCACACCTTGTCCTCTTATTTCCCCGCATCTATCAAGGCCTGCCGAAACAAAAAGCTTCGCGTTCTTGCTGTACATGCATGCGTTGATGCCCATAAAATCCGCGCCTTTTGACAAATCTCCATCGCACCCTACCTTGCAATGTACTTTCATTTCACCAAAGTACACCTTTGACTTTATCAATCCTTCTCCTACGCATCCCCAACTTTCCCTACAGAACCATGCTTCAACGCAAAATATAGCTTTTATCCCTGACCTTGGGTGGCATACGAAAGCCAGATTGTCCTGCAGGCCCAGCACGCCCAGATCGCGCTTTTTTCTAAATTACTCTCTATCTTAGTGCCGCTAGTACTACTATCACCGCTATTCAGTAAATACTGGAGTTGCCTCAAGCTCTCGACCTCCAAGAACGATGCCAGGCCCCCCAAAGTGAAGAGAGAATTATGGTAAGATGAAAACAAATATGGAAATATGCTGTAGCCGAGAAGAAAGTTGGATATATAATATGACAGAGGCTGCGTCAATTGATGTTTGTTTGCGTCCCAAACCGACTTCCCCTAGTTAAAATTGGTGGCGTTTATGTACAAATAAAACCTAGGGAACCTGACCTTGCACCTTTTTGCCTCAACCCCACTACTCTTATTTATCAACCAGCACAGCATGGCCCTCGAACCAATAATACGTACGGAGGCCGAAGAGCTCGTCAAAGAACAGATGGCAGCCTATGATCCCTCGCACGACTGGCTCCATGTCGATCGCGTTCGCAGACAAGGTTCGAGAATCAGATCACATTGCCGTTGGTGCTTCATCTTTCGCTACTGGGCATATCATTTATTAAATTTGTGTCCCTCAATGCTGCGACAGCACTCAAAATTGCCAAGGAGGAGATTAGTCAGAGCAAAGCCGTTGATTTGGAACTTGTGGAGCTCGCTGCACTCTTTCACGACATTGGTGATGCCAAGTTCCATAAGGAGGGGCAGCCTACCGGACGCGAGATCGTCATGAACTTCTTGTCGAAACACGGCTACAAAAGGGCAGATGAGGTCGCCAAGATTGTAGAGAATGTGTCTTTCAGAAAGGAGCTGGCTGGAATCAAGAACGCATGGGCGGAATCCTGTATTGAGCTACACATGTATGCGGTATATTTTTTCAAGGTTGATGCTGCATGCTGATCGGCTTCGTATCTATCGCGTCTAACGTTCAATTTTTCATTGCTTCCAACTCAGTGTCCAAGATGCTGACAAACTGGATGCAATTGGTGCTTTTGGTGAGCGCTATGACGTTAATTGCAGGGTTGCTTTGTCTGTACCTATCCTACTAAAATATTTGGCTTATTTTATTCATAGGCATATTGCGCTGCGCTGCCTATAGTGGCTACAAGAACCGACCGCTTTATGACCCCGCAGAGAAGGCGCAATTGAACATGACTTACGAGCAATACCAGGCACAGACGAAAGCCAATACCGGATGCGCTATCAGCCATTTCCACGAAAAGCTCTTTCGGCTCAAGGATATGATGAAGACATCCACTGCGATCAAGATGGCACAAAAGCGCCACGATCTTATGGTTTCGTTTGTTCAGCAGATCGAAGAAGAGTACTCTATGGACGAATAAAAGAGCTCGTTCCACACGATCGTATATCGACGAAGCGGATACTGAGGCGTATGGAGATCAATAAGTGGTGATAATATACATTGAAGGATTTGTTTTTTCTCTATGTAGATCTATAGTGCGCTGAATGTCCAATAATGAGGGCCTCAACTTTGTGCTGTCTCTACAGCCACATGATGTATCCATGAACGGTGGCCCGGACCTCCTCGCTTCCTGGATCCTCTAAGAACATAGGCGTCATCTTCTCCTCGAGTACCTTCTCGACCTTGAAGCCGTATCCGCCAAGATCTCGCTCATCATCTGAAGACTCATCGCCCTCGGGTGGGTCAACGACTGGTGCGGCTGCAATCTCAAAAAATTTATTGTCGGCATCTGCGAGCCATGGGCGATGGTGGGTGAAGAAAACAAAGACGCGTCCAGTCCCAGGCCTCAATGTTTCTTTGCATGTCTTGAGCATGGATCTGTGTTGAGAGTGGTTGAAGAGGAGATCCGACAGAATGATGGTGTCAAAGAGCTGCTTGGGCGAAGCAGCAGCAGTCTCAGTAGTCGTTTCTGTGGACGACGATCGTGTTGATGGCGATGTGGATATGGATGGGTTAAAGTGTGCGAGCAGAGGACGCGTGTTACTGCCCCAGAGATACCCTTGCACAATAACGATACCCTCCTCGGTCTGTTTGGGTACGACCTGTTCGGCGTTGTATTGAATATTGGAGATCAAATCGTGGTCTGGGTAGTCTGTGATAACGACCTGTATATACAAAACCATCAAAAAAGCATTAGATCCCTCTGAAGAAAAGAAAAGGGAGGCATTGAGCATGCTACACCATAAACATTCGCATAACAACAACATACTGGGCGAAGGAGATGTGATTGCATTACAGATCATTAATACCTTAGATGCACCATTGACTGCTGCGACAAAGCTGGGTAAGGCCGCTCCAGCACCCAGTTCGAGCACGTTCTTGCCAAGCGAGTGCTCAGGATGGCTGTCCATCCAATTGGCAAAGACCTTGGCAGCATTCCAGAGGTGGTGGCCCCACAGAGGATGGGTGCCAACGAGTCGCAGTTTGATCTCCTGAGGCACTTTGTCCTTGTTGGCACGAGTAAAGACCTCAAAGGTGGGCTCCGGTGGTGGGGGACTGTACTCCTTGGGTAGGGCGAACATGTCGCCCATCTCGCCATCTGATGAATCGGATCCGGACATACTGGAATTAGTGATGTCGTGTTGAGTCGAGTCGAGTCCAGAAGGTCCAAGAGGTCCAGAGTCAACTTTGGAGGGTGCTGTTTGGTGTAGTTTTTTGTGTGTGTGTGTTTTTTTTTTTTTTGCAATTTGATTCGGGGCGAGGGACTGTTATCGCATCTGCAGAAAGGTTTTTTTATTTTTGTATATCCAAGAATGTGCACTCCCTCCTCGTCGTGCTAGGGCAATATAAGCACACTAACTGATGGATTGTATATTTTTGCGACTACTATTAGTCTGCGGTTCCTGAGCGGTCTTGCCAAAAAAAAAGCTTTTTCTTCACTTTCCTCTTCACACTTCTTCATCCCATCCCACCCCATCTTATTCCATCCCATTTCATCCTGCCTACATCCTCTTCTTCTCCCCATTCCTGTAACACACAGCACTCCCTCAACACAGTCTATCATGTGGTCTGAAGGTTGAATACACCTCTTTTTTGCCTTAAAATTGCCTCAAAATTGCCTCCAAATTCCCTCATACACATATACCTTGCATTCGTTGCGTGCTTTTTGCTTTAAGCCCTAGATCGTTAGATACATAGTTACGCCTGTTTCTGCCTCTTCTCTTCTCTTCCTTTATCCCTCTTCTTATCATTTGCTCTATCTTCACCCAGTCAACCTTTCCATCGCACTTCAAGCCAATGGCTCACTCTTACAGTCCATTTCCCGAAGGAAAGCTATCCGATCTGGCTACGTCCGCCCAGGAGACCAAGGTCGTTATCTCGGAAAAAAACGAACAATCGCTTAAGGATCTCGCCTTTGGTTCTGTACGTCTGTTTGCTTTGCTGTGCCGTTACTACTCCGAATCGGCATCTTACTACGCTTAACTGTGGTTGCATGGTTTTCTCGAAACTGACCATGTCTGTTCACTTTGGCATCAGTTGGCCGGTGTAGCAGGCAAGTTCATCGAGTTCCCGTTCGATACTGTCAAGGTCCGTCTCCAGACCCAGCCCTTGGACCACCCCATCTTCAAGGGCCCGTATGACTGTTTCCGGCAAACAGTCCGCAACGAAGGTTTCCTCGGGCTCTACAATGTAAGCAATTGAACGTGCAGGCATTCAAATTGTATGGAGTTATATTTGGCATGGGAAATCGGGCGCTTTGGCACTTTTTTTTTCTTTTAAAAAAAAACAAAACAAATAAACACCCAAGCACAAAAATAAATGAATCGAAGCGAGTATGTCCGCAAATCTACCTACTCGAGCTTCGGAAATTAATTTCTCATTTTTCTTCATGTTCTAGGGTCTTTCATCGCCACTGGTGGGTGCCATGCTGGAGAACGCCGTGCTCTTTGTCGGTTACAGACGCGCCCAAGACATGCTGCGGGAATTCGTCGCAACGCCAGACCATCACCACAGCAACTCTGGCCCAGCACCCCTCAGCATCCCCATGCTTTGTCTTTCTGGAGGAATCTCCGGTGTGTTTGCCTCAATGGTTCTTACGCCTGTGGAGCTGGTCAAGTGCAAGCTGCAGGTTCAACAGATCGGACACTTGTATACCAAGGATGCCAAGACTGGACCAGTCCCCAAGGCTCTCCACAGCGGACCTTTTAGTGTCATCAAGCATATTTATACCCAAAATGGCCTCCGTGGCTTCTATCTGGGCCATTTCCCGACTTTTCTTCGCGAGACTGGTGGAGGTGCCGCATGGTTCGGGTCGTACGAGGCGGTCTGCCGGTTTTTGATTTCGCGTGAGCAGTTGAGCGCGCCCGAGGGTAAAACTGTAACCCAGGCGGATTTGGCGGCACCACATTTGATGTTGGCTGGTGCAATCGCTGGAATGGCTTATAATTTCATTCTATTCCCGGCGGACTGCATCAAGAGTCATATGCAGACCCAGGATGTGCTGCGTAGCCACCAGCGGTCGGCTGGTGGAGGTACCGCCGCGGCCTCGAAGCAAGGTTTCTTGACGACCGGCCGGGAGATTTTCAAGTCCGAGGGCATCCGTGGACTGTACCGAGGATGTGGTATCACCGTTGCTCGATCTGCGCCTTCCAGTGCCATCATTTTCATGACTTATGTAGGTGCCGGCTGCTGGATTTTGACTTGATGAATGCATGGAGACGAAATGTCGCGAGTGCACGATACTAATATTTCTATTTATTTATTTTTTTACCTTATAGGAACTGCTTTCTCGTCGATTTTCATAGGAGACCATAGACAACAACAGCAACAATAGCAGCAACGCCTTCCAGCATATCCTTCACTCTAGCATTCTAATACTTTTCGTTTTATTCATCATTAAGAATCTCCACTCTTTTTTCAATATCTTGTAAAATAAATTAAAAAACATCTGTTGTATTTTTGCATGTCTCTGTTCATATTTTTCTTATCTGTTGGGGGATCGTGCATGGATCAATCGTTGGTCAAAGCAACGCGCCGCCATCGTGAGCCCTCCAAAGGACATGTATACATCCGTATTGAAAGGTTTATATAACTTTTTGGGAATTGGGATCAAAAGTTGAAGTCTTCCACCATGACCTGTGCTGCAGGGATACCGAGCTTCTCCAGGTATTTCTTGACAGCGTCCATAAAAGGTTCGGGACCACAAAGAAGGATCTGGCGATCTTGAAGATCGGGAATAGCGGCCAAAAGACTCTGGCTGTCCAGTCTGGAGAAATGAAACTTGGTGCTTGACAATTCAAGGAGCGTTGGGGATGTGGTTTCGGGGTTGCCTCGGGTCAGGAACACATTTACGGCCAGGGTCAATGAATGCTTTGTTCTGTCAGCGTTGCCGCCTTCCATCGATTCCTCTGGCGCGATCATATCTTGTAAGATCTCTGGGAGGATATTGCTGAAATACGGTGCTGAGATAACCCATTGGATATCCACTGGTCCTTGACGAAGCTGCCTCGCACCGCGGACCATAGAGATGAAGGGTGTGGATCCAATCCCCCCAGAGATCATTGCCGCCTTGAGAGTCGACTGAGGGATACTTGATGGAACTGACGGAAGTACAAAGCTGCCGCCTGTGGAGATCAAAGGCACCGTGAAGGGCTGTCGATCGTCCAATACCATATCATGCAACAAATTTGAGATAGCCCCTCCAGGCTTACGTTTGACAGTAATCGTAAACTCTGACATCCTTTGCCAACCCGCGGATTCTTGACCTGTCTCTGCCAGCGGTGCTGAGGAGATGGTCCAAGTACGGACATAGTCATCGTTCAGGCTCTGAGGATTATCGAGCGCCATATGTCGGTATCCAAGCGTGTTGAATTGTCCAAAGTCCAGAACAGCATATTGGCCAGGGATATAGCGGATGGGACGTGAAGTATTGAACCGAAACGTGGAGATGTCTTTGTTGTGTTTCGTGATACCGGAGAGTGTAGCGGTTGTTCGTCCTACAAGCTGCTCCTCGATGGTCCGATGCTGGCTGGAGGGTACAGTCGGATTATAGGGCGAAAGCTCTTTAGTGCGCATCCTAAAAGGTAGAGCGTCCTTTCTAAGGAGATGGTCGTCGATCGTCACTTGGACACATCGCTGCGCGTGCGGATAGTTTACTTGGGCCTCTTTTCCAACAAAGATATGCGCGCGCCCTGTCAAATGGAGCACATCTCCGGTGTCGAAATTGATAAACAAGATCCCTATTCTTTCATCGTTTGCAATATTCCCTAGCGTATTGAAGAACTAGAAAGGCGAGGAGGATTGTCAATTAACTTGCTTTTCCATAACATCAGCCATTGCAAAAAGTGAATTGAACTAAAGGGGCCCCTACTCTATTGCCGCTATAATCTGGAAAGACGAGTCGTTTGCCATTGAGTCGTACAAATCCGGGATTGCCTCCTCGATGGTTGCAGTCCATTCCACTCGTTTGGTCTGCAAGACTCTCATCAATGAACCTTGATGATATGAAGAGACAATCTGCTTGGTGAATGACAGCTTTCTCGTCCTCTGCCAGATCGCGTGGTGACTCTTCATCACTGGTGTTGGCCAATGCGGCCCACGCCTCCGCATGAATACTGTCAGAATTCTGTCGAGGACATGGCTCCATTTCACGGGTAGTTATGTACTTGGGGCAGTTTCCTATTCATGTCATTACCAGTATTGCCAGTAAAGATGGTTAGCTGTTGCTCTGGCGCACCATGATACGCTGCCCAGGAAAATTCTTTGCGCCTCTTTTCTATACCAATAGTTTGCTCGACCGTTAGGCGGACATGCAGTTTTCTAGAAGTCTCGTCTGCGACCAAGAGATCTGCCGGATAGAGCACACCATTCATCTTGTTCCTGCGACGGTTAGAGAAATCCAATCCAACACCACCCCACATGCGCTTGCCGCTCTTGAAGGACTCGCCGTGGACAAGGTTAAAGAAGACGGGATCAAGTCCACTGCGACCAGTTTCCAGAGTTGCCTTGATGTCAAGAGTTCGGGGATGGGGGGAATGGAGGAAGCCCTTGGGACCTGTCAGGATCGAAACCCAGGGACGTCCTTGGTCGTCCAGGGTTCCAAAGAAAAAGTAGTTTAGCGTGGGCACAAAGTTCTGCATCTGCTCGGTCAAGAAGGGTCGGAAGATGGCGCTGTGTTCCTGCACTGCCTCGCGGATATACAGCATATCCTGGACCCTGCGTTCACCACTGTGCCATCTGTCGTACAGACTCACGAGATTTTGATTGAGGAATGAGCTAGCCATGGCTAGGGCATGAATATGGGCGTATAGAGCTATGAAGAAAGAGAGAAGAGAATAAGGAGAAAAGAGAAGGAGATGCGAAGAAGAATATGTACCAAGGATACACACACTATCTACAACAGGTCAATGGCAGAGAAAACCATTTGCTGACAAATTCAACCCGCCGCAACTCCTTTGTGTGACCAACCAAATCTTGTACGCGCACAAAGACGCACGCGTCCAGAAGGAACAGCAGTAGTCTACGGACATAGATTGCGACGCCATGTCGAATACCAACGCGTTTACCCTTACTTGATCCATTTCAATATGGACACGACCGCCTCCGTAACAGCATCTACCCTGCATCCCTCCCCTTTCTCCTAAAGTTCACGTTGCCTTTGGTTGCTGCAACTTTTTTTTTTTTACATCTTAAATCTCTTCACTTCGCACTCGTTTCATTCTCACTCTCACTCCCACACTCGCTCTCATCCTCACTTAGCACATGAACATCAAGGAGGCATTATAAAACGTGCCCTATAAGTTGATAAGTTGATGCTCCTACAGTTGAACTGCACAGAGAGCTTAATAACGAAATCAAACCACTTACTGCTGTAACATGTATAGGATATGGTGGTTCGGGATATATGGAGGCCACACAAGCCTCGGATATGGACGACGTGACGTTTTATCGGTCTGGTCTCACAATCTGTATACATCATGCTCTACCTGTCAAGCGCAGCATCCACGGATGAATTCGCAAGCATATTTGGTAATATGGCACCAGGAAGGTTCCCTGCCAACCTTGCAGTCTCCTTGAGGAACATGAGAAAGAGAGCGGTGGTTCATCAAGATGAAATGTGCGACGCCAAAAGCTCCTGACAAAGACTCACGTAAGCACAAAAAGCAGTAATCGTGAACAGGTGTGCACTCCGGACTGATAGTGTCCGACGCATGCGTTGGAAAGGGTCAAGTATCGCATGATCTGGTTGTATGGAGCATTTTGGTGCGAAAGCCATGGCGACGGTAAGAGTCCAAGAACGTCTGCGTTCCTCAATATTTATGCGGATCGCGATCTACTCTGATCTCTACCTCTGTGTTTTCTTCCGGTACCTGTACATGCACTACACAGCTCAGGGCCATTGGATATACAACTTAGGGGTAAATGAGTACCCAACCACTCTGACGAAATAGTCGGCCAAACATATGCATACTCCCCTATCTAGGTGGCTTAATACCCTGCTAAACGATTAAATAAATTGCGTTGCATAGTCTGTTTCATATATCTCCCTTAGTCCCTGTATTTTCTTTGCCACCAATCCAAATCAAATCCCAAATTAATTAATCTTTTCACTTTCTCTCTCCTACCCTTTCTCTCTCTCTCTCTCACACTCTTTCTTCTCTGTCTTAGTGTACATCCACACTCCGGCAATTCTCCTTACTCACCCAGACACAATGGATCATCCAAGGCACCGGCTTCTGTTTGTGCTATCGCTCTGCCTCCAGGCCGTCGCTGCAAATATCGTCTGCATCTCACCGACATCCCTCCCTGCGGGTCTCCAGCCAGGCACTCCCCTCACCCTTGCGTATTCTGCTGATCTCACAGACATGCTCTCCGCCATCACTGCGAACCTCGTCTGCTCCTCCACCGGAAACAAAGCTCTGGTCTTGGGGTCGAAGTATGGCTTCAGAGATTCACCCACCGTTACCATCACCGATCCCCAGGCGCATAACGCACTGGCATCTTGTCCCACCAATGTAAAGTCTTTTTGGACACAAAATACGCTGTTTTTTAAGAGTAGAAAGAAACGCATTTTGCTAACAGCACATCCGTGCTTTTGTTTCTGTGTCAACGTATAGAACTTTTACGTCGAATATGAAAGCTCTATCCTAGGAAAAACTCAGGTCGCTAAATGCAATGGAGGGTTTTCGATCCAGTTAGTGTCCGCAACGCCCTCTGGGCCCATTGTACCTTCTACCTCATCCTCCCAGATCCCTACAACTTCGCCTTCACAAATCACTACTTCTCCTGCAACAACAACAACAACAACAGTCAGCGTCCCTGGCACCCCAGCAGCTACCTCAACACGTTCGTCTAAACCGTCGCCTTCGATTCACCCACCTAAAACCACTGCCCCTGCTTCTGGTGGTGGAGGCAGCGGACCCGGAAACGGGGGCGATCTACCTGGCTCTCAAACCTCATCGTCTGCTACCGGAACACTTGATCCCGCTCCCACACAAGAGACCTCTTCCTCAGACCTCGAAAAATCCAGCACCTCCGGACCATCTACTGTTGTGATTGCGGGCGCAAGTATCGGTGTTGTCGCAGGCATCTTTGTGATCCTGGCCGCGCTGTTGGCTTGGCGAAAGCGAGCGCAGAGAAAGGAGGCCGTGAGTTTTGATCAGTTCTATAACGACAGCCTTGCGGCCGCGAGTGGGTTCGATGCGAAGCCGATTTATGCGAGATCAGGATCTGATGAGGGCCAGGGTAATGTTATTGCAGCAGCGAGTCCTGTAGCACGTCAGATGGCCTATGGAGGTGCTGTCAGTAGAGGAAATGGTATGGTTGTTGTACCAATGTCCTGAATATCAATCTCAAGGTCAATTCATTCTTTGAATCGCCAAAGTATCATTGTAAATAAAAATAAGAGCATCAAAAGCACTGAGAATCGCGATGGTCGTCTTGTTTTATTGTATTCTGCCTGATAATGCAACTTTGCTGCGTATATAAAAAAAGGCAGCCTCACTTCCAGCAGTGTCTTCCCCTTCGTGGATATCCTTATCATTTTCCATGATCCATTTGACGATCTGCATGTATTTAGTTTACGACGCCGGTGCCGATACAGACTGGATTAGTGTGATATTATCTCCCTTGAGCAAGATGCGGCCTATTCAAATAACACGGAGCAAGAGTAAGGTAAGAGTGTGTGCCAGGTTGAATTTCGGCACAATAACATTGAAACACAAAGGCGTGATGCGTGCATAGGGCCATGTCATGATCTCACATACCGACTTCCTTTCTCGTGCTCTTCTTGATGTTGACCTCGACAGCGTTATCCAAGACCAAGTTCATGAATTCGTCGAATCCCTAAAATGAGATAGTCGCGTGTGAACGGTATATCGGAATAGCATCGTTAGTCAAAGACGAACAAAAACATGTTGCATACACGGCATCTCCACATTCGGCGGTCCAACATGATCAGACAAGCAAGACAAATCTTGTAATCTGTTCAACGTACAATAATCTGTCCTTCGATGCGAGTATCCAACTGCTCATACAACCAAATCTGCACAGTTGATCTCTGCAGAACAGTAATCAAGGGACAGAACAAAGGGCCAAATTAGTACGCAGTAAATCAATCGAAAATCATGGAAAAATGCATGGAGTGCTTTCTTCTCAATTGAGTTACCTGCTGCAGATACCTGAAGATCAGGTTCTATTAAAACAAGCAAAAAAAAAAAAAAAAAAGAGTAGCCAAAGCATTAGTTCAAATAGGTCAGATACGTGGAATTATCCATGATGTTCCATATACAATCTTCCCCCTCTTGCTGATCCAATCCCACTGGGTGGATATGTCGGCGAACGGTACTCTATCTGCTGTGCGAAAGTGTACTTGTCAATTGGTTGCCTCGTCCTGGGAGCGGTGACTGTAAAACAAAGCTGGTGCATCGTGTGTAGCCTCCTAGTCAGCTCCAGTTTGATGATTATCCAGACGTCGTTCGGGAGAGCCAGGCGACTGAACTTCCCTGCCAATGAAATATAATAAAGGCGCCGTAGTATCTGCTTTGTCCAAGAGTCACGTCCTGCTGTTATGCTGGTCTGTTCTGGTTGTCCATGGACCTCCGCGAGTTGTTATTGTTCGTCCTGTCTGGATGATCGTCTGTTTATCACTCACGATGGGCTGAACCATAATGCGTTGGACTTTAGACGACATCTTGGCAGTATTTCTCTGTGAGTATATGTGTTGTTCAAGAAAGTGTTGACAGAGAGCGACGCCTTGAGTATGGATGCTTGGTAGTGGACTTGAAAGAGGGAGTAGGTGACCAATACCTTTTTGACCAGCAAGAACCGCGATGAATAGCGAAGCCACCACATAACAAGGAGAGCCTGTGACCGTTGGTGTTCAATGAGGATTGTACCCATGGCCCTGGACATATAGCGCGCTCCACAGCTCATCGCACTCCTCTTGCATGCCGTTGCCGCCCTTACCATGAAAGTCAAGATCAAAAGTAAGAGGAACCTATCAGTCAAGAAGAACAACGCGGCAAAGTTGAGAAACAAGAGTGATAGTCACTTACCCCCAATGCATTGTGATTCTGGCTGATAGAGTAAGGACACACTAGGGAAGAGACATGGATATTTGGACTTGTCATAATACATTTCCACCCTGTCAAAAGCATAAGAGTAGCATTAGTGCATTGCGAAGACCATATTGATGCATGTATGATGCCTATTGCCTGTGAAAATAGATGGCATACGGTTGGGATCTGGCAGTGGAATATGGAGGACTCGACGGACGTCTGTGGAATCTGTCATAACCCCTTTGACGCATGTTGCTCATATTGCAAAATGCCCGGAGACCAATGTCCTCTACGTAAGTTTACGTCTTAATACCGATGCTGTTCGCGTGCTTGCTCCATCTAATCTACAAGATCTAACGAATATCTTCTTATTTTTCCATAGTGTGGGGAAAGTGCACACACTGCTTTCACCTGCACTGTATCTCCAAATGGCTCGAGACCAAAGACAGCGAAGGGACATGTCCAATGGATCGACAGCCTTTCGGTAAGCCTTGGTTTTGTTTGGTGGTCGCAGGCGGCACTAAAATTGACTCGACAAAGCGGCTAGCATTTTTAACCACAATACAATTTGCTCCGCATGCGTTTAGAGGCGGCAACGTAATCCTTGTCAACAAGCGCTTCATCCTTTACATGTACTATTAGCTGGACGCGCAATATTCGCCTGGCAATCTGTAATAATAAATCAAATTGTTCTCCAAACATGTTCGCTTAATATTGTTATTTTATTCATCTCTCAATAATGATACGCCTTTGACTTGCGAAAGAAACCATGTTGCCGACTTTTGGTTCCTGATAAACTCCTGTACGGCATTAATGCGCTTCAGTGTGAGATCAAGAGGAGGTTGTTGCGAAATGAGTGGTGGCTCAAAAATGGGCGTCTTTCTCGGAAGCGCTTGTCCATCCTGCAAAGTAATCGAATTGGAGTCCGATGGTGACGATCCGGGGTCTGTGTGGCCCATCTGTTGTTTGATTCTGATCCGTATTGTCATGCACATGTTCCAAATAGTACTCCAGTCCCATCCGCTGTTCAGTAATAATAGCTTCTGACATGTCTCGATCCATTCGCCTTCATCCATCATATCTTTCAGATGCTCGATCTCTTGCTCCACTTCCTTCAGATCTGAGCATATAGAATCTAGTAAAAGGTCCAGATTTGACCCATTACACCAGTTGTGGTTGATCGAGATGGTATCGCCAATGTTCTGCACCTGATGCCACCATCCAGAGGGTACGAACAACGTCTGTCCTGGCTGTTGATATACGGTGAACCGCTTCGCTTTGTTAAAATCAGGGAACTGAACTGGGTCGACGTTCTCAATATCATAGACAGTGTTCTTGAGACTATCGCGGAAGAGGTGCTCCTGACCGGGCGGGAAGAGGGTCCACTTTTTGACACCGCAAATATTGGCGGACCACGAGTATGATCTATGGAAAGCGCATTAAGCAAATCAGCATACCGTTACTGGCAGATTGTCAATTGCACAAGAATGAAAAAAGTGGAAGGGCCTGTACCTGTACACATCGGCGTGAAACGGGGTAAAGGTGCCGTCGCCCCCGCAATACACGAAACGATAGTCGTCGTCTATATCATTTTGACGTGTCCAGAACTCATTCATCCAGTCGTCGCGAAAGATCTCTGGGGTCTCGTAAACCTCAAGCGACGGGAACGTCCTCACGAAATGGAAGTCTTTCAAGTACGTGCGCGAGGGTGCATTGACCTTGCTCTGCGCCTCCCATTCGTCCAGAAACTCGCCCAGATCCATGGTTGAGCGCTTTTGATCCGTAAAATCCTTGGATTGACAATCAGCGACGGGGACTTGTATAGGGGCCCTGCTACATAGCTGCGTCCGCAGAGCATCAAAATCTGGTTTACCCGTATCGTGGCATACCCATTCCTGCCGTGCGCGCCAATGTACTGTCAGCTCAGAACCGATGATAACAGGGAGGTTGGGTTCGAGATAGCACTTGAGAAAGTCCTTGTACGATGGAGGGGCTTCGAGGAGGGCGATTCCGTCGATTGAGCTGTAGTCGCGTGAGAGATGGAGTTGGAGAGCCATCAAAAAAAAGATCTAGAAAAGTCGTTGCAACGGGGAACAGGGGAAAAGGTCAAGGTGGACGGACTGTTATTTCTCCCCTTGTTTCCTTCACTTCATTAGCGCTTCCTCAGCAACCCACCTCCAACTCCACCCAGCGACAAAGACTACATCATGCCAGTCTGCACACACCGTGGCTGCGAAAAGACCTACGACGAGGCAACTAACTCGGACACTGCCTGCACCTTCCACCCTCAGGGGCCCATCTTTCACGAAGGTCTCAAGGGTTGGTCCTGCTGCTCCAAGCGTGTCATCTCCTTTGATCAGTTCCTCGCCATTCCAGGATGCTCCATCGGTCGCCACACAGATGCCCCACGCGAGGAGTTCCCTTCTGCTTCTGCGTCTGCCGAGAAAGTTGAAGTCCCCTTTTCAGCAGCACCTACGACCGTCGACAAGAATGGCATCGAGGTCTATGGTTCTACCCCCGCTGCAGCACCTGTCGCAGCCCCTGTTGTCGCTCCTGCTGGCACCTCAGCATCTACAGCTACGCCGGTACCAGCACCCGAACCAGTCGCGGAGGAAGAGGATGATCTGTCGGTGCCTGTGCCATTAGGAAAGACCTGCATGCGTCGTGGATGTGGCCAGACTTATGTTTCAGAGGAAGAGTCGCGAGGTGACAAGGTCGTTTGCCAATACCATCCTGGATCGCCTGTCTTCCATGAAGGATCCAAGGGCTGGAGCTGCTGTCCACGCAAGGTTCTAGAATTTGAGGAGTTCTTGAAGCTGAAAGGATGCAGAACCACCAACCAACACTTGTTTGTAGGTTCAAAGGTGAGTTTTTCTGTTGGTTTGACTCTTCATTCATGATCTTGGATTTGCGCAATACGAACACGAATTAACATTGTTTGTGTTTTTTTTTTTTTCTTTTCAAATGCTTATAGAAGGAGGAGGTTGAGGAGCTTGTCCATTGCCGCCACGACTGGTGAGAAGAGCACTTGTTATGCTGATTGAGTAAAATGCATGCACATTGGCTATGGTCCATCTATTGATGCTCAGTCTACTCTTTCCCTTCTCCTTCTCTTGTGCAGGTACCAAACCCAAACACACATCAACTTGTCGATCTTTGCAAAGAAAGTTGATGCGAAGACGGCCACTGTTGAATTCAAGGAGCGTGAGGTATGGACTTTGATGCACTATTTCTGATCTCGTGCAAATCATCTCTTGATCAGGGTGTTAATACGTGATGATCTCTTTTCGTCTCTAGGTTAATATCGATCTGAAGATGCCAGATGGAAAGCGCTTCAAGTTGACTCTCCCTCTCTTCCAGCCCATTGAGCCCGCTGGCAGCTCTTTCGAGGTCTTGGGCACCAAAGTCGAGATTACAATGAAAAAGGGTATGTGTAGATACAATCCACTGCTGATGTACATATCTACAGACTCGTGTCGATTGCTACTAGAATTGTCACTGACAACGACATTTTCGGTGCGACTCATAGGTAATGGAATCTCATGGGCAACTTTGGAGCCAAGCGAGGGTGCCAAGTGCTGGACCACCTTCGGAACGACTGGCGGTGCAGGAACTGTCGGCAGCAAGGTCATGCATCTTGCCACTGACTCTCCCTTGTATGCACAAAAGTAGACACACTTTGTTGGTCGCCATTCATTCATTCAAGTAGAGCACCTTGGTGTGGTTGGACTATCATCTTCAAATGAACCACGCGTATATCATAAAAACCACGCAAAGTCAGCATTGGAATCGTAGAACTGGAAAATAGTGGTATATTGTATTCATTGTTTGTTTGTGGTGTGTACATGTAAAGACGTCGATGGATTGGTTCGATCATGCTGCAGTCGACAAGCAACAGTTTTCCTGCTCGCCTTGCTCAGTTGATCTTTTGGATCTTCTTGTTGACGAGGCCTAGCTTCAAAGTTGTCCGATCTACGTCCCGGTCGAGCTCATCTAGCAGCTGATTCTGATTATCGAGTTCCTGTCCAATGGCCAGTCCGATGTGCTTCTGCCTCTGTAAGATCGCATTGAACTGCTCAATGTGATCATCTTGCTGCTTCATCTGCTCCTGCTGCAGGAGCAACAGCCCTTCGTTGTCGAGCCCTCTGGTCTGCGATGTCTCCTGCGTCAGATTCTGGACGACCCTTCCAAAGACTCTTCGTGGATTGGGCATTCGACTGGAGGTAGCTGAGGAATGAACGCTGCTACTTCCAGTCACTGTTGACTCAGCCAGACTGTGGTTGTCCACATTGCCTCGAATGGATGCGGGCTGAGAGTGCGACCCACTCTTACCAGCCAACAGCGCATTCCTGTCTCCAGAGCTCGCTGGTACGTTGCTACCGGCACCCTGATAGCCAACGACTCCATCGTTCTGCCTGTTCGCAACAACGAGTTTGGTCAGGACTTCTCGTTCATCCTTCAGCTCCGACAACATATCCTGTCGTCGACGCAGCTCTCCGTCTGACATAACGCTACCTTTACGTCCACCTCCAGGGGTGCCCATGGCTAAGCTCATCAGTCCGTTCTCAAGTGCCGGGATCCGGAGTCCCAACGAGGTCAACAGTTTCTTGCTTTGGATAGTGCAGTTGTGGGAAGCCGAGATCTCGCTTCGGCCCAGATGAGTCTCCCGTCGATTGATAAGTGATCGTACCTCCCGTGCCAGACCTTGAAGGGTGCGGAATTCCTCGAGCCAACTTTCGGTTGTAAAGGAATGTGGTGCGGGTCCTGGGTTGACAACAGGACTAGCGGGTACCGATGACGATCCTGATTCTGTAGCAGCCTGTTTTCCTCCATGGTGTCCAATTCCAAAAATGTTGAGATGTGAGAGCAACGATGACGTGGGCGACTCTCGCCCATCGGCAGCAGCAGCAGCAGGTGCTGGCGCTGCTGACGCTACTGCTCCGCGCTTGCCTGATCCACCTGTAAATAAATCTGCCTGAGATCTCCCCGCGGGGACAGCCAGAAACTCGTTCCATTCATGGGTCAGTCGCCAGCGGTCGTCTCGGTGCGAAAGGATGCCTCGGAGATAGGTTTCGAGACCCGCGCGCCGCTCCTCCAACAGTTCGGGGTTATCCATGGTGGATTGCCACCAATGTTTCGCGGGCAAGTGCTGGGGCGGTGGGTGGTCTGGGAAGAGTTCAGTAAAGCGAGCGTGGAGCTGTTCGAATTCCGAGTATCGCTTCCAGACAGACCAGGTCCGCACTGCGGCATGAACCTCGACGCGGTAGACAATGTGGGGTTTGGGCTGAGACCGGGCCTCGTAGTCGCGGACGTATATGGCCTGTAAGGTCTCTGCCATGGTTGTGTCAAGAGTCGCTTTGAAGAGTAGAGGGAGAGAGAGTGCTGTGGAGTGATGTCCAGCAAAGCGGATGAATGAAGAGAATGAAGAGCAGGGACGAAAGAGGTTGAGTTGAGTAGGGTTTGCGATGCTTTATTAGTGTGGTGTATAGGAGTGGGTAAGTGCGAGGGAGAGAGAGAGAGAGAAAGAGAAAGAGAAAGAGAGAAAGAGGGCAAAGGAAGGAAGAAGGGAGATCTGTCTCGCGTCTTTTCTTTTACAGCAAGAGGGCACATGCCCGTACTAGTTTCGTGACTGGTCCTCGATGATATCTATCGAAGAAAGAGAGGGAAATAATGAGTGATCAGCATAACGTCAAGGTTATCCCGGTCAGTCAGCACTCACTCAGTCAGTCAGTCGTTTGCGAAGGAGTGGAATAAACAACAACAGCTCAAAAATAGGAGCAAACGTGTCTTACCGATCACCTTCTGGCGCACCTCCTCGTCCTCAACTACATCCTCCAGTAGTTCGCCGTCCAGTGTCGTCGCCTGCAGATCTGCATCTGGGTTCTTGGCCAGGAACTCAAACACTTTCAGGTGGCCCTCAGCAGCAGCGCAGTGCATTGGGGTCCAGCCTATACATTATAGCAAAGGAGACCGAAGCATGCCAAGTCAGCACAGCAGAACACCATAATATAAAATGGCTTGGGTAATTTGGGAGCAACTGGGTCGCAAAACGCGAGAGGCAGAAAAGGACAAGGCCACAGCAGCCGCGCACTCTTTCTTGCTCGCATATAGGACTACGCATGATGGCTCTACCTTCCATATCTGTTAGGTTGACATTGGCGCCCATCTCGACAAGGAACTGGCATAGCGCCAGATGGTTGTACGACGCTGCCAAGTGAAGTGAACTCAGCTTTCGAGATGCCGATTGGTGATTGATTATCTCCTCTAATGTCCCTGATTTGCCTTCCTCCTGCACAACTGCCAGCATTGACTTGTACAGCGTCAGATCCCCTGTTCTAGATGCGTCCGCCATCAAAGATTGCGGGTCGAACGATACACGCTTGGTACTCTGAAGTTTTTTAGATACTGATGATGTGCTCGACTCCTTCGTGCTCGACTCCTCAGCATAGAGTCGGATAGATGGTGAGGACTGATAGCTTCGCAGTTTCGGTTTGATATGACTAGCGTACGAAGGCAAGTTCACGTTGATATTGCTCTGCCGTGGGAGTTGACTGCCGTTACTGTCGTTGTTGGGCATCGTACTCGTTAATGATGCTGTTGCGTCTGTTTCGGATGTCCACCGTTGGGCGTTGCTGCCAGAAGAATCTGATGTAGCTGTTGACGAATCTGGTATCAAGGGCGATTCCGCAAGAGGCCCTCCTGAAGTCTTAAATATGACTAATGGCGATAGTATTGATTCTTTATCCTGCGCTTGCTGATTAGTTTCCTCTGTTAATAGGAGATCGTCAACGCACGTCGTATTTCCACTTCGCGCATCCTGCGTTGAATCCTGCTTTGTGCCCCGTGAGGCATATGTCGGATGCGGATCCTTGTCTACATTTCTTGACTCTTTGATCAAAAGTCCCTTCAGTTGTCCGGTGATACCCAGGGTTGAAGCTGGACGAATTAAGAAAGAGCTGTTACTGGCCGTGTCCTCATGCTGCCCTGGACGAAGCTCATCCGAAACGAGCATTGACAGGGGCAGTGTAGATGTTGATGGTGACCGCAAGTGCCCCATGGATCTGAACGAGCTCCAGTTGAAGTCTGGTCCAGAGTCGTTGACTGGCGATGTTGGTAATGATTCTGGTGGTATTCTTCTATATCTCACAACTAAAAGGATAGTTGGTTAGTCAGCGCCGAGCACCATGGAGGCAAATTATCCAATACCATGAACGTATGCAAAGTAACTACGGCTGATCCAGCGCACCTTCTGTGAGGTTCAGGAACAAACTGCGAGTAGTGTTTTCGTCCGCACAATCCACTGGCTTGTACTTGCGGTCATTCATCTTGTAGACGTTGGCGCCGAGGTCCAGTAGCCGCTTCGTCAAGTCTGCCATGCCTAGAAAGCTCGCCAAATGCAATGTGGTGTTGCCATCGCCCCACAGCTTGCCCATGAACTCGTACAGGATCTTTTTTGACTCGAGCTCGTCTGAAGCCTTGGCCACGAAGTTCAAGAGATCCAGAGCCATCTCCTCGTTGAATAAAAAACACGCAATCTGAATCAAGTTAAGGTGATCTACGGTTGGTCCAAGCAGCTCCTGGGCATCCAGCAACACGTCTGGGTCGTGCCGATACTTGTTGTCCGTATTGGAGATGTTCCATGTCACCAGTGTCTGAATGACTATCGCAAAATCAAACGCACGCAGGATTCTGTCAAGTTCGGTCCGCTCCTCCTGCTCGATCGCATCCAGCATTTGCTTCCATAGTGGAACTATCCTTGGCGATCCTGGTTCTTTTGGCGAGTCAATATAAGAGACAGCGCTGACAAATGAGTCTTCCGACCCCACTGAGTTTAATGATAGTCCACCTGCAAGTCCTTTTGAGTTGATAAGTTCCACCGATGAATAGGCTGATGGATAAGGAGCCGACCGGACCGTGGTCGAAGAAGACGGCGGAGGTGGACATGAGTTGCTGGGGGATGGAGATCTTATTGAGAGCTGCGGTGCAGAGGGCTGTCGCGTATGTTGTGTGCCCGTTGTTGCATAGTCTGTGTTTGAATGAGTAGATGGCAAGGATGACAGTGCCGGTGTTGAATATCTATCCGAGGAAACTGAGGAAACTGAAGACACTGAGGACACTGAGGACGGAGGTGGGGGTGGAGTATGACTACTATCAACCTTGAATGTCTGGGGAATCGCTAGGGGCTGATATCGAATTGGTGACGATGGTGGTTTGGCTCCGGACTGTGATATGGACGCCTGCAAGAAGTGCTGAGAGAGTCGCTGCACCGTTCCTATCCTCAATTCCTGGAGACTGTCCTGCTTCTTGGAGCGCGCGGAGGACATGGTTGCACTGGAGTCAACGGGGATGCTCTGATCAACGCTGGTGCTGGTTCTGGCTTTAGCTCTGGTGATGGTGACGATGCTGGTGTTGGAGCATGAGATATATCGCGGTATCGTCAATGAATGCGGTAATTGAGAGGTGTTCAGTCCAGACAGCGCCACTAAGAACGATAGAACCAGCGCCTCTATGTACCTTGAGCCTTTGTGTCGTAAAAAAAAAAAAATCCTGGGAAAAGCGCTCTGCCAATTGGGCCTGGGCTCTATTGGGCGAGTGTTGTAGCAGCGTCCTGTTCTTTCGTTAGGAATCGCAGACGACCAGCGTCGGAATGAGGAGTCCTGCCTGCTGACGAAGAAGGAATGGGTAAGGGAATGCGAATGGGGTGCCAAAGACGTAAAGAGGAAAAGAGAAGGATACACATTATTCTTACCCTTACCCTTACACTTACACGCACATACACAACCACCTCCTAATGATATGCTTTTTTTTTTCAGGGGTGAAAAGTAATGTCTCCGCTGTTGGCTGACCAGGATCTGATCCCACACTTTGCTTGCCGCCACTGCACTGCCTGGCGGGGAGGACAAGCCGTTATCGTAGGTGTGTGTTTGCTGCTGTCTACTGTCTTTTGCTTATGCATGCTTGAGCCAGGAAGGGTTTTGTTTATTCTTTGTCTACTTAAGCTAAGTCGACTCATTATCTATCTTCATAAAATAGCAAGTAAGACCAGCAAAGAGTAGTCGCAGCAGTATCTTTTCAAAATACTAGCATACTAGCACTTTGGTCTTAAGTATGGATTCCGTGCTCCTGCTGGTGGTGTATCCCACTGCAGCTTCACGCGTCGCGTGTGGGACCTCCGCTGCGGCTCCTACAGAACCTCGACCAGTGTGACAGCCGCAAAATCAAAGACGTCACTTTCTGCTCCTTTCGAGAGACGATAAGCTTGTATACGCTGTATGGCACTGGGCGCCCACTACGCACTACAGTGTAAATATAAGATCGTCTGCGCTTAAGCTTCGCTTTCCATTCAAGTAGTTGTGCTTGAGAGTACAGCGCCATCGATATTTTGATCAAATTTCATATAAGTGACATGCCACGTTAAAAAATGAGAACATCATCATGAAAGCCAAGAGCAATAGATAACACTCTTCCGAGGTACTCACATCGGGGCACAGGAGTACCCATCTCGGCGTAATTTCGCCGCCCATCTACTTTCTCTCTATGTATCCGATAAAGACGGCGGATATCGAGAAGCGCTCATTGAACTGACCCCACAGCTGAAGGAGCTCAACTTCTGTACCCACTCTTTTTATTTGGATGCATCTCGTTTCCGATTACCATCTAACATCACATTGAAAGAACAAGAGGGCCGAGTTAGAGAATAGCCTATCAATGTATAGACGGGTATTCAGATCGGGGCCAGCACAACTGATTTACCGGCACGCTCGACTTGAGCTTTTAGTCCCCAATCTTTGCAGCATGAAAGAGGTGGTGGTAAATGGCAAGGCCTGGTAACACTGCCTGTTTCAATCACTGTACAATCCGAAGTCAACCAGTCGATGAGAAAACACCTCAGATTGAGGACAGTTTCGTGCCTGATACCCGGAAACAATACCCTGCAAACAACATGCGCGGTTGGTACACTGAGATTCTGAATTACAGACCATGTACACGATAGGCATGTCCTTTTGCAGGCAATATAAAGGTCCAGAGGTGTCTTCTTCCTTTTCTCAGCTGAAGTACGAAGGCAGAAGCTGAATAGTGTTACACAATTAGACATCAAACGCGCTCAGACAACAAAACATAAAACGCGAATAGGGAAGACCTATTAACTCCAGCTGTGCAACCGAAGGTGTAAGCAGGGGTTTCATTGCCTCGGTTCATGCCCTCCTCGACCATTGCCTTTGTTCAAATACGCTCATTCAAGCCTAGAGGGTATTTTGCTTGAATAGCCTGGTCTGTCGCGTGTGGGTGCTCTCATAAGTACTCTATACGCACTCTCTTAGTCACACGTCTTTTGGGTCCTAATATTGGCATGGTAGCCTTAATTCACCGAGTTGCGAGTAATTGATGGAGTATTTCCGGCTCCTGCGCGTCTACACACGTATTTGATGGACCAGTCGTAGAGCGGCGGACGAGGAGTGGTGTTGTGCGAGCTATAGAGAATATACCTGCTGGTACGCTTCGCGCTCCTCGGCCCCGTCACCTATTATAATCTGGCTGTCAGACAGAAGATGGTATATTAGTCAACCTTTAAGTACTGACGCTGGTTGGAGGAGCACAAAGGAATGGTGCCACTCGGCGCAATAAAAAAATGTTCTAGGCGACGGAATAGAATCCACCAGCAATATTGAGACTAGGCTGCCAGCACTGCGCGGTGAGGGAGCCAGCTTTTCGAGCTATGTTACGGAACTGGAGAGAGTAGAGGGACAACTGAATGAGCTTTACAACGGCTACAGCCGGTTCAGGAAGCATAAATGGGACGCGAGAATGACCAGGGATGCGGAGTACAGACTCCAACAAGGTTGTGATTGGGGTTGGTCTGGGCAAGTTTTCGACCAAGACGAGACTTTCCTCTTTGCACAAGTCCTTTCAGTCATACTTTGTTCAGAAAGTAAGAGCACTATCACTTGGGAATCCGAGTTATGTAAATCGCTTTATGTTTTATTAGCTTCGTCTTAATGTCCACTAGGCCAGGTCCCTACGCTACAACGTAGTTGGAGTGAATGAAAAAAAAAAAAAAAAAAAAGCCCAACCTGCGAGCAGTTTGTCGGGCAAGTTGAGATATACAGGCACCACGACATCATGGCAGGCCATAACATTTGCAACGTTATCCGCGGATATCTACTCAATCAGCGGAGGCCGCTGTATCTCTGGCCAGTGGAGGCAGTACAGCGGCAGCGTCAGCAGCGTCAGCAGTAGCGCGGTGAGGCGAGGACGAGGACGAGCTGGAGGACGGATGTAGATTGATATGTGTGTCCAGTATTCTCTACAGTTCAGTGCAGTACTCTCTCGTTTAAACACGTTCTGTGACGTATTTGCGCAGGAACTGCACATTTTCCGGAGCTGCTCTATAAAAGAGATCTCAATCGATCAATTCCTTCCTTCAGACCCTTCCCTCTCCCTACTCTATACATACACACACATATAACCAGCAATGGCCCGTCAACGTTCTCGCGCTGCCCCTGCCCAGCAGACCCGCAAAGCCTCCACGATGCCCACTCGCCAGGCTCCTCCTCCACCCGCCCCCACCCGCGCTCCTCCTCAGCAGATGACTGCTCCTCCTCCACAGCCCTCGGCCATGGCCCACCCGGCCCCTCAGCAGCCCGGTATGTTTGCCCAGATGGCTTCAACTGCTGCCGGTGTTGCCGTCGGTTCCGCTGTCGGACACACCATCGGCGCCGGACTTACCGTAAGTGTCTCATCCCTGCATTCTTTTTTGGAGTGTTTTCAGGCGTTCATTTTGTTCGGCTCCTTTCTCTCTCTCTCCCCCCCCCCCCAAAAAAAAAAAGAGAAAGAGAAAAAGTCCAATTAACCAACACGGACTCTATATGTCCTCGTTTCATCCTTGACAATAGTCCATGTTCAGTGGATCCGGTTCCTCTGAGTCTGCCCCCGAGCCTCAGCAGCAGCAGCAATCTGCCCCTCAATACCAGAGCTACCAGCAGCCCATGTACCAGAACGCTGCTGTCCCTGCCTCGGCCAGCTCGTGCGAGACAGATGCTAAGGCCTTCACAAAGTGCCTCGAGGCAAATGGCAACGATATGTCCGCCTGCCAATGGTACTTGGAGCAGCTTAAGGCCTGCCAGTCCATGTCTGCTCAATATTAACGAGACATTCCGACCACAAGCAAGGGACCTTTTTCTTTTGCTGGACAAATATCGATAAACTATAATAAAAACATTGCATAGAGTCTTGACATCGGAGACATAATTCAACATATAGAGAATCATAACCATCGAATGAGGCCGTGTGCATATCCTCCTTCTGACCCAAACTTCAGGAATCTGCCCTGCATAAGGCAGTAATTCGTTCCAAGAACACTTTGTGCCTGGATCGCAAAAAAATTTCCTTTTTTGTGCAGCGTGCCTATCTATTTTTTTTTTTTTTGAGCGACATGCGAACTCTATCGATCACAACGGGCCGGCACGATGACACTAAAATGCAAAGGGCGATCGCCCCTCTCTGACCAACTCGAGTGAGGATAAGCGGACATGGTCCAGGAATTCTGCCAGGCGATTGCTTTCCTGCAATTCCTTATACAATGGCACGCCTGCGGCCTCGCTTGCAACAAGGTTGGACATGTCGACGGACTTTTCCAGATACTCGGGGATGACGACCCGGCTGTCATAGTAAATCTTGTGCAGGTTCATCACCAGTTCAGAGACATAGATCTGGCGAAGACGCCTCAGTTCCTGATTTCTAGTCGTGTCTATTTAAAAGAAATATATATGAATATACTGGCTGTCCTGTTCGTCCATATTGTTTTGGAATCAAAAGTGCGCGACGCTTGTCCTTACCTCCAGCCAGAATGCAGTCGAAAAGCCACCTTGACTGCAGCAATGACTCGATCTCCACGATCGCCTTCTGCGCCCGGTTCTACAGATAGCATAACGAAGAAATATATATGTCCCCAGTTAGTCTTTTCGCCATGTTGGATACCTTTTTCAGACAAAAAGATCTCTTAACAACAATTCCCAGCGTACCTTCACATCTAATTCCCACGCATGCATCCTTGATCGCGACGCTTCCTCCACGGGTTTGGACCTTATAGCGTCTCTCCATTCCTCGAACAGTAGTCGTGCGTTGAACAAGTCGCGATAATAAAGATGCTCATGGGAAACAGTGAGCAAGAATGGCGGTGCCTCATCCAGATCATCCTTGACAATGTCAGACGGGAGAGCATTAAACAACGAGAACGCTGCATACAAACGACCTTGCACTAGAGTATAGTTAGCTTTGCGTTAGTAAATCTGACTGGTAGTCCCACAATCACAACCAAACCCAGTTCCTGTAATTGTCATGCATATCCTTACATAGGTATCTTCTCGTCAAGTAGTTGCTACGATGCAAACATTCGTCGTACGGCGCTTCATCGAAAGTCAGCCACTCCATTGCTTTTATGGCGGCCTTCTCCTGACTTGAGATGGGCTTCATAATACTCTCTTGCATATTGGTCGCGTAGTCCCCAACACATTCCTAGAGGATGAAGTAGTTATGTTAGCATGGTGAACGAGCACCGGAAGTCCATTGCATCCATGGAAAACCAATCAAGCAACGTACAAGCTCCGCTTTATTGTTGTCCATGAGGCCGTCCACCGTCGCCGTGAGAATCTTGTGCAAATCCAAGCCATTCTGCCGAATAGCCACTAGATATCCTTGGCGCTCCTTCTTGGCTCCATCGATCGCTATTTCATCACAATGATATTTTGCCGTCAATTGGATCTGTGAATGATAATAAAAAGAAAAAAAAGGCCATTGTACTTACTCTTCAGGTACGATGAGCACGTCTCGATTTGGAGTTGGAGTGGCAAGAACGAGGCATACAGCGGCGCCAGATCGTACTAAAGGATAAACCGAAAAAGAGACAATAAGCTTCTCATATCGCGCAACAGACATTCTCTCATTTAATCTTCGGTCGCTTGCTGATCGTGTCACGTACCATTTTCCTTGAGATCAAGTAGTCCACATAGCTTTTAACGAAATAGTCGCCGTCATCCTTTGGCACAACCGAATTCCTTGATCGCAAAAGAAGAACAAAGTGGGCCATAAATCGAAGCATGTGTGGTCGAAGAGGTGCGCCAATACTAGATGATGCCTTAGCGTCCCTGGCCATCTTTGCGAGGAGTTGGTCAGTTTGACCCAGGATAATGCTTGTCTGGATGGCCTTAAAGACATCTTTGGATGTGTTTCTATGGATGACAAAGCGGTCTCGTTAGTGAAAAAGAAAAAAAAGCCTATTATGGTCCAGCATTGGCCTTTGTGTCGATATATTACACACCTCAGTTCTTCAGAGTCACTGTTCGCCAAGCTGTCGAAGACAGCCTTGGCTGAAGTGATCTTTGTCGCAGGAAGTGGAAGGGCCTTGCTTGCACCTCCTCGATTAAATTGTGACAAACGCCCCTCAATCATACTCTCAACCAAAGCGTTATAGTGCGCCCACGCATGATCTTCCCAACTTGAACAAACCGGCAGAACCTAGATGAGGAATAGAAGTAATGGCCAGGGTATTTACTGTTAGAATGCATATACCGCATAGACATTATGAGCACAGTTAGGTCTTGCGGAGCAAATTATATTCCTGGCTTACTGAAGGAACGTCGCCGCATAATGCACCATAGACTGCCCGCTCGTACTGGTCAGCCGATGCTTCATTTGCAAGGGCATAGCATGTTCCTTTCCAGAGCCCGCGCGTTTTGTTGCCGATGAGACCTTCCTCCCGATCGTACTGTGGGTCTGTGAATGCAATGGACACGGAGTAAGGTTCGCCTCCGCTGATGCTCTCTGCTCGCCATGGTTCACCTGCCTTGACACAGGCATCCTTCGCCTCCTGAAGCTGTCCACGGCGGATGTACTCCCATACTGTTCTCAGTAAGTTGTGTTCGATAAGCTGATTGCTTTCGCTCAACTTGATTCTGTCCCTCGTGACCGCATCAGGGTCTAGATACTCGGGCTTAATGGGTGATGGCCTAGGACCGAAAGAGAATGCTGATCCGATAGATGTTTGTTGAGTGAATGTCTTCGCCACGGCATTAGAGTTGAAGGGCGGTGCAATAGTCTCGAGCCACAGTCTCACAGCCTATATAACATTGCAAGATTGATTGATCAGATGAGCTTTCTCCTAAAGGCCATGGCTATCATTGATCTCTAAAAGTAAGACGTGACTTACAGAGTGGTGCTTAAACTCGTTGTCAGTCCTTGCCAAATGTTCGATGAGATCAAGATCAGACCATGCCAACGCATCGGGTCCTTTTTTGATGGGCGGCTTTGTATGATCGAAGGCACTGTGTTGGAGATGAAGGATGCCATTTAGAAGTTGAGCCGTATTAGCGACCTTCATCGCTTTGTCCCTGATCCATGAGCCTCTTTTTGAATTACCTGGCGAGAGTTTGAAGCAGCAACCAGGTATGGCTCTCAGACTGCCACAGCTTGTATTCATCAGTCAAACCGAATGCCATGTAATCGGCGTCCGAATCCTTGCGATGCTCCAGTTGTTCCGCTCTAGGTACCATGTTAGACGAATCGTTGTTAGTCATGGTTTCTGTCCCGCGCGAGAGCTACCTTTGATAATAATTTATCACTGACATACCTCGCCCCACAGAGCGCTTCGAACTCTGGAAGGATAGACGAAATATCAATATTCGCATCTGTTTCTTTTCGGAATCGCTTAAGCATTCCCAACGAACGAGCAAACTTCTGATATTCGATTCCTGTCTCGAATGCTTCCTGAAATCCTTCTGGCCTGGTGCTAAATATGTCGCTCTATGGTTCCATTGAAGCGAGAACATCAGAAAAATTGCACTATAAACCTCAAAAAAGACAAATACGTGCGTCAAAGACAAAAGGTCATACTGTTATACTATTAGGTTCCTTCGGCTTGGAATGGCCTACTCCGTCAGTTGCGGTAAGAATGAAGGGTTTCGCGTCAGTATATTAGTACAGTTGTCCATGTATAGTGAGTGGCACCAACTTGGTAATGGACTGCCTACCAGGTAGAGTAGAATAGCTCACGCTGTAGATAACGAAGGAAAACGAGAGGAAATCGCGTTAGGCTTCAATATCGCGGTTAAAACGAATAGTGCAAAGGATAAAGTGCTCTTACTCCATGCTAACGTCTTCATCCTTCGAGTTTCCTGCAGACAGGCCGGGAGTGGTGAAGCCAGTGAATGATTTTGAGCTGTTCCATGCCATCGGAGACGTAACTGGTTTGCTTTAAGGCCGATGAGTCAATGAGGTAATGTTTGGCGTGTCGATTCCTTTGCGTTGGAGTGGTCGCGAAAGAAAGAACGGTGTAGAAACGATCGGTTCTCAAAGTGTTCCTGTTTATTATGTGACTGCACGCATTTAAAAGGGATTGAAGGCAAAGTGCTGGTCCGCTTTTTGCCCTGAAAAGGTTATTCAACCATGTGGGCATCGCGAGCAACGAGGATCCTTTTCACGAGGAATGCACTTGGCGGCAGGGCGACAGTGTGTGTGACACCTTTTCGAGCAAAGATACCGATTTGCTTAACAATCAGGAATATTTCAGGAACAAGCTCCCTGCAAAATAGCAGTGATCGCCTTCTCTTTTCGAAGACACCAGAGTTCTCGTCGGAATCAGTGTTAGGCACAACAGACCTTACAGGAGTCCCAGCACTGCTTCAGGAGCCCACACACGTTAACTCGCTACTCTCCAGCACGCACTACGTTCTCGAGAGCATACATGCGATCGGTCTTCCGTGGTGGGCCACCATCTTTTGTGCCACTTTTCTTCTCAGGACTGCCATTACTACTCCTGTGGCGATCTATCAACAAAGGGCGGTAGGGCGGATGATAGCTTTGACACCTGTTCTCCAGGCATGGCTGGAGACATACAAGACGAGTATAGGAGTTGACCATAAGCTCAAGGGTCGCGACTATGGATCATATAATTCAGAAATCCAGAATGCGGTAGGATTATCCGTCTACTTTGATTGTATATAATATTAATTTTCTACAACGTGGATAGGACTGACTGGATTTCATTTCTGCCAGTATCGAGCAAAGGTCAAGGAGCTGTACTCGACCAATCGATGCAATCCGCGCGTTAGCTTTTTGTTGCCTTGGGTTCAAATCCCGTTGTTCATTACTATGTCGCTCACTATTCGAGGCATGGCTGGATACCCACTACCGTTCTTGGGCGACTCTAGTCTCCCTGCCGAACCAGGATTTACACAAGGCGGTACTCTGTGGTTCATGGATCTAGCGGCTTCAGATCCAACATGGATTATGCCTATCGCAATTGGAGCTACGAATCTACTCAATGTTGAGGTACGTTTATTACGCTGGTCGATATGTTTGCTGGAAATTTGTCCATATCCCATAGCGTCTACCCTTACACACTTGCCTTTCTCCCTCCATAATGTAGCTGAATGGCCTTATGATGAACAAGACCCCGACAAGAAATCAAATCATCTTTCGCAATGTGTTCCGCGCTTTGGCCATAACCATGATCCCAATTGCACATGAGGCGCCCATGGTCAGAGGCATTGCATCCCGTATCCATCATCACGTCTTTTTGCGGAACAGCTGGTTAGAAGTATTAACGAATCTTGCCATTGCATTGAATAGGCCATTTGCTTATATTGGCTGTCATCAGGATCGTACAGTGTGATACAAAATCTCGCCTTTCGCATGTCGACTGTCCGCCAAAAGCTCAAGCTGCCGCCATTGCCATCAAAGGCAGTCGAGTAGATAACCAGGAAGCTGCCGATTTTTTTTTTTTTTTTTAATGATAGCAAACATAATGTACATTAGAGTGAAAGCGAAAGTGCAAGATGAGGGGTGACGACCATATAATGTTACCGAAGGCCCATCTAGGACGACATGTTGATATCCTCGTCTCCGGCTGATTTCTTTGCCAGTATTTGCTGCTCCTTCTCCAACCCTACCATGTCAAATTCATCGTCACTTGGTCCCGCATCTTCAGAATCCTTGTCCGTGTCCATCATGACAATTACTGGCTTCACTGCCGGGGTTTCTGCTCTGATGGTGCTTGGGTCAATGATGATGTCCTCCTCCTTCACATCCTTCTTCAGATCAAATACGCCCAAGCCGAGATCCATCTCGATGTACTGTTCACCGCTCTCCTCGTCCACATCTTCAATATCGACCGACTTTGGGTCTTCCTGAAGCTTTCGATCCAGCTGAACATTTGCTTCCTTGATTTTTGGTAGAAAATCCTCTAATCTTGCGAGCACTAAATGTGGAGAAAAGTGAAGTAATGGTAAGCTGTTGGTGCACACTGCGACTCCCAACACAAACTAAGAGATCGTAAAGGCATTTATTTACAGTCAGACTGGACCCGGAACGTCTTACGCTCTCCAGCAGGCGAGTCATTTGGAATATTCGAGGACTTGTTGCCGCTCAACAGGTTGCCTATAATAACCCCAGATATGGATTCGATTAACAAGTCGTCTCGGTGAGATTTATCAGCGAAGTGTGTTTCCTTTCGCCTTTGGCCTATTCAGCCCTGACATACTGATGAGTTCGTCCTTGGAGGATAGGTCTAGTAGTGGATTCGACATTGTCCTGGTGCGATGAATGGGGTGAGTGCAGAGTGTGCAGGAGATAGCATGCAGCATTTTTTTTTTTTTTTTTTTTGGTAGCTGATCGGTGCCTTAAGGGGCTGTGTGCTGCCGTGACTACACGGTGATTCAAAACAGAAAGTTGTATCAAAAGCTGTACAAATAAGAACGGTTTCCCCTGTCCTCTTTGTTCTGTTCTGCATCTACCAGACCTTCACACGCAACACTTACTCACACCATGCTGGACATCAATCTCTTTTTGGAGGAACGTGGAGGCGAGCCAGAGCTCATCCGCGAGTCTCAGCGTCGCAGACATGAGTCCGTCGAAATCGTAGACGAGATCATCGCCCTCTACGAGGACTGGAAGACCAGTAGGTGATATGAACACACCTGAGCTGCCCGATAGGCACCTCTTTCTGTCATGGATTACTTCTGGCGTCGCCCTGGCACTTGCATTGTGTTCAATTGCACCTATTCAAAGGAATGGACTATCTTGAAGGGCTAAATGGCGATGCATCTAACATGCGATCAAACTATTCTTTGTAGTGCGCTTCAACCTTGACCAATTGAACAAGAAGTCCAACGCTATTCAGAAGGAAATCGGCATGAAGATGAAGGTATTGTGAAATGATATTACTTGATGCAAAAAAATGGCGCAGTCTTTGAGGCGCACGCACAATGCTCATTCATTTTTATGTTGGCTTTCGATCTCTGCAGAAAAAGGAAGACGCCTCGGAGCTCGTTCAGGCCCGTCTCGATTGCAAGAAGGAGCAGGAAGCTATGGAGGTTGAGCTCAAGGGAAAGGAGGCTTTGTGGTCTGCCAAGCTGGGCTTGGTCGGAAACATTGTGCACGACTCTGTCCCCATCTCTGACAACGAGGTATGGTCTCGCATTGTGGACTCATCGCTTTAGCAGTGACAGGTGTCGAGGCGCAGGATTCGCACCGCGACTGCGGCCGATCTGTATTTATTTGGATTTTCTTCTGACTATGGTCTGACTCATGTTGATAGGACAATAACATCGTTGAGAGAACCTACTTCCAAAATGGCAAGGCTCCTGAACACAACCCCAAGCTGTACTCTCACGACGAGGTCCTCTATCGTCTCGGTGCTTACGATCCCGAGCGTGGTCACAAGGTTGCCTCGCACCGCGGATACTTCTTGACCGATGCCGGTGTCGAGCTCAACATGGCTCTTATCAACTACGGTCTCACTTTCTTGGGACGACGCGGCTATAAGAAGCTCCAGACCCCTTACTTCATGAAGAAGGAGGCCATGGCTCAGACAGCACAACTGTCGCAGTTCGATGAGGAGCTGTATAAAGTTACTGGTGAGAACGAGGACATGTATCTGATCGCTACCTCGGAACAGCCCATCTCTGCCTTCCACGCCAACGAATGGTTTGAGCAGCCCAAGGAGCAGTTGCCTGTCAAATATGCCGGCTACTCGACCTGCTTCCGCAAGGAGGCCGGTGCTGCCGGTCGCGATACCTGGGGTATTTTCCGCGTCCACCAGTTTGAGAAGGTCGAGCAGTTCTGCTTAACAGAACCCGAAAAGTCGTGGGAGATGTTCGACCACATGATTCAGAACTCTGAAGAATTCTATCAGTCGCTCGGCCTCTCATACCAGGTCGTCTCTATTGTCTCCGGAGCACTTAACAATGCTGCTGCGAAGAAGTATGACTTGGAAGCATGGTTCCCCTTCCAGGGCGCCTATAAGGAGCTGGTCTCGTGCTCGAACTGCACTGATTACCAGTCGCGCAATCTCGAGATCCGCTGTGGAATCAAGAAGATGGGTGATCGTGAGAAGAAATACGTTCATTGCTTGAACTCGACCCTGACCGCGACCACCCGCACGCTTTCGTGTATCTTGGAGAACTACCAGACCCCCGAGGGTGTCCGCGTCCCTGAACCCCTGATCCCCTACATGGACGGACGGGATTTCTTGCCATTTGTCCGTGAGCTCAAGAGCCCCAAGGTATTTCTTTTTTTCTTTTTTTCTTTTTTTTTTGGCAGCAAACAAGAATCGGTTGGGTTGTCGAGTTCAATATCATCTAACGTGCTATTTATCTTTATACGCCTCTTAGAAATAAACGGTCGATACCTTGGACAAGCGATGTCCTTCCCGTAGAGAGCTATCCTTCTCCAGAAAACGAAATAAACGAATCCCGATGTAATATGAAAGCAGTGTTTCCACGAGACGATGGTTGGAAAACATTCTGGAGCACACGATGCTATGGGGATGAACGCGGGATTGGTCGGCTGGAAGCCCGCCCTGTATCGGTCAACCCATATATATGGTCCTTAACAACAGCACAACAGCACAACCTGCTTTGTCTTCAAAGCTGCTTCTCTCGCTCCTTTTCGTTCACTCTCATCTGTCTCGTTTGATCTCATTCTTATTCACACCTTGCTCTATATCCAAGCATCTCTTTATGATCAATGAAGCGAACAACATCGTCCTTGCCGTTGTAGGTGCCCTTTAGTTCAAAATCCATGACGTTGGATCGGTATGTCCTTGCCCCTACTAATATTTTTTTTTCTTCAGTTTTTAGCTCGGGCGCCGTTGGAAATGGAAAATCGTCCACTTTGAATTCTATAATCCAGGACCCGCTTTTCCAGTCTGGCCGTGCTCTTGGGAGTAGGTTGTCTCACTTTGTGTGTGTTTAACGGCCGTTCATATCGTCGACACGCAAGTTGTACTTCCGAGAGTCCGCCTAGTGAATGCTGTGATGTGCGTTCATTCTGAATCAAGAACGTAAAACCAATGCAAGGGTCGTGGGCGCAGTTGTTGGAAGGACAAGACTTTCTTTTGAGAGGCGGTGGAGACGTAATTAAGTCCCATGAGGTCCGCATCTATCCCTAACAAAATGCGGACTTACTTAACTGTTAAATATCGGAGGAATATGCAGTCCTATTATGTGCGAGAAGTCATTCAGCGACATCCGGAATGCACACCTCATGGTTGAGTTCTTCAAGACCCTGTCCCATGGCGTAAGTACGTTTGTACTCGTTTTCAACATCCCAAATTTGGTCCCAAATTTTTTACTGCACTAATCGCATGTAAACCCTATAATCTCATGCAGTACTTTTATTTTTTGTTCTTATTGAGGAGGCACTTCCATTGTATGATATTCCACTGGGTGATACAACATAGAGCTACCTAGCAATGAAGACAGAATGTATTGGATCTGCTTTATGTTTATGGTTTTTTTTTCTCTTTGCTATACTTGCACCATTCACAAGCGACCCTGTTCTCAGTGGGGTTGGGGAGGTGGGGATCATCTGTGATGTATCGTTTTCATGAGCGGCGGTCAAAGCGTCTGTGTACGCAGTGAAACGAGATAATTTGAGTGGTGGTTTTAATAAGAATGATAGAGTAGCCAAAAAAAAAAAAAAAAAAAAAAAAAAACGGTGCGTTCTTCTTCCTCTTTGACTTGTCAATGTAGCAGGCTTAGAAATGGGGAGGTCATGGCATAGTAGTGCAGTCGAATTGGTTTTTGTGGACAGTTTGCTATCAAAGCTGTCCGCAAAAACCAAATTCGACTGTATTTTGAGAAATCGCACACGAAACGAAAAGGGATAACAAAAGGTGACAAGCACAGCAATAGATCTGATTATATCCACGTCCTAACAGATCGAGAACTAGCGCCTCACCCACCCTCATTTTATTCCTAATGTCCTCTGACATAGACTTGAAGAGTAAACGAAGAATATACTATGACTCTTCGAGCGCCTACTAGGGCTTCATTTTTAGAGGTGTCTTGTCATCGCCTTCACGCATGTGGACGAGGATTAACGAGATTATCTTGAGCAAGATATGGATGCGCTGACGGATCCTGCAGAGGGCTTTGTTAGGGTGCTCGGCTAAAGGTTCCAGCTCTTCTACCCACCGTCTCTTTTTTTTTATTCTTATTTTTTTCTTTATCAAACAAGGACATCCGACACGGTCAGTATGCACACGATTGCTTCAAGGAACTATATGCAGCGGTCGTGTCGGTCGAGAAAGGTGTGCAGAGGAAAAGGTTCATATGCACATTTTTTCAAGAGATGAACAACAGGATAAGATTGCGGTTCGATATGGGTTTCTTTTCGTGTTCCTTGAATTAGCTTCAGCCCACTAACGCGTATCCTACCTTTTTTCCCTTCCTCTTCCACATGGTAGACTGGCGATGCGCAGGACCATTATATTGTGCCATTCTGGAGTGTCGATTCCGCGGATGCTGCAAACGTGCACGAGCAATGTCGTCGGCGCATGCAGCGCTATCTAAACAGAAACGCTGCCTATCCAAGTGAGGTTACATGAGAGAAATAAAGCGATGAACAAGAGGACATTCTTGGTATGGTGTTCAATCGGCATTATAATTCGTCTGTCTGATGTCTCTAAAAGATTAAGATGCGCATGGCTCCTTTGACACGCTAGTTTGACAGAGGAAAGAGCTACGCCCAACAGGCATGAACACAACATGTCCAAATGGAGTAATGTTGCGATAGTTCGAGAGCAGGGCGTGTGGCGATTCGATCTGATAAACAAGAATGGCTGCGGATGACCCGGTTATGGCAACAGCTGAAGTATAATCCGAGAAGATGAAAGAAGTCATGGACACGAGAGAGAGAGAAAGAAAGAGAGCGGTGTTTTATAATGGCACAGGGCTGGTGAAGCATGCAGGTACTTCTCGCAATGTTGAAGTGCGCAGGCAGATACTTTGACGAGGATCTGATAAGCATGGGGGATGGAAATTTGAATAGCCGGTTTGAGGGTACTCAACCTTCTGCAGGAGTGTGTCATTAGAAGGAGAGGAGGAACGAGATTCCCCATCTCCCCTCTTCTCCCTGGGCAACTAAAAAACGCAAATGCATGAATGCAAAAGGAAAGATATAAAATAAACCACGACTATCCAGGAACATTGCCTCCTTGTCCTTGCCTCCCTCTCTTTAGCTCCTAATCGCAAACGCCACTCAAAGAAAGAACGACCCCAAACCTTCCTAAGCATCGAACAACTGCGCTCAGCGATCAATCGCTTGAAGACCTCTTGGCAAACAAATCCTGTAGAAAAAGGTAATTTTGCTTCGGGTGCTGGCAAACAGAAGTCCCAAGTCCTAGATCCTTTTTAACCTTTTTGTATTGTTGTCCTTGGCGTTGCACAAGAGGGACAGTAGCAAAAGGTAGCGATCTGATATGCTCGCTCGCACATTCCTTTACGCCTATGACAGACATTTTTCCAGAGGAAAGTGGGCATGTTGAAGGATGGCGTTAGTTTAGGCGTCAAGCTGGTTCGCGAGCGAGCCGGCTTACAGCAATGAGGGTGTCGATGGATATAGCCTGCTTCCGCCGCCCTTTGTTTCTGCCAGATGGTTTGCATGTCCGCTGCTTCCTTTTGAGGGGTACAGGGCGATGTGCAGCTCTCTGGGTTGTGTGTAACCAGACAGGGGACCCCTGGTGCATGTATCTAGTGAGTCCTGCTGGATTGGTCGGCTGGGGTGACCGCTCTGTTTATCGGCAGTTGAACTCTGTTGCGCCATGTGAAGGGCCTGCCCCGTCAAGAGAACCCTGCTGGGTGTTTGCTGTTTGCAATAAGAGATATGAAGGTCACTTGCAGCCGTCTCCCACCAAAACAAAAAGCAGACACTCTCTGCTCCTTCCCGCTCTTCCTGTCCACCGCCCTCTGTCTCTCCCGCCCAGCCTCCCTCGTCATCCGCATCAACATTCGGTGCTTTGCAAACCTAAACCTCGTCTTCTATCTTTTTTGGAACACTTGCTACAGCAGAAAGAATGACAACTCAAGCTGTCGACGATTTCGAGTACGAGGCCTTGCCCGAAAACGCCTCGCTCTCGGCCAGCTTGCTCGCCGGTGCCTTTGCTGGCATTGCAGAGCACGCCATCATGTACCCGGTCGACTCGATCAAGGTAATACAACGGACGATAGGACAGTGCACAATACCACCTGTTCGGCAGCCCTCTGTCCAATTCTCTTTTTTTCACTCGAGGGCCAGGATCAGCGTCGGCTATCGGGGATCAACGGAGGACGGAGCCTCGAAGAAACGGCATGGATGACGTTCTGAGGATTAAAGAAAAAAAAAAAAAAATGCTATCGGCTATCAATCACAGACATACACCTTCCCACCTTACCGCCAGAATCTGCTACAACGTAGTGCATCTTGTCTGATGAGCGTCTGCAGGCGTGATTATACAAAGCGGGAAGATGACATCAGGAATGAAGATCAGGGATCACGGCTGCGCAGTTGAGAAGAATAAGGAAACGCAATGGGACAGGAATCCCAAGAGCAAGGCAGCGAGAATCTGATTCAACATGGAATTATGTTCGCACTTTTACTTGCTATACTCATGTTCATGCGGTGTTCCCTCTTCATGGTTGCCTGACCCGATCTCCTTACTGCCTCCATGCCCTATCAGACCAGAATGCAAATCCTCCAGCCCACACCGCAAGCAGTCTACAGCGGTGTCATTAACGCGGTCTCGAAAATCACAACGACAGAGGGCGCCAAAACGCTGTGGAGAGGTGTCAATTCTGTCATCTTGGGTGCTGGACCGGCCCATGCGCTCTACTTTGGAACATATGAGTACGCGAAGCAAGCATTTGGAGGAAACGAATCTGGGCATCATTTAGTCGCCGCAGGTAAGAAGCGAGAAGGCCTATGAGATTTTTCATGCGAGCACACAAAAACCAAGGGTGGGACAATGATGATATTGCAGATGATATGGGTAGCAGTACTAGAGAAAGCAGTCGATCTTCAATCGAACACGCAATACAGTCTCAAGTGTTTGAAAGGTCTCCTAACGCCATGTTTTATTTATTATAGCTGCTGCCGGAGCCTGTGCAACAACTGCAAGCGACGCTTTGATGAACCCATTTGACGTAATCAAGCAGAGGATGCAGGTCCACGGATCGGTCTACAAGAATGTCCTGGATTGTGCGACAAAAGTATACAGGGCTGAGGGCATGCGCGCCTTCTATATCTCCTATCCGACCACCTTGACTATGACCATTCCCTTCCAATCGATCCAGTTTGCGACCTACGAATACCTGCGTAAGGTGCTTAATCCATCAGGAGCTTACGACCCCATGACTCATATCACTGCCGGAGGAATTGCTGGTGCTTTCGCAGCAGCTACGACGACACCCCTCGATGTAGCCAAGACCTTGCTCCAGACGCGCGGCGAGGCCACGGATGTGAGCATAAGGAAGTGTAACGGTTTGCTCGAGGCCTTCAAGCTCATCTATCAACGCCAGGGTCTTGCTGGATTTGCAAAGGGTTTGCAGCCTCGTGTTTTGAGTCATATGCCCTCGACCGCGATCTGCTGGGGCGTCTACGAGTACGGCAAGTGGTTCTTGAGCCCGGACAATGCCGATCAGCATCCCATCAACCTGCATTAAAGACCATCATCATTATTTTTATTTTGCTCTTTTTTTTTTTTTGCGCCCGCTTTTTTGATCTGCCTCTACTTTCTTCCCGATAAGCATTCATGTCCACATCTACCAGCTTCGTAATATCCTTTTTTCTTCGTCTTGCCTTTCATTATTTTTGTCAACGTGTGTACAGTACATTCATTAAAATGACACAAAGTGAAACCAGGACCGCATGGTTTAGTTGGGGCGCTTGTTGCTTCGCCCTGGCATTACTCATATTGAGCACGATAATATATTTGAAGGGTACTAATTTGTGCTATGATACGATGAAGGGATTGAATATGTATGCGTTGAATCGTCCACCCTGTTGAGCCCTCAATTGGCCAGCTTGAGGGCACCAGATGCCGTCAAGGCATGGTACAGGTCTTCCAGCAGATCGTCCACATCCTCAATACCTACGCACAACCGGATCAAATCCTCGGGCATGGCGCGCGCAGCACGGACCTCGGCAGGAATACTGGCGTGCGACATGCGACATGGCATACTGTAGAAAAAGAGCAAGAAGGACGGGGGGTTATGAGTACATTTGTTTTTGAGCTACAAAAGCTCCAGTTATTTTTGCTTATGAACCAATAAATAGCCCTGCTCCATACCTGATCAAAGAGTTGACACAACCAAAGCTCACGCTGATACCCCAAAGACGAGTCAGCTCGACGAGCTTCTCGCTCAGCTCCACGTTTCCGGTCTCGAAGCTGAGCACGGCTCCTGGCCCTGCGGACATTTTTGCGTGCAATTCGTACTGGGGATGGGTCTTGAGTCCAGGGTAATGGACCTTAAACTTATGAGATTCCAAAAAATCGGCAATCTTGATGGCGTTTGCTTGCTGACGATCCATGCGCACAGCCAAAGTCTTGACTCCCCTCATCAGCAGCCAACAATCGAATGGACTGAGACCGACCCCTGTAGCATTGATTGTAAAATAGATTTTCTATTCGAACAAAAAAAAAAAAAAAAAAAGGACATTGAGAAAAGCATTAACGATCAATGTCAAAAAATCAGATGTCTGTAATGGATACTATAGCACTTAAAGTGCTGTGTAGGGATGCATGGAACCTACATCGGCGACGGCATCATCCTTGACAGCAACGACTCCGGCCATAAGATCGTGGTGTCCGCTGAGGTATTTGGTTCCAGAGTGGTACACAATGTCCGCACCCAATTCCAAGGGCCTTTGAAGGTAAGGCGACATCATGGTGTTATCGACGACAACATATGCAGTTGGGCATCGCTCATGGACGATCTCACAAATCCGTGGGATATCTGCGACCTTCATCAATGGGTTGGTTGGTGTTTCCAGCAATACGAGGCGTGTCTTTTCGGAGAGATATGGTGTGATTGCTTCAGAATCAGTGGTGTCGATGTGGTGTGTCTTGACATTGTTGTGGGTTGCAAGGAAGCTGAGCAATCGATTGGTGCCTAGTTTCAAACGAGTTCGTTTTGCAGACACAGGACGAGTGGGAGGGGTTTTTTGTGGGGTGTTAATGTGTGTGTTCAAGTTGAATTTGATGCTCAGTGCAGCAAATGAAAATCAAGCGATCTGCCCGACAATAGCGATCACATCATTCTCGCAGGGATGTTAATTCCCATATGATTTGATTATCTGATCAGAAAGAATAAGAAAAAAAGAAAAAAGAAAAAGAGCACCAGTCATCCATGATGATCGTGCTCTGATCCCTCATACGGCTGAATTTCGTTTCCTTACCTCCGTAAAGATCGTTTCCTGCGATGATTTCTTCACCTGCCTTGACCAAGCGAGTGATCACATCAAGGGCCGTCATGCCGCTGTTCACTGCAAAGGCCCTCTTTGCAGACATGATCTTGGCGAGATGGTTCTCTATTCAGTTGAAAAATTAATTAACATCCAATTCCGGCTGTCTGTTTTGTCACACTCCCCACGTTGTTTTAATGCGGCGGGGTGTGCACAAGGAAGTAGGGGATGACAGCAGGGTTGCCCTTACCGATGTGGGAGCGAGTGGGATTTCCGGACCGAGAGTAGTCGTATTCGCCCATCTGCGTGGAGGAGGACTGTTTGAATGTGGCCGTCTGATAGATGGGCATGGATGCAGCATTGTAGCTGTCCTTAGGACCTTTGCCGTCCGAGTTATCGACATAGACGAGCTCGGTGGCGGGTCTGTATTTGATGCGGGTGGTGCTGTCAACCATGGATATAAGTGTCGTATACGTCTGCGTTGTGCTGTGCTGTGCGGGGCTGAGTCCTGAGGTGCCTTTTTGCTATTTGCAAAAGGAGTTATAGGGACGAAGTAGGGGGTGGAGAAGGAGGGGAGGAAGTGGGAGTGAAGCAAAAGGAGATACTCTCCTTTTCAAGAAAGGCACTTCACTCTCTCCAACTCGAGTCATAAGCCCAAGCGGGCCAATTGGCTGTCTCAATTGCAAGTCTTGCAGTCACATCGCGCCATCAAATGAGATTGGCTCTTGGCTGTGTACGTGCCGAGGCATCTTACAAGTAAGCAAAGGAGGTTAAATCCAACACGATCACCCAGATCAACATGGTGCCTCATATTCCCAATGCAACTTCGGAGCAGACCCTCCAGGAACTGAGGAGGGTCATCGTGGCCCTGCCGAAGATGCCAAAGAATATCGTCGACGACACTCGCCACGAAAAGGTGCTCTCGTACGTGTCTGCCTTCATAGCCCAGAGAGACCCTGTGCTCATGAGGACCATGCTGGTCGACTGGGCCATCCTCGATATATTTGAGGTACGACCAATAACAATAACAATAACAATAATAATAATAAAAATAAAAAAAAGGCACCCATTTCAAGTTAAGACACTAACCACTTTCTAAAAAGTCGTGCCTGATTGCAGGTCAGGATTACCGCGTCAGTTGTGTGGCATTGCGACTTCTCGGATATCTTTTGGAGAATGGCGCAGCTCAGGACGCTGGCAGCAAGAGCGAGAGTAACCCAGATGTCTGGCAGCTGCTCAAGGCAAGGCATCCAGCCATTCTGGAATACATGATTGTGAACACAATGGGCGTGGAGGCATTGACTCGTTTCTCTTGCTGGTTTGCATTGGAACGCGTAGTGAAAAATGATGATGGCGCTCGATGGTAGGATGTGATCTAGATATTCTTTGGAAATGGATATGCAGCCCAAAAGCATGACAAGTTCGCTGAATCCATCTCATTTGTATCTATAGGTTGATAAAGACGGGAAAATGCGCAGAGATGGTGTCGGCAGCTCTGAAGGATACCAGTACCTATGTAGGTCCCGTTCAGGCTGCCATGGATCAACAACTGAGTCGATGTCTTCGTGAGCCTCCCACTTACTAACACTAGGAAATCACATTCATCTAGGTGATTACGGCAGCATGCTGCTTTCTTGTCGCCATTATCGAGAATCGAAGCATTGAAGCGCAACGGATCACTGCCCACGACACACTCTTGGACACGTTATTGGAGTCGATCTCATTATATAATTTGATCCACACCATGATGACAGATCAAGACTCGGAAAGGAACCGAGTAGCAGGCCTAGAGTTCCTCTGGATGATAACGAACGCCAGATCTGATCGTGGTGCAGCATTCTTACGACAAAGTCAGCTGGTAATGCCCTGCACTCAAAATCTTCCGTTCTGCCCACAGCATATATTGCGCAGCTAACGCTCTTCGCATTGAATAGTTCTTCTCATACATGGATCTACTCACGGATGACTCGCGTCTTGTCAGAAGCAGGGCATTGGACGTTCTCTCGATCTTATTAGAATCGGTCTCCAACCCTCTCAGTGTATTAGGGAAGGACCTCACAACACCAGATACGATGGAGCTGGACAAGTCCGATGACCAAGCCCTGTTGGAATGTAGGCTTTTTTTAAGGCCCTTTGTAATATTCATGTGCAAATCGATCATATTCTTGCTGTCCTTGTGAAACTGACATCTAATACACCGTGCTATCCTAGGCTTCAACTATCTGCTAGACCACGATGTGCTTTCGTTGATAGTATTAACGGATTCACTGAAGGCGCTTCACGTGGCCACAGGCATTCTGGATGCCATTATAAAGCCGCTTCATCAAAGCGAAGAAGCACATGGAGCAGGATCTTCATTTAAACATGTCGTCCTCTCGACCATTCTCTGGATCATTCAGGCACTGCAGGAGACCACAGAATCAGATAAGAGCGTTTCAGGCAACAACAGCACTAGCACGATCGTCATTCAGGGCAGCGGAAAGCTGGCACAGCAGCTGAACCAGCTTGGGTTTCAGCAACTCGTCAGGACCCAAAGCCGCACCAAACCATCTCGAGGTGCTGCAGCAAGAGGGGGTACTCTTCCAAAGACGATTGCACTTTCAGCACTCAAGGCTCTCCAAGGCTTGGCGCACCTTTTCCCGGACGCGACGGAAAAGAGCCCTGCGATCGAGATCGTTCTTTCGGTGCTGTTTGATCATAAACTGTGCTCGGATCAGAGAGTTTTCAAGGCATGTTTGACAACCCTACCAATCGTCATGAAAACCAAAGTACAGAACGGCCAGTTACTGGATGAGCAACTTTTTGCGAGCGCTATGACAGTCATCCTTGGACTCTTGCAGAAACCGGCCGCAAACAGCACATCAATTAAACTCGTCCTCACGGCGGTCCTTGAGTTCTTTTCCGACGACACACTTGGCGGGATTCTCGCGCATGAGGTAGAGATTATGTTTCGAAGACCTCGTAATGTCTTCAACCCGCTCAATGAATATGAAGAAGATGACGCTAATACTTTGTTTATTTGTACTTTATTAGAAAGTAGGACTAGATCTGGCCAACGGACTTGGCATAAAACTATACGACATGGAGTGGGACGTGCGCGACACTGTTATTGAGTTTATTGGCAGACTTTTTGATGTGGTAGGTACATATATTTTATGGGAAGGATCTGATGCGCAAAAGTCTGCAAGGCCCGTGCCCAGCGCTGATGCGTTTATCTTTTGTAACATAGGGGGGGCCGAAGCATGGCGTTGAGTGGGCGCTTAAGCACGATCTCCTCGAATCTGTATTCCAAAAGCTATCAGACGAGGAAGCCTATGTTCGGGCAGCCAGCGTGCACGCTTTTGAGACGGTGATGCGTGACTCCCGAGGCTGGAAGGCCATGTGTTCAAGGAGTCTGGATGAACGGCTTAGCAGTCAGTTGCCATCGTTGATACGCGACAGTGAGGCCTTTGTGAGACGCGCGGTTCTGGAGGCCATGATCTGCTTGGTGAGCGAGCGCGAGTCCGGTACAGTCCTTATGGTCAATGGAACCGATCTCTTTGTGGAGTAAGTCCCCAGTCTGCCTCCTACTTACCTTTTGGTCTCTTCCCATGGGATTGTGTGAAGACATAGCCCGTACCGAGAGCTGACGATTTCGTATTTTTTTTTTCTTCGTCATGAAATTTTATTGCAGTGCAACGTTTATGTCACGGTTGACTCTGGATGACAGTGATTGGGAGGTCAGGATCCGAGCGTGTGAATTCATAGCAGCTGTATGGAAGCACTGTTTGGCACTGGATGAAAAGGCGGATTACCGGATCCGTGCTTCTAAACGACTTAAAGATTCAGCTATTGGGCAAGAGGAGAATATACATCCACCAAAACCATCGTCGTGGTGGTTTTATGACATCAAAGGCGACAAGGTACTGGTGGAGGCGACTCAGGATTCGTCTAGATTGGTGCGCCGGATTAGTGTTGAGACTCTCAAAAAGATGAAAACGTCGATCGAGCAGCGACTGGGATCGATATTTCAGAACATCTCGGAGGGGAACCAAGGGCCTGCATTAGAGCAGGCTTCTGCTACGCAGAGTAATGATCGACTGGGCAAGAGGCCTGTGGACGATACTGCTAACGATAAAGGATCACTGCAGCCGGGATCAGCATCTTTCACCCATCCACACGCACAATTCTATACTGTCCTCAAGGACCTTGATTTCGAACGTCTGGACGCGACGACATCAGTGGAGCAGCTGTACGAAGAGGTGCTGAATGTTGAGCGCGTTGAAGACGTGGTTATGGAAGAGAATGAAAACCCAAACGATGGCAACAATGTGCTGGATTGCTACTAACGTCGTTCTCCTTGACACATGTGCATTTTATATTTTGCAAAGCGACCTTCAATCCATCGAAGGCTTCCTCACAGTCCTTTTAGAAATGCTTACAATGCACTGCAAAAGAAAAAAAAAATGCTGTACAATCGTTTACTTCGTTCATAAGATTCTTTTTCTTTTTTCGAAATAAATAATTTCATGGTAAAATTACGCAGTGACCTCAGTGCTCTTGACCTCCCCGGCCTCGGACGAGGTCTGCTCCTCTGAAAGCGCGACCTTGATGACGAGGTCGCGGCCGTCCGCCTGAGCATCCTTCATCTTCTCGAGCACGTTCTGCTGCTCAGCCTCATCCACGAGCTCAACAAATCCAAAGCCCTTGGAGCGACCAGAGCCATGACGACGGACAACGTGGGCAGAGGCGACCTTGAAGTCGGCAAAGAGTGCCTTCAGACCATCGTCCTCCATCGCAAAGGGGAGGTTGGCAACAAAGACAGTCGTCTTTGAAGGAGGACCGACAGGACGAGGAGTCCAGGGAGCCGAGGTACCGGCACCACCCTCAGCAGCATCGCCGTTGCCTTCCTTGCGACTATGGCGACGGTTGCTGCGCTTGCGGCGTCCAGAGCCCTCCTTGGTCTCGCCGTTGGCGGAAGCAGGGGCAGCAGCAGCAGTCTCCTCAAAAGTGCCCTCCTCACCCTCATTCTGTGGATAGCAAACGAATCACATTAGCCATTGGTTCCTCAGAAAATTCTTTCTCCAAAGCAGCCGCAACATTTTTTATACCTTGACCCTGTTACGGTTCTTGCGGTTGGCACGGGAACGGTTGTTGCGGCCAGTCCTGGGCTTGACAGCGGCATCACCGACATCAGCGACATCAGTGCTACCCCAACCGTCACCTGTTGCAGTGGCGTCGGCGTTGCCCCAGCTCTCACCTGTTCCAGCAGCAGCGACATCCTTGGTCTTCGCACTCTTGGGCTGCTTGGGGGTCTTCTCCTTGGGGAGACGCTCGACTCTGGGCTTGGCAACCTCGACGTTGATCTCACGACCACCGAGGTTGGTCTTGTTGTGGGTAGTAGCAGCCTGCTCAGCCTGGGCCAAGGTCTCGTAGGCAACAAAGCCATAGCCTAGGGAGCGAGCTCCACGGGTGATGATGTTGGCCTTCAAGCTAAAAGGGAGAGAAAGAATGATGTCAGGTCCAAGATTGCAGAACGAAGAGGCAATTGTTCGGTTAGTTGAATGTCCATTGGCACGCTATGTCATTGTGGGAATATGGGATGGTGCAGGTGTTCATTATATGTGATATGAACAACGAACGAGCGATCGCAAGAGAATAGGAGCACCAAACACCAAGGTGGGCAATGGTCTGTATGTGTGGTCCCCATCCGTTGCCATGTTTGCTCGCCCCACGCTGGCTGAGCACACTACCCCCCACCACACATTGACACATCCAAATACACGCAGCCGCGGTAAATAGAGACATACGCACACGCACACAGATACCCGCAAAAAAAAAAAAAAAAGAAAAGAGTAGGGAAAAACGAGTGAGGGTGACCAGCCCGAGGAGTAGATCCAGTAGAGTCCAATCAAGTCTTCATCTCATCTGAATTGCTGCTGTAACCCCCCTTGCACTTTCCTCGTTGGGTCCTATTGTTCCCATGTATCAAATCCAGGCGAGTTGTCATCATCATTCTTTTCTCGCGTGTCCATCCAGTCTGTCCAGTTCCTAATCCGTGCTCTCATCATCTATTTCTTGATGGTGGGCTTTTTTTTTTTTTTTTTTTTTCTTGTCTTCACGCCTTGCATAGTGTTAGGTGTTAGGTGTGAGAGATATAGAGATAGAGGGAATTCCGATGGATCACTTACACTGGGTTGGGCTTGTTAAAGAGGTCAGCGAGCTCGGCCTCGGTGGTCTGGAAGGAGAGGTTGCCGACAAAGACCTTGTGGCCATCCTCCTCAGCCTGAACCTGAGTAGCAGCGGGAGCGGTATCTTGACTCATGGTTGATTAAGGACAAGTAGGATCAAATGAACTTGCTTGCAAAGTAGGAGGGAGTGGGCGTGTCACAGAGGAGACGCGAAGGGGGGATAAAGAAGAGACAGAGAGGAGCTGGAGAGCTTGAAAAAGAATACGGTGGAAACGAAGCCCCACTGGAGCAAAGCAAATTTTACAGCTCAAAAGCCTCCCCCCACCCTCGTCCACACTTCCCGCCTGCCTCTGACCCTTTGCTCTTGCCGCCGCGTACACCTTTTCTACCATTGAAATAAAATACGGTACATTTCACTATGGATTGCCGGTGGATATCTTCGCTTGTTCAATCACCCGATAATTGAGCGAGCGAGACCATCAGTCTGCCCGGAAGCCCACGAGGAGCACAGACGTAAAACGTTTGCGGTTGGACAGCACACATGCATTCAGGCACACGCACGCGCTGCAATGCCATACTGATACTGCAGCTCCAGTCAGGACAGTTGAGCTGCACCAGAGAGAACCTTTTGATAGGAGGGACGGGCCATATCATACCATAACCTTGCTCGTTGCCTCTTCTTGCCTGCTGAGGACATCGTGAAGACAGGAGTCTGCCTCTCACGCTCGCACGCGCGCACTCGCACACGCGCACACACGCACACACATCCCGTATCTGTCACATAGGCGCCAAAAAGAGATGAAGGCCAGGAATTGAGGTGGCTTGGTGCATGAAGAGATGACTGTTGTTTACTCCCTCGCCAGCAGACAGCAGTGGGGGGAACCACCAAATCTGCACCCACCGCAACAGTGTCTCTGCTTTCTGATTCTCTCCGCTTCCACTGCCATCATTCTCCTTCTTTTCTTCCGAAAACGAAAAAAAAGCCCCCTTTCTCGGCACACACCCTCGTCTTCTTTCTCCTTCTTCTTTCCATACCATATCATACTCCCAACATGCCTCGCTCGTCCGACCACTCCCGCGATCCTTGGTGAGTCTGCCGTTGTTTTGTCTAGGAGCAATATCAGGATGCTTTGCTGTACAGCGGCAACAAAGTGTGCGATATCGACTACTCAGTGGCAACAAATATTTCGACTCCCAGCTTCGAGCAGCGTCTATGACGCCGAGTCTCTTTGCAGGCTATTTTCTTATGCTCTCTCCTTTTGTCTGCATCCCTGGCTAACCCGCTCTCTTAAACGTTGTTGATTCAGCCCATATGTCATCTTTTCTGATCTCGGTGCCTCGTTTGCCATGGGTGCTATTGGTGGAGGTGTCTGGTACGGTATCAAGGGCGCCAAGAACTCACCAAGGGTAAGGAAAATACTCTTCCTCTCTGTCGCATCCTCTCTCCTGTTTGCACTCGCACTCGTAGTATCAAAACGCTTCCGACTTGCTGTGTTTTGTTTTGTTTTGTTTTGTTTTTTGCATAATGCTTTCCCTCCCTCCTTCGCCCTCACCATCTTGCGTATCCATGTTATTTTCAAGAGCACAGAAGCAACCGCTACTACTACATATCCAACTGTTCTAAACACACTTTGCCCTCCATCTCTGGTTTCTAATACCGACCACAACATCTTTTATTTGCGACTGATCACATTAGGGCGAGCGCTTCCCTGGTGCCCTCGTTTCCCTCAAAGCCCGTGCTCCAGTTCTCGGAGGAAACTTTGCTGTCTGGGGAGGACTCTTCTCGACCTTCGACTGTGGAATGAAGGGTATCCGTCAAAAGGAGGATCCCTGGAACTCGATTGCGTCTGGATTCTTGACCGGCGGTGTCTTGGCTGCCCGTGGTGGCCCCAAGGTCGCCATCACCTCCGCTGCTCTTGGAGGCGTCTTCTTGGCAGTTATCGAAGGTGTTGGAATCGTCCTTTCAAGAGCTTTTGCTGACCAGAACCGTCCCATGATGCCCCAGGTATGTTCTGCTGCACTTTCACTTAAACGTAACGTGCTTTCAGGACGAAAACAACTCGCTTGCTAATCTTCTGGTCAACTCAATGGTCACATTACTTGATAGCTCCCTGATATTGCCCCACCGGCATCTCAGTAAAGGATCGTACAGAATCATTTCGGCAAGGATATGGATATCCGGTGGAGGGGAAGATGAATGGAGACGTCCATGTGGGCCATAACGTTTCAGGAGCAGTGGAGGATATAAAAAGAACCAAAGGCGGCAGCGGTGGATTCAATGAAGGCGGAAAGTGTTGATACTAATCACTAGCCGATTTCGTGGAGATGGCTTTCGATCGGACCTGGATGCACCTCAAGACGATCCACCTGGATCCTCCTGCCTCAACTATCTTGTCTACGTCCATCGAATCACTCTCATTGTTCGTCCTTGCTGCTGCTCCCCTTCGTTTCTATTCTTTTCTTTTTTTTTTCTTTTTCTATCTCTCTCTCGCATTGTCTGTCGTTCAGTCCAACCCTGCATCTCTCCGTCCTCTTTGAACACCTCGTCTGTGCCGTTCCTCCTCTTCACTGCCTTTCTTCGTCTTTGTCCTTCATAATTATTCATCAATACATTTTCCACCTTGTACCATTACTATCTAGACTACTGTTTTCGTTGCTCTCTATGTCATCAAAATAACAATTTACAGGAACAAAAAATGGCGGGTAGTTTTGAAGGATATATTTGGATCAATGCTCTATTGTCCCATTCAGGATCCCTGCAGAAAGATCGTTACGACGGCGCTTCATGCGGTTCTTGACCAGCTTGGCTTCCACCTTCAGGGTCTTGAGCAGCTTGTTCTAAAAGCAAATGCGAGAATGTGTCAGCATTACAATCCATAATATGGCATAAAACAAGTTCAACAATGCTAGAAAAGAACAAAGTGGTGGCTGCCTTATACCTGAAGAGTTTTTTCAAGATCCAGTTCTGCCTTTTTCAGCTTCTGCCATCCAATGTGCCGATCGCACTGACGTCGCAGCATGCACACATGTAGACCAACCTCTTCCATTTGAGGAGACAACGTAGGCGGCATGATACTATGCTCGTCCGCTGATGCTGCAGCACTATGGCGAGCTTCATGTTGATCATCCGACTCATCCGCAGAATTTCTCTTGGAATTCACAAGAACAACCCCAAACGAGGGCGGGGCTACTGAAGACGCTCTTGATCCGGCAGGAGTCGTGGCCAACGACGACGACAAAGCTGTTCGCTCCATCCTCGACATATCCTGAATATCGTCCCAGACAAGGCTATAATCGAATCCGCAGAATGACTCTTTATCCTTGTTCTTGTCTTTGTCTTTGCCCCTTTGACCTTTGCCCTTAGCCTTCGACTTTGATCCAGATGAGAACCGTGGGGCACTCTCCTCTTCTTCTTCCTCCTCTGCAGGTGTCGGCTTGTCCTCTTCCTTCTCTGCTACCAGAGCGGATGCTGGTGGGACCAGCTTTCCGAGTTCTTGTCGTGTCTGCCGATCCACACAAACAGCTAGCTGCTTCTCTCTCTCCTCCAAAATGGAGCACACCTTGCGGACGTACGCCATCTTCTCCCGTATGCCAAGCAGTCTCTGTCGATCATCCAGGTCTGCCAAAGTCAACCAACGCCGTCTCTGAATATGCTGCTGCGCCTGTTCGGGAGGCTGGTGTCCATCCTTCGAAAGATCCGATGTATCCATAGGCGATCCAAAAACTCGTGCCTGCGACTCGTGGATCCTTTGTGTCGCCACCAAAAGCCCGCACTCCTTGGAACAGTACTTTGATTTTCGGGCTGCGGGTCTTTGGCATGCCTCTCGGAAGCACTTTTTCTTATTAGATCCATGTCGGCCTTTCTCTGTATATATAATAAAAAAAGTATCGTCATATTAGAAACAATACAGAAGATAGAATCGCATTAATAGCCAAGACCACCAATGTGTTACAAACCTTCACATCGCTTGCAGTAGTATTTGTCGACCATGTCGCTGTCCTTTTCCGCCACGCCCACACAATCCCCATGGAACCAACCGTCGCAGCCGTCGCACGCAATCATGAATCGGCTGGGATCATACGACGTGCGGCAAATACAGTACAGGCCATCGCCCGCATCCTCTTGCGTCTGTTCCATTATCTCGCGAGAATGCTGTTCCTCCCTCACGAGCCGGTCGATTGGTGGTGTGGTACTTTCCTTTAGCCTTGAAGACAAATGCTGGTTTTTGGATCCTCCTTCAGACTTGACGCCGATCTGTTGAGACAACTCACCACGCTCCATACGCTTCTGTTTAGCAGACTTCTCTCGTACGCTGTCTGTTGGCAGGACCCTGTCATGGCTCGCTCCTGGTTCGGTAGTCTCCGAGGCTGCAACGTTGGGTACATCGTCTTTCTTTGGATTCTCGATGAGACTGGAGAAGTCCTCGGCCGCTCTGCTAAATCGTTTCTTCAAGCTGGTATGACTGGACATTCCAGAGACCTGCTTTTTAACTGAGGGTCCTGTTTTCACGGACGGCTTCAGTTCTACAGTGTCAAGATCCATATCCTCGGTGTCCCTCTGCGGCGTTCCTTGGTGCTTGCCCGCTTTGTGTGGAGCAGTGCCATCATCTATTTGAGGACTATCGGCAATCACCTTCTTCTTGCTGCTCTTTTTCTCTTTCGTGGGAGGCAACAAAGTACCGGTCGATGGTTTGAAGCCTTTGAATGGCTCCCGCGATATGGATAAAGGAGGCGAAGAAGCATAGTGATCCTCATTCGAGCTCTTCTTGCTGCGGCCTGTTGTTCCTTTGGGGTCGTCCTCAGGCTGCGACCGGTATCGTGCGGCCATTGAGTTTGACGTGGGCGTTGAAGATCGAGAACGGGCTGATGTGGCCGCAGAGGCTGCCTTCGGTACCTGCATGGGACTTCCTTTGGCCTCTGCTGGAGCGTCGGAGATCTCAAGTGAGCTGGTAGGGCCGTGGTCAAAGGTAGCCTCACTCTTTTGCCCCGAGCTCTCCTCCTGCATGTAGGTGGCCTGCAGTTCAGGCAGAAAGACGTCGCCGCTGGCCAATGCCCGCGAATCGTCATGGCCATGAGGCCTGCTAACAGGAGTAGAACCCGACGCGGTACTCATCTCATCTTGGTGGCTCCTGACCGCTGTTTCGAGCAAAGACTGGTCACCATCCTTGTCATCCGCAGTCGGACGACTATCGACGCGAATTTTCTTGGTAGCTGTCTTTTGCTCATGACCATCATCATCCTCGATGGAGTGTTTTGATCCAACCACCGGTTCCAGAGCAGCTGGGGGCACAGGCTTGTTGTGTTGCTCAATAATCGACTCTGCCAGACTCTCGACTGATTCGGCACTAGATAACACGGCGCTTGCAACAGAGGCTTTCTTCTTGGGTGGCATCTTTATCACGCGCTCCTTCTTCGTCTTATCCATCTTTTCCGCCTTCTCCTTGACCACCTTCTCTTTAACGACCTTGACAGGTTTCTCCTTCTGCACCTTATCTTTGACAGGTCGTACAGCTTTATCCTTGGTCGTCTTCGCCAACGATGGTGATCCTGCTTCCTGCTGCTCCATGTACTCTGTGGTCGGTTGCGATTCCATGGATGGGTTCCCGGGAACTCCCGGCTGCTCCTCGTAAAGTACATTGCGCACGGACTCCGAATAAGCTACTGAGACATTAGCAAGGCGAGCGGATTCCTGAGGAATGTTGTACAGCTGATTCTGCTCATTGTACGCTCGATCTTGTAAAGGCTGTTGTGGAACCGGCACAACTATGGTTGCATTGTCCTCGTCATCCGTTTCAGTCGTATCGCCGTTGGCTTCCGTTTCGGGTGCGTTGAGAAGATTTATCAGGCTCAGAGAGCGCGAAGGCGGAAGAGATGACTGACTACTAGACGAGGGCAGCTTTTTAGGCGCATCCGCTGATTTTGTTGGATACGAAGGGCTGGGGACAGAGCGTGGTGATACCGGAGTCATTGTTGAGTTGGAGATGGGTCTTTGCCGCGTGTCACTCACGGTACCTTTACCAGTCAGGTGCATATTAGATTGACCTTGACCGGGTGGCGTCATTGGTTGATCCAGTTCAATTGGAGGCTGTGAAGCAGTCGGTGGTTGAGGACGGTACACCGAAGACTGCGTCTCCTGGTTGTGCTGGTATCCATGATGATCACCATGCCCATACCGGAGCTGAGCTTCAGAAGGGTGATGAGCAATGTGATCAACATGGGCATGGTGCTGTTGTGGCGAGTCTTGCTGTTGCTGCTGGTGCTGCTGATGTTGTTGCTGTTGTTGTTGCTGCTGCTTTTGCTGAATATGGTGAAGGTGGTGCTGTTGTTGGAGGCGATGCTGTAATGGCGCTGTCTGTGGCTGTGGAGCCCCCGGCGGCGGCATCGGCTTGCGGACCTGCTTGTGTCCATGGCTCTGCTGCTGTTGCTGCTGCTGCATTTGCAGTTCTGACATGAAATTCATCACGATGGCTTCGTCATTTTCTGCAAGGGGCCGATCGTGCTGGTGATGTGCCTGATGCTCTCGTGGATGCTGAACTGATGTAGCAACCCTAGGTACTCCGGGGTGAGCATCCTGGATTGAACCTCTATGAGGTGGCATGAGAGCTTGGCTGTGCTGAGGTGGAGAAGGTGGTTGTGGTGGGTAGCCTTGGAGGTAATGTTGCTGCGCAGGTAGGCCATGTGGGTGAGGGCGGTCGATCTCTGACGCAGAGGATCTCATGTATCCAGAGGATGAATGTTGAGAGTACTGAGACGAATACTGCTGGTGCTGAAGGTGCGGTTGATGTTGTGGCTGAGGCTGCTGAGGTTGCTGCTGCTGTTGCATCGTCGTTGCGTGGTGCGAGGCTGCATATGGTGATTCCTGATATGAGGTTGGATAGTGATGTGATGGGTACTCGTAATGTGCAGCTTGCACTGCAGGTTCGGATCCATGTGGTCTGTAATCGCCATGGAAACCATGAGCTGACACCGAAGTCTGCCTCGGACGGCTGAAATCCGCTGCGCCTGCGCGAGGAGAGGACGCTCGAGCAGACAAGTGGCCAGCACTGGTGTGACCATAATGCGTAGAATTCGCTGGCGGTGATTGAAGCCGCATATCCATGGCTGACTCTCCGCTGGTACGCCTGGGGGCCGCACGAGATATTGATCCGGAATTCCTCTCAACACCCATTGTCACGTTCGCTGGATGGATAGGATGTGCCGCATGATTGGGATGTACGTGAGGACTAGGACCAGGGACCGGTGCTGCGACAGTGCCATGTTGAAGATGTCGTTGTTGCTGCTGGTGCTGTTGTTGCTGATGGTGATGTGAATGAAGGGGTGGCTGTGAAGGCCCCTGTATGGTCGACGCCGGTGTTGCCTGGTAGCTGGCATCTGAAGGACTCGATGCTGGCGAATACTGACTATACGACCTGTATTGCGACTGCGTGGATATTGAGGGCAATGAGCTTGCACTCCCAGAATATACCTGTACATTAGAAGGCGTCGATGACGACGATGACGATGGCTGTGGTGAGTAGTATCCTTGCTGTTGACTCGGCTGCTGCTGCTGATGATGGTGAGAAAGATGCGATTGTTGTTGAACGTGATGATGGTGCACTTGCTGTTGTGGCACCTGCTGCTGCTGCTGATGCTGGTGCTGAAGTTGGGACTGGTGCGCATGAGGCTGCTGTGGGTAATGGAACGATTGGGATGGATACTGTCGCTCTTCATGATGGTACTGATCCGTACGATGCGAGGGTTGCTGCGCTTGAGGGTGAAGATGTTGCTTCTGAGATGTTGCTGGTGGAGGCTGCTTGATGGCGTGGAGATATGGCTGTTGCGGCTGCGGATGTGAGTGTGCATGTTGCATATGATGCGGAGGTGTATGCGAGCCATGGGGCCCTGGGTAATAGCCGTAGGTTCCAGGGGAATCTGGTGAGGACGGGTTGAGCATGCTCTGGATAGAAGAGCGCCTTGGTGGAGGCGGATCCACGGAGGCTTGGTATGGGGCCTGATTCCCGTAGCTATGTGGTCTTTGCCCTTGCTCTCCCATGATATTGGATATGTATGGGAATGAGGTCGCAGCTGAGTTGTGAGCGAAGAGGGATGGGGCGCGATCTAAAAGAACAGATTAAAGAAGCAAACGGTCAGGTCAGTTCTGGCCATCGCCTAACGCTCTCATTCAAAAAACGCCATTAGTCATCAGCCTCGCTCCTCTTTCTCTTTCTGAGACTCCGTTCTCCTGATCGTTTGATCGCGCCTGCCCAGTTGAGTCCATCCATGTTGAAGCCATCCGCCTGCAGCAACAAGTCGAGTCAGAGCAACATACTTTGAATCCCAAGCAAAAGAGCAGAGATGCGACGCGTTCAATAGCCAAGTGACAGATTCCGTGCGATGACGATAGCGATGACTAGAGAAAACAGAACGGTGATGGCCAGAAGGTTAGGGCTTAATTGGGGCGAGATTTGTGCCGGTGTTTGTCGCTCCATGCTTCTCTTATTCTTGTTCTGTAGCTTCCTTTCTCACTCGCCACCGAAACAAGTAGTTGTTGTTGTTCAGACATACCGATTGAGCGCTTTGCTCCCGAGGTGATGTCCGGATTCCAGGCCGCTTGCTTTTGTGCCGGCTGTGGTATGCGTGGTCCTATACTGTACAATAGGATTAGAAACTAGGTGGAGCGGATGAATGCGTTACTGATGGGAAAAAGAGAAAGGAAGAGAGGGGTGGGGGAGCGAACAGGGACAGGTGGGAGGCAGAATCATTATTTGAACCCAAATGAATTGGCAGGATAGGTGTGTGGCTTGCTTCGCACCGAGCAAATGAACCAGTGGACAATTGGCGCCATATCAATCTCGTTTCTCTGCAGTGCTGCTTCATTCAAGTTCAATCGGCTTTTCTTTTCTCTCTCAACTTCTTCACTTTTTTATTGTATCTTTGATTGTTTGCAAGATCCCGAGAAATTCAGAGAAGAAAAAAGATATGAATGCAAAATGAAAAATTTTTTTAAAAAAAAATGCCGTGAAGAAGGTATTTGGGATGCTATGATACACTGTGAACTTAGAAAGGAGAACGAACACTGTGCATCACTAGAAAAAAGAGAGAGACAGGACATTGGCTGAATACAGAGAACTCGCACTCAGAACAGAGTAACCGAGCCTTAGCATCAATCAATGCCTAATAATTAAAGAAACAGGATCTTCAGCACAGTTGTGACAAAAAAACAGAAAAAAATTATGAGAAGAAAACTAGACGTGCGTCTGTGTTTAGATCAACAGCTTCTCGATCTGGAGCTTGATGGCCAAGATCTGGGCCTTGAGGTCAGAGCCCTCGTTCGAGGTTACCGAAGCCGCAATGACGGGACGAGAGACACCGCAGGCACGACCGAGGGCAGTCTTGGAGGGAACGAAAACGTAGGGGACGTTCTTATCCTCGCAGAGCAGAGGCAAGTGAAGCAAAATCTCAATGGGCTCAGTGTCGGCAGTCATGACAATGAACTCGGCAATACCACGGTTGAGGGTCTTGGTGACCTCGTTAGCACCCTTCTTAAGCTGCTTGTAGTGGGAGGCCTGCTGAACCAAGTCCATGATTGAGTTGGTGAGAGCGGCATCGGCAAGGGGCCAGGCTTTGGGGTTGACTTCGGCCTAAGAACAAGTCCATGCAAGAAATAAGACAAAGACAAAGGCAGAGTGTAAGATTAGAATTTGCCATGGTGCAAGTTGCTTTCCTTCGATCTTGCGAATCATTGGGGGAGGAGAGGGGGTTCTCCAGTCCTGTGCTATGCAGTATAATATGAGGAGCGCAATAATTACCATTGTGTAAGAGTGCTTTAGAGGGTTGAAAGGTGTAAAGTGGGGAGCGAGGTAAGGAAGGGATGCGATGAGAAAAAGGAAAGAAGGAAGAAAAAAAAAAAGAAAAAAGCACCAAATATCATAACAAAAGCAGCCGCCACCATAGATACAGTCACACTTTTGAGTTTCTACGTTCTATCGTAAAGACGCACTTGAACCTCTCCCTGCCTTTACTATGGTCGAGAACGAGTTTAAGATATATGTTTATTATACAGCAAAGATGGCTATCACTTGAGATAACGCAAGGATGTGTACAATTTCCAGTCAGCTCTTTGTAGGATCATACTGGTTCACGTCGTGAGCTTTCCAGCGAGTGGGTGACCTGCTCCATGTCCTTTTGGATCACCTGTACCCAGTTCTGCACGTCGCCGAGCTCCTAAATGAATCCAGCCGGGCACAATTAATACCCTTAAAATTGGTTAGAACTGTCTCCTCAGATGGATATATGGAGTAGTGTTGATACATTGGTCTGCGTTCAATACCCTCCACACAGACACAGTTCAGCTTTGAGGCGCATCTCCACATTAAAATGAGAAGCACTATATGGTGCAGTACCTTGAGAGCTGAATCAAACTGCTCTACAAGCGCGAGCCATTGCGTTGTCTGCTTGGCATATCTTGCGGTCTGCAACGACAGACTTCTTGCCTCCTGTTCCAGGTTCTTTTGATTGAGAAATATCTGCGATACGCTAAGATACAAACATATGGGGTACAACGCAAGGAGAAATGGAACGTTACAAAGCGAGCTATAAACCATACTGTACAGCATCAAACTGGTCCCAAGTATCCCTACCGGCCACTAAGGGTTTCGGCAACTGCGTCCGAGAACACACCAACACTCTGAATGGCCTCTTTCCGCAGGTGCTCTAATTGCAATTGACATGCCTTACGTTCAGTGACAGCTCGCACCGAAACCGACTCATTCTGCTCAACTTACGCACTGCGCACTGTGCCCCAGTTAGTCGTTAATACCGTTTTCCCGCTTTAGTGTCGCCTGCTTTGTCTGATGTTCCTTGACCAATCGAGTGAGAGACATGACATGAACGATTGCAAAAGGAAGAAAGGAATCTACCTGCCTTTGTGCTACACTCAGATTTTTTTTGTTAATAGAAAATCTACCAAACATTGCTAACCTTCGCACTGCACTCGTGAATCAAAATACCATCCCCTCACACCTTGAGACAGAGCTTCAGGTCGAGCATCCCATGGTCCCCAGCTTTTATATAAAAAAAATAAAAAGCTAATCAGCTTAAAAAGTAGCGCCCATACTAGGACTCGAACCTAGAACTTTCACCTTAGGAGGGAGATGGAATATCCATTTTCCCATATGGGCTTACATGTCAGTATTTTGCGTAGTTCTATTCACATTCATATATTAATATATTTTTGTTAAAACGATCGTTTTTTTTACGAAATTGCGCTTTTTTTACGCTTAAAACGACAATATTTGCTTCGATAGATGATTTTGTGTGGTCCAGAAGCCATTTCGATGTTATTTCGAGTCTTTTTGGCCTTGAATGGATGAAATTAGCGAGTTTATTTCATTTCCTGCGATAAAGAGGATGGTGCGTACTTCAGTAACGATGAACTAATGAAAAAATGGTAGAGAGTAAATGGATGGATATCGTGCATGGAGACAGGCAGTGCGAAAATGGGAACAGGAGAGAGAGGAGGCCGAACGGAAGGACAAGCCCTTCACTGCGACTTATCCCAACTTCTCGGCAACAGGAACGAAGGCTATCTGGGAGTCAATGCAGTGGATTCAGGGGACGGCGGAAATACGAGGGACATATCGGGTTGCGGAAGGAGAGGAGCCGGAGAGTGAGGCAGATTGGGAGGTCAAGGACTTATACCGAGGTTTGGTGCCAACGGGACTCATTGAGACCTGGAAGCAGCTATTTACCACCACCAAGTGGATTGCGACGATCATGGTGACAAAGTTCGTGAGCAGGATCGAAGTGTTTGGCAGGACCAAGATATGGAACAAACGATGCGAGGACACTGTCGCCTGGGAAAAGTCAGTTGGAATCACCATCATGAGCAAACGCGCCGGAGGACGCAACGGTGATCGGGGACACCAACGTAGTGTTGGTGATTTCTCTGATTTGAAAGGGAGACGGTTACTTGCAGCGGAGATCCAGGAAGGTAGACGGACCGCGGATTATAGGGTGCTACAGCATTGCTTGGGGCGAGGGAAGTTGGACATAATGGAGGGGTTATTCGGTTTAAAAACAACTTTATTAACATTGGATCTGGATTAGGAGACGTGTATCGCGCAACAGGTCACGCAGGAGTTAGGTTAGGCTAGCTATGCGACATGGGTTATGAATTTGACGCCTCAAGCCAACATAGTTGGTAGGGGATGCGGCTCTGCCGTGCATGGAAGGCATCTATGGCTTCAAGGCCTTTGCGGACCATGCGTCGCGTGTTCATGGGGATTTATGTTAATAATATAAAAAAAAAAAAAATGGTAGAGAGTAAATGGGGAAGAAACTCTTTTATAACAGTGCTCATGGAGATTTATGTTAATAAAAAAAAAAGAAAGAACCCCTTTTATAACAAGGAGTTTTCAGCTTTTAACACACTGATGAGGTGTGGCAATTGTTGCGCAGGCCCCAGGGGCAGGCCTGGGGGAATGTGGCCTGTCTTTTGGCGACTGTGGATCGGCTCTACTGGCGGAAAGGACGACACTAGTAGATCATTGCTAGTTAGGTCTGAGAGATTCGCAGGGTCAATCGACTCGAGAGACAAATTGTTATATTATTAAAAATAAAAAGTGGATTTATGTTAATAAAATTGTAGTGCAACTATGGTAGATCGTTGCAGAGTCAATTGACCCGAGAGACAAATTGTTTAATAGGCTTGCAATTTATTAATCAGTCAGAAAAATCTACGTATCGCTGCTTCTTTCTGGTAGAATTGCTATCGTTTTCCGTTACCGAGGGAGCTGACGTGTGCAAATGGGTATCGGCGCCAACATCAGATTCTGGATTTAGAAGAGGATCTGCTTTCGCTACAAGCACCTTCTCGGGCTCAGCTTTGGCTCTAGGTAATAGCAGATCAGCCGAAGTTGCCTGTGGTGCGGCTTTTCGCGCCATGGTCAACATGACGGGGTCTGCAGCACGAGGCCCCAGAGGCAGCATTGGCGGTGGATGTGTCGCTTCCGTCATGCCTGGTTTGGGTGTCCCTGCAAGTCCAACAGCTGGTGGAGGACAGTGCTTTTGTCTTTGTCGTTTGCTGGACTCCAGAAGATTCTTCGCGCGCTGTTGACTAAGCGAGAGAAGAGATTTATGTTCGTCGGATTCACTACCGCTGGAACCATCGTCGAGATCGATCCATTTTTGGGATTTGCTAGATTCTGATACGCTCCCCCGCGCTGGTTGATTTGAGAAAAATATATCGCCCTGGACTTCACGACCACCTTTGGGCGTGGCTGCTTTGCTGGCCCTTGGTTGTGCAATGGGACGCATAGTACCTTTGATATCGATGGTGCGCTGGCGGACCGACGACGGGTCCTTCAATGGACGCATAGGTGCTGGCGGCGACTTGACGCGTTCGGCCAAGAGTCGAAGAGAGCGTTCCCTTGCCTCGAGATCGTCGTTCAATCGCTTAGGACTACCAGGAACAAACTTTCCAGAGACGGGATCATAGCCCATCCTGCGGATCATCTCCACGGGGAACAGCTCTGTGGTCTTTGTGGGCGTTTCTGTGTGGAGTCAATGGAATCCGCGTTCAGTGTCACTTTCAAATATAATCAATGGCACCGTTCACACACCAAGGTACACAAAAAAAGGCAATAGACTTACTAGGTGAAGTGACATCTTTGGCCCATGCCGCATCTTTGCTCGTCTTTGACTGTCGCAGGTATTGGCCACCGGGATTGTTCTGGTTCATCAAGAATGTTGATAGATTATCACCAGACTGCTGAGGGCCCTTGCTTGGACTCTTATAATCCATCATCGATGAAGTCCCGATCCCGTCATCGTCGAATATATACGTGGTTTCCTTCGGTTCACGCGCCAACATCCGAGCTCTTTCTGATGGAGGCTTTGAATGGCCCACGCCGCCTATCCTGTGCAATACACCTGTAGGACCAGCCTGCACCGGTGTTTTTTCTAGGTCGTAGATCGAGCTGGTTCCAGCAATGAGGCTCCCTCGCTGATTGCGGCGCTTGTTCGTGGCCATCATGATGTGATAATTGCAATAGATCGACCCTCGTCTATCCAGAATCTTGCCGCAGTTTTCGCCATTCAATTTTACAGCCTCGCATAACCCAAAGTCGCTGCTCGTCCCAATGACAATAAGACAGTCCGGATGCTCAACCTCGACTCCAAGGGTCCCTGCATGCTATATTGATAAACAAGTCCAGGTAACGGTTCAGTTTCACAACCAAGGATGAGAAAAATGATATTGTTGGCTCCTTAGTGACCATCACATACCTCGGCCTGGCTCAAGACCTTTGGGTCCATGATGGCGACAATATCTCCAACACGCAATTTGCCGTGATGTCTCTCCATGGCTGTCCGGAACATGAACACGTTGATAACACTACCTCGAAGGTCGCAGAGCTGAAAGTGGCAGTACCGGACTTTCTTGGCGGTCATTCGCTGCTTTGATTTCGCCCCAATCACGCCAGCGACCATCCAGTCTCTCCCATCCGGTCCTATCGTGGTACTGCTAGTATTGCTGCTCCCAAGTCTACCTGTTGAAGCAGCCCCATTAGGTGCTGACAACGATAGTACGCCAGTTGTTGGACGTCTTGTCGCATTCTCACGGATCCGGTCTCTATCCTTAATGGGTATTATCCGTAGATCTCGAGTCATCTTTGCTGCATCATCGCATGTCGTAATACGATCCCTAATGAGACGTTCAGCGATCAGTAAGAGGAGGGAGCAACCGTTCCAGAGGGCACATATAAGTACAATCAGGGGGTCTACCTTATCCGAAGTCCTGTTAGAGGATCAAAATCTGCGGTATGGCCCAGTTGTGTAGACTCTTCAGATGAAAGTGGCTCGCAGCTGGCTCTCTTAGTGTAAAATGTTGCCCTCGAGTTACTCTGCATCAAGCGATCCGTCTCTCGTTTCCGTTTCTGAGCCTGGACGATTTCTGTCAGCGTGGGTTCTGTAATGCCGTCCCCAGCTACATCCTTCGTTGGTTGGCTGTGAACTGATAAATCGTCCTTGGCTTTGTCTTTGTTGGGAAGCGGTACAGTAGAGAACGGTCCGTTGATTGGTGCCGGCGACAGTCGCTCAAAGTCCTCGTCATCGATCAAGGCATCCAGGAACGCATCATCCAGATCCTCATCCAGTAGGTCCTGAAATGAATTCATTGGTTCCTTACTATCGAGTACTGCCTCTGCATCGATCGCACTGTTCCATGAAGGCGCCTTCACGGGTGTGACGGAGCCTTCCTTCAGAAGACGAGACTGTCTTTTTGAACTTGGTGTAGAGGTCCCATATCGTCCTCCCTGTGAAGATAGCGAGGGTTGTTTGGGAAGAGGCGATGGACTATGCTGTCGTTTCCTAGACGAGGACCCAGAAGGGGGCGACATGAACCGTGTGCGAGCTGGAGGAGACGGCGTCCTGAACCCTGGCGAGAAAAGAGGTGTAGTGGTCTTGGTAGGTGTTGTCATATCGGAAAGAGCCACGGCCACCATGTCATCCGTACTCTCCAATGATAAGGGAGCAACTTGAGGAGCGCCTTTCAATGGGGTTCCTGCTTTGTTGCGTTTCGAAACGGGTGTCAACATCGATCCCCATTCAGAATCTTCGTCCTGAACTGTAGTCTGTCCCACATCTGAATTACTGGCCGATGATTTCTGAGTATTCTCCGCACCGGTTTTGACTGTGGCCTTTCGCAATTGCTTCGCCTGAAGTTTGGCCTCGAGTCGCGCCTTTATTCGAGTGACTTCTTCTAATAATGCCACTAGAAGAATCATTCCAGGTTTGAGTGAAAGGCACTATGACGAGTACTGCAATGATAACAGCAGCAGCGTATACAAGAGCAGAACATACGGGCCTCATCGTCAGAAGAAAATACTTCGGCGGCTGTCGTCCCTGATAGTATATTCTGAGGGGGAGTAGGATGACTTTGCGAAGTCATCGGAGTTAACTCATGCTGTCCATGGTGCTCCATTGTCTCTTCATGGGCGACCAAACTGGACAGCGTCCAACTGGTTTTCTGGATTCCGCTGTCCCTGTCCATGAGCGTATTGACGATAAACTGCCACGGTCGTCTCTGTACTGCTCCTTGATGTCGTGTCAAATGACTGAGTGCTGTTTAGAAGGCTGAAAGATGTGTTTGCAGGCGAGTACCAAGTGATACTCCAAAAAGTGGATAGAAAGAGGCAACCAGTCACGATAAACAACCAGGCTCCTTATTCATTGCCGAACTCACATCGACAACTCTTAATTAAAAACTAACAACACAAGTAGCCAGGTCCAAACACTGTACAGGAAACAAGGACGGAGTAAACATCGAGTCAGACAATTGGCGTTGCTGTAATATAAGAGCATATGGTAGTCAAGAAAACAAAGCGGCCCATGGGTAAGCGGAAGAGGGCACCAGTGACAGCAGCAGCACCAGACACAGGACCAGGCTCCGTCACAGCAAAGCAGGGAGCACTGACCACCATCTCAGCAGCAGCCATGACAGATCCAGTCTCTCTACTCATGTCCCTGACTCCCTCTGGCGCAGAAACCACATCCACGACGTCGTCCTTGCTCACTGTGAAGAGTTCCAAGGCCGTTGCTCGAAAGAAATCGTCGCTCGCCACGGCTCAACTCATCCGCCGGTATCATACTCTGAACAAGGAGCTTTCAAAATGCCTGGCACGGATCGATGGCAGCAAGTATAGCAGTTCGACTGGCTCTGATCAGCGGAGAAGGCAAACAGCGGATCAGACAGCCGTTGATTTGACAAGAATTGCAGAAATTCGACAAGAGATGGACGACTTGGGCGGACTGGACATGTACCAAAAAGCATCTACACTTGGACAGTCTAAGCAGCGCGGGGGCGACTCTAGCAAATGGTTGATACCGATCCTTGAGAGCTGCCATCCAGAATTGAACAAGAAGGTATCGACCGGAATTGCACGACTATGAACTTGTGTCTTCGAAATTATGCCCTTCTTTACTAAACTAGTGTCATTCTTGTCTTTAAACCTCTTGTATTATTTTAGGCCGGTCCTGCGTTAAAACTTTTGGATATCGGTGCGCTTTCACCCCACAATTATCAAAAGTACTCTTCATGGATCCACACCGTCCCTATTGATCTTAACCCTCAGGACCCTCTAATCACCAAAATGGATTTTCTGGAGATGCCCGTACCAACAGACAGAGAGAAGCTTTTTGATGTGGTTTGTCTCTCGCTCGTTGTCAATTTTGTAGGCGACCCAACCCAACGTGGGGAGATCCTTCGTTACTCGACGCGATTTTTGGTACCAGGTACGGGGGTCCTTTACTTGGTCCTTCCTCTGCCATGCATCGAAAACTCGCGATACATGGATCATGAGCTGCTCGTGAAGATGATGTCCTCTCTTGGATATACTACTTTGGTCAGCCATCATTTTGCGAAGAAATTAGCCTACTACGCATTTAGGCTGGATATTTCACCCGCAGAAAAGGAGCTTTCTTCAAGGGCAAAGTCAGGGACGACCCAGCCGTTATTCCCGAAAAAGCTGCGCCATGATAAGCCGAACAGGAATAAGTAAGCTCCCTTCTATTTATTGTTGGTCGAATGTGGCCTAGAGAGAAGTAACCAACAAGCTTTCTAATGTTCTCTTTTTTTTGAGTTACTAGTTTCTGCGTCATACTCGTGTAGAGCCTGTGTTTGTACTACTGTCAATAAACTGCTTCTTGATTACGAAGGCACAAGAGGAGCAACATGAAAGCCACGAAAGATAGAATTGAAAAAAAATGGTTGATGGCTCAACAGACGCACAGCAAAATAGGACGCGTCCTTTAGAGTTTTGCTTGACGCGTGTGAGCCGCGTATAAGTCATAGTACATTGTCGTTTACTGCATATGTAGCAACTAATATAGTGTTCACTGCCCTCTGAATCCCTTTGCTCTCGCTCAGACTATGGATCAGCAGAGTCGATTCCTCTTCAGCAGGCTCCAGCCTCATTCCGCTGCAGCTGCTCTGTTCGCCCGCGGACGGAGTCTTTATGCTGTATCGGAAGCCTTTCCCGTCTCGCTCGCTGGCCTCTCCAGAACTTCTCAGCCTCGCCGCAGTGCGTTCGGGAATATAAATCTCGATGGACCAGTCTCCTAAACCCACTGTTGCCATCCAAATGACGATCTCAACCACCGCAGCCTCGATGCGCCACGGATCATTCCCGCCTACGTCGCACACCCTAACCTCGTCTTTGCGGGATATGAGCCCATCCTGAGGGGGTGCAGGTTCGTCCGAAATGCATATCACGACTTCCTTCGGCACACCGAACCCTCGAACCATAGCCGCACGTTCGCCAGCCAACTCGCGCGCTTGAGTGATGTTCAAGAGAAACTGGAGATGGTACCGCCTCGTTTGCATGTCCTTGAGGCATGAGTGCATCTCTGGTCGCAAGATATAAGCTATTGGTACCCTTCTATCCATCCGAACAGTCTTGTTAAGAATCCTCCGAGATAGTTGCATCCTCTTGGGGATCATGCTTGGCTGACCACCTTGGTAATACTCGTCACAGCTTTCGCAAATCTCGTCGTGGGACAAAAAGATGTCGATTATGAATCTAATCGCGCCCATGATTGTGCCCAAGGAGCACGACTCAACCGTGAACACGCTTTCTTGCTCTGCGCCAGGAATCGGCCCATAGCTGCGTCCCAGTGCCTCCTTGAGGCAAGCGATCGAGGATGCGATCGAGTTATTCTCCCGCTTTTCGTCGCTGGCTTGCGCGCATTTCTTGTCGGTTTGAGCACATTCTGCTGATCCCGTCAAGTAATGGATGATTTTACTGGGAATTAGTAGGCATAGCTGCCATAGCGTGAAGCCCTCCGTCCTCGGGTTCAAGTTCTGCAGAAATGCTTGTAGTCCACGACAAACTCGTCCCCCTGTCCCTGACAACCCAAAAACAACATCGTGGTCGTCGTAGATGAGCGCAGATTCGTGGGGGATCAGATATGTATCAACCTTGTGGTCATTGCGAAGTGGTCCCACCAAACTGGCAAAGTCCATACCCCGCGGTAGCTGGTGTGCTGCATAAACGAGGCGGAGGTTGACTAGGGGATCAGACTCCGTCACCGGTCCTAGGTACTCATGAGAGTGGTATAGATACATCGCGTCGCCCAGGTCGCTCGAGTCGTCGTATCTCAGAGAAGAGCCGCTATGGAGCCATGCATTGTCATAGCGTTCGAGGCCGTAAGGCATCCCGCCTGCCTCGATCTTGAATACACCTTGACCATGATTAGGTTTTGGATGGTGCTGATCGGAGATGAGCATCGCGGATTTAAAAAGACGGGAGAGCACAGGCCACCATACTGAAGCTGGAAAAGCTGCGAGCTGCGGATCCAAGTGACTTAGCAGACTTCTAATATCATTGGACTCTGGATAAGTAATGTTGATGTCAAGCATAGCCTAGGTATGCCGGCGATTAGAAAAGGGTGATTAGGGGTGATTCATAGCAATCGTGGCATACTAAGGAGCTTCTGAGTTTCCAACGTACCTGCGGTTCATCAAACACGCTAGGTCCGACGACTCCTTGCTCTACACCTTTGAACGAGGTCCATTGCGTATGAATCAAGTCAGGGCCATCCCTCACGATAGGTGTCGACCATAGGCTACGCTGTTCTTCATAAACCCCATCGATTATAGCCGGATTCGCAAGGCTCGAGCAAATGTCTTGAGGCGAAGAATAATGGATCTCGCTTCCGGAATGAGACTTGGCCATCCTTGTCGCATCGAAACTCGCACTCTGGCTATATGGCGATGAGGGCATTGTTTGAAGATCACACTGGGGGGTTGAGATTATCTCGTCCACTGCCTGTGAACATATATCTACGGAGATAGAGTTTGCTTCTTGGTTCGACAATAGACGTGAAGATATTTTCTCCTGAGTTGATAGCTCTTGGAGTGCATGAAATTCGAATGGCAGCTGTGGTGGTGATAATGACGGCGTATTGCTCCCCAGGTCATAATGAGGACGAGATAATTGAGAGGTTAAAGGTTCCGACCCGTCTGCGGAAGTGGAAATGGAGTTGCAATTGATGTCTTGATGGTTTGGGTGGCCACTCTGGTTACTGTTGTAGTCTTGACTGTGGTTTTGAGTGAAGCCACTGTAGCCCTGATTGCTGCTATAGCGTTGCTCGTTATGGTGGCCTTGGTTGTAGGGGTGACTGTAACCGCGGTTGTTGTTGTGGGCGTGGTTGTAACTGTTGTTACGAGCCATGCCCTCGCCATGGTCGTGTTCATATCCACTGTTGCTAGTGTTGTTGCCATTACTGTTGAAATTATTATTGTGGCTGTAGCTTCTGCTGCTGCTGTCTTCGACGCTGCTGGCGTGTTGTGGAGGCGCTATCGAGGTCCTCGGCGGTGAGGATACAGGGGCCAGAGTGGTGTTCTGTCCTGTTGGCTCCCTAATTAATGTCGCCGCCGTTTGCAAAGGTACACGCACAGGCGCAGGCGCAGGCACAGGGGACGCAGAGGGCGGGGTAATATGTGAATGGATAGCAGCCCTCCAGGTTTGGGCCTCTCCAGCAGCAGCAGCAGGCGTAGCAGCAGCAGGAGCAGGAGCAGGAGCAGGAACAGGAGCAGGAGCAGGAACAGGAGCAGGAACAGGAGCAGGAACAGAAACAGGATGGGGCAGGGTCCGCAGGACGGCAAGGACCTCCTCATGAGAGACTGCCACGAGCTTGACGGGGGTCAATTGGGTGGACCTCATGCAGATGTCAGGAATGGAATCAAAGGGAGAGAGGGTTGGAGGAAGAAAGGGCTTTCCAACAGGCCAAAGAAACCATCAAGCAACTTGATCATGTGATTCCATTAAGGCAGAAGAAAAGCCGATCAAAGAAATGGAAGATTTATTTGTTGCTCCTGTGTTGTGCTGCTATGCGTCCTGCTACGATCGTCAAAAGATGTTACATCGCCATACTCTCGCGCAGTTCCCTAAGCTCCGCTTCCTCCTCGTCTTCCTCTTCTGTAAAAAATCAAGATGCACCATTAAAGAAACATGTTAGCTACTGGATATTCCCACGAATGAATGCCACTCACAGACCAGCCAATTGGCAATGTCATTCGCATCCTTACCGGGTTCATGGTTCGGTACAGAAGGAAGCCCAATCTGGGATGGTCCCTGTGTCTCCATAAGTTTCTTATCCAACTCCTCTTGCTCAAGCCCGTCAAGTTCCGCAAGCAGCTCGTCCTAGACATTCCAGCGTATAAAAAAAAAAGCCAGCGTTAATAAAAGCATAGCACTTCCATTGATTGCTCCGCATGTAGATCAGCATACAGCAGCAGTCGAGCAGCCCCAGTTGACAGTGCCAGCTCATAGCACATCCAGTGATGACTCATGTCCCTGCAATCTACCCTTACCTCGTCCATCTCGATGCCGAACCCAACAGGCTGCGAGATCACGTCCGATATCTCGTTTGCAAGCTCCATTTGATCCCTGATTTCCTCCATTGTCTGGTCGACCGTGTTGATATCCCTTTGAACAGAGAACATGAAAAATTTGTCAATCACCAGTAAAGAACAGAACGCACAGTCGACCCATCCTTTCCGTGCGCTGCAAAGCGTAGATGCTGCAAACGTGTCACGCTTGTCGCAGTACTATGGAACAAAAGCAAAAAGAAAAGGGCGACATACATGGCTCCGTGAATACCCTTCATAGCTTCAGCACCAGCACGCATGGCCTTCATGGTCTCGAGGTTGACGTTGGCGTTTTCAATCGCCATGACCTGGGTTTCTATTGTCAGCCGCGAGCCTGAAATCTTCTCAATCTGTCCTTCGTACTGCTTCTTGCGTTTTAATGCCATGAGCGCCGCTAGATGGTTCAGGGAGTCAAACGCAAACGTGGCGTCAATACTCAGTATGCATTTGGGTTATCGCCCCCCTGACCTTTTTTTTTTTGTCAACAACAAGACAGTGTCCGATGAGCAAGGTGCTGTGGTGCAATGCATCGCTGTCAAATGAGACCCAAGGATGGGGTGCAGGCAAGGCGCAAGCATGACATCCTGACTGGTCAAGGTCAATACTGCCGAACGGGAGGCCCTTCTGACACAAAGCTTTTTTTTTTTCTTTTGCTTGGTCAAGGGAGACATACCTCTGCGGTTCTTGGTGGCGTTTGTCTTGGCAATCTGCAGTTCATTGTCGATCTTTGTCTGAAGAAAGGTCTCGCGCTTTTCGAGCATCTGCAATGTGTTCCTAAGCTCGACAATCGAGTCCTTGGGGGTGACCTTGGCCTTTCTTCCGAAAAAGAGATTCATTTCTGCAGCGAGTGGTCGTTCCTGGTGCGGGCGTGTGTATGGTTGGATAGGGTAGGATATGTTCTGGCGAGAGTGAGGGTGAGGTGAAAGTGAAGAGTGAAGAGTGAAGAGCGGACGAAGAGAGCGGAGGAGGGTGAGGAAATGGAAGTGAGTGAACGAATAAAAAGTGCTGCCAAGAACGGCCACACTTGACCAAGGAGACCTTAAAAAGACGAGACGTGACTGAACGGGAATGGCCACAATGAAAAATGACGTTTAGCCCAGGCACACACCCGCACTGCACATATAGTACACAAACGCTACATTCGCATACACATCCGCATACACATCCCCGTGTCCAGGGGGATCCTTCGTCAAGTACTTCTTGGAATATATCCGCTCGTTGTGCCAATTCCTCGTGGAAGACACCCTGTCTTTGTGGTGTATATAAAGCTTCATATTATCGTTTCTTTTAATCAACAGGCTGCTATGCCAACCACATCTACATCTATCCTGTGTCAACCTCATTTCCACCCCAACATCTAGTACTTGGTGGCAGCAGCAGCCAGGAACAGCTTCAAGCAAGCAGCCATACCGGCAGTCCAGATACCCGTGCGTGCGAGGGCTGCGATCTGTGTGGTGTTGAAGATGTACACAATGTTGAACAGGAGGCGAGACGCAACAAAGAAGCCGGCGTAAAAGTTGACGGTATCCTTGGCGACACCAGCATGGAGGGCAGCAAGCTAAGAGTGAAGATGACATTGAGGAATAGAGAATGCCCAATCGCTGTCAATTTCCCTACGGCCTTTACGTTTTGTATCCTATACGGTGTAAAGTGTCATAAACGGAAATATAGTTGGGATAGAAAACCTCCCACCCAGAGTCGTTCACTTACAACGGCGCCAAAGAACACTGGCAGGGTCTCGAGACCGTTGATGTGAGCGCCCTCGGTACGCTTGGCCATTGCCCAGGATGCCTTGGACATGCGACTTTCGATCTTTTCGAGCTGACCTCTGGGGCTAACTGCAACCGATAATCCAAAAATAAAATATACAGGTTGGTGTAAACTCCATGGGCATGATCTTCGTTTCCTGCGCTGTAGCCGAACACTTTAGTCGAGATGTAGGACTTACTGTTGTTCCATCGCTTGGTGGCATTAATGACGATCTACAATAAAAGAACAGCAGGGTTAGGCATAAATAAGGTCAGACGCAAAGTAACATGCAAAAGACAGATTTGAGGAGGGGATAGAGTGCGCCTCTTCCGTACCAGGCCACGGATGAAGTGGGGGGCATAGGCGAGACCCGCTGCGACGGGGAGAGACAACAAGGGGAGGTTGGGGTAGGCAGAGGACATGGTGTTCGATATCGTATTATTTCCGGATGGCTGTCGATTTGGTCGGTTGATTTCTGCTGGTTGGCCGATTGATGGAGGACGAGGAAGGATGGTGGTCTAAAGAACAAGAAAGTGAAAACAAGGATGGTCCGGCAGAGAGGATTAATATGAAAAAAGGACGGAGTATCGAGTCCTATGAAAGGAAAGAGCGCCCGATCATCATAGTTTTATAATCCTATATCAAAGCCGAGCCGCATTTACGCACAATTTGGCGTCGGCGTCCTTGATCTCATTCTCCGCCTCGGCACGTCCAAACAATTGTCATAACATGTCATCTACTCAGTTGAACAAAATACTGGTTTTATTTGTCCAGTGCAACATTGCACTATACGGCCTTTCTGGTTGTACGCGGCCACATCAGGGTCAAATCCCGATATTCGTAAAGAAAAAAACCCATAAAGTAATCTACCGCATTAAAAGCACGGCAGCTGGAAGGAACATGGCTCCCAGCATTGCAGCGAGCGTCATGAAGGATCTGAGGTTCAAAATCAAGAGATTGATAAGGTATTCCACCACGGATTCAGTATTTGATCTCGACAGGAAGTGACCCCGTGCACACAATGGCTGCGCCCCAGAGGTGCTTGTAGAGGAATGAGTCCGGTTCGTGGTTGAGGTCGGGTACTGGGTCAAGACTGTAGTGGTGCCGTCGGATCCGATAGACGTCGTCGTGTGCGTAGTATCTCCACGCGTCGTAGTCGTTGTCGAGATCGTGACATCTGTTGTAGTCGAGGTCGTAGTGGTTTCCTTTGTATTTGTCTTTTGATCAGAAATGGTCGACTCATCCGAGCTGACGGTCGTCGATGACGATGAGGACAGCGGAAAGGACGCATGTGCTGCAGATGTTGCGCTCGTCTCCTGCTCTCGTGCGCTGGTTGACGTAGCTGAAGGAGCCAGTGGAGTAGCTCGATCAACAGGAGTTGTTAGGACTGGTTGTGTTATCGATGCCATGGTAGAAGTGGGTGCGACCGCAATTGTTGTCACGCCAGAATAGTATGTCGAAGCAACAGGCAAGACAGCGATAGGATCGGAGGCGTTCATCAAAGACAACAGAGGTGAGGGAGCAAGTGTTGATGCCGAGGGATAAAAGGTAGGAGCCGTGGTTGTCAACAGGCCCGCAAACGAGGTGAAGGTGAGGACGTTGTTGTTGGGAGGTGTTTGCCAAGTAGCAGCAGCAGGTAGAGTAGAAGATGGGTTCAACGCGACCGTTGGTGCAGGCGCATTTGGCGAAAGAACAGGTATGTGGGCCAATGGGGCAGGTGCAGTCGACAAGGACGCAGGAGAAAAGGTCGGCGGAACAGGTGTGAAGGATGGGGCAAGATTCACGTGCGATTGAGCAGCAGGTGCATTGGCCGGTGGTTCAGGAGCGCGAGAAAGCGGAGTAACAGACGAGAAAGCAATTGGAGCAGGCGCGTAAACGGGTGGAGCAGGTGCGTGAATCACGGGAGTGCGCGCATTTTCAGGCGCAGCAGGTGCAGAAACCGGCGTAATGATAAGTGGAACCGCGATATTTGAAGCAACAGGCACATAGACAGATGGGACGGAAGCAAGAGGGGCGGGTGGGGCAGCAACAAGTGGAGTGTCAGGTATATGCACCAGCGGGACAGCGGACGATGGGGTAATAAGCGGTGGAGCAACCGAGAAAGCAGGTGCTAATGCACCATGACCAGGAAAACACCAGTTCATAGATGTCAAAGGCATCCGTATGCCGTACCATTTGTGTGATGGGCGTCAGGACAGAAAGAGTTTGGGTAAAAAGGATGTGAAAGGAGATATCCTTTATGAGTGGTTATTCTCTTTCGGGTAAAGGTCCTTATCATGCGATGAATAAAGAGGAACGACAAGACTCGCCAAGCGACACGGCCTACCTTCACGGTTGCTTGCAGGGGCAGGGCCAGTAGGCTGGTTCATTGCAGCAGGGGCAGACTGATATGGTGCAGTAGAAACAGGTTGACGGGTCGCGGCAGGGGCCGGCTGGCTCGTAGCCGCCGCAGGTTCAGAGTGCATCGTTGCCATTGGAGCAGGTTGGAGCGTTGCAGTAGCATAGTTAATGGCCTGCGGGGGTGGTGTCGACATGGGCCCTGCTACAGGAGCAGATACAACAAGACCCATTTGTGGCGCTGCAGTAGGGTGCTCGATCACCTGAATCGTAGGGACTGACTGGGGTGAAGGAGCGGGGACCATCGCTGTCGCCGGCGCGAGAACGGGGAAGTACCTGTACTCGGTCACGGTAACTGCGAACAGACCACATTGAAGAGAGATACGCTGTTAGTACTTTACAAACAAGAAGAAACCTCGAATCTATAGACGAGGTCGTTCATACCAAAGACAGTGTTATCGCGCTTAAGATGCGGAAAGAGAGCTGGGTCCAAAGCTGAGGATGGCCGCAGATCACACAGCAGCACACCCGCCAACGTAAAGAGAAAGAGGAAGCGTCTATGCATGATGCTCAGCAATGATGCTCGTATTGACAAGCGGTGGGTCTTCAAGAAAAGAAGGAATAGGTGTTAAGGGAGTTGACGGAGAAGAAAGAGAGGAAGACAGAAAAGACGGTGAAGACGAAAGTGTGTAGCTATAACGATGGCTCCTTCGCCTTGTCCAGGGCAGTACTATAGCAGACTTTGTTCGTTCGCATGTTGCTGATGCACTGGTCAAATGGCTACCAAGAGATGATAAAATGGTGATGGCTCCAAGGATGGAGTCATGCATAGCGACAACACACTTCCTGATTAGCCAGTGGACCCTTGGCTGTGTGGCATCAAACGGACAATAGTGCGGCAAATGCACTGCCGTAGCAAAACCCCATGGCTATGACGCGTAACGCGTCCGAGCCGAGGATGGACTTCATCTACTCCGCCCGAAAATCATGTATGGCACCTCCTCCTATCGTGCTATGCTTGCAACCAGTTATCGGTAACATACTATAGAGCTCATTACAATATGTCAGGAAGAATCCATCTCATAAGAGATAAGCAAACAAAGGCTGCGCCAAAGCAGGCAAGCAGGCAGAGCATAAAAGGCCGGTGTTGAGCAAAAGGACGTGGATTCCGCCTATCCATTGAGGTGGCGGTTTCTTTTTAGGATGTTAAAGCTGCCGCTTGGGGAGGCTTTTTCTACTGTTCAGATCACCCTGCTTCCCCTCATCATCAAAGCCATGACTGGCTCTAGCATCAACACCTCGCTCTCCACGTCCGGAGAGCCGGCTTCTTCGTCAAATTCGATCACGACGCAACTTAGCTGGGAGGAACGAACAAAATATCGTTTTCCTGGTGATGATGATGCGTAATGGAGAGAGGACACACTTCCTTGACAGAGAATGGTACCAGGGGTACTAGATCTATCTGAATTCTCCAAAGACCGCTGCCAGGCTCTACTTGAACGATAATACCAAGGTATAGGTAGATGCCTCCAAGAGAGAACCCGCATCCAGGGGAATGGAGGCATGTTGCAGCATGGTAGGGTTGTGCAGTGCTTGGGCATGACTTAGCCCAAAGGTGGCGTGAAACAAACTTAATTTTTTTCTACTAAAGTCTCCTTCTGTTTAGGTGCGAAAGCGATAGACTACGATGCTTGTGCGCTGTCCTGTGGAGAACATGCAGACCAAGTCCAAGACTGCCGAGAAGGATCCCTGCCTCCTTCCAAATATCAGTGCTATCGCCTCGAAGGGCAAACGGGTCGCCAAGAGCTCTACTGTTAGCAGCAGTATCAGCATGTAGGCATCCACGAGTTCCACCGCCTCCGAAAACTCAACGGAACAGGAGAAAATGAGGCACGGCAACGATTCCACTGGTGGTATTGCAGGTGGACCGCAAAAGGAGGAAGGAGTGGAAGCATAAAGAAAAGGGAGACTTGACGCAATAAGTGTTGATAGACAGCCTGCGCTATAGTTTCGGATAGCTGCTGCTAGCAATACTATATCTCGCGCATAAACATAAGGCACGGAAAGATCGAGGACCCCCAATATGATCGCGACACTCCCCATTGCTCTTTCAGGTCGGAAGCAGCTGGGAATCGCAATTACGTGAGCGAGCACTTTCAGGCGTCCTGGAAGTATGTCACCGCGATTCCTGGACTCTGTCCCGCAAGTGTCTCCTTTGCAGCCGCATCTTCCAGCAGGGTTTCAAAAATGAATCGCGCTCTCAAGCCTGAAAATGAATTTAGACAAACCAATCCGTCAAGCTCTGTCGAGCGCAGATCAATGGTAGAGATGAAATGGGCATGAACAAGCGACAATAACCAAAACCAATAAATGTCAATGGTAGACTTTTATGCGCTATCGCCATTTCGCTGCTTTGGTTCCATGGGGCCGAGTTGGCCTTGGGGTGTGCTGTGGGTCTGTCTGCGACATTGATTGGGCCGTTTTGACTCAGGTACGGAATAGATTCCTGAGGCTGAGACTTTCTGGACTGTGCCACAGACTTGCTATTTTTGGCACCTTCATGAAATACATCGTACTCTGGTATCTCTCTATCTCACTCACTCTTTTCCACCTACACCGCTCTGTCTTGCACACTTCGTATCCATACGCAACAAACACACGCCATACATTAGTTATACAATATGCAAAGTCAGGTCGCAAGGGAAGGCCGCCATAAGCAGCTGTACAACCAAGGAGCCCGCCTTGTAGGTTGCATGTCGCCCATTCATGTCAAACCAGCGATTACAGAAACCTGGAAACGATGCATCTCCCCCCAAAACTGACCAGTAGCATCACTTGCGGTCGAACTAGGTTGCGGGATGTGTCCCCATCGATAGAGCGGGACGCCGTGTCCTGTTGGTGGCCAGCTCTAAGCACGAAGGCGAGTGGGTCCTTCCAAAGGGCGGCTGGGAGAATGACGAGACCCAGGAAGAGGCTGCTGCACGCGAGACATGGGAGGAAGGTACGGTGATGCTCTTCAAATAGCATCACGCTGTTGTCCGGCAACAACGAGTGTTCGCTCATCTGTGGTAGCAACAATAATCTAATCCAGTTTCCATTCCGCCTTCACACCCCACTTTCCATTGTTCTTGTACGCGCTCTCTCTCTGTCGCCCCGCTCGATGGACTCGACGCGCATGAACTATAGCTGGTGCAATTGGGAAGATTGTAGCCAGTCTAGGCGAATACGAGCACAAAGTAAATAAGCGCACAGGAATCCCGGATAGCATCTTCTTCTTCTTCGAGATGGAGGTCGAGGAGGTAGCGGATCGTTGGCCCGAGAGGAAGAAGCGCGAGCGTCGTTGGGTAAGGCTTGCTTGATTTTGTGTTGTGCGGTTATGGCAGCCTTGTTGAATGGAATTGCCCTGATCTAACCTCGTTCCTGTCTCTCCGTCTCTTTGGCTAGTTCTCTTATGAGGATGCTAAAAAGGTTGTATCGAAGAAGGTCATGAAAGAGGCACTGCAAGCATGCTCCCTGGCCAGGGGATGATAGGGTCATTGCGGCTCCAGAGACTCCAAGCCCCTTGTTCATGCTGAATGTTCGCCAAACACTGAGTTTGCCTTGAGATACCACACCTCCTATACGGGCACACGTGCAAACATATCACAAATAAAGCGGCATGATATCGCAATGGACAGCATGCAGTGAACGATCGTAAAGTACGACGCCCACTCAATGGATATCGCAGACTAGATGCTGAATATTGGACACTGCCATAATTCTTGGACGCATATCGGCCTCCGATGAGTCGATCTACAGATTGCTATACAAAAAAAAAAAAAAAAAAAATGGAGGCCAATGACTGTTTTTGTTACAAGACGTCCTTTGTTCTCGTCGTGGCTACCACAGGTTGCATTAACATACCCAGCAGATCATTCCTTTCAAATCAAAACTGCAATGTCAGACAAGACAGAGCCTAGCAGCGCTCAAATAACCCAGAGTCATTCAGCACAGGATCATGATCGCGACCAAAAGTCGTCCGCAAAACGCGGTCGCTCACCGTCAGCCCAGGAGGACAGGGCCTTGGAAGACAATGAGAGATCTTCTGCGAAGCGTGCTCGATCACCCTCAGGCCGAGCCATACCGACCACTGCAGGAGAGACCAACGCCGCGAAGGTTGCAGAACATTACAATGCCCGACCAGACGTCGGCGTCGAGAAACGTAAGGAGTCGACCATTTTCCGCCTCAAGAGTTTCAACAATTGGTTGAAATCTGTGCTGATCGGGCGGTACGCGAGACCAAGAGACCGGGTCCTGGATGTCGGGGTCGGCAAAGGAGGCGATCTATTGAAATGGTCCAAGGCGAGGATCTCTTACTTTACTGGATGCGGTACGTTCCGAGAACCAAGCTTGATCTGATGAGTGCGTGAGAACGATGACTGACCGATGCACTGAGAATCGTCAATAGATATCGCATCAAAATCGATTGAACAGGCGCGAGAAAGATACAGAACTATGAGAAACCCACCATTCGAAGCCCATTTCCACGCAATGGATTGTTATTCGGTATGACTCCACTCGCTCCGCGCGTATATTGGGACCGTCCGCGGATCTACTTGTTCCGGAAAACTAATTTCCTCATGTGTTCTTTGAAATCATCTCACCTACTACTCCCCAGGAACCAATCTCGAATGTGGTGCCGTCAGAGATAGTCTTTGATATGGTTTCCATGCAGTTCTGCCTGCACTACTCGTTTGAGACCGAGGCCAAGGCGAGGATGATGCTTCACAATGTAACATCACAGCTCAAGCCTGGCGGCGTCTTTATTGGAACAATACCAGATGCGTACTGGATTGTGTAGGTTATGCGGACGAAATGACATGCTATACCAAGTGAACAAAGACCTTAGGATGTGCTGCGATTTGCTCAAAGATGCGAATGAATTCGATCCCTCACTCTTTTTTTTTCTCACCTGCATTAAAATAGTAAGAAGTTGAAATCCGAGTCGGACGATGCCCTTCAGATCGGAAATTCGATCTACTCGATTCGATTCGAACGGAGAGACATATTCGACAAGTTCGGCGCAAAATACTGGTTCCATCTTGAAGATGCCATTGACGACTGTCCAGAGTACCTTGTCCACTTTCCGACCTTCCAAAAGTATGGTCGCTTTGCAATCGAAGTCATGAAAAATGTTGTTGGTATGATATACGGTGCTCACCATTGAATGCGCTGTTGCTGGTTTCATGTCTAGGCTGGCAGAGGAGTACGGACTCGAGCTGATATACAACAAAAAGTTCCACCAGGTGTATGAGGAAGCTTCTCAGGAGCTTGACTTCAACCAGCTACTATATCGCATGAACGTCATCTCGGAGGACGGACACCTATCTGCAGATGAATGGGAAGCTGCTAGTGAGTGAACTATCCGCCACATATGAGGTACGATGCTCCCTTTCTTTCAAGGACGTTATTAACCACCCTTTGTTGTACAAACGCTCTGTCATAGATATCTATCTCGCATTCGCTTTCAAGAAGAAACAGTAGCGGTCAACAGATGAACGAGGGCGGATTTTCCACATCAACACAATAAAATCTGCCTTCGCTTCGTTCGTCCCCGACCTGAAATCTGTTGACACATATTATAGATGTTGGAACATTTGCTTTATTGCAGGAAGAAGCTGTACATGATTATTCTTCCCCATGTCTCCTCGACTGAAGATCGACTCCAGTCTCCGTCTCAATATGTGCTTTTTCGTCTTGCGATGGAGAACCCATGGTTGCGTCTCCATTGCTCATCGTTGAAGATAACGCCCCATCTGTTGTAGTCGCTCCTGATGATGCTAATGCCGCGTTCGCCTCCGCAAGCAGGATTTCCTTATGCGTCCGAACAGGTTCGACAGGCTCTCTAAAAAGTTCCTGAAGGGACTGACTAGACTGAATATACTCCTCCAATTGTTTCTCTGCCTTGTTGATTTGTGTCCTACGGATCTTATTGGCCTTAGTCAGTTGCAACTTAACAGTCAGAAGTCGCCTCTTTTCTGCATCAAATCGCTTCCTCTCCTCGAGCTCGAACTGAAGACGGTTCAGCATCAGCTGGTGATCATCTGTCGCGCTCTGAACCAAGTGCTCTGGCGCCTTTTCCCTGAACTCCTCCAATGGTACGAGGGGCACATCCTGGTACAGTGTTCTAATCATTGCAATTATAGGCAGATGTTGGTATTTAGTACTTGAATGTCTCAAAAGAACCGAAGGAATGCAGGAGAGAAGAAAGAAAACCGTACTGCATGTCTCGACAACGCGATATCTCGTTCAGCAGATATTTGCGTTGGTATTTGATGTTTTGATAGCCTAGATCGACCTGGCCAACACTTAGTTTCTGCTCTGTCAGGTCATTCTTGAGGTCACGCTCTTGCAACAAGACGTCGCGGTTGAGCGTCTTGAGGAGCGAAAGGAGCATGTTGCCCGTCCGAACACCTTCTGAAAGCCTTTGTTGAAGCATCGGATCCACAGCAGCTTTGCTCTGTAACAAAAGAAAAAAATATATCCTGATCAGTGCCTCGAGCTCATCTCCATGAACACTCACGCAAGCTGTGAATGTAGTGCTGCATTCAAGTTCAAATATAGGGTGTAGGCTGGTTCCTCCCAGCCTTTTCTGCTGTCCTCCAGTCGTTTGCGCCGCTAGTCCATACCTCTACTTGGTCTACCTCCATGGCGTTATCATCGTCTCCCTTTTGAGATGCTGGAAATCCTCCTATCCTCTTCCGTGTCTCAACAATCTCTGCGGACAGTCTCTGAAGCTCCGCACATAAGCGGGCCACGCTCTCAGGATAATGCTCGACAGTTGCAGTTGGTGTCATGTTAATTCTTGAAAGGGGCGATGGTCGTGAAAGATGATGCAAAGCTGCAAGGACCCTCAAAACAAACAACTTGGACTATAACTTTATGGCATCGTGACCGTCGCCCGTGAACCGACTTTCTGAATGACCCAGGGGTTTAAAATACTTTGGCATTACGTTTTATGTGTATCCTTATGTATAATAGACAGTAATAAAAAAAACCCCCCAATGTCTGTTCACAGCCTGCAGGCTTCAGTGGTATCTCCTCCTTACATGACAAAGGTCGCCTCGTGGTAGACGTGTCCTGAGACCTTGTGTTCCTCCCCGCCGATCGTTACCACAGCTGATGCATCGTCGTACCACTGGTAGATAATGGGCTTTGCAACAAAGGTCGACACGATCTTGCGCAATGCCCAGGGGATCTCAGCCAAGAGATCAACCTTTTGGCACAGGCCCTTAGGCTTGACATTAAGCACCGCCTTGAAGGGCTTGCCACCCTCGATCGTCTTGCCCTCCCAGACATAGTTGACTTCTGTAGGTGGGTTGTATCCAGTTTCCTCGTCATGTTCGGTTTTCACAAACTCAGTCTTGTTGTCCACCGCAACCCCGACCAGATCTCCGTTAAAGACAATCGATCCCTGTGTGACCGTAGCGCTTCCATAGTACTCGGGTGTAGTGAACTGGATCAACGACAGCTTGGCCTTTTGATTGGTCTCTGCATCGTGGCCCAAGAAATCAACATAGCTCCACCTGGAGGCGACTAAGTGAGGCCTCATACCCTGGATCGCATGCACGAACGTGCCCTCACCAGCCATGTCGTGGGCCTTGCCGTCGATGATCATCATACCAGCGACCTTACAGGCGGGCCAGAATTTGTGAGAGACGTATCCATCGCCAAAGAAACTCTTGCCCTCCCCAATCTTGTAGCCCCTGGCTGCGCGTTCGACAGTCAGGGAAACAATCAGATCTGGGGCATTGGTCACTTGAACAGTAAACTTTTTGCCGTCGGGCGAGAGGGTGATCGACATCAGGTTGGTGGAGGCAGACAACTTGTCGGCCGAGAGGACAAAGTTCGTCAGGTTGGTCGAGAAGAACTTGTTGACGCCATCGCCGCGGAAACGGGCCGTCATCTGGACAGAGGCGGGTGCACCCCAGATACTAAAATGTGTCGATATGTTAGGCTCGTTGTCCTGGTACACCCTTTACACTTTCTTTTCACCATGTGAAAGCGGAATAAACGTTTATGGGGTTAACCATCTTACCCCAGATTAGAATGAATCAATTGGACGTGGCCAAAGTGGCCTTTGTCATTGATACAATAAAACGTCTGGGTCTCAGTGGAGGCTGTGGCAGCAATTGTCCACTCGAGGTCCTTGGCCGCCAGCTCTGAGAAGTAGTTGCCGTCCTTGACGAGAGAGGCAGCAGATTTGACGCCTTCGCCCGCATTGGGAATATCACCGGGCTTAGGGGAACCGGCCTGGGCACCATATCCAGTCAAGGATGTGACGGAAGAAGTTACTACGGATGCCACAGGAAGAAGGGCTGCTTAATTGTCTTATTCCTTGTTCATACAATGGCTCTCGGGAACGGCAGGCACAGCAGGTGAGCTGCAGCGCTCTCAAGGCTTCCCAGGAGAGGGTCAGCTGAAAGAGGCGGGGTGAGATAGAACAGGAGGGGAAAAGAGGGGCAGCAAGACTTACGAGAAGACCACATGATTTGATGAGAATGAAGAAGAGATGATGAAGAGATGGAGTAATGGAGTGAAGAAGTGATGAAGAAGCAATGTTGGGGGCGAAGAGTCTTGACCACAATCGGCCTCTCTAATTGCACGCTCGCAGAGAAGTAATTGCCAATTACAGCGGTAAACTTACCGCCAATTCTGATTCCGTGTTTATGGATGCTCTTCCGGGTCCTGGAAAGACCAATTGCCCAATCCAACCGAACATCACTCGAGCCCAGCAGGAAGCAGGAAGCAGGAAGCAGGAAGCAGGAAGCAGGACACTTTCAAACCCACAATACAGACATATATCAGCCATGGCATCATTTTTGCGTCGTGCAGGAACCACTCTGCTCCCACGCCATTCCTCGACTCTCCTTTCTAGGACCGTGATCGCGCCCGCAGCCCGCCACTTTACAGCCTCGACCTCTTGGCACACAGCAGAGCCAGCAAGCGCAGAAAGCAAGAGTTCACAGGATTTTATCGGCTCCACTGCATCCCACAACGCCAAGGGTACGCCTGAGGCTATTCTCAAAAAAGCCCTCACCCTAGTCCCGGAGCATGGTTGGACCACGGCATCGATCGCCAAGGCTGCAGAGTCTATGGGATATCCCGCCATCATCCATGGGATGTTTCCTAAGGGGGGTGCGGATTTGATCGACTACTTTCTGCAAGACTGCTTGAATCGTCTGCCATTAGAACTGGAGGGCAGAATGGAGGGGTAAGGAACTTGCGGAGGGCTTGCTCGAACCATGGATGAGCAGGATGCCTGCCATATGCGGACCTATCCATGATCTAACACGGTCTCAATATTCCGCATCTTTGTAGATTGGGCACAAAGGAGAAGATCAAGTTAGGGACGCTTACAAGGCTAGGAATGATTGCGCCCTACATCGATCAATGGCCCGAAGCATTGGCCATCATGGGCCAGCCTAGCAACGTGCCAATGTCGCTGAACCATCTGGCAAGGATTGTCGACGAGATATGGCACTTGGCTGGCGACAAGAGTGCCGACGTAAGCGCGGCTGCATTGCATTTTGGCAACTGTATGCCAAATAACGATTAATGCTCAAATTGACTTTTCTCGCTTCTCAACTTTATCCCTTAACGTAACGTGTAGATGAACTGGTACACGAAGCGTGCCTCACTTGCCGCGGTCTACACCACAACAGAGCTATACATGACCACGGACAAGACACCCAATTACGAGGCTACTCAAAGGTTCTTGGATCGCCGTTTCGAGGATGCAGCAACAGTCGGCAAGGCCACCAACGAGATGCTGCAGATCGCAGAGTTTGGCGCCAAGTCCGTCTTTGGGATCCTGAACTCGGTAAGACTCTCGAGGATATGCACTATAGATATCATATTGTGGATGAATGGCCACTAATGCCGTAACCTCATTTCGCTTTCACAGAAGGGATTCCGCCTCTAGTGGCACAGTACCCCGTCCATTTCATTTTTCCGCCATGCACTCATCATCGTCATCCAGCAAGGCGCATTCTAACATCCATATCAGAACAAGTAAACGTCAAACGCGAATAATTTTTTTAAAAAAATATATGAAAATATGAAAAATACAATGCAGTTTATTTCTTAGATGGTTTGGATGGTTTTTTGCTGTTCTTTCCTTCAAAGCCCGCACGCTATGGACAATGAACAAGAAACAAAAATAGGGTCAGCGATACTTCTCATAGCTTCATAGCAATTGTACAATATCATCATAAAAAACAAACAACAACAACAACAACAACAACTTACTGCTTTTGGTTTGCCGCCCTTTCCCTTTGCTGGTCCCTTGGCCCCCTTCTTGTCCCCCTTCTTGTCTCCGTTCTTGCCCTTATTCTTAGCAGCATCGATACGAGCCTTGATATTCTCCTCGCGCTTCTTCTGCTTCTGATCCTTAGTCTTGCTGACTGTTGATTTGCGCTCACCCCATTCCTTGGAACTCTTCTTCTTTTGTACCTCCTCGCGCTTGATAGTCTTCTTCAGGAGCTTGACGTCGTCCTTGACCTTCTCACCCTGTGCCAACTGCAGTGCCTTTTTCCAGGTATCCTTTTCCTTTAGAGCGTTTGCCTTCTCAGGGTCAGCGGTCTGTAGTGCTGCCAGCTTTTCCTTATGTGCTTCGACCATCTTGAGCTGACCTTGTGCGTCCGTAGGTCCTCTTTTCTTCTTTTGAAGGCCATCGAATTCAAACTTGCTGAATCGGACTTCGCCCTTGTCGTTGATCGACGATGCTGTGGGTCGCCCACCATTTGCTGAGGAAGAGGCCTCCTCCTTGACCACAAGACCTTCTGATCCACCGGCAGCTCTCTTCTCCTTGGCCAATTTCTGGGATGCCTTCTTGTCCTTTTTCCTCTTCAAACGAGCCTCCAGAATGGCCTGTCGGGACGTGGGCTTGGCAGCACCACTGGCCTCAGCAGCGACACCACGACGCCCACGCAGCTTTGCAAGGCGCTCTTCGAGTTTTGCGCGCAGTTCCGTGATTGATTTAGGAGCCTGGGCTGGTGTCTGGGCTGCGGTCTGGACCTGAGCCAACAACCCCTCAAAGTTGTGCGTTGAAGACTTTGCGATCACAGGTGCCTCGGTATCATCCTCCACAATATCGTCGGTGCTCACCATTTCCACGTCGTTGTCGCCCTCATCATCATCCTCGTTATCGTCGCTGTCATTGTCGTCTCCCTTCGCAGCCATTTCAGACTGGATATCCGTGACAGATTTGTTGTTATCGGGATCAAGCTGGATCGTCGACAAAGACAAACGGGAGAACGTGCGCGTCAGTTTTTTTGTTTTGTTTTTGTTTTTATGCCGATTCAATCATCAATGCTTTGGTTGAACTTTTGCTTTGCGTGTGCTGTCGCTTCCGAAAACTGGATCAAGGAACTGTAATTGAGCGTACCTTGGCCTTCTTGGCCTTCTTTGTGCGCTCCTTGATATCCTGCTTGGGGGCATTTCTCTTTTTATTGTGCTGGTATTTTGAGTTCTGGGATGATTTTCATTTGTCGGATCAAAAGAGCTGTTAGATACATATAGGACAATTAGCAGTAATTGACGATTTGAGGTCGAGCCTTTCGTACCTGCTCCTCTTCCGAGAGTTCCTTAGTAATGTAGTATTGTGCAGGAATCAGCTTGAGCAGAGAATCAAAGGAGCTTCCGTGAGCTTTGATCCTCTCCTGCATTTTGTGGTCCCAGGAAGAAGCCAAAAAGGTTGTCAGATACTGTGCCCCCTCTCGAATAAGAAACCATACCACTGAAGAGTGAGAAACTAAAGGGCATACCTCCAAACCGTCCAATGTGAACTGGGTGGACATGGCGAGGGTAGTCTGCGAGATGGACAAGGATGGAGAAGGAGGTGATGGTCGAGTGAGGGTGTAGAAGGGGACGAGGACGGCAGCAAAGTTCTTCTTGTTGCCAGCAGAAAGGACTGCCTGGAGCCTTCTTTTTTTTTTGCAAACATCAACAACAGTGAAGCCACTGAATCAGGTGACACTCTTCACGACGCGTCTCAAAAATATAAAACGCGTATCAAAAAAACGATATGAGAGACCTTTCCCATGTCCATCGATGGTATCGTGCCTAGACAGTTCTAGACCAGCATATATCTAGGTCTTTGAAATATTCCGATTCTGTAGTGCCTTCTTGTCTTGTGTATACATCCGATGCACTTTGTGTAAAGAAGAATACCTACGCCGATAGCACAACGCATCCTTTTCTCTCTGACCTCTCGAGCCAGTCAACAATCATGAGACAGTTTTGAATGCTATCAAACCCAACAGTAAATAGAGGAGCGTCATTATGGAGAGCTGCCTAGTGTAAATATTCAAGGTGCATGCTGTTGTGAACTGTGACACTGACTGTCGTGTTCGTGATATGTAATTCCCGAACTTAAAGGTAACTTCTTGGGTCGCATTATTTACTGTTATTTGGGTCTTTTTTTATACTCTAGCCTAGTTATCGTTTTTCACGACAGATAATAGGAGGACATGGAATGGCGAAGTGGGACGATGGTGAATCGTTTCTTGTAATCAAAAAACCGTTAATAAGCAGAATTACGTGAGGAGGAGGCCTCTGTGATACTTGTGCATGCAGGGACCTCTTTGTTTTACTGCTTATAGGTTCGACAAGCGGCTTTGTGTATTCGCAGCCATCAATATCGACTGTTGTTAACAGTGCCCTTTGGCAACGTGCTCTGTCTGCGAGTAGGGAAATCAAATAATGATATTGATGAGAACCCAGGAGGCCTGGCAGTGAAAGCACATTCTAGTACTGAGTATTGAACCGAAGCGGCCTTTGGAGACTCGAATTGGTATGATGGACTTCATATGGGTGTTTGCGCTACTATACGCGCATATTTCTTCCTGGACTAGCTGTTTGACGGGACAAGAGTGTAATATTCTCGCTTGCAGTCTAAAGTAGACATATGAACCAGTAAACAAACAAATGGCCGGTGTAGCAATCTAATGGTTTACAGACCTTTGGGATAAAGGGCGAGGGAGCATTTCTTAGCCTGCTGGGGGATTGTTTGCGTCGAACGAGAATACCGCTCATGTCTGTGCGACGTAGAATAGTTTTGCGCGTCCTCTAGAGAATAGGCGCACAAACACACAAACACAATGCACAAACAATCCGAAGATATGTGTGCACTAAATGGTGAGAGCACAATCCCCTGCAGCTGTTCTCTTTGCCTTTCTTGGAGTTGTTTGCACCGCCAGTTTCTTCTCAAACTGAACATATTCACAAGGGCGTTCAGCTCCTCTGCAGCTGAACTTTAATATATTATTCTCCACAATGTTCCTTGGAGGTTTGTGGAGAAAACATTCTCTGTGTTTTTTTTCCGCATACCGATCGATACTATAGACCATACAGCTTTGCAGCCGCCAAAGTCACATAGACTTCTTCCCCAACACTGCGGCCCTACAAAGGGGTATCGTAATCTCGAATGCATAGAATCATACAAATATAATCCTCCATATCCTAAAGTGAACGATCATCCATCCTCATGCATCTAGCTACACGTTTGGATGCCCATTTCTTTGCATGTTTGGGCCGCAATGCGATTGCTCAAGAAGCTGCCACCTTACCTAAGTGCCCAACGAAATAACGCGAGTCAACTCGTATCTCAATATAGTTTCTTCGTGCTTCCGACTTAAGAACTGCGTATCTAGACCAGGTTCAGAGAACATCATCGGGTTTGATATAACATGGTGTCATCAGCAACTGCATGATTCCCCCCCCCCCCCCCCCCCCCAACGAGCTGGCACTATGCCACTTTACAAAGAACATGCCACTACATCGCCTTCGTGTGTACACGCGCGGAATAACTATGGATACGATGTGGGGCGAAAGAAAAGTTCCTGATCAGTTCCGCTCCACGCGGACTTCATTAGAGCCCGCCAAGGATCCACTCATACCCCTCCTTGCTTTCCATTTAGAAAACCTCAGTTTGCTGCAAGTGTTTGTTGTCTCTATTCGCTATGCTGAGAAACATAATATACTTTATTCTACACACTCCTGCATATACGCGCCGCACATCTTATTGGCGTCGACATAATCTAACGCGTGTTTCTTCTGACATTGGAACTCATAACCCATGGTCAAAATCTAGAGCTAGGAACAATGCATAGGGAGATATGACAGATGTCGAGTAACACAAATCGCATTCTAAATTATAACAGCTCTAATCATGAAGGGCATTGGTGATCCTCTTTTTTTTTTTTTTTTTTTTTGTATAAATATACCTCAGACCGTCGCCATTTTTTTTCTCTTCATCCCACAGCTCTCTCCTCACCAAGCAATCCCAAGCAACCCTCCACCTAAAACTCAACTTTCAAGCCATGAAGTTCTTCGCCGCCATCGCTGCTCTCGTCGTCGCCGCCGTTGCGAATGCCCAAACCCAGCCCACCTGGAGCAACTGTGCCACCGGCTCCACTGACCTGACCATCACCACCTTCTCGGTCACCCCTTACCCTCTGTGCATCGGCCAGAACGTCTGCGCCAGCGGCACCGGTACCTTGAGCACCCCCGTCGTCGCGGGTGCCAAGTTGGCCATCACCGGCAGATACGGTGGACGTGTCGTCTACACCGACAACCAGGATTTGTGCTCCCTTACTGGAGGCCAGGGACACCCTTGCCCCATTCCCATCACCGTGACCTCGATCACCGTCTGTCTTTTGGTCAAGACCACTGCCCCTGCTAACGTAAGGAATACTATTTTTTTGTTTTTTGTTTTTCTTCCAGTCAATAAGATAACCTCGACACTAATTGCTCCCCACAAAAAAATCCATCGATCATCTAGGTCCCCGTCGCTCTCACCGTTCTTGCTACGAACGGCAACGGCAATGTCCTCTTCTGCCAGGCCGCGACCGTCACCGCCAAGGTCTGCTAAGCTGCGACCGTCACCGCCACCCTCTATTAAAGGCGCGTGGCCGACTGCTTCAATCCTATAGCAGTCTTTATTTGCGAAAAGATCCACTTCGATCTCGCAGAGAACATTTAATTGATATCTATTTCAATATCTTTTTAAATAAAGCAGGTGCTTGCGCCATCTTTCATTTAAACATTTTGTTATCCGTGCCTGAAGGATGCTTGGAGCATGCCCCTCACATGCGCATGTTTGGACATTTATTATGCGGCTAGTTACTTGTGTTCCATGGTTCAAGGGACATATTTATGTGGCAATATTATGGCGGACTGAAATAGCGATAACGGCGAAAGAATGATAATCTATAGGACAACATGGTCCGCGAATGGCGAATTCTTTGGCACGAGCTGATGAGTCTCGAGAATCTTGTGTAATGCATCCATAGTTTGCTGGTTTTGCTTCAGAACTTGGGTCATGGTCTGAATCCGATCAAGCATCTCTTGCTGTCCAAGAGCCATATCATTTCCTCCTAGCGACGAATATCCCCGTCGTGCAGTCCCAGATTCGTACGAGTGGCGGCTTTCAAAACTCTGTCGTGGCTCTGTAAAGCGCAAACAACCGGCACACGAGAAAGAAGAGGATGAATAAAAGGTTAAAATCTTCTTACTGCAGAACTAACTCCTATGACAAATGCCACCGTACGACATCTGACTTACCATCACCTGTAGCGTCTTCCGCCACTCGGCTGTTGGCCATGGCTTGCCGCTTATAGCGTTGCATAGCCTCCCACACGAGTGTAAAGTTGCGGCCAATGATGATCGAAGGCAGGGTGATCAACAGTACACCACACATCATTGCCGGAAACGAGATCAGCTTGCCCACAAACGTAGTGGGCACCATGTCACCATATCCAGTGGTTGTGATGGTGACCATGACATACCAAAATGCTGCGGGAATGCTGTCAAACGTGCTCGGGTTATTGTTGGCGTCCACAAATACCTGTCGAGCCTCATCCCATTCGCCTATACCAAGCATGAGGCAGAGGGAACATGGAGCAATGTTAGATTTGCTTTTCGTTAGTTGAAACCTTGATGTTCAGGGGCGCGGATCAAATTGCTTGGCGCTTAACTAACCTCGTTCTGCAAAGTAGAGCAGTGTCGAGAACAACATGGTGCCAGTGATCAAGAAGAAGAATAATGCACTGAGAGCATCCATACTCCGCTTGATGGCCACGATCATGACCTCGATAGTCATGACGACGGTTGAGGAGTACTTGAAAGTGCGGAAAACACGTAGCAATCGAAACAGCCTTAGGATTGTGAATCGGAAGAACACAGTCTATAAATTTGAATTGATACATGATGATGACGAGGCTGGATTTAAAAAAGTCGTTCCAGACGGAAATGGACCTCTGCACCGCCTTTGTTCCTTTAACTAAAACATTCAATGTCGCCTTACAGTGTCCCGCGTAAATGCCAACTCAATGTAGTATGGCAGGATGGAAAGGATATCAATGATAGCCAGAGGAGCTAGATAGAAACAATATAAATACCCAATTAGTAACACGTTCTGGTTTTCTTCAAAACATGGAAATCCTCGATGTGATCTACACTTACAGAAAAGAAATTTTTTGAGCTGCTTGACGGAATCCGAATGACAGATCACGCGCGCGCCGAACTCGATAGTGAACAAAGCGACCATGACGGTCTCAAAGTCAAACCTTGGTACCGTGTTGCGATGGTTAAACGAAGATTAATTGCCAAGTCCGGGAGTGATTGACATGGCAGAAACAATTGAGTTATGTGTGATGGTTGCCGGGAACAATTACCAGATAGTTGAATCCGTCGATCGGAAGGAGGGGATAGTCTCGATGGTGGTAATCACGGCACTGAGGACAATGACAAACGAGACCCAGACATTGAGAGCAAAGGCGGCGCTGCTGGATGACGGGTCCTCTAGCAAGAGAAACAGCTTCCTCTTGAAGGGATTCTGATCGGTTTGGTAAGCAAAGGTGCAGAAGGGGCATTAGAAAATCCACGTTTCCGCTACCAAATGAACACACGGGCTGGAAAGTTATTTTTGTCCTCCTTCAGGATCGAGGGACGAGAGCGATCAGAGAAAGTAATAGGTATACCGTTAGCGACATCTTGCGCACATACATACCCTGATAGCATTCGCCTGTGAGTTCGACCGGGTGTTGGAGTCATCCTGGCCCACTTGCATCTCTCGAAGCTCCTGGGGAATGTCGATCATGGGCCACTCCAGATCCATATCCACTTGATGCATTGATCTCCTTGGCTGAGCTTCATGAGTGGTTCGCCCTGAGGAAGTGCTCGCTCTTTCAGAGATTGGCGAAGCCACGGTGTTGCTGCCATTGTTCTGGCGATGATGATGGCTGCCAGGCTCAAACATCTCTATCTGATCCACACTTGTATCGATGTCATCGGGCTGATCCTGCAGACGTTTGAATGGCCGCCTTGCCATGCTTGGACTTAAGAGTTATAGAAGACAACCGCTTTGTAGGGATTGCGCAAGGATGACCTTCCAATACCGGATTGAGAGCCGCAAGGGAAAGGGCGCCGATGGATATTTTGGACGGATCCGGACAGTTGTCGGTACGCCCTGTGTGCTCTACCCTGTTGGAATGTATGGATCAGGAATTCGATACGGTTTTGTGCTGCTACGCCAGACGCAAAAAAGGACGATCGCTGAGCGGGGCTTTTACACAAAAGTGAAGAGTAGGATGAAGGAATCAAGGCTGATGGAGTAGATGGGCCGGACGACTTGGAGCCAAAGTAGAAAAAGAGAAGGAAGAAAGGAGAGGGCTGGTCTGTTCAACTGAGGATGTGAATGAAATCGAGACGATGCCCCTTCGCCCAAGGTTCCTGATGATGCTGTTCCTGGAGGTCTGTTCCAATAGGTCGCAATCGTCCCATCAACTTTTTTCTCAGAGTACAAAGGCCGTGCCTGAAAATGCCGATTGATATGCTGGTCTCGCATACATGCAATTATGGAAATTTTTCGTTCAATTATGAAAATTTGGCAGCTCCAGGGTCCTGTTTTCTGATGCCCGTTTCAACCAGAACATTTGACAGTCAGGGGAAGGGTCACCCGTTTGGATTCCGCCCTGGGACACTTTGCTGAAGGAACCAATAGACCATACCAACTTGCCATGTTAAAAAAAAATATGTAGAATCTGTAGGCGGATGTACCACACCCCTGTATTGGTAACGACCAGGATCAACGACGGTATACATCGAGGGCGCGTCCTAGAAGGGGTTTACCCTAGTCTACTATCCGTGTCCTCCTCCTATGGCACGTTACTCTGGCAGGGCCTGGCCTGTACCCTCCTGCGGATGCTTCAGGCCAGAGACCACTGTATCGCACTGCTGCACACTGAATGCGCTGCATTGACCCCAACGTCGGCACAGGGCCCATGTCCCCCTCCAAGATCCTCCCTTCTCACGGTCCTCCTTTCTTTTTTTGTCCAGAGGATTGATCGTCTACTCTGCACACGACAAAAGGGCGCAACTGCTCATTGCTATTCTGTAACCCCGATAACTCTGATATTGCGCCCTAAGCAGGAGCCATTCTCGTAGCCCTCTGCACTACCGCCGTGTACTGCCCTCGATGGTCTTTACATCGGCGCGCTTTTGTTTTAAAGGCCATCTCACCCACGTCCAAGAACCCATTCTTCCAGAGCCAAGGGCGCCGATCCTTTTCCAGGCATTTGATTTTCTCCTCCTCAACGCACGCACACGCACCTATCCTCCACAGCAGCCGCCGACAATCTACATGTTCCTGTACATTTTCACACACAGATACATCCCTTGCCCCACCACCAGAAGACTATGAAGATACATCGGTTCTACTTTTGCTCACATATATAACATCATACTGCGTCTGTTATTTCAGATCTGTCCGCCTAGGGGACAATGGCACAGAAAAAAGACCCAAACTAAACACTGCCCCACTAGACTATTTGTTTATGTTTTCTTTTTCTTTTTTTTCTACATCTCCTTCTCTTTCGTCTCGATACTTTCTCACCCTCTCTTTCCCATCCCCGGATCCAATTCCAAAAGCCCATCCTCCACCCTCGCTCCACTCTTTATGCCTACATCGATATCATATCCATCCGCCTTGTATCCAGCGCACCAATTGACCATCGGCCACATCTGCGCACTCTTTTCCGAATCCCCCTCTTCGACGACGCACGATCCCCCGGCCGCTTACAACGTCCCTTTCCTGAAACAGATTTATACCGTCGTCTTATCTCCATTTTGTCTGAACCCCGCACCCACCAAGTGCACATATCAATTATTATTATCTTTTCACACATATCGCTGTGCTCTCCTCAACACCACGCTTTTCCATCCTGCACACATAAGTGCTCGACACCGCCTCAAGACCGCAGACAATCATAGAGACACTCCGTTTACATGGATGTCGCCGACGGACTAGTCGATTGCGACTGGAGAGTGGACATCACCTCTTGCAGAACCACTCATGAACAGAACGTAGTTCGAGTTGTGCTGAGTCTCTGCGTCTGCTTCTACCTTGCCTTGGCGGCTGTTGGATACGGCATCCTCTGGGCCCGCAACCGCTACAGGCTCAGTCCGCCCGGGCCCATTATCGACTTTCGTCATCCGGACGGTGGCATTCGCCCCAAGCCAATCGAATCCTTTTGTGCCCTTTCAATTGCAGGGTTGCTTGGTGAGTGTTCCTCAGCAGTTTGCAGAGGAAAGGATTGGGTTTATAACCTCGTCATTTTGTTCTGTTTGATGGACGAGAAAATCGCTCCTGTACCTGGCTGTAGATACCTTTTCCGAGGACTTGGACAGGGGCCCCGATAGTGATGGAGGGAAAAAAAAAATACCAGCGGCGACAGCAAAAAAATAGACGAGCAGCGATCTTTTGGACATCTTCGAGATGGCCCTGCCGCCGTGTTGGTGTGCCATCGTTGTTTGTGAGTACGGTGTGCTTGTCTCTGTAAATATCTGCCGGCTACGATCAAGCCTGTCGGACGATTAGCCGAGAGAGCAGCAACCGTTTTTTGCATCTGCATGCCGTTGGGAAGAGAAGGATATCGCTCACAAATCCATCCATCCATCGCCGTTACAACGAACAGCGTGCATGCATACATACATTTAGGTAGGCCGCGGATGCATGCATGCAGGCCTCCCAGTTCCGCTTGTCCAAGTCAGACCTATACCTCCTCCCCCTTCGCCTACAAACCCACATCCTCCCCTACGCAACATACAAAGCATACTCTCCATCCTTTTCTGGGCTCGGCAAGCACCTAATCATTGCGACTGATCATCTAAACCCAAGAGCAAATAAGAAAGAGCAAATTAATTCTTGGGAACCGTGTTCTGGGGACTATTTTTTTTTTAAAAAAAAGAAAACGGGTGACCCCATAATCTTTAGATCCATTTCGTCCACTTTGGCCCCTCGAGTAACGGGTTGGCTTCCAGAGAATATTTGATTCACTCCACTCCACTCACACCCCTGTCTGTTTAATTCCGTCTCCGCTGTCTGTATAGTACGTTCCCTCTCAATCATTCTAGTCATCATCGATGCATTTCCGCACTCGACGATTGCGCAAGAACTGATCGTAAGTACATTACAGTACCCACGCCCGTAACGCAAGATGTTCTTCACCAGAAGTTGGGGTGCCTGAAGCTCTCATTTTGACATTCTTCTGACTTTACAATGGCTACTGCAGTCTGAAATAGCAGTCTGTTGCAGTTTTCCCTGCTGGGCATGCTTTGTCATTGGCGTTTGGTATGCCACACCCAAATTGGTCAGTGCTGCTGCTTTTTTTTTATTGTTCCTGATGCTGATGCTGAGACCGATGCTGAGACATTTGAAGAGTACTGACATGCCCTCGATGAACTGTCCAAACCGCGCGAAATAGTCTGTGCCAGGAGACAATGTGAAAATCAGGGTGCCAAGACCAAAGGTGATCAACAGCATCTTCTTCTTCCTGCTCTTCGGGCCCTTCCTGCTCGATCTGCCGAGTGTGATCAGCTCAGGGACATTCCTGGCCCGCGGACAGTATACGAAGACAAACATCGCCATCGCTGTTCACTATATCACCCTAGGAGGTGTCCTCTTGTCCGCAACAGGCATCTTTTACTTCACCCTGAACCAGCTCGCAAAAGCGATTGAAGAGTACACTGTTCCTTCAGAGTTGACCCTCGTGCACGTAAGATTGTCCCCTACTGTGGACCTTCCGGGCGGCCAGACCTTCACCCTGAGTCCACTCTCAGAAAGCGAAAAGGAAGACGAGAAGCTATGGGACTCTAGTCTGGTCAAGGTTCGACATCGAGTAAGTATAATAGCGCACAGCCGGAACCCTTCTCCACAATCGTATAACGGATCGTCATTACCAGATACTCATTCGGAGTAATATCTACAGCTCATTAGCATCCGCAACGCCGGCACAGTGATGCTCTGCTTCTATGTCATGATTTACCTGATCTATGGCATTACCCGGCCATTGATACACGCCCACATTGTCTGGAACGTCTTCTTCTGCGCGTTTTTCAATCTGGATCCTGGCACGCCCACCATTTTTGCCTACTTTATCTTCTCCATCATGTACCATATCAACGCTGGTCCGCCACGTCTTCGTCAGGTCTACTCCGTACCACGCCCACCTTTGGTCTACATGCCATCCTCTCGACCCGACCGGCCTATCGACGACTCGTTTATCTTTGACCTACACCGACCCAACACAGCAGGCGTCGGTTCTGATTTTTCTCAGTGGTCGCCGAGCAAGGATTCCGCCATCAGAAGCCTTGATTTGGGTCCGTTAAGCCGCTTGGAAGGAATCGACGAGAAGGACAAGGGATTCCCTGCAGATCAGGGTTCAAGCATCTACTCCAGTCCTACTGTTCCTGAAACTGCAGCTAGCTCGTCCACTCGGAAAAGCAGTAGTACCTACAGCCGTGATCCGTCCGCCTGTTAGACCATCTTTGCAGTAGCCCACCCCCCCTGCTCTCTATGTATATTATCCACCTTGCTTTCATTTATAACATCCTGTTCTTTCTGTACATTATATTGTCTCTCCTTCGGTACCAGGAATCGGCTCGTAGGAGACTAAACTCATATCCCATTCCTGTATTTCGACGCTGTACTTATATTCAATAAACGAACGACCATTGGTCACTGTCGATAGTATGCTAACATTGCGTCGGCTGTTCTCTGTTACCATCCTCATAACCATAACCACGACTATGGCATAACCGCTACGATTAAGGAGGCGAAAGTCCTGAAAATACTGTTCCGCTGAAGCATGCCTGATATTTGAAGTCTTTATTGATTCGAGCGAGAGTGGGTGATGCTGCAAGCTACCTTACTGCGACAATAATGTCCTCTCATATGCTCCTAATTCTTTAGGACAACATTCCTGAACACTGCTCTTCCGCGATGGTTGAATGAATAGAATGAAGGGCGAGCATCCAGAGACTCAATTGACCTAAGGCGAAATATGACCAAAATTAGTATTCTTTTACTGATATGAGCCATCCATAATGCGAAGGTACGAAGGAGGTCGCCTCTTACTGCTTTGCCATCTCGGTCTCCATAAGGATCTCCTTGAAATCGTCTGCAACCAATACAATGCCGAAGCCGAAAAGAGCTACAGAGACCAGTAATTCGATACCGATCTAATATTGGTAGACATGACATAGTATTAAATAGTTGCCCGCAAGGGATTATAAAACCGATATCTTTCGCCAGACTTACATCGAGTGGCAAACCGCTTTCGTGTCCATCGATTGCCTTTAGGTATGAAAGATCTATTTGGTTGTCAGCCGTAATGGGGAAAGGTATAGCTCATTCATGAGTTCAGGTTGTCCGGTAGACAGATTGCTAGCTGGCATACAGTTCGTGCATCAGATGGATTCTCTATTACGTTCAAAGGTCGAGTATCCAGAGTGGAACAGCAGGAGGAACGCGACCAGACATACGAATCTCCCAAAGTAACTCGGCGTTTGCTGGACTGCCATGGTATATATCCTGGTATCACTCTGTGTTGTGTTGTGCGGTGCGGTGTTGTGTGATGCTGGAGGGGATGATGGCGCCTGTCGCGAGATGACAGTGTTCAATCGTCGATGGTATCACGTGACCGGGACTCATCTTGCCTCTTGGGGCAAGTGCGACAAAAAAACAGCGACGCCTGGAGCCTCAGTCCGTGCGGTCCCGTCCTTTTTGCACCCAACCTTGTCCATCCCATTCCAATTCTCTTTCCCAGGTCCGGCATCGACTCTCTCTTCCCTTCTCTCTTTTCCTACTTCTTTCCTTCTCTTCTTCTTCCTTCCTTCACTTCCTGATCCCGATTCAGCTTGACGCGACTCAACTCCCCTCCTCTCCTCTTCACACTGATCACAAACCCTCCCATTATTCAGGCACCATAGCTTTTCTCTCGCCCATCCTCAAGGCCAACTTTATACACAAGTATACTCACACATATAACCTCCGGTAAGAAGCAATTGCATCCTTTGGCGCGGCAGGCATCATCTTGACCGCCCTGCTCAATGGCCCTCTCTCTATCCAGTTGACACCAATCGATACCGCTACCAAAATGGCACAATTGCTTATCGTTTCTTTATCTCTAATATTTTTTACAGCTCAACAATGGCATTGCTTCCTATCTCGCGCTCGGTATTGAACGTTGGACGCTACACACCTGGGCTCTCAAGGACTCTTTTTTCGAAACCTACTCTGCAGCGTTCCTTCCCAGCTACCGCACGACTATATTCCTCCACCAATGCAGCCGAGAAGGAGCACGAGTCTTCCGCGAGCTCTACCCCCGGCGTGTTCTCGCGAGTCGCTAATGCTGTCAAGTCGACATTTACAACGGGATCGTACTCTACGCCTGCGACTGACTTTGGCAAGGCAACGACCTGGAACGAGGCCTTAAAGGAAGCCGAAACCCTTGTCGTCGAGAAGAGGGGCGGACCCGTCGTCGATACGAAGGAGCTCGTCGGTGAGGACCTCAAGGATCTTAAGAGCAATATCCGTAACCTGCTGGGCAGCAACCACCCTATGGTTTCGACTGTCAGCAAGTACTACTTCCAGGCCGATGGCAAGCACATCCGTCCATTGATCATCCTCCTGATTGCTCAGGCAACCTCCTTGGCGCCCAAGAGGGTCCATGTCAGCATCAAGGATTCGTACGAAGAGATCGATACCCCTATCACAGAGCTGAGTAACTTTTACATCCCTACCGTGGGTAGTAACAACAGCAGCAGTGGGTCAGAAGCATCATCTACCCCATCGAACGCCGTCCATTCCATCTATACTCCAAGGGTGCATGCCGCTGACAACACGTGTATTCTTCCATCACAACGTCGCCTCGGAGAGATTGTCGAGATGATCCACACCGCGTCTTTGCTGCACGACGATGTGATCGATGTGGCGGACAAGCGTAGGAACCTGCTTTCTGCCAACGAGAGCTTTGGTAACAAGATGGCCGTTCTCGGTGGTGATTTCCTTCTGGCTCGTGCCTCCATTGCGCTGGCAAGGCTTCGCAACCACGAGGTCACAGAACTGATTTCGACGGTGATTGCCAATCTGGTCGAGGGAGAGTTCATGCAGCTTCGCAACGGACAGATTGAGAACGGAAAGAACTGTGGCGGTAAAATGACGACGTTTGAGTACTACATGGAGAAGAGCTACATGAAGACGGCCAGCTTGATCTCCAAGAGTTGCCGAGCCTCTGCTGTTCTCGGTGGGGCCACGGACGAGGTCTGCGACATTGCTTACACATACGGGAAGAACATCGGTCTCGCCTTTCAGGTAAAGGAATTTCCCGTACATTCTGCATTATACATGCCTTTCCTTTTGCAGCTTGTGTTCATTATATGAGAATTATGTGTAACGATTAATTCCACCATCCGCCAACGCCCATCTTCACCTTATCAAAGAAGGACTTTATTCACATGTTGTGCCGCTGCTGTGCTATTGCTGTGTCTATCGATACTCTGAAGGCTCACATATTGCATACTTTGTGTCCGCCTTTATCTCTCGTATAGCTGGTGGACGACATGCTCGACTTCACGGTGAGCTCTGATGAGTTTGGAAAGCCTGCTGGTGCGGACTTAAAGCTGGGGTTAGCCACCGCGCCTGTACTCTTCGCATGGGAGGAGTACCCGGAGCTGGGCAAGCTGATCAAGCGTAACTTTGACAAGGAGGGTGATGTCGAGACCGCATGGAACCTTGTTCTCAAGAGTAACGGTCTGGAGCAGACGCGCATGCTGGCCCAGAGCCATTGCCAGAAGGCCATTGCTGCAATCAGTCAATTACCAGACTCCCAGGCCAAAACAGCTCTGATCCAATTGACAGAGAAGGTTCTCGACCGCAAGAATTAGTTTTTCGAACCGGTTTTTTTTATATATTAGCGAGTAGAATAGTCCATCCCTCATTCATCTTCCAACCCGTGTTAGATTGTCACTGTTGGCCTTGGCGTGTTATCGTTCAAGCATACCATGTTGCCGTTCTCTTTTATTATTCCCTCTTCCATTTTCAAAAAGTATTCAAACCTTAATACATACAGCACCATGCAGAATCGAACATACTTTGTACCCGCATGTGGAAAATCACTGTTCCCGTTGGCTGAGTTCCCACCCGTAAACACAGGTTGGCACTTGACTGGTGTGCGGGACAGTCTATAAAATGGTAAACTAAAAAAAAAAAGGCTTCAGTGGCCAGTGTTGGATAGGTACCCTAAAAAGAAAGAAAAAAAAATCCACGTTGGTCCATGTTGATCCATGGGTTGCGTAAAAGTAGAATACGACTGTCCTTTGCCTGTACAAGGTTGAATAGATGTCGTTCACTTTATCGAGATTGTGAGGGCAGACAGGGAGGAAGGATTATTAAGAAGAAGAAAAAAAGGCAGGGGATATAGGACGAAAGGATGAGGAGGGGCGCATAATAAAAAGCAAAGGGAAGATAGGGATCTATGAAGCGTCAATTTATGATCCAGGGGAACGAAAGTTCGACGTCGAATGTTCTGTAGACCCAAATCGGGACAACGTTTGAGAACGTGGTAAGGGATCTGTTTCAATTTCATTTCGACGCGTTTCAGGGCACAAGGCCCAGGCGTTTTTCCATTTTCAGCAGGCAAACCTGACGAGCCAATGGGGGAGGAAGATAGGAGACCTACGCAAAGGAAGACAGAGATCAAGAACTGACAAGGGTCGGTGGTCAAATAAGATAGCGCTCAATGGTTCAACAACTCGGAACTCATCGATTCAAAGATCTGTATCAAAAATATAATGATAGCGTAATCCCAGCTCATTGGTATGGTCCCCATGCGGAGATTACTACTACTGCTGCTGATGATGATGATGATGCTGAGAGATCGATTGCGCCAACCTGTTATTGCATACACATAATTATGATATACCGACACCCACAATATCGCGTGAAGATCGGATATCCAGAGGAAGAACGTGTACTCCTCCATGTACTATAAGTACATGCATCCTTGTACGATGTACGCCTGCAAAACAGAACGGTTGCCGGTTGGCCGTCCATCGGATAACGCCATGCTATTGGCCGATTAAACAACCAAGCAACCAACTTGTGTAAATTGCCTATCAACGCTAGTCTGTCGTCCATCAGGCGAAAAATAAACAAAGGAAGACCCTGCAAAGAGCACCGTATCCATGCTGTACTGTATCCCGCAATCCCTGGAAAGGCACCAATCAAACTCGTGAGATCGGATTTCAGGTACAGGATATACACCTCCTAGTAGAAGCATTTGTGGAGAGAGAGGCTCTCGACGCTACTCGCCAATTGCCTTTGTCCAAAAAAAAAAAAAAAAAAAAAAAGTGGTACGATGCCAAGAGAGCCGTTACTATCATCCGCGTCTTGCGTGCACCGCGATCACCAAACAGTAATTGAGCGATGTGATGCCGCCGATTACGGACGGGATCTTGCACACGATCATATGCAATTTCCTCTCAGTAGACTATGAGTAATGCTTTACCGTCCTTCACGCGCACCATGTAGGCATTGTACATAATGAAAGTATTGCGGCAGAACAAACGAAGCCATAGGACGACCATGATAAGACAGTGGCAAGCAAACGCGTCTCCGCGAACGTCTGTAAGCCCATTGATAGGCACCCTCTCCGTGCTATCGATCATCGGGAGCTCACCTATAAAAACATTGCAGGAAGAGCAATGCCGCCCTTTTCTCTTTCTCTACAGTCTACTCTTAAGCCTCGTCCTTTCTTTTTTTACGACCTCCTCTCGCATTCTCGACACCGTAACGTATCCTTCCGCAGTTGCCGCCCTGCCTCTTCATCATGAATCTTTTCCACGCCGTATTCTACGCGTCTCTCTGTCTCGCTTTGGCCGCCCAGTCGGTCTCGGCCTTCAATCCACTCAGCAAGACCAATGTTGTCAACTACTGGGGCCAAAAGTACGTTCATGGGCTTGGATCTCATAACGCGTTCGTTTGCATACCATCAACTAAAGCTGCGTGAAGAAATCCCTAATCAACTTTTTTTCCCTCTACTTTATTTTTCTCCGCGCAACAGCTCTGTCTCATTCAGTGGAGGCACTGAAACAGACCTGGTCAACTACTGTCAAGACGACACCATCAATGCCTTTGCGATCGCGTTTGTCTACCAGATCCAGAATGGCAAGCCGGTCCTGAATCTCGCGAACCACTGTGGTGGTACCTTCCCAGGGACCAATCTCCTCAACTGCCCCAAGGTCGGCCAAGACATTAAAGCTTGCCAGGCCCGAGGAAAGGCCATTGTGATCTCGATCGGTGGAGCCTCGGGCTCGTACTCGCTTCCTGATGCTGTATCCGGTACGGCTTTTGCGGAGCAGATATGGAACACCTTCTTAGGTGGATCCTCTTCCACGCGTCCATTCGGCGATGCAGTCCTCGACGGCGTCGACCTCGACTTGGAATCGGGCCAGAACGCTGGTTACGTCGCTTTTATTTCCACGCTGCGCAACAAGTTTGCATCAGCCGGTCGCCGTTACTACATCACTGCCGCTCCTCAGTGCCCTTACCCTGACCAGGCCACCAAGGACGCTTTGGCCAATTCGTGGTTCGATCTCGTCTGGGTCCAGTTCTACAACAACTACTGTGGTGTCCAGAGCTTCGGCACCAGCAACTTCAACTTTGACACCTGGAACAACTGGGCCACGACTGTCTCCAAAAACAAGGACGTCAGAATCTTGCTCGGCGTTCCTGGGGGACCTGGTGGTGCTGGTTCAGGTGTGATCGATGCCAGCAGACTCAACACCATTTTGGGTGCTATCAAATCCTATTCCAACTTTGGCGGTGTTATGATGTGGGATGCTGGCATTGCTCGTCAGTCAGGCCTCGCTGCCTCTGCCGCCACGTACCTCCAGCAGTCATCCAGCCTCCAGGCTCCTGAAAAATCCAAGCAGCCCAAATCTTCTAAGGCCCCAACCACTCCAACCACGACCACCACGGCTTCTACAACCAAAGTCCCTACCGCTACGACTCCCGCACCCTCAAAAAATACACCCTCATCTCCCAAGGTTCTAAAGGGGGAGGAAACCGAAGCCAATCAGGTCCAGCTCGATGTTAAGCCTATTGTGGCCTCGACCACGACGATTTCCATTGATGCTGCAAAGCCGACGATGACTCTTACGCTCCAGTCCGGTAGCGGACCTCAGGTGATCACCGTTCATATCGAGAACAATACCAAGCCCGAGGCCCCCATTCCAACTGACTGGATGGGACGTCCTTACAAGATGCCAGGCATCCGTGTCGCGCAGCCTGCTCCTGCGGTCGGTAGCTTCGACATTGTTATCAATGCTGTTTGCAAGAATTAGGCTGCTATTGAGTCTCATTGGCTCACTACTCCCTTCCGGATGTAATACCTTTCCTCTCTTTCTCTTTCTCTCTCTGTCTTTTCCAATTACTGCATCTATGCGGCAGCAACTTGCTGGTGCCACTAGGTCTTTAAAACGCCGGCTGGTCCGTGTGATGAATACTATATTTATGAACACTATTTACAAACATTATTTATGACGAGAATAAAAAACGCTGCTTCACGAGACATCAAAAAGACCCTTTTGGTTTGTGTGGCATGAGAAAAAGGCCTGCTCCAAGAGGAACAACAAAGATTACAAAAAAAAAAAAAAAAAAACGAAGAGTGCTTTAATCGGCGGTTACAGCAACCATTAAGAGATAAAGACGGCCACGGCTAGAAAGACGCGCCAACAGAGGGGAGGAGGGGTACCTCGGCACTATTATCGAACTATGTATAATGTAAAAACGAGAATAGTCATGTCGATCCTGTCTTCCTCGCTCTGGGGCAGGGTTTTTTTTTTTTTTTTTAGTCTGCCATCTCATATCGCCATCCAGTTTGCTGTAGGTAAGTCCGATCGCTCTTTGGAACTGTCTTTTACCGCTTGCGCTCAAAGTAGGACGAAGCTGACATGAAGGCAGTACCCTGATCGACGACCCATTCGCCCACAGTCAAGTATTTGTCGACATACGAGCGGACATCATCGCTCTCGATCTTATTGGTGGCAACGCTGATTAAGTATTAGAATTAGGAGGGGAAAAAAGGATGAGTGGACAGGCGCTGGGTACCTTTTCGTTGACGTGATTACGGCAGATATAGGATGCGAACGACACCCCTGTTATTTAGGCAAAAGAATTGACATACCTCAGTCCCTGAAAGATAGCAATTGAATATCCCACCGCCAAATAAGCAGCATGAAAAACAGAGAGACAATTGATTAGAATCAAGCATCGTTTAGATTCGGAACAGTCCATGCATTGATTCCGCCTTGGAGAAAGAAAACAAAAGACGTGCGTAGTGATGAGCAAGCGAGGTCCAAGAGAGTGTGATGAGTCCTTACAGTACTACGCTTGATACCAGCGAGGACAGCAGAGACGAGAACGGCGTCGGCAGCATAGTGAACCAGCTTGGTGATCATTTTTTTTCTTGTTTTTTTGGTAAGAGAGTGAGGAAATGGGGAGAAAGAGAGAGGGATGTTGAATGGCACGAAGTGAGGGAGAGAATCGTCGGGCCTTTGTTATTTCTTTATGTGCCTGTGCGGCGGTTGGATATGCGCGTGTGTGCTGCAGTAAGCAAAACTGGCTGGGCGCAAAGGCCCCGCCCAGCCAAGCCCTCACTCACAAACACTCTTGTCGAATCAGGCAATTTTTTTTATCATAGTATTCACAATACAATCTACTACTGCTGCTTTCCCTGTTCTAAGCACCACTTCTTGATCTGTGTTCGGCTCTTCAGATCTGCCTGTCGAATCGGTTCTGGTATCCGATACAGCGAACAAGCCCTCACCAGGGCCACGGCCGTCTCCAACGAGACCCTATGCCCGATCGACACAAAGATCGGATTCTGTGCTCCGTCTGCAGATTTCGTTGTCGCTGCAGATAAGGCTGCCCCATAGACCTTTCCACTGACCTCGCCTTTCAATGGCATCAACCCATGTGCATCCTTATTATCCGCGACAAAATTTCGGAAAATATACTTGAGTTCCGTAGGTTGTGCACCCAAGAGCGGACCGTCGCCGTGAATGACTAGATAGTTTTTGGAACACCCGATCGTTGGGATGTTGGAGACGAGGCCTAGATGGGAGGCGAGACCGAAACCACGAGGGTGGAGGGCCCCACAGCCATCGACCATGATCACCTGTGGCATGAGCTCAGGTCGGTTGGTGCGCAGGGATTCGATGAGGCCCAGAAGGGGTTCTACCTCACGGAAGGCAAGGTATCCGGCAATATAGGGTAGTGTCAGCTTGACCTTTGCATGGTCCTCGTATACGACCTACATGGAGCAGACCAACCAACTTCAATTCAGCCAGCGTCACCAAGAATTATTTCAAATGAACGACGGCGCTGAAAAAAAGTAGATGCTTTTCGAAGCAATTGAGTGCCGCAGTCTTCTTCCAGATGCCGTTACCTTGAGCTCTGGGTACGATAGGACAATGAGCGAGGCAATGGCATCCTCGTTGTTCTCGATAATGAAGCTTAGATCCACGCCTCCGATATATCTTAATCCCTGCACGCCTTCGAGGTGATAGGTATCATCGCCCGGTTTGAATGTAATAGACCAGTCTGGGTGATCATCCTGAAGGATAAGATTGTTCTTCAGGATCGACTGCTGTCTTTCAAGGTCGTAGGTTGCAGACAACGCAAAGGGGAAAAGACGGGTACATTTAGCAATTGGAATGTCATCGTTGAGCATCCACGCGTGCTTTGACGCTTCAGGGCCCACTGCCTGTTGTACGTTACTTTGCCCATTCTTGTTTTTGAAGTTTTGTGGGCACACTGTACTGTGTGCTGCCGTTCGCACTTTCAGTGTTTCGGCTGCTACCGGCGGTTATATTGTTGTCGACCATGGTCATTGCTATTGCGAGTGATGTGTGCAGTGTACAGTGGCGATTCAATTGGGAGGTTTTTTTTGAATGAGGAAGGAGAGAGAGATGTCGCGCTGCAGTTAAGAACGCGTGCAGAATAATTTCAGTCCTAGACATGGCGACGAATCAACTTAAAAAGGTGACCTGAAAAGGGATCCGCTCGAATGTCTTTCTCCCGCTCATTCCACATCCTTTCACGACACCATGGACTCGCGAGGTATGCAACCGTTGAAAACTCATATTATTCAAAGGCCACACTCATTCGTGTCTAAAAAAAACGCTCGTTTCGATACTTTTTTTTCAACCACAGAAGCGTTGGATGTTCTCATATCGCAAAGTCGCCAGCCTGATCGCCCCGAGATCCGCGCAAATAGCTCTATAGGTCTCGTGTCCCTTGTTGCAGAAAAGGTATTGTCGAGTCATGTGTAAACATGTACCTCTTATATGCCTCTTACACTTGAAACTGATCTGCGATATGTATCTATTGCTTCTTTTTTTATTTGCAAATAGAGCGCCGCATTCGACGACAATGAAGGAGATTCAAAGGATGAGCAGATGTGGATAGAATCATGGGCATTAATTCTAAATGGATTGGCGGATGAGTGGCCGCTTGTCAGAGAAGCCTTTCAGGAGCAGTTGATCAAAGCTATCGGACAGTCTGAGCCACTCCGAAGAGCGGTGGATCAACCTGACTTTATAGATCAAGTAAGAATCGCACAGATCCAATGCACTTTCTCCAGGACCCCTGACCATTTTGCGATTTAAATCCCTGGCGTCTAACCTTCATGTTTTGCCTCCTAACCTTATAGGTCATGAAAGAATCGGTGAAACAGCAGGGATCTGACCAGAATAAGCTAGATATTGTTACAGGAATCCTGTCGTTAGCGCATTTGGCTATCGTCAAAGATGAAGGCGTCGAGAGCGAACTATCCGCCACTCATGCCTGGGATGTTGACCGAGTGAGCGGGATTCTCAGCATGGCAATGGAGGGATACCTTGGATCGAAAGCGACGCCGCCATCAGGGTACATATCCTAGTGCGCCATGAACATGCACAATCCTGTATTTGAATAGACCATTCACCGATGCTTAAACTGTTTTTAGAGTCTGCGAACTCTTGGCAAAGTCATTTACTGGATCTCAACTGGTGCACGCTCTTGGAGCCTTGACTACAGCGCATTTTGCCCAGCCTTTGCAGGTAATCAACTAACTTTTAGATGTCCGGTGTGGCTTCTGACCAAGGCTATTTAACAGTCCATTGTCGTCCTTTGATCATAGGCTGGAGACTTTGCGTCTTTCTCTGAGGCGATTCTACGCCAAGCAAGCTCAGGACATACTGGAGGGGACGAAACTAGATCACTTGCACTGGCGATCCCAGTTGCGAAGGATTGGGCTTTTGCTCTATGGCTGTGCGATCAGCTCCGGATACCAACAGTTTTCGCGAGTGCAGAGTCAATCCAGGGTACTTCTTTAGGATCATGAAGGATGCAGATCCATGGGGAAATCAATTGGGGACTAACACTGGATATTGCTTTGGTTGCAACTAGACTCAGCACAAGGACGTGCAGTGGCGGATACGTTTGTGAGGAGAGTTCCGGCACTGTTGGAATGCATCGGACATGTACTGCGTATTCAATCGGTATGTCCAGGATTTTTCTCCTGCCTCCCATAATTTCGTCCGCACCCATTAATCTCTTCTTTTTTGCTTTTAGCTTGATAATACATATACCCTACACCGACTGGTCATCGCATGTGCCGCATTCGTGAACAGCAAAGATCTTTGGAACAGACTGGAGCCCTTGGTCTCTGGAAGGAGTCAGGCCAATGCACAGGAGAATCTGAGGATCCTTTATCAAACAACGCCATGGTCTATCCGCTCTGTTCCAAACGCTCCACCATCTGATTCGACAAGACATGACCGCAATGTGGTCATGATCCCGGGCAGCTTCTCAGACCATATTATCCAGATCATCGAGAAGGAGATCCGACCCTGCTTTACACACGTCAAGGCACAGAAAGCCGCCCTGCGGGCTCAGAAGACCATTGAGCTGCACCAGGAAAAGATGCGACAGTCTGCTCCGCTGATCGAGGAGGCTAAAGACCCCGGTGAGATCGCGAACGAGATTGTGATTCCAGGGAACAAGAGCATTATGCAGCGACGGACGCAGGGAGTTGGATTGACCCAGCGGATCCGGATCGCATCTGTTATTGATACACCAAATGATGAGGAAGAGACCTGGACGGTTATGGATGATCATGAATTGAACCTGAGCAACGCCTCGCAGGTTAGGAGATGGGACAAAAATTTCTTGGAGGCCGTGCCTGTGGTCGAGTGGTGTGCTCAGCAGCCGATTCAGGATCCTAGCCGGATACACGAGGTCTTTATGTTGCTCGTCAGCCCCATTCTGGCCATGACGGATTCGCTTCAGCCTAGACATCGGATACGAGGACTCGATCTGCTGACGATATTTCTGATCCAGTATCAGGATGCCTCGAGAGGGAACTTTGATGCGAAACACAGAAGGCAGAATGATTCGAGGATATGGATCAAGATCTTTGAGAGAACAGGCTTGGATCAGGTTCTGGAGCGATCGCTGAAGCCGCTTTTGGGTCCTCTGCAGATGGGTGTCACGTCGACCCCGGGATCAGAACTTCAATACGATGACGATAATGAGTTGGAGAGAATCAATGCGGCATTTAGGGCGTATTTGACCCTGATCCTTGTCAACACCGAGCCAGATGACAAGCCCCGGTCGAGTATAGAGAATGGCCGTCTTGCATCCCTCAGCAGTTCTGGTACTGGAACATCGACATCGGATCTCAACATGCTGACGGTTGAGAATTTGTTCCTGCAGGGAGTCATAGGCAGTCTAAGGAAGGCGAATCCGACAAAACAATATCGAGCATTAGTGCTGGAATGGACAAAGATCTTGGTCAATCCGGTCGTTTCGTTCGACTTTGTATGGGAACAAATGCATCAGCACCAGAGATCATTGAACATTGTCCCGTTAGAAACAGAGCTGGGCAATGGCTCGACGCGTGAGCAGAGCTTCCAGGGGATCTATGGATTGGGCTCGTTAACGATCAAGTATCTGCTGACCTTGGTGCAGCATACGTGCAACATTCTCGATTTTCCGATCCCGTCATCACCTCCGTCGGCGCGGCTGGAGAGTTTGAACCTAGCTTGGAGAGCATCCGAGACCCTCCATGCGGTCATGCAGGTCTGCAAACCAAGGCAAGTAACCGTACTGCTTCTATTCAATGCCAAAAAGGAGCACCCTTCCTCTTATGTTCTATCCAACGCTGGGACTGGTTTTTAATGCAACATCTGCTCTCATAGGGTCCCAAGATATCGCGGTAAGATCATGGCAACCATCGCCAACTGTTGGGCTAACTCCCGAACCTTTAGCTCTTCCGATTCCGGAACTGTTAAGCCCACATCGGATCAGCCGCCAGAGCAATTGCGTCTGGACCAGAGTCTGGTGAAAGCGATGCAGCTCTGCATAAACCTCTGTCAGCCCAAGATCACGATCGAGGCACCTAGTGGACTGGACATGGACCTGAAGGTCTTGAAAGAGCTTGACCCCTCAGTCTTTGATCCGCTCTTCGTTTCCGAATAAAAAAAAATTCCAGCAGCAGCTTTTTGACAACGTAGATTTAAGTGAATTGGATTCGTCGCTGCTGTTATTGTTGAAAATATATTATGTGTTACTATTACATGAATGAAAGAACGGCTGCTAGCAAGTGAAAGTGCCCTGCCCTTGTGTGTTAGAGGGCCATGGACCAAATTTCGACTGTCTGACAATAAAACTCTTCCTCATCGTTTTTTGGACTGCTGCTCCGACTGCGACTGCCCGGTGCATCGTTCATCTGCTTCTGCTGCTGCTCCTGTTCACTAGATGCGACCGGTCGAATTGGACGAAGGCACGCAGTTGCGAGTGGCTCGTTATCAAAGGTCGCACATCGCGATGAATGTCCAATTTCTAGATCCGAGTGGATCCAAAGCCCAAACTTGCCGTCACCGCCACCAAAACCAATGAACCCGGGCTCGGACAAAATCATGTAATCGTTCTTTCCCGTCCATTTCCAGAACTGTACCGCCTTTTGCTTCTTTTTCCTCTTTCCAGTGTTACTTCCATGCTGTCCTGAAGAGGGAGTCGTCGGTCGCAGTGTTGGCGAGCTAGACTGCGAAATGGATGTCTGCTGCTGTTGTTGGTGGTGGTGGAGTAATGGCGATGGCGAGGGCGAGCGTCCTCCAGTAGTTAGAGGATCGTTCATGGCCACGAACAAATCATGGCGGCGGTTATTGTCCCCGGCGCTGGCGCTGTTGTTGCCTCGACTAGCAGATGAGCTGGATGTCATGGGTGAGGATGAAAGCGACAGGCCGGTATAGGGAGATGCTGCATTGCTCGAGAGTCGAAGAGGAGAGGGCGATGGTAGGGGTGATGGCCCTAAGGAAGGCGAAGGGGGTGGCTGCGGACTCGCCACCATGGTCGTAACATTCCAGAGGAAACTATCAAAAATAAAATAAAAAAGCGGCTGTCAGCAAGGTGCTGCTTTTTTCGTCGCAAGTGGATCGATACGACGCCCTTGTTCAATCTAACGTACCATTCCCCTGTTCCATAGTACGATAGATGAGGGGCCAACTCTTGATTGACAAACGCGCCGAACACCTAGAAGAAACGAGGCATGGGTTTCAGATTTCAGAAACATGCCTAATAGCCGTCAAGAGAAAAATGAAAAATGAAAAAGAGACTTCAAAAAGATTACTTACGCAGTCCATGGTATCCTTGATGGCGAGGATCATGGGACCCTTGCCTTTGCAGCGGTGATAGAGCGTCGTCATGCTAATCCCATGCTGGTCGGACGAGTACACAAGATTCCACTTTGTAGCATTCCTTAGCTTCCTTGGCAGCTCCAGGCGGATCTATTTCAATTAGAGTAATTTCCGTCCCCACAGTTTGTCAGATATAGTTTGATCCACGCTGTCCATCCTCCTTTTTGACATGGCACAAGAACAGAATAAAAAGGAGAGACTATGCCCTACCAAATGAGCGGCCTCGAGATCGAGCACCGGGTCTGTGTCTTCATACCGATCCAAGAGCTGAAGCGGTGGCAGCTTGCTGATCTGCTCTACTCGTCCTGACATCGGTGTGGAAGCACTGCTGGACATTTCCGACGAGGCTATCCCTGGCTGATGGAGATTACCATGGCTGTGGCTCCCGCACAGATAGCTTGATCCAGATCCTGTCACCGCCATCCAAGGGTCTTGACCAGAGGCCGCCGAGTTGGGCTCAGTCCCTTGAGTTTGCTGATGGTCACTCTCGCTTGGAGTCAACGAGGACTCACCCCAGTCTCCTCCACTGACGGTTGACTGTGTCGATCGCGTGGGTCCGTACTTGGACTGCTCTGTGGTCACAAGGGAGAGGACTGCCTGCTTGGCTTTTCGAGGGATCATGGTGGGCTGGTAGATCGAGGGCGCGGTGTTGTAGCGGGAGTGGTATCGAGTGCCGGCGGAACCAGAAGCCTGTTGGGTCTTGGGATCCAGAGAGATATGTCGAGAGTGCTGTTGGCGTTGGTGGTGAGTGCCAAAAGTAGATTTTAGCAGGCTATGACGAGCACTGGGGCTGACAGTATCGTTGAAGAGCTGCTTGTCACTGGGGGAAAGTGACGCCGAAGATGAGGCAGGTATCGAGTTGGGAGCAGTGGACAGGGGGGCGATGGTTTGCGGTGGCGAATGAGGTCTGTCTTGTCTTGCAGTAGAAGTGAATGAGGAGTGCGAGTGCGAATGCCTTGACCTAGTGGTCGATCGCAGACGTGCAGCGGGGACCGTGGGACGGGTGGTGGTCTCGGAGAAAAAGGCAGTCAGGTAGTCTGGCGCTTGATAGGACTGAGGCTGAGGCTGAGGCTGAGGCTGCGCGTCGCTGGAGGGGAGGAGAGGGGAGGTCGAGAGGAGGGAGGAGAGGGAGGAGGATGGAGAGAGGGAAGCAAAGAAGGCGGAGGAGCGCCTTTTGAAGGAAGAGGAGGACCGAGGCGACGTGGCCGAAAAGTAGAGGGCGTCAGCAGGTCCGGCGGTGGAAGGTGAGAGGGAGTGGCACTCGACCGGAGAGATGTTAAGGGCGGAGGAGGAGAGAGATGAGGGAAGGACGGAGATGGACTTTGAGCGATGGATGACGATGGGAGACAACGAAGACGAGGACGAAGGGAGGGGGAGGGAGGGTCTTTGCCTGGCAACGGCTGTTCTTATGCTGGGAGTGGGAGTAGGTACTGCTACTGCAGTATTCCTCTGCTGCTGTTGCTGCTGTTGCTGCTGACAAAGACACGACGGACAGCTGGCGTGGCGTGAGTGGGGCCTGTGCGACAGCGACAATGACGCCGGTGAAGGGAAAGGGGCAGTTGCGTTTGTGGTTGAAGAAGAGAAGGAGCGCCTGGACAGTTGGCAAGAGGGGCAGTCCTTCTGTTTGGAAGGAAGAGAAGAAGAAGGAGAAGAAGAAGGAGAAGAGACGTCTTGATGATGACGATATGGATCCGGGGGGGAGGAGGAGGAAGCTGAAGAGGGAGAAGGAGAGGGGCCAGGGGGAGCAGAGTCAGAGGACGATTCGGACGATTCAGACGAAGAGACCGAGGACGAGAGTTCAGGCAAGGTCGAGAGTATAGGACAAGGCAAATCCGTCGATTCTATCGACTTTGGACTCGGTTGCGTCTGGTCCTCGTCACCTGTACTTGACATCTCGATCACCCCCGTGGATGTGGATGCGACCGCTGCCGTGTAGGGTCTGTTTCCACGGTCCTGTTCCTTGACAGTGGGCCGACAGAGAGGAGGAGGATGGCTCCCATTCTCGCAGGCAGCATTCCTTCCTTTTATGTCACTGCCGTTCCACCTCGTTTTCATGTCCATACCCATGCCCCTGCTCATGTTGACGAGGGTAATTGTTGACGCGTGGTCCTCTGCAGTGGAGATGGTGGTGGTTGTGCGTGCGCGGGAAATTGCTAACGGCGCAGCATCTGCGAAGCTGCTGTTGTCCGAGGTTGACAGGGACAGAATTGCAGGGAGACTATGTGGTCTTGTGAGGGACATGCCGACCCGAGACGAACCAGGATGCAGTTGCTGCTGCTGCCGTTGTTGTTGAGATTGACGATACATTTTGTTGAACAATTGGTGGTTTTGATTGTAGTTGTAACTGTAGCTGTAGTGGTGTTCTTCCGGCCGTTGCGACGGATGTAGCAACATGTTCTTGCTGTTGGTATAGAGAGAGTGCGTGTGTGTATCCTCAAGTGATACTTGACGTTGATGCTGAAGCTGAAGGTTGGAGAGGAAGACGAAGGGGTGAATAGTTGCTTTTCAGGAATAATGATAGGGACAGGAAAGGAAGTAGCGGTGGTCAGAAGGAGGAGTGCTGAGAGTGCGAGAGAGTGCGAGAGAGTGCGAGAGAGAGAGATAAAGAGAAAGAGAGAGAGAGAGAGAGCTAATTAGAGCGGTATGGGGATGATGAAGACAACCTTGCGTGGTGACGAAGGGCAAAAGCAAAAAGAGAGAAAGAGGAATATGGGTGGGTGGATGGACAGGTATCGAGCCTCCTCCAATTGACCACACGCAGTAATGGGGATGGAGCAGAACCGCGCCAATGAACTTCAACGACTACAAGACTACACTTCTCCCTCGCGCAGCTGTGTGTGATGAAAAGGAATAAGGAATGGAAACGAGAGAGAAAACAAAGTGACGACGGACTGATCGAATTACAAAGATTGCAAGGAAAGAGAGGAAGGTCAAGAAAGCCGCCTGATGGTCTGCTCCAGGTGCTTCGGATGCCTCTCCAGACACTACACGGAAATGAAAGCGAAGTGTGTAACGGGAATTAGGATCTTTTGTATTAAAACATTAAGGCGCTTTCATCTTCATAGACAGCAGACCAACAACATCCGAAGCATGGATAAACAAGCAAACAAAGAAACGACAACAGTGGGCATGCATCGTAGGACAAACAACAATCAATAAACATATGCACCATTCGTCGCCATCCTTGTCTCCGTTCCTGTTCCTGTTCCCTGTTCCCTGTTCCCTATTCCCTGTTCCTTGTCCCCCGTCCCCTGCCCCCTGTCCCCCGTTTTCTTGATCGTGTGGTAGATGTGTCTTCTCTCTCTCCCCCTCTCTCGGCATGGTCCCTTTCTCCATGCACCAAAATCTTTTGATGCACTCTACATCTCTTTCGCAAGATCATGTATGGACCATCTACATACCCTCCCCTCCGGTTGCAGCGAATGGAAACGTAGGAAAAAACAGAAGACCACCGGCAGCAGCGAATAAGAATCCAACAACAGTAAACATCTAAAGGGTCCGTTGCATAGGGTTCGCCAGATGACCGATGAGGAACCCTTTTCTTCTTTCTGTTGAACCATTGGTCGGTCGCCTGTCCTGCACACAAGTCCTTTTTTTTTTACAAGGGAGCAAGGTTCCCTCCCTCCCCTAATCCACGCGCCGACACTGATCGTATACAGAACATAGTAATATATCACGCTGTCTATGAACTACTTGTCCATGGGCATATGAGATATCAAAAGATATATGGTCCATCTGAATGTATGGTTTAAGCTCCCAGGCTTCATTCCTCTACGCGTCCGTAGGATCCAGTCAGATCTTGTTCCTCTAAACAGGGATAGTGTTCAAACTCAAAAGCACCCGGCTCCTGAAATCGTATGACCTCTATTTTTCTAAATGCAGCGACAGGACGCGTCTGTCAGATTCGAAGGTCTTTCTTGCTCGCAACAACATATTAGCATAATAACACCTCATATGGGTCTGCCGGTAAAGGATGATCAACGTGGCCTGCAGTAAATTTGTGCCGCATAGAGTAGAATAGATAAAATAGAGCGAGGATACCCGTCCATTTTTTCTCTCTCTTTCTCTGGCATCCCTCGCCTTGCTCCACCCTTCTTGACTAGGGTTGATAAGGATACTATATGGGTGGGTTCGTAGAATGGCTCTTCAGACAAGAATTAAAATCAAAGGTCACTCATTCAACTTCGAATGTAGGTGGATCAGGGCCACGCGGGTTTCCTGCCGTGCCACATTTTAAATATTTGAACACATATTACATGGTAGAGTGGAAAAGATTTTACGTGTGTAGGATCGCCCCTTGTTCTGACGCACAAGAAGGGACGATGCAAGGAGGGATCACGAAGTGGTCCAGTATGTAAGTGAGTTTTTGATTGAAATCGCCCGATTTGATTTGCTTGATTGTCCAATGGTTGTCTTTCAGTCTTTCAATTAGCATCGGCTATATTTCATAGCCCGTTTTGATTTTGATTCTCGAGGGCTCATCAAGATAAAACTACATAGGAGAAAGAGCACGCCTCATCATTGTTGTTCACAATCAAACACCTGTGGTAATCCTATCCCCCACACCCCAACCAATTGTTGTATATAAACCAGCGAACCTTCTCCTCTTTTTTCCACATCGTCTTCCTTCTTCCCTTCCCTACCACCCACCCACCCAGTTCTCCACATAAAATGCTCGGACGAACGTCCTTCTCGGCCCTGGTGGTCGTCATCGCCCTCATCTTTACTCTCCTCTTCTCTGAGTCCGTCACGGCAGCTCCCACAAAGCCCCACAAGGCTACTCCTCCTAAGACCCAGGCTACTGGTCCTGTTACCCTCGCAAAGTTGACCAAGGCATTTGCTGGCAATTGCCCCACCAAGACCGTTGGCGATCAGATCACTTGCAAGGATGCCCTCCCCTACATCAACGCCGCCATCAAGAAGTACAACCTCAAGACCAAGGGCCAGCAGGCCGCCTACATTGCCACCATGGCCTACGAGGGCGGTTACCTCAAGTATAACCATAACCTCGTCACCCATAGCCAAGGAAGTAAGTCGCCTTCATCGAGACAAACACCATAGCATTCCTTCATCAAAGCAAATTGCATTTTCTGACACTTCCCTCCTTTTTTTCATTGGTTTTTTTATATACCTCCGATTCGTAATATTATATTAGCCCGCTCGATTATGCCCGCTGTCTCATTGCGCACCTTCATCAACGCCAGCAAGTCCGTCCAAAAGTTCTTCCCCGGATTCCCCAATAACATCAACGAGAACACCATTGCCGATGTCCTGATCAAGCACCATGCCGACTTTGAGCCCGGTGCCTGGTGGACTGTCTCGGGCCCTAACTGTGCCAAGGCTGCCTCCCGTCTCTCTGCTTCCCAGAGCAGCTTCACTGCTTGGGAGACCAGCTGCATCAACGGTGGTACTGATACCGTCCCTGCTCGTGCTGCCATCTACAAAACCGTCTATGCTGCTCTTAAATAGACGACCCTCTTCAACTAAAAAAAAATATGTATTAATAAAATTTGGCGGCAAAACCCTGGTGGTTTATGACCTCCAAACCAAAAATCCTGCTCTCTCTGATTAAATAGATAAAACATGTTTCGTACCTACTCTCCTGTATGCTCTGGAATCAAATTTGTGAGCGAGCAATTGAAAACAGAGCTTCCTCCTCTTTGAAGAGGAAGAAAAGGATAAAATGAAAGGTCTCGCCGAGACTCGAACTCGGATTGCAAGATTCAGAGTCTTGATTGCTAACCAATTACAACACGAAACCATTTGCTTGACACGCTGAAACTCTAAAATATCCTTTATATATCTCATTAGCCTGATCACGTGCACAGGATAGGCAACCTTTGGGTGCTTTCTGGGGCCACTTGAGGACGTCGTGTCAAGAGAGCGATACCAGATCTTGCCGACGTGGAGTGGCGGTCCACCCTTGCCCATGTCCACGACAAGCGCTCTGTGCACACGTTCTTCAGCAGTGCTGCTGATACGTCCCAGAGGACACATCATATTAAGAAGCTGCATGGTATGCTGCCTACCCTGAATACCATGAAGGCTCGCCACCCGAGTCTATATCCTGACCGTGTCTGCTGCGTCTGCGATGTTCAGGACGAAGACAACCATCACCTGTGGACGTGCAGTGCTACTAGAGATGTTCACAAGGAGATCTGGCGCGAAGGGCTACAGCAGATTGATAAGTGGGGACGAGCTGCAACGACCGCATACAACAAGAACAGCAAGAAGCAGCAAGAGCGTGATAGGATCCGCGCTGGAGCCGCCGCTGCTGCACCGAAACCCATTCGATGGGTTTGTCCTAACAACGAGACCCACATCCGAGGTCTATCCTGTATCGCCGGGACCCGATCAATGCTCAAAGGCGACGAGTATTATGACCGCTCTCCGGATCTGACCTGGAGCATCAGCGATTTATGCCGTGGCATCACACCAGTCAGCCTTATCAAGGAGTGGGGCAGTCTATTTACCTCGCCATCGTCGATTGCGCGCCAGGTCATTCACAAGTTCGTCGGCTTTATTGAGGAAAAAGCTACGGAGCTGATCTGGAAACCACGCTGCAAGGCCACCATTGCTCGAGAGCGAGAATGGGGGATCACAGCCAAGATGAAACGAACTCCATACAAGGGACCGAGAGGGGACTGGAGTGATGGGTATGGATATATTAGCGACGATGACCAATGTCCGTGTGGTGCATTACTCGCTGACCATGTAAACGGGAGCTGCCCTGGCCCCGTGCTTGACCCAGACGCAGCGGATCGGACACTGCTGGATTGCCTGCAAGGGAGGAGGCGGTTGACAACTATGGAGGGGATGGGGAAGATACCCTTCTTGTAACAAGGTGTTTTCAGCTTTTAACACACTGATGAGGTGTGGCAATTGTTGCGCAGGCCCTAGGGGCAGGCCCGGGGAATGTGACCTGTCTTTTGGCGACTGTGGATCGGTTCCGCTTTGGTGGTGAGGACAGCGATAGTAGATCTTTGCTAGTTAGTCTGATAGATTCGCAGAGTCAATTGACTCGAGAGACAAGTTGTTATAAAAAAAAAAAAAAAAAAAAATCTGGGGCCACTTGAGGGCCCTACATCGCTTAGACTGCCTGCAAGATCATGGGGATTTATGTTAATAAAAAAAAAAAAAAAAAAAAAGCTTAGACTGCCTGCAAGAGGGGGAGAAAATCGACAGCCATGAAGGGGATGGGAAGATACCCTTTTTGTAACACGTAGTCTTCAGCTTTTAATTGTTGCGCAGGCCCGGAGGAATGTGGCTTGTTTTTTGGCGACTGTGGATCGAGTCTGGACTCTAGTCTTGAGCCCCAGTAGCAGGCTGCGTCGCGTGCTCATGGGGATTTATGTTAATAAAAAAAAAAAAAAAAAAAAAATTGAGCCCCAGTAGCAGGCGGCACAGGCAGCAGCGGGATTGCTTCTAGACGATATAAGCGGCAGGAGTTAGCATTGAACACGCATTGGTTATCAAGGATGGCGGACGAGCGGTTGCTGAGTCAATATCAGGGTCGTTTGAGGTTGGACGTGATGGAGAGAACGGGAGGACTGAAGTTCCTAAAAGTGAAAGGATCAGACTAAAAGTTGCCATGGCGCAACAGGTCGCGTAGCGAGCAAGACACGTGCGGTACTTGCCCATGCGGTCAGCGATTATGAAACCAGGATATCTGTGTCGGTGTAGGCTGGGACGGATGTAGCTATGCTGCTTGTAGGAGACGTTATGAGGTACAGCCTCTGTGGACTACAAATCCCATATCGTTGAGGATCCTAGTTAATAAAAAAAAAAAAAAAACTCTAGACTTGAGCCCCATTGCACCCAAATGCTGCTTGAGTACATTCTTTCACTGTTAAGAAAGGTAACGAGAAAGTCTGTATTGTATTTTTATTTTATCTACAGTAGTCCATCGACTGCCGCTTTCGTGTTAGACCTGCACTCAATCTTTTTTTGGTCAATATAAAAAAGAGCACTCAACTTTGATGCGAGGGAATAAAGCCCACACGTCTCCGTGGGTCCTAGTTATCAAAAAAAAAAAAAAAAACTCACTTTGATGCAAGGGCAGTGACTTTCTCATAGTTTTATTTGATACGCGCAGCAAGTTGCATGCCTCGAGCAATGCACCGCTAATCGCGATATACTACACTTGAAGCGGCTGTGCAAAGGAATCATTCTCGAAACAGCCGACAACTTATCCTGGTGCTCATTGAGTCCCGAACTCCTCTGACGATGACTCCAGCAAACTAGAAAACATAAACACAGCAAAATGAGATATAGTAGTAAGCAATCAAAGATGCTGGACCCTTCCCTTCACAATACTGATGCTCATGCGGACAAGAAACGGACCTAAATTGCTTGAGCAGCACGCATGGCCCACCATTTTCAAGATCGATATTGTACTGATACAGATATCCGTCCGATGTGGCAACCATGACCTGCGGTGTCGAGCTATGGTTCGATATTCACAGAAGGAAAAGAAATGCAGATTAGCAAATAGTCCCGACATTCCCCTTGATTTAAACGTGGCGTTTTAATTGCAACATACTTGCTGAGAGCGATGACACTCTGGACACCTGCACTTGGCAGCTTCAGGTATGCGAAGTCACGCGATGGCTCGAAAATCTCCGTGATGGCTCCGGGGAGATACGAACCAACACTTCCTGCGATGTTCCTTCCAAAATGCATTGACTGGCGACGGAGTACCGAGCTATCGAAATTGCATCGCAAAGCAGAGAGATCTTAGTTCTTTTGCTCACTCTTGTCTCAGGCATCTTAAACAGGAAGACACAATGCATTGACATACCCTACTCCTGATTTCCTAATGTCGAACGAGCCGTCAATCAAACCTCCATTGCGCTGGCTATTGCTGGGGCTTGATCCCCCTAGTTTGAAAATGTGCACCGTATCCGTGTCACTGGAGACGCAAAGGAGGGTGCTAGCCATGTTGAACGAGAGAGAGTAAATCCGTGCAGATTGGGATCCTCGCCTGAATTGATAGAGTCGCTGAGCATTAGGAATGGACCAAATGCGAATAACAGTTCCCTATTTTGTAAAAAAAATATGGGTTTAGTATGCCCTAATAGCTTTTCTCTAGGCATTGTAGATATTGATATCGAGTCTGAGAGGGCAAAAACCATGTCCTATACACACCTTGTCACTCGCTGTTGCAAGCATTGTGCCCTCAGAGTTAATCGAGATATTGGACACCGATGTCTTGTGCGCCTGGACAATATTGACGACCTGCAGAGTCAAAGCATTGAAGATCAGAACATCGCCAGATGGTCCGTGAGGGTCGTCGCGTCCATTGCTGGAAAAGGGCGAGGTAGGCGATGGGGTTGGAGATGGATATGCGAGGAAGCAGTTATCACCAGATGGCGAGAGAGCACAGATAGCTGAAAAGAAGAGATAAAATGAGAGATATCATAGTCTACTGTCAGCGATACATCTCTATTTGAAGACTGGAGTCATAGTCAAGAAATAAATTGGTAGCACCAACTGATTCCATGTCGCATACCATTAGGGTTCGGACTTGTCTCGATGGTGTGGAGGAGCTTCATGTTGCTGATATCGTAGACGTAGATCTGGTCCTCCAGAACCACGATGAGACGCTTGCGGTTCAATTTGACGGAGAGGATGGTGGTGGGGAAAGTCAGCTCGCAAATAGTGGACTGACGCTATTATGTAAAAGAGCGAGTTGATGTTGAAAGCACAAGTCAGGATCTGTGGAAATGGCACAGTAACTTCCTTGATTCCATGACCATCCTGTTTCTGCTGTGTTCTCCTGTCTGACCTTGGTATTTATGATTTGAAGTCTCCTGGGTGAGGACAGAGGCTGGTCCCCTGTGCCCACGATTGCCACGAGGGATGTGCAGAACAACATTTCAACAATTCCAATAGAGCTATCGGCTGCAGATAATAGATAAGGAGCAGGAAAGGGTCAACCTTTGGGCCCAGCAGGTCTTTTGTTACAGCAAACGGAGGTATCCAGTCCGATACATACACTTGGAGTAGCACTTTCCGAAAGGCTCACAGTTGTATATTCTGAATCCATGCTTTGTCCCGACAGAAATGCAGCTGTAGACGGTGCGACGGAGGAAGAAAGAGAGAGGAGGAAGAAAGAGAGAGGAGGAAGAGAGAGAGAGGAGGAAGAAAGAACGCAGTGTCAGCTGGTCGGCGAATCCTTCGAGCGGCACATGCAGTTCGTGACATAGTCCTGAAGGGGCGTGTGTAGGGCTGCTAGTGTACACACCTGAAGTCCTGGTTGAAGTTGATGAAGAGCAGGTCGGTCCCTCTTGCACTGACGTTCATGGCGGGGCTATTCTTTGGATGGTTGTGTTGGAAGTATGGACGGATGGGAGGAGAAGTCGAGGAGAAGTCGAGAGAAGGAATGAGTAGAGGCGACGACGAAGAGAACCCTGAGCAGAAAAGGGAAAGGGAGAGGGGGAGGGGGGAGGGGGGAGTGCACGCGGTCGCGTTGAAGGCAGTCACGAGTTGCATCAATTTGTTTTTGCCACGAACTTAAGCTTGCGTGGGGTGGGGCCGCTGTCCGGGTGGAGAAGAGAGTCAAATAGAGTTTGCCCCCTTTCAAAAGGCGCCAGGCACGGTCGTGGGCAGGGATGCGAGTAAAAATCAACAGAGTCAGACACCCGCCCCGTTGTTCACTTTGAGGCACCGCAGCAGTAAGCAACAACGCCTGCAGCATGCGAGTGCAGCAACCGCAACAGTGGCGACAGTCGCAGCAGTCGCAACAGTCGCAACAGTGGCAGCAGTGGCAGCAGCAGCAGTAGCAATGGTAAAGGGAAAAGGGTCAAGAGCAGATGGAAAGGACAATATTCGACTCGAATAAACAATGCATTCCAGGTATGGTGTGAGAAACGCTGTGTTTGTGTGTGGGGTCGCATTCTGGACGTTCTTTTTTGTAGTATATGAAGGCGCTTTGTCTTTTCCTTCCTCTTCTCTTTCCTTTTTTCCCTTCTCTCTTCGTTTCCCCAACCATTTTCCCTTTTCCTACACCCTCCTTCTCTTCCCTGTCTCTCTTTTTCACTCTCTCGGTTGCAATTACACAACCGCTCCTCATTCTTTCCCATCACCTTCTACTTCAACTTCATCACGATGACCACCCAAATGTACTCGATCGAGGTTGCCGGCAGCCCCAATATCCCTGGCGAGGGAAAGCCTCGTCGTAGCATCCTCTGTCCCGACAAACTCGTTCAGAGCTACCAGTCTTCCAAGGGCAACAGTACCATCACAACCCTTTACGAAAACTTTTTGGAAGGTGTCCAACGCTCAGGTAACTCACATGGCATTACGGCATTAAGTTCTTGGGCGCAGCTTCGCTCTTGCTTCATGTACCCATATTAAATTAGCTGTTCCTGTTTTGTCTGCATTGCAAACGCTCTTTGCGCAGAGGGTGGACAGTTCCTTGGGTACCGCCCCATCGTCAACGGTGTCCCGCAGCCTTACGAGTGGATGAGCTACTCCCGCGTGCAGGAGCGCGTGACCCATTTCGGAGCAGGTCTTGCGCACCTGGGCTTGGCCCCAAGCTCTAACTTTGGTATTTTTTCCATTAACCGGGCGGAGTGGGTGAGTTCATGATGAAAGAACGGCAGATCATCAAAATGGGAGATCTAGAATTCGTTTTAACATGAGTATACTCTCGTGTACACTAGACCATGAGTGAGCTCGCTGGTTATATGTATAACTACACGTCCGTACCGCTCTATGATACTTTGGGTGTCTCTGCCATCGAGTTCATCGTTAACCAGACCGAGATGCAGATTGTCATCGCTTCGGGTGACAAAGCTTCGATCCTGCTTAACATGAAGTCGGCCCTACCCACGGTCAAGATCATTGTGGTAATGGGCGCCTTCGACGAGGCCCTCATTATCGAGGGCCAAGAATTGGGCGTCAAGATTGTAGCCTGGACCGAGGTTGAGCGTAGCGGTCTCGATAACCCTGTGCCGGCCACTCCCCCAACTTCGGAAGATACTGCCACCATCTGCTACACCTCTGGAACTACAGGCACCCCAAAGTAAGTATAGTACATGTAAGCGCGTAAAGCGCGCACCAATTGTTTCGTTTGTTCACTTTCGGAGCCCCACAGGACGCTCAGACATTTCTGTTGGGGTCCGGGCATGGCTCCTCTTTTTATTTTATTTTTGAGCGTCCATCTTTTCGGCTTTCATTTTTACAGGCAACGGAGTTACTCTTGTTGTCTATTGTCACGCTTGTTCTACGGATGTGCATATGTTTGTGCGGGGAGGAGTTTAATTGGCATGGTACCACAAAGTCGAGTGCCGTGCTAGAAATTGTTTGGCTTCATATAATACCAACCCTGTTCGCTTTATCGATACCTTGTTTAATAAATGTTGTTGGGTGTCTTCCACATACTGCTCTAGGGGTGCTGTCTTGAGCCACAAGAACTTTGTCGCCGGTATCAGCTCCTTTCATACCCTGGCCAAACATCAAAAGTTCTTCATCCCTTCTGTTGCCGATACGCACATCTCGTACTTGCCATTGGCCCATGTCTTTGAGCGTCTCTGCCAGGCCGTCATGATCTCAGGCGCTGCACGTATTGGATACTATCAGGGCGATACGTTGAAGCTGTTGGATGATGTGGCAGTCTTGCAGCCAACTATCTTTGTCTCAGTACCTCGTCTCTTCAACAGGATTTACGACAAGGTCTTGGCAGGTGTCAAGGCCAAGGGGGGCATTGCGGCTTTCCTCTTCAACCGTGCCTACGCAGCCAAGAAGGCCAATCTAAGACGCGGTATTTTGGAACATGCTCTATGGGATCGTCTGGTCTTCGGTGCTATCCGAGCCCGCCTCGGTGGCAAGGTCAAGCATATCGTCTCCGGCTCGGCTCCCATTTCTCCCGATGTCATCGATTTCCTCCGCATCTGCTTCAGTGCCGATGTTTATGAAGGTTACGGTCAGACTGAACAGGCGGCTGGCTTGTCCATGAGCTACAAGGGTGACTTGACTCCCGGTCAAGTGGGTCCTCCCCAGCTATGCGTCGAGGTGAAGCTGAAGGACATTCCTGCCATGAACTACACCTCTCAAGATAAGCCATTCTCTCGTGGCGAGATCATGCTTCGAGGAAACTCTGTTTTCAAGGGCTACTATAAGGCTCCAAAGCAAACGGAAGAGACACTCGAAACCGATGGCTGGGCCAGGTGAGATATAAAGCCTTTGCGGTTCAGACCTTCCTGTATATCTGTATATATTGTGGCACTTATACCCTTATTTTATTTTAACTAGTACTGGCGATGTCGGTCAGTGGGATGATCGTGGACGCTTGGTCTTGATTGACCGCGTCAAGAACATTTTCAAGCTGGCTCAGGGCGAATACATCGCACCCGAAAAAATCGAGAGTATTTTGGACAAGCATCCACTGGTCGCTCAGGTCTTTGTTTATGGCCACTCTCTCAAAGCTACCCTGGTTGGAATTGTCGTGCCCGATGCAGAGACACTCAAGCTGTGGGCAAACGAGAATGCGCTGAAAGACAAGAGCTACGAGGAGCTCTGCGCCGTACCTCTTGTCAAAGAAACTCTTCTCAAGGAGCTCGCCGCGTTTGGGCGCGAATCGGACCTGAAGGGGTTTGAGATCCTGAAGAACATCCATGTGACCTCGGAGCAATTTTCGATTGAAAACGATCTACTTGTAAGTCCACAAGCATACTGACGAATCCTTACAAAGAATTGATTCGAAATAGCTGTACATTAACACACCACTCGTCTCTGGATTAGACCCCCACGTTCAAGCTGAAGAGGCACACGGCAAAGGAGAGATACGAGGTCGAAATTGAACGCATGTATGCCGAGATCGAGTAAAGTCGTTGGAATTGAAAAGGATGTGCCAGCACCATACCATCATTAAGGGAGAAAGCTCAATGCAAACGGTTAATAATAAAAGTCTTGGAAATACAACGTTTTTATTGTCAAAGAAAAAAGAAAAAAAAATGGAGGGCTAATCTTCCTCATCGTTTCCGGTCTCCGCGCCACCTGCAGCTCCGTTATTCCCGCCTCCATTATCCTGTGCGTTTATCAGCATTTGTCGCAATATCTCTGGTGGGTATTCGGCTCCACGCACCTTAACATTGTAGCAGGCCATTTCGATCTTGTTGAGCGACTGCTTGAATGCACTCATCTTTTTAAAAAGAGGTGATGCTCGTGTAAGTACGAGCCCATCAAATCCACTTTTGATATTTCGCAAGAACGAGAGGATATGTTGCACACGCTCTTCGGGAGATGGTAGAGGGATTCCACCCATGGTGTTCGAATCCTGTACAGGGGCTATAAGAGATTGGCCCAAAGTGTTGATCGCCAGACGCATCAGTTCTCCAGTCAGATCCGCTATGCCCAGCAAGTAGTCCTCGTCGGTGACCTCCATCGTTAGTCTTGTCTGTTGTATTGATTTTGTGAAGGGTGTCCCTGTTTCCATCTCAGCAACCATAGGTGCTGCCTGCGCGTCGGATGTATTGCTTGTTGCTATTACGGCAGTTGTGTTGACTGGCACTGGTCCTGTAAGCGCTATATTCCCTGACTTTCGTGAAGAATCTGATCTGTCCTTATTATAGGGTGTTTTTCGGTGATCTCTGTTGGACCTTCCGCGTGGACCTCCACTTCCACTGCTATTTCCACCACCACCGAATTGGGTCTGCCCGATATCAATGATCAAGTCTGGGTTCGCGAACTGTTCTGAAGTTGTCATGAAGTTCAGGTCTGCCTCGAGTGCACACTTGGGCATCAATTTGCCTTGGACCAGATAGTACTCCAGCGTCATCGCCTCGATCTATATATGCGCGTAGAATCAAAAATTCGAGCTGGTTATTGTTCTGAACTCGATTCGGATCCAAGAGTTCCGAAGATTGAGCTTACATATTCCTGCATGGCTCCCAAAAAGCTTCGCTGGTACTTGTAATAATTAGATCCTTGCAGATCTATGGCGGCTCTGTGAAAAAGTTTCAAGACCGTGGCATGCTTGTCTTTAAATTCTCCGAGTGCTTCGGACGCGGCCGAAAACTGTGGGAGAAATTCCCTAGGATCCGCACGGTGGAGCGCAAAGATCATCTTTTTACTGAGGATGTTGATGTCCCTAAAATGAAAACATTCCAATGCGAAGATGAGGATAAATCGCGGTTAGCGCAAATGACGCGTCTGATTATATCCTTTAATGCTGCAAATCCTGCTTGCCTGGAGACCTTGATGATGCGCTCTCTCCGGCCATACTAATCGTTTTTCAAGTGTTTTAACAATAACGGATATCATGGTCTGATCAGTTTAAAAAAAAAAGGAGCTCGTTCTCTTTTATGAAACGGGCTGTATCCATGTTTGCTGTTGTTGCATATTGCATACATGCTCCTCCAGGATGTCTCGGTATATGGCGAAGTCGTTAACAAGGGACGTTCCAAGCCTGGATCGGATAGCGTCGTCACCTTCCTCTTTGATCGCATGTTCTGTGGTGGCCGAGGGTGCAGTAGTCTGGCCCAAAGCCAAGAATGGGTTCAACATGCTGGTTGAGGCAATCGGCGGTGTCGACATATGTGTGTCCTCCATGGTTGATGTTGATCTTGTGTGTGGAACGAAACGAAGCCAGCTGCGCGTTTCTGAGGTGACTGTGGACTGAATATCTTCGCCTTGCTTGGAGAAGAGCGCCACCATTCTTTCCAGCATCTTTCCATCGGCCAGTCAGTCAGGCACACCATGTCCTCAAGACTCGAGCGGGCAAGGATCATTGACAAGCGACAGACGGAAGTAATGTCTTTGGAGCCTTGAATTTCCCTTAACCAGCACTTGCTCTGACTCTAGTGAAGAACTGATACCGACCTCCGTTTCTTTTGGAACGAATAGTCAGGAATAGAGTACCTTGTTTCGACTACCGGCGAATGGGTCCCGTCCTCTACCAGTCGATGCATCAATCCAGAGCTCGTCGAATTGTATGAGTGGCTCCATAATTCGGGCTATCGTGAGGGCACAAAGGTCTTTCCATCGACACATCGGCAAGTCGTAGTATCCGCGCGGAAGAAAACGCAGTTTTCGACGACATCAACAGGACTCACAGCGGCGTCGATATCAGGTCTCACACCAGCAATCAAAATTGAGCAGGACGTGAATCTACATATGCAGGGCGCCGGAGATGCTGAATTAACACCCAGAATCAAGACGGAAAAGGATGTGGACCAAATAGAAAACGTCTTTCAAAGTCGCGACATTGGTCAGGACAAATCTACAGAACCACCAAGACCGAAAAAGCAGCGACTGGAAGGATCATATATTGAAGAACTAGATCAACTATCTATTGATACCACGGAAAAAGATGATGTCAGGACGAAATCCGAGCCAACATCGCCAATCAAGTCAACACCTCGGGGGCCAATAAAAAAGGAGACAGCCAGCATGGATTCAGGAGTACCAAGCGGCGCTCGTACGTCCAAGGACAGTATAACAGCGAGCCAGGATCAGGATGCGGTGAGGACTTTCAACAGGAACACGGAACAAATGATCGAAGTGTACTTCAAGGAAGGAATGGGTATGTTTGCCATTATATATGATTTAGAAACAGCTTTGAACCACCACCAAATTCGTCCGCATGCTGATATTCTTTTTCTTCTTTTTTCGTGGTCGATTTGTAGATGCTTCTGGAGTTGAAATGTTTGATATCCTACTCGGACCCTATAGACGACCTACTAAGTAAGCAAAAACACTCTTCAATAAGAGCCGTTTGCTCCTGAATTCTAGTGATACTTGCTGACGACAGCGACACGCTTATATCGATAGGGAATTCGTGGCCGCTTTTTTCTATGCTGTCATCCTCTCGCCTCTGACGGAGCCCGCCACGATCGAGGCAGCCATCCATGTTTTGGACCGCACGCTCACCATCCACGGCCCAGAGCCCTTCACAGACATCTGGGATGTTCAAAAGCGGCGTCGTGAACTTGCGGATGGAAGAAGCTCTTTTTCAAGACAATCAAATATTTCGGGGTCATCGTCGTCTATGGTAGGATCTGGATCAGAAACGGGGTCGGGGATGAGCACTCGGCAAAATAACAATAGCAGCGGCACCAACAACGGATCGATGGTGGCGAAATTTCTAGACATCCCCCCAAGAGCCTTTCACCCAGGACGCCTTCCCAGCTGGAACGATATCTGGGATCTAATCAAGACAGAGTTTGGTCTGGATACAAAACCGGAGACAGCGCACCATATTTCTCTACAGGAATATCATATTCACATGCGATTACAAGGAGACGGAGCGTTTGAGACGACACGCTCGGTCAGGAGGATAGACGAAGAGGACATGCTGAAGGTAGAGGACGGTGTAATCGTCACGGAGGAACAGGAGATTCGAGAGGATATTGGGCGTGCTATTGTAGGGCTGCTTCTCAGAGTCTTGGAGCAGGATGCGGTCCTGCGCAATGGTTAGTTTCCGATCGCTGTACGACCTATCGTACTAAGATATTTCTGGTGACATGCGTTACTAACGTTCCTGGCTATGTCTATGGTAGTATCGAAGACAACGTTCTTTTATAAAGACGTCATGCGGGTCGATCTCTTTACGCCTGGACGGTCCGTTCGAATAGCACTGGACGTCGCCTTACAAATCATTGCATTGGGGATCTCTCCACGCTACCTTGAGCCATCAAGCAGTATCCGGTCTTCACGCGCCTGGCCACTCAACGAGCGGTGTAAGCTGAATTCTGCGGGGATGGAGATCCTACAACTCGGTCAACAAATTCTATTGCTCCTGATCCGGTTTATAGAGGCAGGACAGCTTTCAGTCGAAAAGGGACTGGAAGATTTGGCAAGGGATGTTATCTCTCAGCTTCCTAAACTGAGTAAGATTCCAACTACTCGTGGCTTGAGTCGGTCAGAATCACGGTCAGCAATACTGTTTTTGGCAGAGAGATACAGCCTGGATCAGATGGAGATATTCTTGAAGACCTTGATTCAGGGTCCATGCTTGCTCGATTCTGGTACTGGGTCTGGTGCTGGCGTAAAGCTAAGGAAAGAAAAGGGTGAAGCAGAGCATCAGCTTCAGCAGAACGATGATTCCGACATACATCGTTACTCGGTATTCGATCAGGATGACTATGGCGGCGTCCTCAAAAGTCAGACAGGCATATGCATGGGATCCAGTGTATTTGTGATGGTGCTTGTAGACCACTGGTTTCGATCGAAGACAACATCCAAGAGTAGCGCCGGGTCTCAGTTGAGTTTCCGAACGGTTGTGGAAGAATATGCCATGCCCAACAACGTTCGGCCGGCCGCATCCTCAACAAAGGCTCGTACTGCCAAGACCAACGTCAAGACTAAGAATACGACTACCAAAAAGAAAACTCGCAGGAAGCGGAGAAATTCGATATCATCTCTATCGTCACTATCATCACTTTCGCTTTCCGATGATAACTCGGATGACCTGGAGTTGCACCTGACGAGCGTGGGTGGATCATCAAAGACGACTACAGATCAAGACGACGGGTTGGATCAATGGAACGCCAAGGACTTGGAACAGGTTGAATGGGTGGTGATGATGATTGAGGTCTTGGTCTGGTCATGGATCGAGGCACGAGGGATCAGGAGGGATGAGATTAAGAACACTGGATTGGAGAATGTGCTGTATCCGGATGGGAGCAGCCAGCAATCGATCGACGAGAATACGACGTCTGGATGGCTCGTCATGTCGAGAACACTCAGCACTATTGGAGGAACACTGAAATTCCGTTGGGACCAGCTTGAGAGCATCATTGAGGCCGCAATCATGATAGAAGAAGTCGGCCTCCGCTGACCTTCATAAAGATTGTAATGTTGTAATTAAGAAGCATAAGCAGCAGTTGTTCCTATGCGAAGAAGTGTATGGTATGAAAATATATTTTATATAACATAACGATGGATAAGGATGATACGAAATGGCTAGTCAATAGCTTTTCTCTCTAGTACAGGCTTGGCTCGAAGTGACGATGAGGATCCTGGTTCTCGCCATGGATGCAGATCTCGATGGACTTGAACCACTCATCCTCGAGGATGGCCTCGACGGTGATGCGGGTCTCTGGGTTAGGATCCAAGATTTTCTTCATTAGATTCCTGGCACCAAAAGGCAGCTTCTCGAAGGGCTCGTAGTTGTTGATGGCTTTCATCTCGAGGTAATGCTGGTAGTTAAGGTCCTGAGCGGTCGCAGCGCGGAAAGGGATGCCCTGGTAGACCATACAGTAGTAAACAATGCCACAGGCCCAGACATCGACACAACGGGCATCATACTCCTTTTTGAGAAACTCTTCCGGAGCGATGTAGGGCTCTGACCCGCAGAGACCCTTGGACAGATGGGGGGATTTCTCCCAGCACATGCGGAACACATCGGACACACCAAAGTCGGTGATCTTAAGGCGACCCTGGCCGTCGAGGAGCAGATTCTCGGGCTTAATGTCTCTGTGAGCGACGCCCATGGAGTGCAGGTAGGCGATGCCGTGGATGAGCTGCTTGAAGCAGCAGTCGATCTCTATCCGGGACATGTGGCCCTGCTTGATGGTGTTGTACAGGTCTCCTCCACAGCAGTACTCCTATTAGGGATGGAAAAGTTGTGGCTATGATTAGTTTCATAGGGACAAAAGAATAAGAGTTGGGCTGTTCCCCTGCCACTGTAACACAAAAGGAAGGAATGGAAATCCACAGGAAAGAACTGCGGGGCGTGCTAGTGGTTTATGGCCCAAATGGCGTACAAAGTCGACAGAGAAAGAAAACGAGGCCGAAAGGGCAACATTCCCCATGACTAACGTCGTAGTGCCGCAGTTCCTTGCACTCAGCCCCGCAGTTGTCAATATTTCCTTTGCTTGGACGAATAAACTGTGACGAAAAGTGGGAGGAGGAGACATACCATGACTTCACACCAGTGCTGCTGCTCATCCTGGACCAGATCCACGGTCTCGACAATGTTTTCGTGATGAAGGGTCGAGGATATACAGAACTCACTCGTCAGCTTCTTGACGTACTCCTTCTCGGTCTCATCCTTTCTCCGCTTACGGAACTCCTTGACCGCAAACAACTTTTCGGTCTCGTCATCCTCCGACAGCTTGTGGGCCAAGCGCACAACCGCCGTTGCTCCCTGGCCAATGTTGCCTTTGTCGCACAAGCCATACTTTCGTAGCAACGTGCAGTCACCCTGACCAGCGGTCGCGCCCGCCTTCTTGGATTCGCTACGATCGCTTCCATTGCCACCAAAGGACGAGGCACGTCCTAGAACACTTGCAAAGTTGAAAATTGTCTTCTTTTCCAACGAGCTGTTGGTCGCGTTCAACAAGTAGGGGTCCTGTTGTTCCAATGGCATTGGGCTGTTGACATAGATGGGCGAGGATGGAGGACTGGCGGATCCAGACTTGGATTCCACATGAAAGATCTTGTGGATCAGGGTCTGTTTCTTGTTGGTCACAGCCACAGGCGGAGGTTTTGGGTAAAAGATCTTCTTGAGTGCGGAGGGCGACTCGTTGTTGGTGCTGAAGCCCATACCCGAGTTAGCAGAAGAAGAGGAGCCGATAGTGGGGACTTGACGGAGGGTGCTCCAATGGTCGTCCTGGTGCAGGTATTGGCGCTGGGAGGCGTTGGTACCGGGACCGACGTGCAGAGGCGACTTCTCTTGGCGACGGCGGACGTTGACCTCCATGGCAGGGGCCCAATAGTCGGTGGAAAAGGTTACCATGATGAAGGTGAATAGAATACAGGTGAATGAACTAATGTGGCAATGGGTATGAATGTACAAAATGGGCAAAGCAGCAAGAAAGCAGTGATACAAAAAATAAAGTGTCTATATGTTGATACAGTTGGGATGCTTCTAAAAAAACAAAAGACAAGACAACAAAAAGAGTAGAGTAGAGTGGAGTGGAGTAGAGTGGAGTGGAGTAGAGTGGAGTGGAGTATAAAGTCAAAGTGGAAAGTTGAATAGGGATTCAGTTTGTCCGAAGGGTTGATCGAGTTGGAAGTGATCAAGACTGTGGAGTGAAAAGGGGGCGTGGTGTTATTCTTTGTGACCCAACATGCTATACGGAGGGAAAAGACTGGTAGTGGGAAAACAATGTGGTTGAGAAGGCGCGGAACAAACGAAGTGGCGAAGACAAAGAGGAGAGAGAAGCAAAAGAAGAAGAAGGAAGAGAAGAAAGGCGGAGAAGGAGGAGACTTTTAACTGAGGGATTATTATTTCTCCCTCTTCTTCGGCGCTCTTTTCTAGCTCTTCGGAGAAAGACGAACAAATTTTTATGGCCATTCTTATCAAGGATACACACGCTACACAAATAAATATCCTCATTTGAGGCATTTTTGCTGTCAAATCGAACTCTTTGTGCAACCATCTCTCTAACTGATAATTGACAATCTACGCTGCATTGGCCTCAGATGCCTGTACCTGTGCCTGTACCTGTCTCTGTTCTTGTTCCTGTTCCTGTCCCTGCCTCTGTTCTTGTCCTTGTCCCTGGAGAAAGGATCTGTCTGCACTCTGCACACATATATTTTTCCCATGTGCTTCAATCGGGTGGACAACAAGTTCTCTAATAGACTATATTTACATCTGATTGCATGTAGTCTGTCCATGCATACATGGACATGGCCACGAGAACTAGGCCATAATCCAAAGTCCATACTCCATATAGTCCACGACCACAACAGGTCCTATCCCCTATTCTTGAAGTTGCTCTTGCCCCTGCCTCCCTCTTATTTCTTTTCTTTTCAAGATGTACAGTACATTGCCAGCTGATCTAACATCTGAGCAATCCCTCAAATAAAATGGATATTTATATCCCTTAGCACTCATTTATTTTGTTTTTCATTGTGCAGAACTATTGTACGCAAGGGTCATTGTTCCATATAGGCTATGTATGGCACGCTTCGTGATGAACGTGATCCTGACCGACAATAGGACAGGTGTCCGCCCTGATCGTCCTGCATGCTCGTGTCAGTTTGATAAAGAATCCTGTGGGTGCATGACAGAGTCTACCATGTTGATAACGGAGTAAAGCATGACCATGTCCCGAGCACGCACCAACCACGTTTTGGTGGGTATAGGCAATCAAGTTTGTAGGAATAATCTACTCGGCAACCTGGGTTGTCAGCTTTATTTGACAACCCATGCGGAAATCAATTTGCCACGTTGAGCATTCAAGTCAATTCCCACAGGAAATCCATGTAATTCGCATGTTCGCATGTCCTGAAAATCGGGTTATAACCCAAGTAATATCTTTCTTGTGTTCGAGAGGGTGTGTGGTTTACGCTCAGGTCGCCTTTATCATCGGCAAATGCACCAAGTGTTTTGTCTTCTCGCGCTTTCAGATAACAAGAGGCACTTATTTTTCTGTTCAAAAGATCAAAAGAGGTCTCGCCGAGACTCGAACTCGGATTGCAAGATTCAGAGTCTTGATTGCTAACCAATTACAACACGAAACCATTTGCTTGACACGCTGAAACTCTAAAATATCCTTTATATATCTCATTTACTAAATCACGTGAGCAGGATAGACAACCTTTGAGTACTTTCTGAGGCCACCTGGGACCCTTTGCCTGCAAGGGGGAGGGGATTTATGTTAATAATAAAAAAAAACTCCTTTGCCTGCAAGGGGGAGGAGGTCGACAGCCATGGAGGGGATGGAGAAGATACCTTTTCTGTAACACTCAGTCTTCAGCTTTTAACGCACTGATATGATTGCGGAGGAATGTGGCTTGTTGGCGACTGTCTGATATATGGAGTCGGCCTGTTGTGGACAGGTAAACCTAATTGCGGCAAACGAGGTTGGTAAGACATTTAGGGTGCAGCTGTGCCTTTGCGTTATCTTGATCAGATCATGTCAACTCCTATTCAAGTCGATGCCTCGTTGCTTCAAAAACTGATTCGCGAAGGCCCAGCAGCCATCAACCAAGATATTCCTGTTTACAATGAGTCAATAATCGGTACCACAGGAAGCACTCCCCAAGGATCACCGCCTGTTCCTACAGTGGAGTCAACACCGCCACAGAACACAAGACCAGCAACTTTTTCTTCCGGTCAACAGCCTACTAGACTGCCGTTTCAACCGCAGCGGAAGTACTATATACAAGGGCGCATCATCCACAAACGGAAACTATCGCGGAAACTGTTCTTCCTGGATGTTTCACTTGTACGCCGCAAGAGGAGTTTAATCAGCGAAGATGGATCATTTAATAAGGATTGCAATACATCAGCATCCTCAATTACATCAGGAGGAACAATAGCCGTTAGTGGTGGAACTTCCGGCAGCATAGAAGACGGGTTCAAGCTTAGCGTATGGGAGGGCATTGAGTCACCACATCATGGCTCTGCAGATGGCCAGGAACATCAACAAACGCGACAACAGCAGCATCAAGACCAACTTCAAGAGGACGGACATTCTCACGACAAATCAGTTCTGAGGATAGAAGTCATTGCGCGCTACCCTGTCCACTCACTAAAGGAGATTGACGATCTATGGAGAAAAGTTCAGCTGGGCTCCGTAGTCGAGGTCAACGGTGACATTGAACTCTCACAGCGGAACCGTGGCCATGACGACAACAGCGACGGCGACGTTCAACATTCGCAATGGACTGCAATCCTACATTGTCTAGACTTTGAGATTTTGGAGCTCTGGCAGGGCGAGGAGACATTCGAGCCGAACCCAGGATCGTCCGTCACTCATGCCACGTCCAAAAAGGAGCAGGATCAGAACAGCACCATGAAACAAAGCAGAAAAAGGAAAAGTGCGGAGGTGGACGCTGATGTATCAGGACTTGTAGTAGGACAGGAGCTAAGAGTGACGGCCAAGAAACAGCAGAGAGGCGATCCGTCACAGCCGCATTGTAAGTTCTGGTTGAATTCAGGCAAGTGCAACAAGGATATATGTCTCTTTTGGCATGAGACTGACCCTGTGAAACTCAAGGCCGAGAGACGAAGATGGGTCGAAGAGGTAAAAAACAAGTGTTTCAGCTTTTTTTTTTTTTTTTTTTTTTAAAAAAAAACCCAATGTCGTTCTGGATTACTGATATGTATACACTACGATCTCTGACACAACAGCGCATCCGAGCCAAGCGGCAGATCTCCCACCATGCTTCAGATCCACATCAAAAGACCACCAAGAACCAGCATCGCGAACGAGCTCTCTATTTCGCTCAATGGCTCGTCAAGACTTTCAGTCGCGACGCTCTGAACTCTGGATCGGGCGTACTTGACATTGCCGGAGGACGAGGGGATCTGTCCTGGGAACTACAGACCAGACAAGGGATCCAGTCGACCATCATCGAGCCTCGTCCGGGAAAGGGCATGCGCAAGTGGCAGCGCAAATGGCTACACAAGTTTGTGATCAAGAACAAACCCGCCCCAATGTCGATACCAACAGAAAATACAGCAGACGATGGAACCGAGGCAAATACTACGGGGCTGATGATGGAGGACGAGTGTTTGCTCCAGAAGGGCATTGAGGATCCAGAGGAACAGGAACCGGATGAAGGAGAGGAGCTGGAGGGACTTGGCGATTTTATTCCTACAATATTGACGCGCCCTCTTCAAGGAACAGAACCAGCACGGATACAGGCTATGCTAGATGATCAGTTCTTGATAACCCATCAAGATTTAATGAGCGGGGCTTCCATCCTCATTGGACTTCATCCAGATCAGGCAACCGAACCGATCGTGAGGGCAGCGTTCAAGGTAGGGAAGCCATTTGCTGTCATCCCTTGCTGCGTCTTTGGGCGAGATAATCCGCACCGCCGATTGCCTCGGCATCCTGCAAAGTCCGAGACGGTAGACTCAATGACAAAGGAATGCATACTTGAAGAGGACGAGGACCCCTTGACGCGACCGGTGACATCGTACAGCGATTTTGTTACTTGGTTGTCAACGCTCCATCCTGAGATTGAGACTACATGGTTAAACTTTGAAGGCATGAACCGCGTTCTTTTTTGGCGTGGACCTTCAGCATCTTCAGGAAAAACAGTAAGCGAGCCATAGATACCATCTAAATAGACTAAGAATTGCATCAGCCATTCTTCCTTTATAAAAAACAAAATAGTCGCATTTTTGTAACAGCCTGCTGCTATTGTTTTATTATTAACATCTCGTTGTATGAAATACGAACGCATCTGAAGAGATGGCGCCTTTCATGATGCTTTTACGCGGCGGGGAAGGCCTTGAGGATGGAAGCAAAGTCCGAGCCAACAGCAATGTTAATATCAGGCAGAAGCGTGCCGGAATTACCCCAGTCGACGTAGCGGTTGATGCCATCGTTGTTCACAATGATGTTAGCGATCCATGACAGCTGGACGGGGATATAACCCTTGGAGGAACCGTAGGTAACCAACGCTTGCCAGTTAGCCTTTTGACTAGCTTGGAAGGGACCAGGGATGGCAACGTTGAAGGTGACAGTGGCGGAACCGGTACCCGAGACCGAGAAGGTCAAGGTGTTCTCGAACGTGAACAAACGCATCATGTTGGTCTGGGATGAGATGCCGTCAACAGCGGCATAGTTATCCTGGTACTCATCCGCGGCAAGGACCATCTGGACAGGGTATCCGTAGTAAGGGGACTGGAAGGTAGCAGTGACCTGGGCCTGGAAGTCCGTGCCTGTTGTGGGCAAGATCTTCAGGGACCAGTTCTTGTATGGGGGCTGGGACACGGTCGTACCGGCAAAGTTAGAGGGCACGACCAGGTTGCTCTTCAGTGCAGCAAGACCAGCGTTCAAGGCTGGATTGGTTGAGGTCGCGTTGTAGCCCGAGAGGATGAGGGTGACGTCCTTAACAGTGAGGTCGTTCAGGAAGTCAGTCGCAGCGGCCTTGGAGGTGTCTAGGGCGGTGGTTGAGAGGACGTAGTTGTTGCCGGGAACCAAGGACAGGTTCTTAACGGTCGAGGTACCGACGACGCCGCCGGAGGTGCTGGTGCTGAAGGCAACGTTGCCGAGCTTGAGGCTCAGGCTGCTGGGGTTCACGATGTTGATGATTGAGGTCAAGGTGATGAATCCGGGCGTGTCAAAGTTAGTATCGATCAAGTAGATGTACTTCATTCCTTGCAGGTTGTTCAAGCCAGAGAAGGGGACCGAGGACTTGAAACCGATGCCGGAGATGGTTAGGTGGCCAAAGATACCGAGGTTCAGCTTGGCGTCAACTGTACCCTGGAGCGTGGAAGGATGTGACGCACTGGTTGAGAGCGCGCTAATGAAGCCGGAGAAGGCGGCGTGCGAGCTCGAGAAGACATTAAGGGCGGATGATGGATACGAAGTCTTCAGCGTAGAGCCGCTGACGCTGGCGCCGGTCCAGGGCGTATCGATGTTACCGATCTGCACTCCGTTATCCTATTAGAGCCGAGAAATGAAACTGTTTAAAAATGCAGCAGGATATGATGTGAACAGCAGCAACACAGCAGGAGTAGTTTCACCTACGGCAATAATGATGTGCTGACTAATGCTGTCGATAGGGAGGGTGATACCGGGGATGGAGAGCATGGTAGCAGTGATACTGCTGGATGACGTGAGGGGCGCCCATGCGTTTGCGGGTGTGAAGTCGATCGACATCTGGTCGAGAGCGATGGAGCGAATCAAACCGACGTCGACCTATAGATTGAATGAGTTATGAACAAAGATATGAATTAGGAGGATGATTAATCTACTATAACACGTTGAGGTCAAGCACACACGAAGGGCCGGTATCTTACAGCAATAGCTGCTTGACAGCTACCTGGCCAGGCACCAGTGAAGATGAGGCTAAGCACGAGAACGAGCAGTGGACGTAGAGATATCAGTTATGTTATCCGCGACGGTCAGCAAGTACCGGGGGAAGATGGTTCTGGTCGTAGATGGTTTACCCGACAAAGCAGGCAGCGATACGATCAGAGGCAGCATCGCGCTTCTCGATAGGTGCAGCAACAGCTGCGGTGGCCAACAAAGCACTCAAGGCACCCAGGGCGACAGCTTTCAAGGAGAACTTCATTTTCTTTTTAGGAGGAGAGGAGGAGGGGAGAGAGAAGAGGGAGAAGGATAAAGGCGTGAGCGTGAGTTTGTGAGAGATCTGGAATCTGAGGAAACAGAAACAGACGGGGTGGGGACTTGTGCTTCTTTTATATGCATACGATCGTCTGCGGCACATCGTATCGACATGCTATGTTTATTTGCTCAGGGGCGAGAGATTTGAGGCGTGCAATGTATGTTGTGTCCCTCAGTTATCGGCAGACCAGACCAGACATGATGTGCTGTACAGAATGATCGAACATCTGGAGAGCATGGGCAGGGGCAGGGACATGCAGCAGAGATTGTTATTGTTGGTCTATCAGCGTCGCATGTCCTCACTGGCAAAGGTGGGGTAGGAAGTTTGTTTTCATTCGCTATTATGGTCTCGGCCTACCAACCGAGAGTACAGACACGCCGTAGGAAATGTCTGTGGAGTGGAAGGAGACCGCTACAAGACAACAATAAAAAAAAGTGGCCTGTTCTGTATCCTTCAAAGGAACAACTCGTTTGCCTGTTCATTCTTCTTTAAAGCAACACAGACACCGAACAGGAAGAGCAATAACAACATTGACGACCATAACACAGCCGAACAAATAACAGCTCCATGCGCCATCGCCCTTCTTCGCGGCGGAACGGGAGCTGTAGTTTTGTCCGCTCTTTAATTATTTTACAGTGTGGATAGACTAAGAACGAAACGAGTGCGGGAGATGCATTAGTGGGCAAATGTAAATGCAAATGCTGCAGTGAATGAATGCAGGTACAGACGACGAGGGAAATGCTCGTAACACAAACATTCCAATCAACAACATCTGCAGCAAGGGCGGATTCAGACACACAACACAAACACTCCAACTGCCGCTGTTTCTACTACGGCCTACAACAACAAATCCATCTGTCCACAATCCACTCGCGGCTCTCATGTTTGTCTCTTTCATCTTTGTGTCTCCTGTCTTCTGCCTATCTGCCAGTCTGTCTGCTCTGTCGTTCGTTTTTGTTACCCCATCCCGCATACAATTGCATATGCCTAATTATTCAACCAGCTTCATTATGGCACCAGTAAACTCATATGCGGCGGACACAACATGTTGTCCAGCAGGAACAATTTGAAATCCTATGGTCATTAGTCATATTCCCTGCACCTGTACTCTAGTCCCTGTTCTCCTTCCCATTTTCGCTCACAGAAAGTATGAACGAAAAGAAACACAAGAAGAGCAGGGAGCTACGGTGGACTACTCTGGTCATACAGGGGTCTATTCAAGCACTCATGTCGTTCTTGTCTTTGCTAGTCGCTGGCAGACCCGTCGCAATATATTAGTAGCAAAAACTATGTGTGCGCGTGAGAGAAAAGGTGGGAGAGGTGGGAGAAGTGGAAACAAAGGCGCCCGGTGAAGCAACTGTCAGTTTAATTTGCACAGAAAGCATTCTCCCAGGCATCTTACGCCCTCTCCAACATATTGTGGATCTTTTTTTTTTTTTTTTTTTCGGTGTCATTGTCAATTGGACTTCGCTATAGAGAAAGAGAGAGAGAGAGAGGACCCGCGCTGACGATTGGCAACATGATGCATAACAACGACAACAACGACAACAACAACAACAACAACAACAACAACAACAACAACAACAACAACAACAAGAAAATTCCGTCTCCATGCCAAACAGCTCACTTGCAGACAATTTTGTGTTTTTTACCCACAAGGGTAAAGTGTGGAGGAGAACGAATGAACAGTTGGATGCATCATTCCAAAGCAGCCAATACAACTGTAAACACCATTTGTAAGTCTGTATCCTCCGTGTCCGACTGGTGGAGGGACCGTGAACACTTTCGCATCTGGTTGATGGTGTTCTTGTTTGGTGCTGCACAAACATTCATGTACAGTACATGTGCATGTCATGACTGTTCGCCCTACCCCTGTTCGACTCGCGCCAATCTAGGAAGAAGAGGCACGCGAAGAGAGTCCCAGAGGGCTTATTCGTAAGGTACATGTGCATCCTAAAGTGAAATCGCCATATCTGCCTTGTCCGATACAAAGGTATCCGCCGAGCGGATTTTTTTTTTCTGTAGTCACAATGGGCAGCCCTAGCTCAACAGAGGAATCAGATGGGGCATGCACTGACCACAGGAGAGCAGTGTCATTCACGCCCCGCACATCTTTGCATACCCATGTTCTGTTGTCAATCTCTCCTCTGAAGGAAAGCCCTTCTTGTCGTAATAAACTTCCGAAAGGACGTGTAGCACAAGCATTTCTCCCTCTTTTTTTTATTATTTAGATGCTAACATCTCCTGTTCCTGGATGTCGATTCTCCTAGACCGTGCTAGTACGTGTAAATATGCTTGGTGACAAATTCCTTTGCTGCCTTCGAGCCCTTGTCGTGGTACACTGCCCCGACAATCGCCTCCATCGTATGTGCCAGCACCGTATCCTCTCCTACTTTTGCGCCCGGCGATGACTAAGGACAAAGAAAAAGAAAAAGGAAAAGAAATCCCGCCATACATTTTAGTCAGATTCCATTCACGCTTACTCAAAACTACATCGCTGTCTTTTTCGTCCCAAAAAAAAGTCTACGACGGCTAAAGAGACAGAGTTCCGCCCCTACTTCTCTGTCGTCCGTGTCCTTACCGAAGGCGACTTCCAACGCATGACCTCATCTACGCCCATAGATCGTGCAAGCTTGGCCAGCTTTTCAGATGCAAGTGCATGTGAGACTGTGGCTCTCAAGGTCTTGTTCGACTTTACTGTATCCCATTTCTGTTCTGTAACATGCAGCTCCAAGAATGTGCGTCCTAATAAGTCCGCGTGTGAAAACAAAAAGAGCAAGATCGCAATTAATATCGATCCGGTTTTACACGGGCTGTCTTTCGCTTGCAAGCAACTCGTCCTGTGCCTTGGTTCACTCCTTCAACAGATATATATATATAGTTATATATAATACGAGCGATCCATGAACGATGTTCCTAGTTCCTAGTTTTTTTCAATTACCCAGGTAACCCAGCCTTTCGTTGGTGGGGAGGCTTCCATGAGCAAATGACTTGTGAGTGATCGCCTGGGCCATGAGTGTAGGATCTGACAGATCAACACCGAGACGCTGATAAACCGCATTGACTCTGGCAGAGTCATCCAAAGTCGCTGAGATGCTGGTGTTTGAAAGATAAGCCCGAGTTTCGTAGTTGATGCCTATATATTGAGAGCGACGATAAGGGTTTCCATGGTCATTGGTACAATAGTTGCTTTCTCGGCTGATGCCCTGCGCTCGGTCTCATGCCTTCTCAGGAGCACTCCCGTGCCAATTCGCCTTGCTCTCCTGGCCAGAAACAGTGGTCGGTCCTTGTTTTGCAAATCTTACATCGGTTGACATGGTTGGCCAGGCGGGTTGGCCTGAAAGCAGAAACTCTCTGAAGCATGGCGGTTGTCGGGTCTGTAGGTTTCTCTTGGGCTGGGACGATTAACAAACAAGAACAGGGTAATATGGTAATGGGGGTAATGGGTGGAGCTGCGTTCAAGCTTGAAGCCCGGAGGATGCATTTTCAAAAGCCACATTGTTTACTGCAAATATGTGACTGGAAGGTTGCCATCCAACGATTCCGTTCCACAGATCAACCCAACTGTTTATCATTCTTGTGGATATCATAATTGTATCTAGCTGTAGTTGAAGCAATTGAGCCCCATGAATGGTATTTAAGGCAGGGGCTCGTCACTGTTGGAGATCCTGTTCAAGTGGAGATACACATCCGTACCATATCTATCGACAGAGCAGAATGGCATTTGGGGACTTAGTATAATATATTACAGGTGATCCCTCCCCTCATTGACAATAGAGATGCGCAGATAAACGGATCATTGAGGGCTACATACCCTTCCATGGAGATCAGCTTCAGGTCGCCACCGAAATATCTTGCGTACAGTCTACTGATGGGGAGACCGTATCCGAATCCGGCCATGGGAGCCTTAAAGTCAGACTTGTCAAAAGTCGGATCCAGATGCTGTGAAGGTGCAGTAGTATACATGTATGTCCACACCAGCGGAACACCACTCCTGGGGATTCCACCGCCCTCATCTGAGATCTTGATCGCAATATCCTATAAAGAACAAGAGTAGCGTATGTGTGTTAGGGCCTTTCTGATTAATACACATTTTTGATGCGTCCAAGAAAAGAAGCCGAAAAGAACATCGTACCTCCTTTCCTTGCGCCACAATCAATTTGATGGGTGGGTATTCGTCGCACTCTGTTCCGTATTGCTCCACTACAGCTCGCAGAGAATTCTTGAGCAGCTCAAACAGCATGTGGCTCAAGTGAGAGGGCACATACATGAACTCAAGGTCCTTTTTGCAATGCAAATGAACCTCCGGTCCTCGGAAAAGTCCGTAATAGTCCTCGCAGATGAATTTCGCATTGTCAATTGCCTCCTGTGCCATGTCCGCCAAGTTGGTTCTTGTGCAAATGATGCCTACATAGTCCTTGCGGGAGGGTCCTTTGTTTAGGGCAATGTGTTGGCCTACATTTAAGAGTTATGGGTTTAGGTTAATACATGTCCGATCGTTTAAATTTGACAAGAGGGAGAGACCTGCATTCAATGCGATAGTGTGTACGTACCGATCAGCATGCGGATACCGATACGCGACATATAAAATCGGTCCAAGAATGCCTGGACATCTGTGTCAACAATATGAAGATTCTTTTGCTGTTTGAACTCGAGAATGCCTTGTGCTATATTGATCGATCGTATAGTACAGGAAAAAAAAAAAAAAAAAAAAAAGAAGAGTGAGCACAATAGTTTATAGCCCATCCAAGATCCCCATGAAAATTAAAGATCGGACGAGGTAAGGTTGCGCCACCGGACAGTGGGATTCTCTCTGATTTGTCGACATCTGCACCAGACTTACCGACAGTAGTGACGACAGGGTCATGTCTGCGCTTCACAGCCTCGATCATCCTTGTAAACTTTTCGTTATAAGAGTGCATCTCTACAGGCCACTCGGCTCCATCCATAGCGCTGTGGTATCTGTTAAAAAAATACCGCCAATTTTAAATCGAAGAAATGGTCAGCTACCCATCTTGGCATCATATTCATCCATCACGAAAATAATGAATCATACCTGTGCGATAATGACACGGCCCTGCGACCGTTCTGACTCCCGCCATTGGGCATAGCCAGATTGGGAGAATTCTCAGGAAGGGTCTGCATGTCAGTCTGCTTGTTCATGGTGCGGGTTATATCCTTTAGCACAGGAGTCATTTCCTTGCTAGGAAACTCTACGATGTCCTGTATTGCACACGGACAAAGAAAATAAAAATGATCGGTCAGTCGAGTGAGAGCAGGAGCACGACAGGAAATCTTGAAGTGACTCCACCTGTGGGACTGTACCTGGAAGGACTGGGCATACCAGTTCTTGACACGGATGATCGAGGGCATGTCGCTGAGATTGTAGGGCAGATTCTCCAGTTCCTTTACCCTATGAGCGAGACGGATGGGTAGCTCCTCCGACAAGAATTGGCTGGCCTTGAAGAGTGTTCCCTGAGTTGGGTTCTGACCTAGAAGCGAACCCAAAAAAATAAAAATAAAAAGCGCATGCAGAAAATAAGTTAAAGAGCGACGACAAGAACAAAGTGCATAAGCACTAGGCAGTGGTGGTGTTGGTTGTTGTTCTTTACCGAACATAACCATCTGTCTTAATGAGACACCTGTCTGGGGGAAGGTCGCAAAGTGCTTGATCTTTTCTGACAGCTGAGGAGTGATTCTATACATGACTATAGGTTGGTTGGGATGGAGGAAGCTGGGTAGAGAGAAAGAAAGAGGAGGAAGGGTAGAGTGGGGAGGGCGGGAGACGGAGGTTGAAGGCTGAGGGTTGAGGATGAGGATGAGGCAAAGGTGGAAGGGAGAGGAAGGAAGTTGATGGCGCGTGGGAAGTAGGAAGAGGAGGGGATCTGAAGAAGGGCGAGATGAGCAAGGCCGAGACTGGCAATACCCCGGATTGTCCAACCCAATTTCTTGCGAAGACACTTTGACGCATGTGCTTCATTTTCGTGTCAAACTGGATGCAGAGTATCATCTGGGACCCTCAATGGATACTCTCCCCACGCCGCCGCAGTACCATTGAGCACAGTAACAGCGAAGTACCACATGTAAACGAAAGAGTGCTAAGGGTTGTTCCTAGCAGAAGGTGCCCATCACGCGACATTATTATTGAACCATGCACCCGAGATAGTTTCTCGGGGCCACCTGCAAGTGTTAAAAACGGAGCTAGCCCAATGCTCCCCTACCTTCAGTATGCATGTAGTATTTGAGTATATCGGTATCTGCGCCTGGTAGCTAAGCAGAGTGGAGCCCATTGTACGGCCTCAATGCTCACCCACAAGACACATTTTGGATGTTAGGGTAGAAATATCCAGGCTACTCGATCAAGTCTTCATACGCAGAAAGGCGACGATGATGAACGATATAAAAGGTTTAGAAAGAAGTGAATGCAGAGGATCGACATTCATAATTATTTTACAAGAAAAATAACACGGCTAAAGAAGATATGCTAGTGTTTGTGAGGGGTATAGGTTGTCAAAATGGATCGTTTCTACTTTTTCTTTTTCTTTTGTTATTGTTCGTCTGTTGCAAAAGATGTCAAGTGTGGGTGGACATGAGATTGGCTGCAGCGGTAAGAATGGGTAAGAGTGAGAGTCGACGTTGCAGATTACCGGTATATGTAGAGGTGTTGGTGGCAAAATGAAAGCTGCAAAGAATTAAAAAGATAGGGCTAGGAAGCGGAGAAAGACAAAAAGACCGCCGAGCAGATCGCCGGGAATAAATGCGAATCTGTATATGGGGCACACGCGTGCACTGAGACTATAGCTTCTTGATGAGTTGCTTGGCATAGTCCGATAAGTACGCAAGCGTCAGTCCCGAGACCGCCTGTGCCAGCAACCGACCTGCGGGCGCCCAGACCATGGCCGCCGGTGTAAATGGTGTTCGTTGCATCCCCATCGCCTTCTCCGATGCAACCATCTCCCGCATCAACTGCTCCCGCTCTCGCTGTCTCCATATCCGCATCTCCCGGAGCCGCAGTCCATCCCTTCGGATTCTGGCATACAGCTCCTTGGCCGCAGATCCGGCGCCCTCGCGGTCTCCATAAAAATAGGTTAGCCACGGAACTCTTCCGCTGGCACTATTGTTGATACTGTCACCACTGCTGTTGGGGCTTTTGAGCATCCGAATCCCCATCCAGGATAGAGAAACCTCCGTAAGTTTGAGGACGACCCAGAGAATGAGCATGAGCTCAAGAGATTCCGTCAGAACGTGCATAATCCGCTGACGCAACCAGGTTTGTTTCCAAAGGCCGTAGAGCTGCACAAGAATGCTGTGTGGTCGACTGGCTCCTACACCGGTACTCTTATATTGGCGATGTGGTCGTTTTCGCGTGGAGTGAGATGGCGAAGGGAAAGAAATGAGAGATTGATGCTGTTCGTGCAGGATGGGCTGAAAAGTATGATCCTGGTCGTCATTATGTTGAAGACGCTGCCGCTGAAGTTGTCTGGCACGAACCTGCGGGCTTAACAATAGAGCTTGGTATGATCTTTGCAGCCTTTCTGCTTTGGATCCCGGTGTCCTGGGCATGCGTTCTTTCCTTGGTGCTGAGGGCATACTTGTCAGAGGCGCTTCCTGGCCTAAAGAAGAAGCCGATTGTGGTGACATTGATGGTGCATTGCTGACATTATCGGAGAGCGCAGCTGGTGTTGACCCTGGCATAAACGATAAGTCCTCGTCCCATAAATCTTGCTGACCCAGCATAGTGTCGTTCAATAGCATCTCCAGCTCTAGCGACACTATGTCGCAGGAGCGCCTGTACCGCTCATACTGCTCCAGCTGTTTTTCCTTCCACAGCACCCTTGAAAACGCCTTCCTCCCTGACTGAGCCTGCAGTCTTGAGGAAGATGAATTTGTCGGATTGAAGAATGGTTTATCTGAACGTGAATGCGTGATGGAGCTTCTGCGCGATGTTCGACAAGACGAATGGCTGCATACTTCATATTGACTAGATTCGCCATCGTCCATGTAAAGACTGTGTGCTGTTGAAGTGCCGGGCAAGGATAGTGGCCGTTGCCCCTGGGATAGGCATGATTGCGATGAGTGGCGACAGGATCTCCGACCCAACATTGCCGGCAGTGAGGTCGAGGAGACATTGCTGGTAGTGGGGGTTGAGGTGCGTACCAGCGCAGACTGGGCATCCGTGATGAGGGACTGTAGGGCGCTGCATATCCTGTTATAGACGACATTCGAGTCCTCGTCGGTCCCTGATCCGTGCTTTGAGCTCACTGCGACTGATTCTCCGCTGTCAGATTCGTCCGAACCGATCAATGTTCCCTCAGCACTATGAACAAGCAAGAAAAAACATAGAAACGTGTTAGTCTTTTTTATGCCGAGTCTGAAAGTACGGTCAGGCCATGTCGTGACAAGGCATTTGTACAGATAATCCCATGTTCGACTCTGCTCCTGCTTCGCAAAGTGTTTCCTCTAATGGCTGATATCGGCGTAATTTGTGGGTTGCACAAGCACTAAATGAATAGCGCCAAGACAGCTTCCGGCTCATTGGTGATTTGTCATGGCGATTAATTCCCTGTGCACCTTGCAGCCGAACATCCCTTGCATACACCCCTATAAAATAGAGAGAGAGCACTGTATTCTTTCAAAGAACCTACTCTGCCAGTAGCACCTTGAGCTCGTCCACGATGTGCTTGTTCGAATTCTCGGCTCTGTAAAGAGATAAACATTGTTAAAGAAATAAGGTCAGATTAGGGGATTGAATTCGACACAAGTAATTGAACTGTAGAAAGGAAAGAAGGCCACTTACGCGTTGAGTCTGCTCTCAAGATCAAACACAATGGCTCGAGTATCGGCTACCTCCGACTGCAGTCTTTGCACCAGGTGTTCAAGGACATCCCCCTAGAGGAACAGGATCAACAAAAGGATCACCAGCGGATATCAATAGGGGCATATTGCATGGAAGTGACAGCCATGCGGGGTGCACTGCAGGGAGAAGGAGGGTGTATCTGCGCGTTGAATAAAAAGCGACTATCGGGCCAATGACAACCGACTCCGCCCATTGTCTATGTCCCAAGTGTGAGTATGAGTATCTTTTTAAGTCAAATAAAAAGAGCACAACCCATAGAACCGTTTAATGACACATATGTCTCGCAATAATAAAGAACAATGTGGAGAAACAGGAACAGAACATCTAGATAAATGAAAAGGCTGAGCAAAGTTGAAAGACGATCGCAAGGATCAAGTGGAAGGAGTGGTGTATTGCCGAGCCCATCGTGTAGCGATGCAAAGGTGTAGAAGTGGAGGCAATTCTCTTACCTCTAGACCAACTCCAGAGTCTGAGAGAGTCTTTGCTGAGGGATCGCTGTCATTGCCGCGCATCTTTGTTATCGTCAAAGCTGTGGAGTCCGCCATTGAAGAGATAGATGGCGCCTGGTCCCGGTCCAGGGTCGAGTTGAACAAGTTGTCGAGGGATTGTATATGATCGTTTACATGTACTGCTTCAACGAGTGCCGAGCCAACGATGTCACTCTCACTGGACCATGTCCGTGAATGGGACCCTCCTTCTGCTTCTACTTCTACTTCTGATGATGCTACTACTGCCTCTGGTTCTGCTATGGGAGATGCTGATCGCTTGACTAAGTCTGGATCAATGGATTGTTTTTGTGGCGAAGAGCTGAAGAGGCTGTCGCTGTCGTCTTCGAAGGGCTCTGGCGCGATCGTTGTTGAGCTGGCATATGAATAGTGGCGATGGTCGCCTGAATCCCGCCTCCGTCCGAAGCGCAGGTCCTTTATGAATGTATGTTGCAGGTCGTCGTCAGAGTCGCGTCCCTGTGTCTGGTTGAAGGACCAAGGGTTGCTGAGGGTGTGCTGCGACTCCATGGGTCATGGAGTTGTGGTGTGAGAGTGGGGAAGCGTAAAAAAGAGAGAGAGAGTGTGTGTGTGTGAGGGGGGGGGGGGGAGAGGAAACAAAGCAGAGGAATCAAAGTAGGAATCAAGGAACGAATGGTTGCTAAACCAGGCAGGAATGGGAGTGAGAGTGGGAGTCCGGGACTGAGAATAGGAATGATCAGGAAAAGAAGATGATGCCAGTAAGAGGAGTCATTACTCGGACCAGAAGACGGGCAAGGAAGGTGTCTCCACGAGGAAATATTGCGTTTTTCATCTGACAAACCGCTTTCCGAAGAGGAAAGAGCACAGCTTTCCCTTCACGTCTGTGTCCTAAAAGTGTATCCCTCCTCCCCCACATCCTGGTGGCCTTATCTTTGTCCTTAGTGCCTGGCTCCTTTGTATCCTGCTATACCCAGTATCATCCCGGTCATCATCATAATGCAATGGATGAACTCGATCGGTTCACTCTGCGCACAGACACAGCCAAAAAAAAGTACCCAGGCTGGTTTCAGGAACAGTTTAGCTTGTTCGTCACGTGTAGAATATATCTCGAATGCAACCACTGCGCCCTTGATCTCTGATCCCGTACGTGGCCCTGCGTACTGAGAACAGGTACGACTCGATGGGATGACGAAGAAGAAAGTGATCAAGGGATGGGGGTGAGGGTCAGATGGATTTGAATAGGTCGAGGGAGAGAGGGAGGGTAGGGCTCAAGCACGGTGTCTGTGGATCAGGAACGAGATATATGCACAGGGTTCCTTCCTTGAGTCGGACCAGGAGGCGTTTCGAGAGGGTTCCTCTGAAGTAACAGTGCTCCAACCAGGATGCGCCAGCTTGTCACCGCACTGTGATTACGCGTCTCGTCTCGTGTGTTGCCCCCAATTTCTTCTGCTGCTTCTGCTGCTTCAAATACGCCTCCTTTTGTCTGCATTCCATCTCTTTTATTCCTCTTTCCATCGCCACTGTCCATCCTTCCCCTCCACTTTCTAATACCTCGCTCGTCCTTTTCATCCTTGTGCCTGTTGCTCTTTCTTTTCTATCCTTCTCTCTCTCTCTCTATCACTCATAACTCATACATACACATCGCCATGGCTGACAGCGGAAAAGGCAAAGGCAAGCTTGTGTAAGTATACTGTGAATATATATACTTGAACGACAAAACTCGCCATGGCATAAAGCGAACTGGAACGGAAACAAAAAGGACTAACGAACTTACCCCCCCTCCCCGACTTCTCACCCATAGCGAGAACGCCTCGATTGTTGCCCCGAATGCCGACCCTGAACACGACCCTGCCACCGCTATTCTCCGCAAGAAGAACGCCCCCAACAAACTGATTGTCGACGATGCCACCAACGACGACAACTCCGTCTTGGCCCTCTCTACCGCCACCATGGAGAAACTCCAGTTTTTCCGTGGAGATATGGTCCTCGTCAAGGGAAAGAAGCGCCGTGACACCGTCCTGATCGTCCTCGCCGACGATAGCGTCGAGGACTCGAAGGTCCGCATCAACAAGGGTAAGCAAAGCAAAGCAAGCTGGATAATACGATGAACGCAGATGTTCCTGGATCAAAGCCAAAGCTCTGGAATAGACACTAACACTCCTGCGTTTCTTTTTCTGCCGCAGTCGTTCGTAATAACTTGCGTGTCCGTCTTGGAGACGTCGTCTCGCTTCACACCTGCACCGATATCAAATACGGCAAGCGCATCCACGTCCTCCCTGTTGACGACACTGTTGAGGGCGTCACCGGCAACCTCTTCGAGGTCTACCTCAAGCCTTACTTCCTGGAGGCCTACAGACCTGTCCGCAAGGGCGATTTGTTCCTTGTCCGTGGTGGTATGAGAGCTGTTGAGTTCAAGGTTATTGAGACCGATCCTGCTGACTACTGTATTGTAAGTTCAATTGTACCCAAAACGACAAAGTCCCTAGTAAATATTCAGTGGAGCGATACAACTGTACTCACAGGCCATTTCTTTACATTCCCTAGGTTGCTCAAGACACCGTTATCCATTGCGAAGGCGAGCCCGTCAAACGTGAAGACGAGGAGTCCAACCTTGCCGATGTGGGCTACGATGACATTGGAGGATGCAGAAAGCAGATGGCCCAGATCCGTGAGTTGGTCGAACTTCCCCTCCGCCATCCTCAGTTGTTCAAGTCGATTGGTATCAAACCTCCTCGCGGAATCCTCATGTTTGGGCCTCCAGGAACAGGAAAGACACTGATGGCTCGCGCTGTCGCCAACGAGACCGGTGCCTTCTTCTTCTTGATCAACGGACCCGAGATCATGTCCAAGATGGCCGGAGAGAGTGAGAGCAACCTGCGCAAGGCATTTGAGGAGGCTGAGAAGAACAGCCCTGCTATCATCTTTATCGACGAAATCGATTCGATCGCACCCAAGCGTGATAAGACTAACGGAGAGGTCGAGCGTCGTGTCGTCTCCCAGCTGTTGACGCTCATGGATGGCCTGAAGGCTCGCTCTAACATCGTTGTCATGGCTGCCACCAACCGTCCCAACTCGATCGACCCTGCCCTTCGTCGCTTCGGACGCTTCGATCGTGAGGTCGACATTGGTATCCCTGATCCCACTGGTCGTCTTGAGATTCTCCGAATTCACACTAAGAACATGAAGCTGGACGACGATGTTGATCTAGAGCAGATCGCCTCTGAGACCCACGGCTACGTCGGATCGGACGTTGCCAGTTTGTGCTCTGAGGCTGCCATGCAGCAGATTCGTGAGAAGATGGATCTCTTTGATCTCGATGACGAGACCATCGATGCCGAGGTCTTGGACTCGTTGGCAGTTACCATGGAGAACTTCCGCTATGCCTTGGGAGTCTCGAACCCTTCGGCTCTTCGCGAGACTGTGGTCGAGATCCCTACTACGACTTGGAACGATGTCGGTGGTCTGGAAAAGGTCAAGCAGGAGCTTCAGGAGACTGTACAATACCCGGTCGAGCACCCCGAAAAGTTCTTGAAGTTTGGCATGTCGCCCTCTCGCGGTGTTCTGTTCTATGGTCCTCCTGGATGCGGTAAGACTCTGTTGGCTAAGGCTATTGCCAACGAGTGCCAGGCCAATTTCATTTCGATCAAGGGACCCGAGCTGCTGACGATGTGGTTCGGAGAGTCTGAGGCGAACGTCCGCGATGTGTTTGACAAGGCTCGTGCTGCTGCGCCTTGTGTAATGTTCTTTGACGAGCTGGATTCTATCGCCAAGGCCCGTGGCGGCGGCGGCGGTGATGCTGGTGGCGCTGGCGACCGTGTACTCAACCAGATCTTGACAGAGATGGACGGAATGAACGCAAAGAAGAACGTCTTTGTCATCGGTGCGACTAACAGACCCGATCAGATTGACGGTGCGTTGTTGCGTCCTGGCCGTCTGGATCAGTTGATCTACATCCCTCTTCCTGACGAGGCCTCGCGTCTGGCTGTGTTGAAGTCGACCCTTCGCAAGTCACCCGTGTCGGCAGATATCGATCTTGGATTCATTGCAAAGTCGACCCACGGATTTTCTGGAGCCGATTTGACCGAGATTTGCCAGCGTGCGTGTAAGCTTGCGATCCGTGAGAACATTGAGGCGGATATCCGCAGGGAGCGGGAACGCAAGGAACGTGGCGAGGAGGAGGCGATGGATGAGGATGATGAGGACGCTGTGCCCGAGTTGACAGTCGCTCACTTTGAGGAGGCGATGAAGTTCGCGCGCCGGTCTGTCCAGGACAGTGATATCCGTCGCTATGAGATGTTTGCGCAGAACTTGCAGAACTCTCGTGGATTCAACACGTTCAAGTTCCCGGAAGGAGGCGTCGGTGGATCGGTTGCACCTGCACAGGCCGAGACGAATGCGGCGTTTGGTCAGGACAGCACTGCTGACGACGACTTGTACTCGTAAAGGGAACACTTTTTCTTTCTTTTCGCGAACCACACTGCAACCACCATTCCTCCTCTCCTGTACATTTATTGATTGATTGATATTTTAGTTATTGCAAAGTCTTTCCTAAGAGAAAAATCAAATAAAGCTGTTGTCTGAATGCAATGGTTTTTTTTTTTTGGTGAATGTCATTTTTAATTTTTATTTATTGAAGACTATTTGTGAATGCCGACATGGAAAAACAATATAAATGCGAGAACAGAGTATTAGATAACAAAAAGCACAAATAATAAAAGGATTATGAGAGGTCGTGGAAGGTCTTTCCACTCAAAGTAGCCTTAATGATGCCCACACGGATCACAAAGTCACCAAAGAACTCGCCATCGAGGCGCTCGGCCGCATAGCGACGGAACATCGGCGTCAACTCTGCAATAATCTCTGGCTCCGTCAACGACTCCTTGTACAACTTGTTGAGTCGTTCTCCGTGGTGTCCTCCTCCCAAGTAGACGTTGTATGCGCCGAAGGCCTTGCCGACGAACGCAATCTCGGCCACATACGGACGTGCACATCCGTTCGGACATCCTGTCATACGAATCGTGATCGCGTCGTCCCTCAGACCAATTTCCTCCAGCGTCGACTCGAACTTCTCGACGAGCGAGGGTAGGTACCGCTCAGACTCGGCCATGGCAAGCGAGCAAGTCGGGAAGGCGACACAGGCCATCGCGTTCAGCATCGCGCCCGTGTAGTTGAGCTTGTCGAGCTTGTACTGCTCCAACAACTCCTGGATGCGCTGCTTCTCCGACTCCTTAACGTTGGCGACGATCAAATGCTGGTTGGGCGTCAGACGGAATTCGCCCTGATGGATCTTGGCAATCTCTCGGAGACCGGTCTTGTGGGGCTCCGCAGGTGTGTCCTTGACACGGCCGTTCTCGATGTAACAGCAGTAGTGCCACATCTTGTCCTGGCCCTGGGTCCAGCCATAGCGATCCGCGTTGTCCAAGAACTTGAAGGGACGGGGCTCCTGCAGCTGGAATGGCAGACGCGACTGGACCTCGGTCTTGAACCACTCGATGCCACGGTCGTCGATGGTGTACTTCAGACGAGCGTGCTTGCGGTTCATGCGGTCACCAAAGTCGCGCTGGACGAGCATGACCTTCTCTCCAGTCTCGATCGCCTGCTCGGGTGTGCAGAAGCCAAGAATGTCCGCAAGACGAGGATAGGTCTTCTTGTTACCGTGGGTCATACCCATGCCACCACCGACTGTAACGTTGAATCCAGCGAGGGAGCCATCCTTGTTTGTGATCGCGATGAAGCCGAGATCATGGGCAAAGACATCCACATCGTTGTTGGGAGGAACAGCGACGACTGTAAAAAGAAAAAGAGAGAGAAGAAACGGCACGGTTAGAGATCGGGGAGATGAATATGTATAATCCATCACATCAGTAAAGGCAAGCAAAAAAAGAGAAAGGCGACATACCAATTTTGAACTTGCGGGGCAAGTAGGTGGGACCATACAAGGGCTCATGGTCAACGACGGCCTCGCCCTTGACCAGCTTCTGGTCCAGCCAGATCTCACGGTACGCCGACGTCTTGGGCAACAGGTGTGCGGACAGGTCAGTGGCAAAGTCGTTGACCTGCTTGTGAAGATCCGATTGGTGAGGGTTGGGGTTGCACATGATGTTGCGGTTAACGTCTCCACAGGCTGCAATCGTGTCCAACAGCGACTTGTTGATCAACTGGATGTTCTTCTTCAGGTTACGCTTCAACACTCCGTGGAACTGGAAGGCCTGACGCGTCGTCAACTTCAAGGTGCCATTGGCGGTCACGTCTGAGATGCTGTCCATCGCGAGCCACTGAGCAGGGGTGGCCACACCACCGGGCACACGGACACGGACCATGAACGAGAAGGCCTTCTCAAGTCCCTGCTTCTTGCGCTCCTCGCGAAGATCGCGATCGTCCTGCTGGTAGATACCGTGGAACTTTGTCAGCTTGGTGTCGGCCTCGGCGCGGAGCTGGCCGGTGGTCTCGTCCACGAGACCCTCGGCAATGGTACCGCGAAGGTAGTTGGACTCGATCTTCATGGCATCATCCGCAGACTTCTTGGGCTCCTCGACCACACCCTCCAGAGGCTTGCAGCCAAGGGACTCCCAGAGGAGAGGCTCCCAGGCAGCCCAGGCGGTCTCGAAAGAATCGGCATCTTGGTCGTTTCCGAGACCGAGATCGATCAGAGGGTTGGCACCAAGCTCAACCAGCTTGGTGTGGAGCTCCTTTGAGGGACGGTTGTAGAAGATCGCGTCCTCCTCACGGGGCCAGTAATGCGAGTCGCCCAGACCAAAGACTGCAAACTTGGTCTCGGAAACAGCCAGCTCAGTGGCGGCGCTCAAGCTCTTCCAGAACTCACGGGCGTTGACGGGGAACTCTCCTTGTCCGGCGGTTGAGACCACGAAGATGACGTGCTTTTCCAGAGTAAGGTCTTCGATCGAGACATCATCCATGGCGCTGTAGCGGGCAGTGAGGTTGCGGAGCTTGGCACCCTTGACCAGACGCTTGGCCAGACCCTCGGCGTTGCTTCCGTCCGAGCCAAAGAGAATCAACAGTGGAGGGCCACCGAGACCGCCCATCAGCTTGGCGAAATCGTCCTTGGCCTTCTTCTTGAGCGCAGCATCACGGGTCTGGGCCTCGGACTCGACCGAGTGAGTCAAGGTGCGAGCAATATCCGGGTTCTGCTGAATGATGAGTGAGAGGTGGTTCTCGCGCTCGAGGAACTGCTGCAGATCCAGCTTGATGCGCTCAGAGTCAAGACGGAAAGGCTCCTCACCCTTCTCATCCAATGCAGGGTTCCAACGGTAGAGGGGCCAGTAGCCGGTATCGACTGCCAACTTTGTCTCCTTCAAGACAGTGATGGGCGAGACGTTCTCCTCGTCAGGGCGGGGCAAGTAGGCGAGGACGATGGAGGGGCCCTGATACTGGTCAGCCTCGATCAAAGCATGCAAGACGTGCGAATAGCTCGAGTAAACAGCAACGGAGGCGACAAAGACAGATCCATAGTTCATGGCATAGAGACCAATATCCTTCTTGCGGTTCTCGGGGCTCTGAGTACGAGCGGTGTAGGGTTCGGTGTCAAGGATGAGCAGGTTGATGTCGGCATTGGACGAGATGACGTGATGGACTCCAGAGTTGGCAATATCAAAGGCCCAGGAGTCAGCGCCGATCAACCAGTGCGAAGGCTTTGCGAAGTGACTAGACTGTGCGCTAATCTCGGCCAGGGGTCCCACCAGGTTGTCCTTGGCCTCTCGCAGGAGTGCAATAGCCTCATCGCCATGGCGCTTGGCCAGTTTGCTGTCGGATCGATTCAAGTGCCACTGAGTAAGAGCCTTGCGGAGGGCCTCCGAGATCTTGAGCGAAGAATCCTGGACGGCCTTGGAGACGAGCTCAGCAAAGCGGGCACGAGCAGCGACCTTGGTGACCAAGGAACCATAACCAAATTCGGGTGACTGCTGGGCAGATCCCCAGACAGAGTCAGTCTTGACGCCGTTCTCGATATTCAGGCGATCCTGGAAGACCTGGTTCAGCATCTGGATGTAAGGGGTATCGACATCCGAGCCCTGCAGAGGCGTAGCCTGGGGAGCTGCGTGGGCGACGTAATGAGGGTTAAGTGCGAAGGTGGGCTTTTCCTCATCGAGGGCAGACTTGACATCGGCCTCGGTGATATCGGCGCCAGATCCGCGGTAGCGAGCACTGAGGATCTTTGGGATCTGACCCTCCCAGGCAGTCTCGGTGGTGTGGAACGATGCGGAGACATCGAGGAAGAGGGGAGTCCAGGCGGTGTGGGCAGCAGGAGCCTGCTCGACGACGATGACACGCTCAACGGAAGCTGGGAGAGCCTTGAGGAAATGACGCTCAGACCAGGGACGGTAGAGATGGATCTTGATGAGGCCGACATCCTTGCGGTGATGCGAGTGGACGATGTGCTCGAGGGCCGAGGAGCCGATGGCCAGGGACACGAAGACGGTCTTTGGGTTGGCGGGACCTGTTGGATGAGTGGGGCACAAATCAGTGTTAATTTCTTTATCGGATCACGGAAAAAGAAGGTTTTCCTAGAGGCGAAATCCAAAGGGCAAATGACGAATATTTTGCCATCAAATCGAAAGATATACTTTACCTTGATACTCAATGGGACTGTATGAGCGGCCAGTCTGCTTCTGAAGGACAGCGAGGAGCTCCTCGACCTTGCTGTAGATCTCCTCGGGCGACGCAGCAGTCGAGGCAGATGTGGTCGAGTCCTTCGGGTTCAGGTACAGGGACGAAAGCGAGATCTCGCTCACAGCGGCCTGGCGCTCCTTGTGGGCAGCCAAGTCCTTGTCCGAGATCAAAGCGGGGGCGACCTTCTGATGATCCAGAACAACCTTCTGCTGCTGCTGTTTCTCCGAGCCGTTGACGACGTTCAAGAAGGGGGTACTGGTCTGAACGGCGGCTGCCTGGGCAATCAGAGCCAGATCGAAGGCAGCCTGGGCGTTGTCCGAGGTCAAGACTGCGAATCCTGTTTGACGGACAGCCATCAGATCAGCATTTGAGGGAACGACGCTGCTCTGGTGTCCTTTGCTGCTGCCGTTGATGTGACCGTTGGTGTGCCCGTTGGTGTTGCTGTGATTGGTGGTATTGATGCTGGCATCCCGTTCCTTGGCCTCGACATGGACGACGACTGCAGATCGCTGGGCAGCGGTCTTGAAGAGATGAGGGATCGCGGGCAGGAGCACGTCCGAGGTGGCGAGAACGGAGGTAAGCTCCCTAGTGGAGGCTGCAGACTCTTGGATCTTTTGGAAGGGATCGGCGTTGGCTTGGAGGGTCGTGACGGAAGGCGATGTGTTGGAGATGGTGTACTTGTCCGAGAGACGGTCGATGGCCTTTGCGGGGTGTGACGAGGGCGAGCTAACGGCGAAGATGGATTCGGCCGAGGCGAAGGCGGCCTGGGCTAAGGCATCAAAGGCAGTCGGGGCCATTGTTGTTTAGAGATCGGTTATACAGATGGAAAGAAACGAAAGAAAGAAGTACAGTGCAAAGAAGAGAACAGGGGAGAAGCGAATGACTCTATGATACAGGATATAAAACGGAAGTGAGGATGAGGATGAAGAGGTAGAGGGGGGCGGGGATGGAAGAGAGGAAGAAGAAGAAGACCGAGGGTCGATTGAAGAAAGAGAGAAGGAAAGGAAGGAAAGGAAGGGAGAGTAGAAAGAAGAGGAAGGGGGGGAGAAAGGATAATGCTTTTATGTGTGCTTTCTATAAAGCGCTTCTGTCGTTTTGTCCGGCCGAGTGCACCGTCTCGATGTATCGCTTTGTGTTTCTCCGAGATCGAAGGAAGCCAGGCACACGCACGACCGCATTCAAAGATTCAAAGGAAAAAAAAAAAAAAAGCACACCCCGCACTGGGCGCGTCTAAGCAAAAGAGAAAATAGCATATGGCGAATTTGGTGCAGGGCAAGTAGTCACGTCCTCGCACACAAATTGCACCATCGATCGCATCAGCACCGATCCACGCGCCTTGATTGGACACCGCCTGGAGGAGGAGAGAAGGAGTCCCCACCACTCCACCACTGACCAGGCCATAGTATGTGTATACAGCATACAGCAGCATCGAGCACCCGTACTCTGTCTGGTGAAGGGCAGTGGTCTTCCACGTTGCTGACATATCCAACGAGATCATCATGAAAATATAGATCCGCTTCCTGCCCTGCTCTGCGCCAAACAGATCGTCAGATCGCGCCATCGTATCCCTCTCTCCCTCTCCCCCCCCCCCCCCCCGCCGCAATACCTTAATTAACTTCCTGCCCTGTCTCGGTGCTCTCTCTCCCACACACACACTCGGACATGATGTGTATCCGTTCGCTCGCATGGACCTCCTACCCTATTCCTATTCTTTTCCCCTACCCCTACCCCTATCCCTATCCATCCACTCCAAGCTTCCTGCTTTTTCTCACAAACACCTACACTTGCACGCATAGACTAAATAAACAATAAACATTATTCCATATAGATCATAAAGTATTATTATTCAACTAGCTCTTAAACATGCCCACGTTGAACTGATCGCCTGCCCACTTGGACACCTCGACCATCATCTGCTGCTTCTTCCGCTGTGATCCCTCTGTCCGAAGTTCGTACAGCGTCGCCATATTGAACACCAACGGCTCACTCGTCCCTGCCGAGGTCGGATATGCAAACATCAGTCGTTCCAGTCGAGGAATCGACTCGTTCAGCTGTCCAGCATACAGCTCACACACCGCCAGATTGTTCGTAGCCTACATCCCAAATAAAAAAAAAAGTAGCAAATAAACCGTTAACAAGAATAGTCAGTGGATATTAATAAAAAAAAAAAAAAAAAAAAAAAAAAAAGCGCGAAAATGAGAACACGAGGCAGCACTCTTACAGCGAGGTTTTCTGGTTCCTGGGCAAGGACTTCTTCAAACGCACTCTTGGCGGCCTGCCATTGACCTTGCGTGACAGCAAGTAATGCGCGGTTCATGATCAACTGTAGCTTAAAGTGTTGTTGTTGTCCCTGTTCCTGACTCTGTCCATCGGTCGCTGAAGTATGCTGTCCCTGAACCATGTCCTCCACCTGCTTGAATACCTCTTCCGCTCGCTCGATATCTCCGAGCTGCAGGTACAATCGGCCCAGCCCAGAATGGAAGTTCACGTCCTGGGCATATTTCCTTGCCAGGTCGCGCCCATGCTTTGTCGCCGTCGAGTAATCCTTGAGCTCAACCAGATAGTTGAGAACCATCAGATGCAGCTGACCCGTGATCTCCTGCCATTGCCTTACGCCAACCCTGTCTCCGCTCACCCGGCAGATCGCCTCAAACTAAATGAAACATTACACATCATCGAAGGAGAAGAAGCATCTTTCAGTACTTTCGCAATATCAGCATTTTCTTGTGCTCGATAACGACATTCCACTGTGCACTCATCTCTCGAGTGGATCCCCCATACCTTTTTGCAATGCATGATCAGGTCATAGAGTTGATCAATTGCCTCGTAAATGTCCCCCAAGTATCCTTGCAGACGCGCCTTGAGGACAAGCAGTTCAAACGGCACCATAGAACCCTTCTTAAGGGTACCGTTGCGTTGTTGTTCCTTTGTCTGCAAATCGCTGTGGGCAAACATCTCCGGCGGATAATTCTCGTACCGGAACTGAGGCCCACGCAGATCTCCAAGCTGCTCCAACTCAGCCTGCGCCATCTCATACTGTCCTAACTTGATTAGTGCCAGCAGTCGTGCGTACCAGAACTAGAAATGTCAAAAAAAAAAGTACCGCCAACTCTTTGGTTAGATAAACAGCTCTTCCAAAGGCAGATCCTAATTCATCAATCCATTCCGTTGCCATACATTGATAAGGTCCGGGATGCGTTCAGATGGCGTGGCAAGGATTTGTGCTCGGGTATATCTGGCCATGGCGCGCCACGAATTGTTGATGGTGAGCTCATGCAAGATCTCTGCCCTAGACGCCTGTCGCTGTTCGGCCTCTGTCAAAGTATTCCAGTCTCTCAGCACGCGCTGCTCTGCAGGGACATGTTTAATCATCAAATCGTTCATCGCATCCGGCTATTTGTAGAGACAGATGAGTATCTTCATAAGAGTCCTGGTCTACACATGCAATCATAGCCTATTAAGAGGCCGATCTGCTTACCATGGTGATCTCATGGAACATGCTGTGTGAGTTCAGCACTGGCAACCCTTCCTGACGCATTGGGCTTTGAGGAACTGCAAACACGGGAGATCGAATCCTAACGATAGCAACACCAAATTTTGATAGTGTAAGTCAGGTCTGCAATTTCACGAAAAAGTTCCACGTACCTGTGTCGTTGACTACCTACCCGACAGAATGCTCCCGACCATGGGCTACTGGTCTGATGTGCAATTGAGCATTGCTTTGTGTGCCTGTGTGTAGAGGTTCATCTGGGAACGAACTGGCGCCTGGTGTTCCATGGAACGGATGGTTGATCGAAGTCTCCTGTTCAGGACTTTTGAGGTCTTGCCTCTCCATATCGGAGTGGTCCTGCAAGCCCAATCGCGAAGGATGGGTGGATATCACCGTCGATTGCTGCTGCGCCCATTGTTTTTGATGACGTTGCTGTCCAGCCGCCGTATCGCTTCCAAGGCCTTGGCCATCGTGGGCACCGAAGCCTAGTCCCGCAGACAAAGGAGACTCCTGTGAATGGGCGCTGAGACTGCTATCCGGACGCAGATTGGGGACCTCGCCTACTTGAGGCACACCCGATCCGGAGACTATTGTGGGTACCGATGTTCCAGAGGTCATTGAAGGCTCAAGCGCGGACGAAAAGGTCTGGAAAGCAGAAAAGGTCGTGTCTCCGATGGACAAGGGTTTCTGAGGAATTGGTGGAGAAGCCAAGTGCGTTGGGAACTCTGTCGGCATGCTGTTGTTATTGGCAGGGATGCTTATGTTTGGCGAGGGTGCTTGAAGCACGGTGGAGCTGGATCCGATGCGCTCTGTTCCTGTCCTTGACTCTGTCACTATCGACGTCCTTGAATGGCCATGGCCGTCCTGGTCTTCTAAAGCGGCGGCTGTGAGTGGATCGACAAAATCAGGAGTTGCCTTGGCAACCAAAGGTGGAGTTGCTACTGCAGCAGCAGATTGGGCTGGAAAGGGCGGTGGCGAAAACACAGCGGAGGTGTCGGCCGAGGAAGAGGACTGAAATGGGATGGGCCCGTCATCGACCTGCTGGGTATGCAAATGCTGCTGTTGCTGTGCTTGGTCCTGCTGTGTCTCGATGGCAGTCTTTGGGGCGATGGGCGGCGTTGGTGGGTGCAGTAGCGGATCTTCAAAGGGCACGTTTCGCGACATGGTGTAGATGAACAGCGGGAGGAGTTTGCTCAGGCAGCACAAGCGCACTCGCGAACCCAAACGAACGAAACTGACCTAATTAGCTGCAGGTTAAGGGGACACCTCAATTGAGGAAAGGTGAAATTGTTTGCTACTCAACAAGTCGGCCAACAAGGACAATATTTCAGGCCCCAGACAACGTAGTAATCCGGATATGCTCTCGTTTCTATTAAAGCTATATTGTTCCTGTAATAGGCGATGTTTTGAAGCGGAAGCATTGCAGTGTTTATTCAAGAAAGCTTCTGTCTACGGGAATCCGGCGCGAACGTTATCGTAGATACTGCTTGGATAGTCCAGATGGTTCGGCGAGCTGTCCAAAGGCGCATGTTGTCGAAGTGCTCTATTGACGCTGCCGACCAACGATCGGTCATGCTCTGTGTTGTGGTCCGAGCTCGACTCCCAGAACATGGCGCCTCCCAGCTTGTGCCTGGCGATATATTCAGCCTTGCGGTCAATCACTAAAGGTGAATCATAGGTGACCAACTCGCGCTTCACAGGATCATATGAATAACTTGAGACGGACTCGCCATCATAGTACTCAACAGCACCATCAAGGGGCAGGTGCTTATAGTCATACACGCCCTGCTCCCATGTGCCCGGTCCGATGCCCTCAAACGGGTGACCAATGCCGTCGGTGTTTTGGAATGCGCGTCCATACATGGGCATGCCCATGACGATCTTACGCGAGGGGATTCCCTGAGCCAAGTAGTGCTGAATAGCTTTGTCGACATTGATCTCACCTCCGTGCAAGTTGCTCTGATGTCCTGCAGCGTCCGACCAGGATCCAGCAAGATCGTATGCCATCAGGTAAAAGGCATCCATGTACTGGTTCATCTCGTTAAGGCGCAGAAGCGAGTATTGGGTCTCTCCACAGGGCATAGCACCGGTGAGGAGGTATGGGATCTGATCGCCCTTTTCGGTAGCGTACTGGTCCATGGCCTGACGGAGCTCGCGAAGCAAAGAGACGTAGTTGTCGGCATCATCGGATGTCTTTGGATATTCCTATATACTCGAAAGAGACATCCACCGTGTATATTTGACATTAGTGATCGTTGTGCAAGGGAGGCAACCGCGGTGCTTCATTATGTACTGGTGAGTATCATGGATACATACCCAGTCAATGTCCAGGCCATCAAGTCCAAGGTTGTTCATCAATTCGATTGAGGTCCGTACAAAATTCTATAGTGTGATGGAAACTCCATGTCCGGTTAGCATGAAGAGCTCTCAATTGCAGCTAATTTAAACAGTCTGAAACAAGTTGACTCTGGACTTACAGCCCGCTTCTCGGGACAAGCTGCGACGCCTGCGAAATTGGTTGACCAGGTCCATCCACCGATGCTGAGCGACACTTTCAAATGACGGTTGGCTTTTTTCAAGAGTCCGAGTCGCTTAAAGTTGCCATACAGGTTGTTGCCGGTGTCGTTCCATGAATCGTCCTCATAGTGCTATGTATTGGGAACGAACAGGACAATCCATGTTGTTAGGCACAAGGCAATTCAGCGAGAAAAGAGGACAGCCAAAACCAACGGGGTGAACGATTCAGGATAGACGCACCTTGTCAGTATCGGCCCAAGGGTCACCGAGGAAAACGCGGCCTTCGGCATCGAGGTTCGCAAAGGCATAGAGGACATGGGTCAGGTTCTGGACAGGCAGATCAAAGACGTTGTGGTTCCTGGCATAGATAGCCCAGGCTACAAAGTAAGTGCATACGATGAAGGCGTCGGGGTGAGGATAAGCCATGAAGGCAGTTTGGGGACTGTAGTTTGAGGCCTCAATCGCGTTGTTCATCCTTCTTTTTATGAGTGTTTGTGATGGTGGGCCGATGAAGAGAATGAAGAAGGAACGGTGCTTCGCGAAGCATGAGGTGTAAACGGCCTGCCTATTTTTGGAGCAGTAGCTGATTTTTGCTAACGGTCCGAGGATTTACCGTCCTATGCTTCAATAAATGCGGCCCAAGCACCTACCCCGCACACCCTACCCACTTCGACTGCTCGCTGTGCATCGTACCTGGCGACGGAAGCATGGATATGGAGTGCATGGTGATCCAGTTGGTATCTTTATTGAAGAAACAAACAGGTCATAACAAAGGAGGGCATAACTAGAATATATCGTATCAGTGTACACAGAAAAAGAAAAGAAAAGAAAAAGAAAGAAAAGTGCAATTGTCGTGAAGTATTAGTTTTTGAAAAGAGTGCGTTAGATGGTATATCCCTCGAACGAAAGACAGTAAATGGAAACCAAAAAGAAAAGAAGCAGCCATAATCCTTTGTTTGCGGATGGCCCGTCAACAGGCCATTCAGTCAAAAAGAAGAAGAAAAAAGTTACGGGAAGTAAGGAAGAACCTGAGGGATGACCGTCGCAGCGGCGAGCCCCACTGCAACTGTCACCAAACCGCGGAACCTCTTCTGATTTCTGGAGACCTGCTCCTCCAACTCCTCAATCCTGCGCTTCATTCCTGCGACATCTGCGATGGTGAGCTCCTCCATCCTCTCGGCCGTATCCTCGACAGCCTGGCTCTCTTCCAGTAACTGTCGCTCGTCTTCCTCGATGATCTGCTGCTCCGTCGTTTGAACAATCGTGATCTCGGAGACAACAACCTTCTCCATAACCTCTTCTCCCTCCGTGGCGGATCCATTCTTTCCCAGAGATGCCTCCAAGAGTGGGCGCATGAAATGGTCGATCTCGTACTCCTTTGCCAGCTCCTTGGCTAGCCATTTGAAGAGTAAGAACACATAAGTATACTGGGTAATAGCTCGTCTGTCCTTGGGCATTGGTTCTTATGCAGGTTGTTTTCAATGCATGATATGTCCTTATATACCTTGGGTAACAGTGATCCTAAGAAGATTGAAAAAGGAAGGTTTTCCAAATTAGCCACATGGCCACAATAATGTCCTTTTGCTCTCCCCGAGTCACACAACCCACTCTTCCCTCAGGCACCATTCTTCCCCTCCACAAAGTAGCGCAGTTGGTCTTTTTTTTTTTTTCTTTTTTTCTTTTTTCTCGGTTCCCATAGCACTACCGCCTTTGGCGTGTCGCACTTTTTACGTACCAGACACCATTCAAAGGTCCTGACTTCTCGACATAGCCGTCATATTTGCGAGTGATAAAGGTGCTCTCCTTGGCGTTCATCTTCTCAGAGATGGCGGGATAGGCGGCATTGAACATCGACGTGGCATTGACGAGGTCAGTGTCCAAGCGCCGCATCACCACGACTTCGCCGTCGACTTTGGGTGCGCTGATCCTGAGGACAGGTACGGACTTGCTTCCAGACTTGACCCGCCCTGTCTTGGGCTTGCTGGGAACAGAGTTTGCCTGGGTAGCGTTGGCCAGGAGTGGGTTGCTGAAGATGGGCAACTCACGATGAAGAGAGGATTCCATAGGTTTGAAAATGCCCTTGACTGAGGGGGACGCTGGGGTAACAGCAGTAGTCGAGGTCGAAGACTCGGTGAGTTCGAGCGTGGAAAGCGACTCGACGTCCCTCTCGACGATGGTTACTTTGGCGACAGATCCAGACATGATGCACTTCCGATGAATGAGGTTGTCTGCTTTGTTGGTTATTGCTGGTTCGGCGGTTGGTTGGTTGGCTGATTAGAAAGGTGATGAAGTGTGGGATTGGAGAATGAGTTGGAAGGAGGGTTTAAGGACGGCGGGGGGGGAGTTGCTCACTCTTTTCTTTTTTTGTGCCTACAAAGAGCAGCCGTAAACGACTGAGGAGGGTGCCTTGGCTCTCATCTCATTCGCGTCCCTGTCAGCCAATCGCATCACGGTCTCAGCTGCACATCTTCCTTGCGCTGACTTTGCCTTGACTTGGGTTATATCTTTCTCTTGAACAATAGCACCATAATCGAAAGGAAATGGAAATGAATCCGTCGCTTCTAAACGAGTACATCTTTATTTGGGGATGAGATAATATACATCATACATGGGTTGGATGAAAGTTAAAAGAATGGGAACAAAAAAGGCGTCCATGGTGCTGGCAATTGAAGTAGAAGAGAGACTGAAGAAAGCGAATAAAGATCGAGACAATCGAATCCAGCTGCCCTGCCGAAATGAATGTAGGCTAACATGAATCAATCCTGCCCGATCCGCCCTTTCCTTTGCCTTTACTTTCGTCGAACTCACTTAGCGAGCTGCGACGCCATTGTGATTGTCAGTTGTACTTGCTGCATCCATGAACGTCCCTACTGATCGCACTTAGAAACCGGGGGGGACAATGCCAGAGGTCTGCTTCTTTTGCTGCTGACCAGTGGGCTGGGAAAGCATCTATAATATTGCAACAAGAAAGAGAATACATCAATCAGCATGTGTATTTATTGCCACCATTGCAAGATAATAGATGAGAATGGCACGGAAAAAACAGCGATCGGCGGGATTGTCATTTCCTGCTTAATTGAAAGGTTGACTTGCCTGGCTGCTCTGCTGCTGCATCTTTTCGTATTCGATCAAACCCTGCTCGTGCTCAAGCTCGATCATCAAGGGCAGGACCAGGAGCAATGCACTTGTGGTCAAGACCCAAGCTGAGTTGCCGAGAAATTTGGCACCGTACTTTCCCCAGCTATAGACGGAGGAGCACTTGTCCGAGATCGACTTGCGGGTCTTTGCAGGGATGACGTCTTGGAGGGCCCAGAATCGATCTATGATCGACTCGATGTTGTCAACGTCGTCTTCGTCTTCGTCCGAAGAGAAGATCGAGGAGGAATCGCTGTCGGTGTACTCCTCCTCCTCGACGTGATCGATGCTGACTTCTTCCAATTTAACCATGGTTGCGAGTTGTGTTGAGGTGTTGAGAGGTGCAGAGAGAGAAGAATGAATGACCGAATCGATCCAGCGATCGGAAACCTTTTTTTGTTCTCAGGGACTGCTCCTTTTTCACTGCATCAAATGTATGCGTCTGGTTAGAGTGGTTCGAATCCGAGATGGGGCAATGTGTTTTGTTGATTTCGCCGACCTCTGGTTGTTAAAAGATCTTTCCCCTCGATACAAGAAAGAAAGAGATATTGTTCTTTTCAGCGACCCGAGCTTCAGTAGCTACTTGACCGCGTACCGTAGCTCGTTGCTTAAAAAGTCATCTGCAATGGACTTATGGATATGTGTTTATTTCGTATTTGAAACATTGATAACAGGAGGAGCAGTGATCTTGACTCCTCTAATATAATACAATGGACATCGCCAGTCCATCGTCACGTCCTTGTTGACTTTATTATCTGTAAGTGAATATATAAGGGTAAAATGTCGCGCTCCCGATCACACTGCTCGACCGCGTTATAGACTCTGTATGACCCTTGGTTTCCAAAAACGAGTTCGCTGAGGCATCTTTTAGTGGAGCTAGCAATGGCGGTCGTCCTAAAGCCCTCTTTATCTTTGCTGGCAGGTGTTTCGCCATGAACTCAGCGTCAAAGATAAAGTTGAGGGAGCTATTGAAGAGTATACAAAGCAACATTAGTTGATGAATATTCAGTAATACAATATTCACAATCGCAGCCACGATCAGTTACTTACAGAAGATCGGACACGTCTTGCAGCCCGCTTTGGCGCAGAACAATGTCCACTCGCGCAGCCGTAAGGAGCAATGACAGGTCAGTACCATTGACAATGGGCCTGTCTTCTATTCTCAGCTTGGAGCTCGTCGTTCCAGGGCCCATTAAATGATTAATACACTTCATGTCGATGGTGCTAAACGACGACCTGGCTGATGACACATCTGACACGACATAATCAGAATCATCTTTGTCCTCCTCATCTGCGCGCCTCTCACCGGCTTCATTTCCTTCCACCAGGATAACAGCTTTCTTCTTTTTCACCGCAGCCGTCTAAAGCCATAGGTCCGTGAGCAATGTATCATTAAGACTGGGCATATGGTAAATGAATGAAGATATCTAGCCGTACTACGCGATCATGGCGCTGATGACAAGTGATCATTAAAAAAAGAGCTGATCTCCAGTACCTCCTTGGCCTCGTGGTCATGTGCGTGAGCTTTGCCTCGACTTACTATGCGTACAGTGCTGGACATCTAGTCGCGACATGAGACTTTTGACTAGAAACGCCTATTCATTTTCAGGTACAATCCGCTGAATCGAAGTTTGGATCATTAAAGTGCGTGTTACCCTTTCCTCGGCAAACCAATGTTCGTCGTTTGTCATTATGACCTCTAGTTCAAGAGTTTTTGAGCTTCTACGTTCTTTACGTACTCGCGACTAGATGCCCCACACTATCCCGTTCCTTCGTCTATAGGTTAATCATTCAGGATGTAATGACAATATCAAAATGCAAAATCTTTCTCTGCAGACTGTGTTATACCTGATTCTTAGAACTGGTGGTATTTCCTGGCATGCATACGGACTGCAAACGAGAGGCGCTCTGCTGTTTGCTTGGCGGCTTGTGGGCAGTGAAGGTAGGGAATCGCTGATGACATCCACAAGTTGTCAAACTCAATGGGCGCCAATACCACCTCATTACTCTTTACAAAGTCCGTGATGTTGACGGCACTGCCGCGCTTTTGTTCAGGTACTTCTTCTGAGGAGCATTCATGGTGCGTCGTGATGCGTGAGAATATTGGGCTTAGTTAGGCGATCCCAGGCCAGTCACACCCAGGCCGCGACGCGCTCCTCCTTTTAAAATAGTCTACTAAGAAATTTATGTAAATTTGAAAACAGCAAAACTAGTTTCGCCATCAAAAATAAACATAACGTCCATTGAAAGTGTCCCTGTGTGCAGCATGATTCATCAGAGCTCTTTTCTTTTCCTCATTCACAATGTTGACTGCCGAAATCGCACGACTGGCTACCTCTGTCGCTGACCTTTATCTCCTCCACTTTGAGGAGTGCAATGAAGGTGTCGATATAGAGGAAAACGACGACCCTATCAGATCTTATCTTAATGCACCACGACTGCAGCATCTCCATCGACTAGATTTTGAACAACTGTCTACCAGGGATTGTCGCAAGACCCACACTCGCTGCTCACCGTTTCGTCTCCCATCAAAAAGGTAAATATCAATTTCCACTTCTAAATTCCCTGTCAGCTCTCTATAAACTGTTTCCCATTTGACGCTTTATTGCTCAGATGCGGCTAGAGATATGTTCAGCACTCCTGCTTGTATGATGTTTTGTCAGAAAAAGCAGCTGTGCAAACCCTTTCTGGCAATTGATGAGATTTCTTCCTTGACCCTTGTCATCGTTTGATTTGGGGTGACCAAAGATGAAAGCAATCCTTTGGCCCTCTGTGCATGAAGTCTGCTGGTTATGTAAATGCTTCCTTCTGTCCAACGAATATTTCATCAGTAGGATAGAACTAACCTGTCTCACGGCGGTCTAAACCCAGCTCGCGTTCCCTATTAGTGGGTGAACAATCCAACGCTTACTGAATTCTGCTTCAGTATGATAGGAAGAGCCGACATCGAAGGATCAAAAAGCAACGTCGCTATGAACGCTTGGCTGCTCCATCCTTCCTTCCTCGCGTCCTTCCTCCATCCTTATTCCCTCTATTCTTCTTCTTCAATCCGTTCGTCACTCCATCTCTGCCGGTTGTCATCCACTCATCCTTTCATTCTCCCATCCTCCCATCCTTCCAGGGCCACAGGGCCTTAGTTGTTCTGTGGAACGCGTTGGATTGTTCGGCCATAGGCGCGTGCGAATTGATTATCTAGTGAGCAAGTGACATCGGCTGTTGTCGTTCTGATCTGCAGGTGAGATATGTGTTCGTTAGATAAACAAGGTGCCGAAAACGATGGCGATAGCGGAGAGTGGAAGGACCTTTAACACCCCTGGTCAAGCCGTTGAAGGTTCTGGGAAGGCCCGCGCACTCATGTGTCGCGCAATGCGTACCACTCCTCTTGGGGAGATATCCTTCCCATAGCCGTCTTTGTTCTAGCCGAATGACAAGGCAGAATGTCGGTGGTGAGCCGTGGTCTCCGATAGTGTTACTTTCGGTTTAAAAAGAAGTACCTCTTCTTGAGCGATCATCTCCTTTGTACCTTTGATGAAGGAAGCTTCAATTTCGTCTTTAATGGTATCAGTACTAACCAGTTATCCACCTTTCTATTGTCGAGCTGTGGCTTTGTCGCTACTTGCTTAGGTCAGACTTGATGATGCCAGGACGGATCTCACGTTAGTAACTGGGGCAACCAAATGACTGGAACATCAATCGCGTCAAGGACCTCCTGTTCCGCTCAAGGTGGCTACAGATCTTTTGCTCGGTTTAGCATAGGGTCACAGGATGGGCGCTCAAATTCATCCTCGAGGGCCGTGTGTGTAGTGTGGGATAATCAACATTACTCCTTACATTGCCACTGTTCATTAATGCGGATGATGGTCTTCAAGTCAGGTTGTGAGGAATGAAAGGTACGAGTGCGCTTTTGTGGTTAATAGATGTACTCCTTGTTTTCTGTCTGACCTGTCGCAGGGTAAGGCGTCTTACTGCTCTATTACCGAACGATAACATTTGTAGCCACGCACATGCCTCCAGCAATGCCCGCAATCTTACAGTCGTTTCCGCGATCTCTTGCTGTTTATGGAGACCTTGAAGAGAGCGCACCAACAACGTCTCATGTATGGACTTTTTACCGTCTCTAGCAGGTGTTTATCATGCCTATCGATATGACAATTGAGTGTGCATGTAGGGCACGTCCAGGCGTACATGATGCAGACCTTCCACCGCGAGCATGCCAGCTTATCTGAATTGAAAGTGGCAAAGTGGCAAACCATGAATTGAAATCCGCTAGGAGAAAAAGGAGTGCCATCACATATTATTATTGTCAATGCTGCACGGACTTGACATAAAGGACTATATGGGAGTTTACTTACAAAAAATGTAAAGCTAGCGTTTGTACTTTGTTCTTTACAGCTTTTTTCAGCTCCTTGGTGTTGCATGGTAGACTACATAATATCGGTTTATTCTGCAAGCAATTCGTATGGACTAAATGCATGAGGGCATGAAAATGAATGGATGATACTGTGAGACGTGTATCGTAAGCGCTAATGATCGCTACGGGGAGCATCTTTAAGGCCTGAAAAAGATGCGACCACTTTATTGAGTCTTCTTGGCCTTGGCGGGTCCCAGATAGCGCTTGCGCTGGCCGATCATGTGGGTGTACATGACGAAGAAGCCTGTCGTATTGGAACCATTAAAGAGAGAGACCGCAAAGGCAAAGAAAAGAGGGGTATTGGTTAGAAAAAGGTAGCGAGCATGGGTAAGAGATACAAACGCGTCATGGAAACCATTGACATATGTTAACAAAGCTTTTACCAGGAGGGTAGATGCAGAGCATGGCGCACAGGAAGTAGTAGTAGCCTGGATGGACGGTGTGGGCAAAAGGAAGGGCCTGGTAGATCTCAATAGCCTCGCTTCCAGCGCCAATGGGGTAGAGAAAATAGAAGAAGGTGTAACTGGAAATGAAAAAAAATAAATAAATGTTGAGTTGAGCGGTCCGACAATCCATTGGGTTTCGCAGTGGAATCAAGCATCTGTGCTTTCTAATCACATATGTGAATCATACCGGCACCAAACCAGCCAGGAGGGGCCCAGGTTGACCAGGTTCAAGGCATAGTAAGCGTAACGAATGCACTCTGTAATGCACCAGGCAATCGTCATGGTCGTGAATGCCCAGTATGAACGGACCTACCGAGACGAGCAGATACGCGTGTTAGAAGCCACTGAAGACCAATTGCACATGCATTCTGATTTTTATCGAGCAATAAGCAATTGATGCAATTGAAGCGATCGGGGAGCAAATCGAGCTGCAACAACACGACGTGGACCCACCTCTGGCACTGGGAACAGAGTGCAGATGCCCCAGACAAGCAACAGGCGAGAAGCGACCTGCATGGCAGTGGTACCGACAGGCGACTTGACGAATCCAAAGAGTGAGTGGAAGACCTCGAGCAGGGCAGCAGTCTGGACCCAGACGAGCTGATCACCGACGACGGCATAGACCTTGGTGTAATCGTTTCCCGTGGCAAGCAGAGTCCTGACTGTCTGCAGAAGGACATAGGACCATGCGGCGAACGAAGCCCAGTTGTAGGCCAACAAGTAGAGATTGATAACGGGATTGACGGGCTTGGGCGCCTTCTTGCCGGACGCTGATGAGGAGAGTTCGTACCAAAAGATCAGCAAGGTCAGTGATGCACACGAATGAACGATTCCAAGAAAAAGAGTCAATTTAGTTGATCCTCTGATTGACGTCGGCAGAGTTGTGCGACATACTGGCAGTGGCAGCTCGGCTGGTGGACTTGGTCATATGGAAAGGACGTTCGGAGTGAGAGGGAGTGGAGTGCGTGAAGAGGAGGTTCCTTCATTTCCCCCCTCCCCCCCAACGTTTTTATGTCCTCAGATTAAGGGTTGAGCGTACTATATACGCGACGAGATGCACGGCGAAGCATTTAGTCCAGGTACAGGATGTATTCTAACGGCTTTGTACACAAAGCATTGAAGTGATGAGTGTCCTTACACTTGTTCCTGGAATGTGGTGTTGCAAAATAAACACCGCGCGCGGACCTGATCCAAGATATCGGCCCAGGCAGCAAACAAACCACGAGGGCATTCTGTTTCTACGAACGCTTGAATCCCAGGCTCATGATGGTCACCACTCGGTGCTTCTTTATTCATTATGATTATTATTTTACGGTGGATAGAGGGCATCTTTTTTGATTTTGTTTTTGTTTTTGTTCTTTGTTTTCAGAGAGGATGGATAGAAGTATGAAGAAATAACATCATTATGTCTCTTTTGTGTGTGTGTGTATATGTGTGTGGATGTGTATGGGGTATGATATGCAGGTGGTATGTGAATGAAGAATGTAAGATGAATAAAAAAAGTTAGGTACCGCGTGCGACCCTCTTAGCACTTAGAGCGCGCCTTGCGATACCCAGAACCGGCGAGTAACAGCCTCGTACCGATCAATCACCTCCCCGTCACTCGGAAACTCCCACCCCTCCATTCCTCTAGCCTGCTGCTTTCCCGACATTGCTCCTCCACCAGCCGTCTCCTGCACCGTCGTTCCGTCGAGCTTGACCTGAACTACCACCATTTGTACCCGCAGTCGATAAAACGCTTGCGGGACCCGATCCTGGATACTAAGATACTGAAACATCGTCTCTGCGGGCACATCCTTCGCCAATACCGAGATTGGTTTCATCGTCTGATCCGCCACGAGCTCAACCAGCACCTTTGCCAAGAACGTCGATTTGGATGTCCATGGTGTGCGCTGCTGTTGCTGTTGCTTGTTCAGAGTCCCAATTGTCCTCTGCATCTGTCGCGCATATTCCAACAGCTCTGCAACCCGAGTGGGGATCTGCCATTTGAGTGTGTAGGGCGTAAGACTATAGACCTTCTGGTGCAATCCGAATGTGTGTTCCAGCTCTAACGGACGTACGGTGTTGGGGTACTCCTCTCTCATCTCCTCCGGCAAGAATTCAAAGGGCCGCTCATCACTGGCACCAACGTAGTAGTCGTCGTTGTTGATATCGTGATGTGTGCCCGCGCTGCCTGTGCCTAGACCCTTCCTGAGGCTCCCTCCTCCTTTCGAGCCAGGATAAGGGCTGTCCCGTGGAACCTTGCGCGGTCCTGTAGCGATGCTAATATCGGATCGCCGTACGATGGTCGAAAACACGTCATTGGATGATGGACGATTGTTAGTATCGTCTGCTGGGCCTTCCGATAGTTTTTCCAGTGAATCCCCTGAATGCTGCTGCACTTGTTTGAGTGATGATGACGATGTGGACGAGGCAAGAGCGCCCAAAACCTGCTCCTGGCTCCGACCGCGATACAGCTCTAGCACCAGGACAAACGATCCTCGCTCGGGGAGGGTGACGGGGACCCAGACCTGGGCAGACCCCTTCTTGAAGGGAATAAATCGTTTGAGCGAGAACACTTTTCGGTTGGTGGTTGAGTCTACGAGAACGATGTCGACGGTCGTATCGTTGGGCAGGGTTCTGAGATACTTGCGAGACCATTTTACAGTTTGGTAAGATCCTGTATGCCAGACTGAGCGCGAGTCTGGCAAGAGCAGCAATGGCGTGGTGGGTATCGGTGATGCCGTGGTTGTTTCTGTAGAGGGAGATGGGTCGACAAGGGATCCCTTTCTGGGTGTGGGTGGGCGATATTTCGGGGGGTCTATGGCTCTCTTGGCGAACGATGTGCTTTTCTTTGCCTTTGTCCTCTTGTGATATTGCGTGGCGGATCGGATGGCCGGCGTCTTCCCATTGAGCTTGGCCACTTCTATTTTTGAATTCCCAGGACTTTGTTGCTGTTTTTGCTGGCGTAAGGACGACGAAGAGGACGCCGAAGGCGCCGAGAGTTCTGTAGGGATTGAGAGCCCTTGAGGGACGTTGGCGTTCCTGTTGTTGCTACCACGGCGTTGAGAAGCCGCTGCTGGTGTGAGTTGGCTCGATGCAGCCCCTGTCCTGGAGTGGCCCTTTTGGGAATGTGATTGTTTGTGGTGGTGATTGTGTGACAGGGCTGGAAAGTGGGTATTAAGGGCGGCAGAAGCATTGGGCAGCAGGGCTAGGGCGCTGGCAAGGCTCAGACTGAGCAGGAGGATGGGCTGATGGATCTTCATGAGAAGAAGAGAGAATGAGGAAAGAGATCAGGAGGAAGAGGAGTGATTGCGTGAGGAAGGAGGAAGGAGGAAGAAGAAAGAGTTGCTTGCCTAAATAAGCGATCAGGAGGCAAGGGGGAAAAGGGAAAGGGGGGATACAGAACGTTTGCGGGATATGTATGGTAAGATATGGTATGGTACGGCACGATATAATATGGTAGTCTATGATGTACATGCAACACGGACGGTGCAATGTCGATTGCCAGGAAAGGGTCTTTGAAGAAGAGGGGAGGACGGCGGACGACGTAAGGCAGGGATGGAGTTCCTGCAGAAGAAGAAAAGAGGAAAGAAGAAGGAGGAGAAGGAGAGACTAAAAAAAAGCGTCCGCAGAATGAAAAATAGCCCTTGTGACGCCAGCGGGTGTCTCGACTGGTGGGCGTATAGAAAAGTCTTTTTGTCCTTGTGTGTGCGGGTGGACATCTCTTTCATTTTACCCAGCCATCCACTCGCCGCTTAAAATAAACCATAAAAATGGAAAATAACGGCGCCACGGCCCAGACCCACTCTTTCCTACTGCGGCCAAGATTTGTACTTTCTGTATCGAGGCGTAACATTATGGCTTCAATAAGGAAAAGCTGCCCTTGAGAGCCAAGACGGGAAAAAAAGAGGACTTGGGCACCAAGCACTGCCCCATTTCTGCAAGTAAAGTCAAAGGGAGTAAGGACGGGGAGCACAAAAGGCATAGTCTATCGTAAACTGAATGGTGGCAAAGGCTCTCAATCTTGCCATAAACCATGTGGACTTCATCGCAGCGGACTCAAAAGGAACAAAAGGCATCCCGTCATCGCTCATTTCTGAATACTTTCAAATTTCAATATATCCAGAAGGCCCACCCTGACCATGCTCAAATACTTCTACCGGGTCCTGTGCCAAAAAGCACAGAGTAGCAAGTACGGAATGATGGATAACAAACAAACCCAACCAGCCAAGAAAGCATGCCAAATTGCATTTATTTCTCCGATCTCGCAGAATGCCATTTATTACCAAAATGCACACATGCAATCAAGCACTCCTGCCAATAGTCAAAATACGACCTCTTTTACCTGGAATAGGCTTGTTTTTTGGCTTTTGTATATTTCTTTACGCCCATTTCTGCACTAGGGACTGGAGGAAAAATAGAAAGATACAAAACAACGAGCACCGTCGTCGCGTGGCGCCACACACTGCTCTCGAACCATGACAACTCCCCAAAAAACACGGCGGCAGCCGCCAGATTGATCTACGCTATTTTTAATCGATGCATCATGAACAACGTATCGGACAGATACTGAGGAAGCGAGAGGGAGGTTTTTCCGAACTAGTACGCGGTTTGTAACGCGCATTCTGTCGCTGCTTAAAATGATATGCATTCAATTGAGCTACTACCCTACTCGCGGTTCGGATCATGCCTAAATACCTGTATGGTTGTCCTGTCCAGCCCTTGGAAATTTCAGCCGACTCTGAATCGCTGCCTTGAGACGATCCCATAAACGTGAATGCGACGCGAGGTGGACCAAAGTTCACCATGCGAATCGCGAGCAATGTAGGCGTATCGCTTTGACGAGCTTTGACGGAGAATGCTGGAGCAAGGCCGAACAGTTAACCATCGTAATTGCGGCCCTGCCCACGTTTCCTCCAACACTACCGCTATCAGCGCCGTTAACGGGACTAGGGAATGAGGTTTCCGTCGTCAATGGCGACCAAGGTACTTTTGAAGGTTCAGACGGCGAAAAGGACGGCGACGGTACCTCTGGTGGTGGCGATGACGTTGGTTCAGGAATCTCTGGGGTGGCGGAAGGATACTGGATGATGGTGCAGGCGATTTTGGTGGCGATGGGTTGATGCTATGCAGGGCCTATGCAAACCCTGCATCCCTCATCATTGACGGTTTCATTCGCCCTCGTCAACTGCACTCATGACATTAGCCCAAGCTGCATTAGGTCCTCCAGGAGCACCCAAGTATACTTGTGGGAGTGACCCATATATTCTATCGAAATTAAAATTTGTTTTGCTCAACAGTCGTTGTTGTAAAACTGCATAAAGACCATATCGTTCCTCTAGTCTTATAGCATAGGACCAAGCCAGGTTCCGGAAATGGACATTTCGGTGTCCCAGCGATGTAGTACGAATGCGAAGCGCCCGCGAATTTGGCGTAGAATGCTTGCAGAAATCCGGTGAAGCCTTGAGTCCGTTCGCTTTCTTGGTCCAGTTCAACACCGTCCAAGATCGCGTCATCAAGGGGTTGAGTCGGAGGATCTGCCAAGGAACATGTCCTAGGTGTCCTGGGCAAGGGCTTGGTCTGTGAGGTCGTTAGGAATGGGGTAGGCACTCCAATAGAGAGAATGATGGTCTTGCCTCGAGATTGACCAGTCTTGATATCTTGGTACATCTTGGGGCAGTGCAAAATGGAGGTGCCGGGGTATTTCTCAATGCATCGGCTAGTAAAGTCTAGGAAAGGGAGGTCGTTTCGGATCTGGTGGAGGAATGCGAGGACGAGATATCGATGTTTCCAGCTTGGTAGTATCAGGCAAAGTCTGCTTCTGATTCAGCGTCGCTATTCGTATGAACGAATAGATAAAGAGAAGAATGAGGACACAAATGAGCTAAGGTCTGTCTTTCTCTCTCTTTAAAAAAAAATAGTGATAACGAAAGGATAGAGCTTACTTTTGACTCCAGCGCTGTAGTTGGTCAGGCTGATTTGGCCAAGGACGGTGGTCCTCAATAGCGCGAGGATTGTCTACCGCCTGTCTCGCACGATGAATATTTGCCTATACTGCAATGGTTGTTCTCGATATATATAAAAAAAGAGAGAAGCTCTATGTGGGCGCTTGTGCGTGGGAAGAGAATGACAGTAGGTGGTGTAAAGTACTCTAGATAGACAATAGAGATATATTCTTACAGCCGAGAATCCAGGATGGATAAAAGCAATATGGGGATCAACGCATCTCGGAAGGGATGTGCGCCAGGTGGGCCTTCCCTAGGAAGATTGTTGAAGGAGTGCAATGGGTGCGTAGATCACGACAGCGGAGCTCACGACGGCAGGTGTTATTTTTTGATGTTGTTTCAAAAGGTGGTAGATGTTGCCCCCATATAGTACCTTGCCCGCATGGATACGAACTCGGTGTGGAAGAGGGATATACAACTTCTTCCGAATGGAAGTAGACGAACGCACCCATGGAGGACGCCTTGTGAGCGTATGGGAGGAACTCAGACATATATACTCGGATCTTTCTTTAGATTCTAAGGAGCCACTCAGGCCCAGGACTGTGCTTGTATTTAAGGAGGGGTGGGACCACTAGGCTGCAGAGTTCAAGTCCGCGATCTTGTGGTACTCCTGCTCAGACAGGAGCAAAAAAAAATGGACTGCTGGAAAATTGAAGCAGGTTGGGATGGATCAACAAGTCAGGACTGTTTCAAAAAGATGCTCCAGGATGAATAACGAGGGGACTCGAGGATCCTTGCTTTTTAAACCGGCATAGCAGGTTACGGAACCCTGGGGTCTTGATGCACGTTGTCAATCAGGAGCTCGAGGAGTAGATGACAGATGATTTTCATACTACATGGTCTTTTAGGGTCATGTCGAGGGGCTGTGGGCAAACAATCGATTAGTCTCTGAGGCCATTGTAAAATATAAAACGATACGCGTGTAGAGAATCGATATGTGGGAGGAAGGGCAGGGAGATAAGTTATCAAAGAACATATATTTTGGTTTCTTTGCAACACCTCTAGTCTTTCTGTCTGAACCCTCCTCCTTATCCTTCGTCTTCCTCCAGCCAAAAAATGCAGGGAATAGCAATGAATGACGACCGCTTTCTTTACAATCCGAGCTCCTCCTTGGTCTCGACACCCAACTCGGCCTTGAGGGGGGCAAGTTCATCCAAGTACTGCTTGTAGAGAGCGTCCGATCCAGCCTTGACCTTCAATCCCTCAAAAACACGAACGGCGGTGGCATAGTCATCAACGCGTCTGGACGCCTTGAGAGCAGCGGCAATGACCGAAGGAGAAGGAACGAGATCGTAGCCGAAAGCGTTGTTCAATCCACGCTGAAGCTCAAAGACATCGTCAACGTTATCAAAGAACTTGACGAAGCGCTCGGTAAAGTGCTCAAAGGACTCTTCGCCGTGCTCTGAAGAGTAGTTGCGGACTAGATACAATGGACAAGGAAAAGAGCTGGTCACTGTTAACAACGGCCTTGTAATCGGTCAAGCGGTGCCGTCCTGATAGGTTGGTTAGTTGTCCAGCAATGTACTCCTGTTCCTGATGTCTCTCATACACGGCAGTCTTTGTCCAATTGAGTACTCCTGCAGCTGTTATCGACTCTGATTATGTTGTTGCAACGTCTACACATCAGTAAACCCCTGAAGGAGAAGGTGTGTTGACTTCCATACTGCTATCCTGCCATCGATATCCAGTTCGCCAATATAATATGACATGTTTACATGCTTCCGAGTAATCCATCTTGTGCTCGGATCCGACGTCTCCGACAGAACTGATCTTGGTTCAGAGGTTCAACAAGGATCATTCACATGTGAGTATTGTCGCAAGACATGCTTTCCGAGCGGGAATAAAGCAGAATCCAGAGTTCTTGTTGCATCCGGTTTTGATTCATCCCCCAGTCCACTGCAATTATTGGTTTTTGTCCCGATCCTTTGCGATCAAAGTTGGAAATCATGGTGTACGAACGTACTCTGGACAGAAGATCGAGCAGCGATAGCCGAGCGAGCGAACTGGACGCGGGCAGCGGCGGCGAGAGGGCGAGAGACGGCAGCAAGGCGGTTCATGGTTGGATGCAGTTTGTTGAATGCGGTTGATTCGATGTGCGCTTGCCTTGTTTTTGTCACCGGAAGAAGGGTGCACGATTACACTCTTGTCTCGTCACGTGCGTTTCTCAGATGGATAGATGCCTCTGCACAATTCCTGTGGGCCGGGTCGAGAGAAGGAGCCCGGTGCAATGGATAGCGATCGAATGCCCCTGGATAGTCCATTGCGTACCCAGTGTGCGCGACGCGGTGGCAGGTGGCTCTATTCTTGTTCCACTCTTGCCCTACTGCTCGTGGCTGTTTGCGAACGGTGTGCTGAATGGTGCTCCACTTCATTTTGCAGGTACAGAAGACCGAGGATGACTAACTTTCTAACTTTGTCTGATAATGATAATGACAAATACAACGGCTATGGCATTTATAATAGTAGTGGCGCTTTAAGTGGGACCATCGCTCTTACAGCTCTGCCTGTTCTGTTTGATCTTGATTCGTTTTTTTTTGTTGCAATCCCACACTCTTCTCATACCCACAACCTCACACTGTTTCTTTGCGCTGCTTGCATCCACTCCCTCGCCTATAAGCAGCCTCTTCTTTTCTGTCGAATTGGCTCCCTCCCCCTGTATCTTCTGTACCTGTTCACACCTCTCTTTCATGATGGCCTGCGATATCTCCATGACAGAGACCCCACCTGCATCTGCCCAGGCCAACTACATCCCCAGGAACGCTATCGACCATATGAATCCGTTCTTCTTCAAGAGCCACGCTCACTCTCACAGCCACTCTCGGCAGCACCACAACCACGGCAGCCGGCACAGCTACAACCAGCCATACCCAGATACCCATACCCTTCATACCAAGGCCGAAGACGCTGTCTTTCTCCAAACCCCCGTCCCTCGTCGCCCCTCCATCCAGATCGACGGTCCTGCCACTGTCAACCCGACCACATCCACTGTCACCACTGCAGCCTCATACAACACCCCTCCTTCTACCCCACCACTGGCACAGGAGCCCACTAAGCGCATTACCGATGCCATTGCCTGGTGCACGGCCAGAGCTAGGATTCCCACTCCTGACGGATCCGAGTACTTTTTGCACATCTACGAGAATTCGAAGGACAAGAAGGAGCATCTGGCCTTTGTCTTTGGGGATGCCATCCGAAGCAAGAGTCTTGACAAGGCCCAATGGGGTGAGACGGAGCTGGATCGAGTGAAACGGGGTGCTTATACGGGCCGTCTTCGAAACACAGTATCAGAGGAGCAGCAGCATCCTACTTCTTCTCCTGTCTCGAATTACTCCACAGATTCACCACAAGTAGTGCAATCGGTAGAAGTGCCCTTGATTCCTTTAACCCGTATCCATTCGGAGTGCTTCACGGGTGAGATCGGTCACTCTGCGCGGTGCGACTGCGGAGAGCAATTGGACGAGGCTATCCGACTTATGAAGGCTGAGGGATCGGGCGTTGTGGTCTACCTTCGCCAGGAGGGTCGTGGCATCGGCCTTGCCGAGAAACTAAGGTAACATACCTACGGGTGCTTTTTTTTTCCCCTCACAGTGCTCGATATCTCTGCCCTGTTTTACTTTCTAGCCCCATGTGAATATTCATTCCTAAACTTGATGTTTCTCCACTCAACCGACTCAGCACCTGAAACTCCTTTTAAAGCAAAAAAAAACTGTAATGACCAGCTCCTACTCGTTGTGTAAGAAAGAACAGTCGCACTAACACCATATAACCTTATCTCCTTCAATAGAGCGTATAATCTTCAGGATCTGGGGTACGACACTGTGATGGCCAACCTGATGCTGAACCACGGAGCAGACGAGCGTACATACGAGGTCGCTCAGGCCATTCTTGAGGATCTTGACCTGAACCAGGTTCGCCTGTTGACGAACAACCCCGACAAGATTGAACAGATCGAGAAGGATAGCCAGATCAAGGTAGTCGAGAGAGTGCCGATGATGCCAAAATCCTGGGAGGCTATTGAGCAAGGCACAGAAGCATCCCTCGAGGTTAGGGAGGGTGCGGTCGAGAACAAGATTGTCAGAGGCAAGGAGCTTGACAAATATCTGAGGGTCAAGGTGGAGAGGATGAGGCACTTGATCAGCATCCCCTCTAGCATGAGCGTATAATGGTCATCTCTCCTTTTTTTCTGTATACCTTTTGCCTTTCCTACTTGTAATTTTACCCCATCCCACACGATGCCGTGTGTCTTTTTTCCTGTTCGAATAAACGTGGATTTTAAACATACGATTAGATGATCATAGATAAGATATGGCTTTATTTACAGGCGAGAAACGCAATTGCGTACTAGGAAGGGACGCAAGGAGTCGTTGATGCAACACGCGGTCCCCTGAGATCATCACTCTTACTGGGACAGCTTGTCAGAGAGATGCTTCTTGATTTTGATTGCATCGGCTGTAAACTTACGAATCCCTTCTGCGAGTTTCTCGACCGCCATGGGGTCCTCGTTCAGTACCCATCGGAAGGACGGCTCGTCGAAGGACACCTTGGGTTGCTGCTCTGTTGTTGAGGCCTTTGCGATCTCCGTACTTAGTTTGCGGTCGATCTTCTTGTTGGACTTTTGCATCTCCTCGAGCAGGGAGGACAAGATGGTCAAAAAGTCGCAAGCCGGCCAACTCCTCAATCTCCTCGATATTGCGGAAGGAGGTCTCCCATGACAATGGTCTTGTAGCCGATATGCCTGTAATTGTTAAAGATTTTTGTGACTGAAATTACACCAGGGTCTTTCCCTCCTCTTCCCCCCCCGGTAGTCTGACGCAATGGGCTTAGTTCGTCTCTCCAGGTCTACGAGAGAAGTGCAGGGTGCATACTCGAACAAACGAGAATAAGAGTGTCAGGTTGCAGTGGATTCCTTCGACGGACTCGAGGTGCTTGGCAGCCTGGATACCCTCCCAAGTGGACGCGATCTTAATCAAGACCCTATCCTTACCGATTTCGGCATCATGGTAGAGGCTGATAATTCCCTTAGCCTAGGCAATCCGTCGCCTCCTTCTCAGAAGAGAACTGGGAATCGATCTCCGTCGACACGCGCCACGGCACGGCCTTGAGAATCTCGGCTCGGAAATTGATCAGTAATTTGTTCAGTGCGGAATCTGTCTGCTTCTCGATTGAGCTTTAGGTACAAAAGAAATAAAGACATTAGATATCCTGCCAGCCATATGTCTTTTTGTAGATGACCATACCGTTTTCAAAGCTGAAAGAATAAGAGCCTTCTTATCCCCCAGTACTTTTACCATAGGCAATAGCATCATCAATCAGATGTGGGCCTGTATTGAGTAATGGCTGAGCAGAAGATGTGGTGTCAGCAAGCAGTATTGGGACATGTTGATTCGCTTGATGGACACCGCGCTTGCTTTCAAAGTCGCCCGAGTCAGAGACGATGGTGGCGATGGCCTTGATCTGGTCGAGGGGAAACATAGTGTTGGCAGAGATAAGGAGTGAGAGAAAGAAAGTGATCGAGGACTGTGGACACCAGGAAAGGAGAGATAAGGACCGATGCCATTACATGACAATAAAACCGACGCGTTTTTTTTTGATTTTCTTATCGCATACTAGCTGGCGATTCATACGTAAATGTATGTGCGTGTTTCTCAATGCGCTCGCTCCAAAGTATCATGCAACGCCACTTGCCGCGATTGTTGGTTCTGTCACATTGCTGTGTTAGTTAATGCAACATATGAGGATGCATAATGCATGCATGCGCGCATGCATGCACTACGGCGCAGGCTTCAGAATAAAAAAAAAAAAAAAAAGGCCTGGACTTGCATATGAAGACACATTACAGGTTTTATCTCCAGATTGTTGCACAGGGCTGAGGCACACGATTGAGGCATTCTTTAGAAAGAACGATGCCGTTTCCGCAGTTAATCACGCCAGGTAAAGCGCGCACTACAATTCACTACAATTGACCGCTACATCCAATGACCAGGCGATGTGCCCTACACATCGTCAACCAAGCATTGTCCACTGAGCGACCGTTCATTAGCACATGGCTCTCTCTCTCTCTTTTTGGTCACTTTTTCATGCTATGCAGACCAGCAAGAATCTGAGGTGGAAAGTTAATGAGGCTCACTTTTGCCCTCTCCTCAGTCTCCACTCGGCTGCAATCATTAATGAATAAAAGACAACAGCACCCTGCCGCATGGTTGCACAGACAGCGCAAACAGACAAACGAGAATATCAACAGGGTGGTACATGCGAAGAACCATCTACCGCAAGCACGAGTATAATGCGCCCAAACAGTAGCAAGCACCAGCACCAGGCAGCGGCAGCAAGAAATATTTGTGTGTTCATTTCTTTTGCTTTCCACCAACAAAATAGAGGAGGAGTTGCAATTGATTCGACATGGTGGGCCTCGTTCTCGGCCCATCGCCTGCAAACCGGGCAAGTTGGGGTTGCGCATGCAGTCGAATTTTTTTTTTATTTTTTTTTTAGTGATTCACGCCCATTTGCTACTCCATCATCTGTATGTTTTTCTCTAACATGTGGAGAGAATGCACAAACCATTGACCCTCAGGTACACAACCCACACTCACCCCACTCACCCACTTGCCTGCTCACTCACATACACATGGCTCTACTCCCTCAGTTCGGCACCCTCCACGGACGAAGACCGACCCCTGAGAGCCTTGCTTGGACAGCGCCTTTTTTTGTCCCCGAGTCCTCCAAAGCTGGGATTGTAAAAATAAAAAGAGTTAGGACCACAGCTGACCTCAATTGAGCATCGACATTTAGCACAAACTAGGGCAAGTTGGCTGCCGAAATTTTAGTTCAGTTGCAATGCAGGGTTGGACCATAGTGCATAAAGAGATGAACGTTTTGTATGCCCTGGTCTAGCATTTTTGTAATAAAAATAACCCGTTAGGCTAAGGCATTAATGGTCATGGCATGGTACTTTTAGCTGAGATGGACTCGAAGAAGCAAGGGTGAAAAGAAGATGGGTAGGGGGATAATCCAGATTGGCAAAAAAAAATAAAAAAATAAAATAAAACTCTATAGCACGCCCTGAACCTTGTCTTTGTATAAGTCAAGACTGGGGCAGCCAGTCCGAATATGTAGCATTTTCTCGTCGATGTTGCAATCATGAGAGTTGAACTATCCTTAGCATGACCATGGGGTTCATTTGGTCCGCATAGACGACGACGACGACGACGGTTGCTTGGCTTCATGGATTTTGGTTGGTATAGTTCCATTGTTAGTTTTTGGTTGGTTACCCGAACGTATGGATAACTTCGATAATAAGGTTTTTATTTGTTTGTATGGTCTGGTTTCCGTTGCCCTACGGTTTGTTCGCTTTCTCGAATCCTTTTTTCTTTTTTGGTTCTTGATGCTAATGCATGCCAATTGCCTTCTCTCACCTCTCTTGTTTTCTCTCTTTTCATTTATTTTTTTCTCTACCTCCACGCTCTTCCCCACTCATCGTCATTGCTGCCACTCTTCCCTCTTTTCCTCCTCCACCATCGCCATTGCCACCCCCTCTTCGTGTTCTCAGTAGCTCTGTCCCCCCATCTTCGCGTCCCCGCCCCTCTACCTAACTCACGCGCGTACACTCACCGCCGCACTTACTGGGAATCATCTCTTTGATCTCCAACACCATTCCTTTTGCAGGATCCCAGTCGTTTGGGTAAGGACTACCATCACTTGCGGATGGGGGCGGAAGAGCGAACTTCAGTTGCGGTCTTAGACCGATCGTCAGACATGTTATTGTACAAAATGCTAATGATATTTTCCCCCACTCCAATTCATTTCCAGGAACAATCTGCTTTGGAAGACCTGATTTCTGAAGGGTGTCAGGGAAAAAGACGAGGAAAAAAAAGACTCCGCTCCACATATTTAACTGCACTTTAATTTAACATTTTTCGTTCAATTCAACTGGCGCTGCACTTCCCTCACAACCCCTCGTTCCCATACGACTGAAAAGACACGCCTTCGACAAGGATCATCTGAACAAAGATCATCCTCCATCCGCCATCACAGAGACTCATTCCTTCACCTGCTCAGTCTATACCTCCGCACTCCATTGAAATATATAGTATATAATCTAGTATACATATTCTGATCCGCCTTTGTCACACCATTCTACACCCTTCAAACGCACGCACTTTCATATCATGACAACAATGGAGAGGCCTGCTGCATTGGGCTCCTACAACGACCCCTACAACGCTCATGGACACCCAGATTCCTATGCCAACAACACCCCACACCATGCAGGTCTCGGCCTTCAGCATCCTGCTTCCAACAAACGTGCCTCCGTCCAAAGTGCAACTCAGCTGCCCTCCACAAAGGCTCTCGCAATCACATCTAGAATAACAAGGGGAGCATCCCCTCCGCCACTCATGGGGTCAGCGATCGTGCTCGTCAACGATTCAGCCCTACACTGTTTTGGAGGTCGACTCGAGGATCGCGAGCTAACAAACTGTCACTACGTACTCGACGTTGAAACGGGATACTGGATGACGATCCAAGCTGCAGGCGACAACGCCAATAGCAACGGCAACAGTAACAGTAACACCGACACAGGGACGTCTGATTCAAGGGCTCTCTTTTCGCTTTCGCTCTCGACCGATCCCGTCAATACCAACTCCGGTTCGCTATCGATTCAGCCTTGCCCTCGGTACTTCCACACCCTTAATGCATACGGCACGTCTTTGATCCTGTTTGGCGGCATGGGATCAGCACAGGTACAGCAGAACGGCGAAGACAGTGACAATGAAGGTGACCAACCAGGAAAGTTGGCAGCACTAGATGATCTGCATGTGTTTGACATTGTCACACAACGCTGGCAGCAGAAGCACCCTCGCGTGAACGAGCACACCCCAAGGGCGCGCTGGGCACACATGGCGACGATCCTCGATCACTATCTGATAGTCATTGGCGGCACAGATACGGTCAAGGCATATGTGGAGGATGCATGCATTCTCGACCTCCATACCTGGGAATGGGTTGCATCCGTCAGGAACATCGGACAATGTGGGTCATATAGGACAATTGCCGCCACAGGCCCCAGCGTACAGGCCTCTAATGAGTCTATGCCATCATCGCACTCGTTCCCATCCGTGAATGCGTCCTCGCCTCAGATCTCGTCCAGCCTCTCGTGGTCAACAACAGAATCTGGTTCAATTGATGCCATGGCCAACCTTTCCATGGTGTTGAGTGGGCGCATCTCCGTCCCGAGCTCGACTACATCCTCTCGATCAATAAAGACATCGACAGCAAAAGAGACAACGGATTCTGAACAGGACAGCATCAAGAAAACGTCGGTTCGGTTGAAGAGTGGAGAGTTGACGCCTGCGTTCAACGCTGGCACTGACATGCCCTCGATCTATCTCTATTCCAACTACAACTTTCAAAACCTGCAGAGGGAATTCAAAGTCATCGCCCCACAGTATTCTCCGTCCTTGGCGTCGTCAACACCGTCGTTCACGTTAATCGACAGGTCGCAGGCACTTGAAAGGACGGGCTATGAGCTCCCGCCAGGCCTGCGTTTCCCCCAGGGACATGTATATCAGAACCAGCTGATCCTGACAGGAACATTGATCGTGCCGGGCAAGGCTCCTACGCTGGCCATTTATTCATTCAGTCTATCGCTCAACAGATGGGAAAAACTTGACACCGATACTTCTCTCCTTACTGGATCATGGAACAGGACGATCCTCCACCCCGCAACAGGCACCTTGCTCATCTTTGGCAATCGCGAGTCGAACGCCGAGATCGACTATTCTACCAGAATCCAGCACCACCACCACCTCATGATGATCAACCTGCAGGCATACGGTCTCTACGAACGACCCGTGCCATCGTTCCTCCGCATAGCGCAGGACCTGGGCGAGGATCTTCTCAGAGAGACAGGGCTGAGTGATATGCACCTTGCCTCTGCAACCGGAACGCTCTTTGATGCCAACTCCACGATCCTTGCAGGGCGCTGGCCTGAATTTGCAACCATGCTCCTTTCACCACCCTATGTCACGCCGCTGATCCTCGTCCTTCCAGTCCCAGACGAAGTCATCCCGGTCTTCTTGCACTATCTCTACACAGGAGCGCTACCGCAGAATGCGCTTATCACACCGGGTATCGCGGACTACTTGCTAATTCTCGCACGGCGGTACCAGCTCAATGGTCTTCATGCGCTGACATTGGATGTGCTGCACCAAGCTGTCATCACCAATCCCATGCGAGTCTATAACTCAGCGCTGATGGCTGGAGAACTCGGTCTACAGGCGCGCGCGGTTGGGTTGGCCATGTTCGCTAACAGGGCCGCACAGTCAGGGCAGGACCAGCCGCCACCACTCCCTCCAGCGCCACGAAAACGTGTATCTGTGCAGGCGTACGTGCTCGAGAATGGTCTCAGCCGAAACTACAGCACCCGAGTCCCGCCACCTTCAAGTCGACCGCCCGTCACACCTGAGCGACGACACCGCGGCCCTCCTTCGCACCACTCTCGCGACAGTGTGAGTACGGATGGAGGCAATGGTGGAATTGGTCTCGTTGGAGAGACGCTTCTTCAGCAGTACAGCCATTCCACAATACAGCAGCAGCAGCAGCAGCAGCAGGGAACCGTGTACATGTCCTCCCCAGAACCGGGTGCAGCCTCTCGACAGCAGCGCGCCGTGTGGTCACCACCTACAACATCCTCTTTCTCGAGTCAGCAACACCACCACCATCATCCAGTTTCGTTCTTGAGTACAGGATCTGGTGGGTCCGGATCGGCAAATGACAGTCCGCTGGCTTCACCTGTCGCGCACTCGAGAGGTCAGTCGTATTTCCAGGGGTACTCCTCTCCACTGCCACCCAACGCGCAGACACAGGGCTCGTATGCATCACATGGGGCAGGCTATATGCGCAATGGCAGCGAGGGGGTCCCAAGTGTGTATGTACAGGACGATCAAGACGATGGCACGTCGATCCACTCATCTGGGGGAGGCCGGGATATGAGGGCGCAGCAAGCAAAGCGGCGGCTGCAGATGCAGATGCAGATGCACCAGGAGCTGGATCAGCAGCACCAGCAGTTGCAGCAGCAACATCAGAGGCAACAGGAGGAGTATGCACGACAGTTGATGTTGATAGAGCAGCAACAGGCGAGAGACGAGGAGTTGGCGATGCAACAACAGCAACAACAACAACACCAGCAGAGGTTCTTGCAGAAACAACAGCCCCTGCAGCATAATCCAGCGGTGATGATGGGAGCGTTAGATTACCATATGGGAGGAACGCCGAGCAATGTGAGCACCAAGTCGTCGGGATCGAAGAGCAACGGAAAGAATTACGCGAGTAGTATGATGACCGTGACGACGGAGTCCACTGTGGAGTCACACAAGTCAGGCAGCAGTGGAGGCAAGGCGATGAGTGTGAAGAGCACGGGAAGTGAAGAGAAGAAGAAGGGGCTGTTGGCAAAGATGAAGCCGCCAAAGCCCAAAGCTAGTGGTGCGGATCTAATGAAGAGCGCAGGGTTCTAGAGAGTAGAACGAGAACAAATTAAACAAAACGCTTAATAGACAAGACGTAAGACCAATGTGTCGTTCTGCTGAAAGTGTATATCGCGAGAATAAGGGAGCCTTTGCAAGGGGCTGCTTGGGCGCGGGGGCTCCGGATGGCTAGACGGCTAAACCGCGCTATCCGGACGCGTCTGGTTCCCTGATTAGGATGCCATTGTTGTTCGCGGACGCTAGTTTACTATAGTGTCTAGAGTCTATAATACCTATTTTTTTTTGCTCTTTCTGTCTGCTTGAGCACCCATCAATTCTACGAAAAGAAAAAAAGAAAAGAAAAAAGCAATAGCAGCGAGCAGTGATCCAGCGTCTCTAACTTCTCCTAACACAAGGAGTCGCGAAAGCATAGGATAATCCTTCCGCATATTATTTACTCTACGCTAGACAAACTTCTTCCTGAGCTGAGGGTCCCTCCCGCCTGATATCCATCTATGTCCGAAAGTCCGCTTCAGCTTTGGTGTGCTTGATTATGGTCTACATAAACACGTCCTCTTGGAAAATGAGATGAGGTTTTCTGCCGAATCCACGCCCGGTCATCGTGACCTGCGTACCAATCATGGACTAGGAAGCAATTAATTGGAATAAAGACAAAGCCGTAGAAGCTGTGGCACACATTCATTACCTTCTATCTACGCAGAGGTTCGTGTAAGAGCCGAGTGTCGAGGCTTGAATGGCCGTAGCATCCATTATATCGGTCAAGGATTGTTTCCAGGACCTTTCAGGAACTAAATTCTGATCCTGTCATCTGTATTGGCGACTATTGCGGTCAAGCTGAGTCGTGCCGTTGAGGCTGGCCTTTCGGAAGTGTGCAATGTTTTGGATGGTCTCTGCGCTGCTGTCCGGCGTCCTGCTGCGGTACCACCGCTGCAGTCGGTAGTTGATCGCCAGCAGCTGTGAAGACATTGTGGAGAGGCGACATGCGCAGAGTCTTTCCGTTGAAGCGCTATTATCGAGCTATTGTGGGGTATGTAGCTGTAGTATTTTGTGTGTCGATACGCGAGTGGAGTTGACCAGTACACGAGTAAGTCGATTGAGTGGTAACGAGGAAAAGAGGATGGAAATAGAGGAGAAGGAAAGGCAGAGTCCACAGGACGCATACTGGGATGAAACCAGTGCAGAGTTAACATAGGATCTGTCCATCTTTAGCAAAAAACTGCAAACAGATTTGCTTTCTACATGGAGTTGAACCCGACACAGCTGACAAAGCGATAGAGGTCCCGACATGTCAGGGTCCATTGCTGTTACCGATATACCAGATATCACTTTCATCCCGGACACACAGCAGAAGATCGACAGAAGACAATTCTAATTTGGTCCGGAGGAAAAGAATCGCTTAGTTCTAATCCTCTCTTGTGCGAAGTGGGTTGTCAAGGAAAACATTCCAGCATTTCACGATCTATCATGCCTACAAGTTAACAGGTCTTTTGATTTTGATAGCAAAAAGAAGATCCAGGATCCAGGACAAACGCGATCCTTGCAACGCACTGAGATTGGTGAATATCGATACCGGCTTCTCTATTTGCGTTGTATAGGAACTGAATCCATGGCCAAACATATCGACATCAGTATTGTCACTGCTATTCTGGACGCTGTTGTTATTACTGCTGCTGCTGCTGCTACGGCTAATACCATCGAGCGATGTTCTGTTAACAAAGATGCTAAAAAGACGCTGGTTCCAGTCCCTACTTGAAAAAAGGAGCTCCTTTTCACTTGCATTTTTTTTTTTTTTTTGTACTTATACATTACATCTGCATACCCAGACACCCTGGGCAGGGCGATCGATCTACATTAACGTAGGAAACCACCCACAGTGCTGTCGTGCATCTTCTTAAAAAGCACACGCCTTCCCGAACACTCCTTTTCCCTTTCCTCATTCTCTTTCACATTTTGTTCTCTTATCCTACTCATTTGCCACTCAATCTCCCCCCACTCGCGACCCAATTCTTTCTTCTCTTCACCTTTTCGACCCGACAGGAGAGGAACTCAGTCCCGACATAAACGAGCAAGGAACGAAAGCAATAAAAGGACATACAGGACATGGATTCATTACAGAGAGAAATAAGTACAGAGGCGCATCCTTTGTTCCTCGAATACACTAGCGAGTCCATGGAGAGACAACGACAGGAAGAGCTCTACCGTCCCCCCTCCCGGATACTGCAATGGTGCATAGCGCCACTCGTATTTCTGGCCACAATGGCAAGTTTAAATGGAACACCTGTTGTTTTTTCTTTTTATCCTTCTTCACTCTCACAGCTGATACTGCTGCCACTGTCAGCAGCTGTATTTTCTTGGAAGAAATACAGGTATACATAGGGCGGGAGTAGAGAGGCAGGCGTCAGATGAAAAGAAGCGGTTAAGTGCAACAAGAACTTGTAGGACTGACACGAACTCGAGAGGGCACATTCCGTATGTGATATGGTTGTATACGGATCCCTGCTGTCCCTTGCGCCCCTTTTCTAATCACGGAGGCGAAAATAACGACAGACATAACTGCATTACTGCCCTCTCGAGCCCAGTTCACGGCTCTTCTGGAATTGGGATACGAGCTTGCTCCTGTAGAAAGCGCAACCTTTTAGATAGGACACGGACTCCTGGGAGCAGGGATATTTGGCCCCTTGTGTAAAGCGTTGATTCGACAGTGATGGCTATTTTGAACCGAGTGGGATACCTGAAAAGAGAGAGAGGTGCGATTGTTCACTTGTTGTTTCCCTCTGCACTCCATTCCGCTCCATTCCACTTCACTCTCACTCCATTATTCTTTCCACTCTCACGCTCAGGTTTGACATTCCACAGAAACACGGCGTTCAGAATCAACAAGTGTGTGTGGAGCAATAGCTTAGAGCAAACTCTATTGGAGTACTTTACGATGAGTTGCGCGACTGACACGCGTGCGTTTGCGACTTCTTGTCCTACATTGAATTATCTTTCGTAGATTCCAGCCTCGGTTCTGTTGATCCAGATTCTACAAGTCCAGAACCGACAAGCGAGATCGATGCAGCACGGTATTATGTTAATCCCGACACTTTCTGTAGGCATTGACGTTATGGGCGTGGGCGTTGTCCTCGTCTCTATCATGGGCCTTCTTGGCGTAGCCAAGGGTTGTAGGCACCTCATGAATTTGGTAAGTGCGATCGCTCAAGTGCCTGGGTTTACGACAGAATCTCTTTTACGAAAATATTGCCAATGTAGCTAACGCCATAAACTCTTTTTTCTAAAACATGCTGTAGTACTTTGCGCTGGTGCTGTGCTTTATTGCAGTGCAGGTTGGAAACGCGATCATTGGATTCATGTCTGGATCTAGCTGGATTCAGGAAGCACTGCAAAAATCTTGGGATAAAGCATACCATACAGATAGGAGCCTTATTCGTGATCTCCAGACCGAGGTAAGCAATAGTTTGCAACATGCATGAGTTGCCATCAATGTCTGGCAGCAAAAAAATTAAAATAAATAAAAATCAGCCTGTTAATCTTCTTCCGCAACGTGTGCCATAGTTTCACTGCCAAGGATTTCTCACTCGTGAGGATCGGGCGGCGACAATGTCCCTGGACCCCGAGATTTATCTTCCGCCTTGCGCTCAGTTTCTGTACATGCGTTTTGGGAAGCGACTTCAACGCCTGGGCTCCATCATTTTCTGCATACGCTTAATTCAGGTAGGTCGACATGGAATCGGCATTAGTCTCGCGTGAATAGGAATTTGGTTGGCGATTTTTAACCACTTGGTATTATTATTAGTTGACAGGCGTGTTTTTGCTATCGATTCTGTTCAAGCACCTTGCCACGATGGATCCAACGGACGAGGACGAACAGGAGCGGACGGATGGGGAGTCACCGTTCTTCAAAAGTGAAAAACAGATTGAGGACGAGATTGCACGAGCGCCGTTGCTTGCTGGCGAGGACGATGACTTGCCGCATTACTCCGTCGGGGATTATTATGGCAGCGAAGAATATGATGTGGAGAGTGACGAGGACGAAGATGGAAGCGGCGGCTCTTGCGACGAAGACGATGAGCATCAGCAGTACCGGGGTCGGTTTTTCTACGGCTGCTTTGGCGCCCGCGACTACGAATACCGGGACCTGCCTGACTATGCGGAGGACAAGCGCGAGACTCAGCCCTTATAATTTACGCTTTTCAGCAATAAATTTCAGCTACCCCAGTGCTCTTTCATTTTCTCATTGCTCTTTTCTTCTCAAACACCTCCTTTTCCTCCCTGCCTGCTTGCCTGCCCAAACCGATCGATCCTCCATTACCTACTACCATAATGAGACGGCAGCCAGGCAGCATGATCCCGCCTCATTGCTTCTGCGCCAAACCGGCCATCCGAATCCACACAGAGTACGAGGGCCTCGTCTTTGAGTGCCACTACACCTGCCCTTTCCTGTGGCTCGAGCACCGGACAGGGCCCTTCTCTCCTCAAGACAGCGAAAGCAGTCTCCCTGCCAAAAACACCCCGGGCTCGTCGCGGTCAACCCCCACCTCGCAGCCGTCGCCTGTCCTCAGCACTTGCAGGGACTCACATTCACCCTTTCAATCCCCAGACAAGGCTAAGACACGCGAGGCTATCAAGGATGTTGTTGACTCGCTCATGTCCATCACTAAGAAGGACCCTTCTTTGCCCTGGGGCGTAGTATCGAGAGACCAACAGCGGTTCAGCAGGAATAAACCCCGAAGCGACAGTTCCTTCCACGACAGCAGCAATAGCTATCATCAACCTTCCAAACAGAAAACTTTGGCTACTAGCAGCATATCCGCAAAGATTGTCACTTCGTCCAGCAGGCCGCAGGTACTTGTATGCGGGTTCCATTTACATGAATCCAATTGGGAGCTGTTCAAGCGCCTAGTCAAGGAGCATAACTCCGGTTGGAGTGGCGCCATGTCGGAGGAGGCAATCTCTAGTAAAGAAGAGGGCCAGTTGGCACGGCAACATCTTGAGATCGTACTCAGGCACAAGGATATTCGCATCCAGCTGCTGCTGCTGGCTGAAAAGATTGGATGTGACAATAATACCACAACAGTTCGTCGTTGGGTCAACCACAAAGACGGAGCGGATGGAAAGACAACGTTGACGAGAGGACCGCCGATTTGCTTCTGCAGACAGAAAATGAAATTGTCGTGGACCTTCAATGGATCGGGTTCGAATGCAGCGTATTTTTGCGCACAGCGACTTGCCGATGCGAAAGGCGGCTGCAGTATGATGAGGAAGGTTGATCGGTGGGCTCAATTTCAAGCCCCGGACCCAATTCATACGCTCGCACCGATACAAAGAGCAGCGGCAGCGGACAGTCTCGATACAGACAACGGTGCTGATACTGATGAGGTCGATTACTCAAGCGATACAACGAGCGATTATCGACGATCCGAGAACAACCAAGGGGAAGACATGCAGCTTAATTCGGCAGGCGCAGGGGAAGTAGAGCATGAGGAATCGGAGATGGAGCAGGAAAGGGCTGTCGAGGAATCATGGTCTGATACTGAGGGTCTGTGGGACAATTGTGTCAGCTCCGTAAGACCTCCGACAACAGGATCTGCTACGAGACGTAGATTGCGTCCGTTACCTATACCAGAAGGACACGAGGATTCTGATGGCGAAGTCGATGGATTTGGTTCGAAGAGCAAGACAAGTTCTAGATCGCCCATAGGATCGTCAGCAATGTTGCCCACTGAAGCGGAGTTCACAAATGGGGGACACGAATCAGCAGGTTCTGCTGCAGAGGATTGTATTCAGGATGAGAACAGGTCCCGACATGACGTGGTCCTCGACGGTGATCTCGCTCAGTGGCACGCTAACGACCACAACAGCTCATTGTACGAAGACTCGGTGCCCACAAAATCTTTGCCCCCGCCCCCAGAGTCTTCCGGAGACATGTCGATATACCTTGGACAGGATCTGATCAGTACAATAGACGACCTAACGGATCGTCTAAGGTTCGCGCACCAGACGTTAGAGCCCGAGGCAGCGATGGTTGGAGACAAGCTTAAGGAGATTGTGGCCCGATTACAGCGGTGGCGAGATTCCACAGGTCGGCTAAAGGAATATGCGGGCGTGCTTTACGAGGATGGACTTGACAACCCGACGCTCAAGTGTCGTCGATGTAAGGAGGGTCCGCTGTTGCGTGTAAATGTGCCGTGCTTTCATCTGGTGATGTGCGACAGCTGCATCTATGAGCATCAATACTGTGTTATCTGCCATTCCGGGATCGAGACGAGTCGGAGGATCTATTGGGGATAATGCGGAATGTTATTGCGCCCATGAACAAGCATAGCGCGTTATTTTTGCGATACCGACCAGAGAGCGAGACAGTTTGAAGGATGTGTTGATGTATCGATGCATTATCGATAGGCTATTCGCGAGTGAAATAAGATGAGTTATGGACGTGAACATGGGTTGCATGCACTGCTTCTTTGCTCTTTCAATTCATTTCCAGCTCCAGCCATTGGAAGCTGTGGTTTGCCAGTGTGAACTCAAAAGAAAATAGGTATGGTGGCGGAACGTGGGGTTGTGCGTGGCATCATCAAGTACTCTTATTCTCCCTTTTTTTTCACGCCTTCCCTTTCCCTCTTTCCTCTCATCATCCTCCCCTCTCTCCTTCCTCCTCCCTCCCTCCCATCCGCCCATTCGATCCATCGATCCGCCGATCCATTCATCCATTCATCCGATCACAGGCAGCCTCATTCATCCTCCCCTCCCCTCCCCTCCCCATTTCCCCATTCTGCTTTTGTGCTCCACTCGCTCGTCCTTTTCCATCCAAGAAACACTTGTGTGTGTGTGTGGTGTACGTGCGTGCGTGTGTACATCTGCAGACGTCGTGCTCTCATCGTAATCAATCGCCCTTGGTCCTTATTTTTCGATCATCCCGACGCAACGGCAGAAGCACCCTTCCCGTCCTTTTTATTATTATTATTATTATTATTATTTGCCTCTCATCTGCCCCACCATTGTTGAGTGAGAGTGCAGCCATTCCATCCTTATTTATTGTCGTCTGATCCTCCAAGGAAGACAGGTATGTCAAACGACACCCTTTCCCCTTCACCTATGGCTCTGGGTCTAAAAAGAACAGTTGTCGAGTTTACTGTCACTCCATCTCTCCACTGCACGTCTTCCTGTGTCAACATCATTTATCCGACTATTTCTTATCCGAAAAGGCAACGCGCAGTGCTCCCTGTGCGCATAAGCACCCGTGGCGGACACTCCATACACCCTGTACATGGACATTCACTTCCGCACATCCCCTGCTCACACATACCGCATAATTTACCACCACTGGTCGGCGACAAATGTAGATGCACAAAATGCATAGCGCGCAACGCATCTATCAAAGGGTGTGTGCGTATCTGTGCGTGTTTCTGCGTGTTTTCTTTTCTTATTGTTTTATCCCACTTCTTCCTTCCCTTTTCTTCCCTTCCCTTCTTCTTTCCACTGTTTACTGTTTACCAATAATCCAATGTAAATCCTCCCACCGAACCATCCCACCGCGCATGTCAACATCGGCATCCACATAAAAAAAGTCCGTGCGTGCGCCCCTGCGCGTCATAAGTCGAGGGGTCACACCTGCTTTTTTTTTGCCTATCAGGATTAGCCCGCACAATAAATATACCATCGAGACTGACCAGTCTTTTTGATCTGGCTTCCATTAGGGCACAACAGCAAATGTCTGGAATATACAACCATCGTCCGATGGTGCCTGGTCGTAGTGCAGGCGTGCCCGAGTGGCTCGACTTGATTAAGCAAGAGTTCGAAAGCCTCAGTCATGAAGCCATGGTGGCCAAGGCACAAAGAGACGAGTGCGAGCATAAGAGTATGTCATCCCATACCTCGATTCGTTGCATTACATGTCGATCAGCGTTTGGTACACAGTGTCGAATCTAACGGCTTTTTATTTTTTATTTTTTGTTATGTTTATATTATCTTGCTAGTTAACAGCCAGATACAAGAGATGGATGCGTTCCGCAGGACCCTTTATGAGCTCGAGAGGAGGCACGAGGCAATGAAAACCCAGTACCATATGTAAGGAGAACATTAAGTCGATGAGGCGCGATCGACTATTCGCATTAAGATCAACTCAAGTGACTGACCTATTATCTCCTTTCGTCTCTCTAGATGGGAGGAGGAAGTGGTTCGGTTACGGCGCGAAGTGGAGCAGCGTGGTGGTGTTGTCCAGCCACCTCATCCTCACGCACATGCGCAGCCGCCTCCACCAAACATTGGGCAGGGTCACTCGAATTTGTTTGGCGGAATTATTAGCGGCGGCCCCGGAGGTCCAGGCTTGGTCGCGCCACCTCAGATGGTTGATCCATCACAGCAGCAGCAACATCCCCAGCAACACCCAGGCCAACAACAGCAACAACAGGTCCCTCCATCTCAGCAACAACAGCAGTCAAACCAATCACAGCAACCACACATGCAGCAGGTCCCACAGCAACAACAGCAACATCACCCACAGCACATGCAACAGCAACAGCAGCATCCATATGGTACGCCTGGTGGCCACGGAGGACCTAACGTGCCTCCTGGAGGCCCCGGGCCCCATTCGCCATATTTGAATGGGAGCGGCGGACTGCCACAGCAGCAGGGTCAAGGTCAGCCACAATCAAAGCGGTTCAAGACAGAAAGTGATGGTCCGCGTTTCAAGACAGAAGGCGAGCTTCCTCCGCCAGGTACAATGTACGGGAACATGTCGCCTAACCCTCACGCTAACCTCAATGGACAGGGCCAGATGCCTCCAGGAATGGGTCCTTCTTACAATGCATCTGCGCCCCCAGGTGGCCCAAAGCAGCCAGGAAAGACGGGAAAGGTACTGCAAACACGACGGTATATGTAGGCCCGCCGGTGTGTATCAATAATCGATTGCTGATATTGGGATGTTAACCTCTTGAGTTTTGCGCCTAACCTAACCTGTCTTCTTTAGAGTGCGTCATACGTCCCGATAAAGGATGAATCACAAACGCCGTCCAATAAACGTAAAACTGGTGCAGGACCCTCAACATCATCAACTACGGGCCGCACTGCAAGGGTCTCTGGATCAGCAATCTGGAGTGACGATCCTGACAATGTTCCACCTCAGTTGAAGCGTGAAGGTCCAGACTGGTTTGCAATGTGCGTCCAAGGAAGGAATTGCTACACGATCGCATGGCTCAAGTCTCATCATGTTATACCTATTAACCATATGCGATCGTCCTCGACTATTTAGTTCAAACCCCAAGGTTCCCCAGCTGCTGAAAGTCGATCTCGTCCACACAATGGAACACATGAGGTACGTGTAACATTGCTGTGAGGTTTTTATTTTTATCTTTTATATAGATATTTTAACATTTGTCAAGGAATAGAAGGCTTACAGCTGATATCTGTTCATATGCGATTACGTAGCGTTGTTTGCTGCGTCCGGTTCAGCGCGGACGGCAAATATCTCGCCACTGGATGCAATCGAAGTGCCCAGATTTTCGACATCCAAACCGGACAGAGCGTGTGGTAAGAATCGTAGAATGTCCGAACTTGCTGCAGCGGTATGCAGAGTAAATATACTCTGTGCTAATAATTTTCATACCCGTGGTATCAATCTTTAGTGTCCTTGCTGATGATACTGCAGGAAAGGATGATCTTTATATTCGCTCAGTATGCTTCAGCCCTGATGGCAAATATCTCGCCACGGGTGCAGAGGACAAACAAATTAGAGTGAGTGGCACAAATGCTTCGATTTTTCTACTTGAGCGCAAACAACATTGCAGGTTGGGCTGACCTGTTTCGCTTCCTTTGGCTGGTAGATTTGGGAGATCGGTCGCAAAAAAATTCGTATGGTCTTGAAGGGCCACGAGCAAGATATTTACTCGCTCGATTTCTCTAGAGACGGAAGGATCATTGTATCTGGATCGGGAGATCAAACTGCGCGCATCTGGGATATGGAAACTGGAAAGTGCCTGTATGTTCTGACCGTAGGCGACGTGGACACGAAGGATGCTGGAGTGACATCAGTTGCCATCTCTCCCGATGGCCGTCTCGTTGCCGCTGGATCATTGGATCGGATGGTGCGCGTTTGGGACACTCACACCGGACAGCTATTGGAAAAACTAGAGGGACACAAGGACTCTGTCTATAGCGTTGCCTTTGCGCCAGATGGCAAGACACTCGTCTCCGGTAGCTTGGATCGCACCTTGAAAGCTTGGGATCTGAATTTCACTGGACGGGGAGGCCAAAACGGACCTCGAGGAAGCACTTGCAAGGCGACATTTAATGGACATAAGGTAACGATACTGGCTACATTCCGTGGGAAACAAATGACCTGCCTCTCTATCAGGGCTCTCATCTGTCTGCCTTTTTTTTTCGCTTTCATCGTTCTTTGCTGCCGTAGGACTTTGTGCTTTCCGTTGCTGTATCGCCTGATGGCAAATGGGTCGTGTCTGGATCGAAGGACAGAGGAGTTCAGTTTTGGGATCCCGATTCGACAGCTGTTCAGTTTATGTTGCAGGGCCACAAAAACTCTGGTAAGGACCGATGCTCTTGAGTCTTCTTTTTGGATGTGTGTTTTTCTGCAGTGTGAATTATAGATTGACCATTTCATTCGTTCTGTCTCTTTATCTTCATAGTCATCTCTGTCGCATTGAGCCCTGCAGGAACGTACTTTGCAACTGGCTCTGGAGATACCCGAGCCCGAGTCTGGAGTTACGAATCAACGCAAGATTGAGTGAGCTACGTGGATATGCGACTGTAGCTATCCGGTGTGGCATCAAGGGCGCCATGTCATAATTTTTTAAAAATAAAAAAAAGCTCGGTTCCAGGCCCCTTCTTATCGTCATTGCGCGCATTGCCGATGGAGTCATGGACAGCCCAGACAGTGGCTTAGATGTGCTCATTTAAAGGACCCTTCGGCTGGCTCTTTGGATAGCGTCGACACCCGTACCCTTTTTCTCTGTACGTCTTTCTTGCATTCACGATTTACAGGAACGGTAGACTTCATTCCAACCGCGGACTAGCAAGCGATCGAAAACTGGACTACCGGCACCATCACAGGCGCGTAATAGCCAACGGATCATCACAGGTGAGTCTCTACCTCATGCACGCACCCAATCGCAGCCCCTATTCCAATGCACCAAGGCGTTATTCCCCACCGAGCTGTCGTCTTTGCGCCACTTATATTCTACGAGTGATATTCTACGGTGAACGACAATGTCCTTATTACCTGCAGAAAGCACCCTAGTTTCCAATCTGACCTATCGCCCCCGTGTTATATCACTTTAGGCGCATTCAATTTAGCAACGGAACGTTTGAGTGCCCTGCAGCCGTCATACCGTCACGCTCTTCGACACCAATTATCAATTGCTCAGAACCCCAGCAAGGTACAGCGCATATTGAGACATCATGGCCGAGCGCGATCTGAGCGACAGCAGCCGTATCTTGGCCAACATGAGCACCAACAGTGGAGCATCAGGGGTGTTGGCGACAGTGGCGAATCTTGGAGTGAGAGGACCCGAGAAGTCACAACATCCTGCCATGACGTCAGAAGATATCCAAGGGTCCCTTCCACAGACGCAATCTCAAGCCCAGGCTCTTACACAACAGCAGCAGCAACCATTGCATCACCATTCTCACCACTCGTTGTCCATCCAAGGTCAAGGATCACAGCAACAGGCGTTGTCTACTACAGGAGTCGTCAGCGGAGGAAACAACGCACCTGTGATCGGATCCGTTTCAGAAGGAACAGCTGTTAATGGTACAACGGGTGTCCAGGTTGCTGGAGGGACCTTTGGCCTGGCCATCTCTCATTTACCGGGCGTTCCAACACCTACAAGTCAATTACTGCAGCAACAGCAACAGCATCATCAACAGCAGCAGCAGCAGCAGCAGCAGCAGCAGGCACAGCAACAAGCGCATCAGGCCCAACAAGTCCAGCAAGTCCAACAACAGCAGCAATTTTTATTAATGCAGCAACAAGCACAGCAGCAGGTTCAGCAGCATCAACAACAACAGCAGGAGGAACAACACCGTCAGCTGAAAGAGCTACAGGATCAAGAACAGCGACGTCTCCAGCAACAGGATCCACAGCAGGCACAGCCCTCCGCGGAATCAAGGTTGGACTCGGTAAAAGAGGAGATTATAGTGCCGAATCAGGAACAGGAGTTCGAGACACTGGAGGCAGCGCAGATAGCTGCAGAACGCTATGCCCGAAGTGTTAATACTGTTGTTATTGTGAAGCGGACGACAAAGGATAAGCTCGGGAATGTGGTTCAGGTATGCAGTCTCCCTTCATGACCATTACAGATAGTTGCGGATATATGGTTGCCGTGGCTAATGCATTACACTGGCATACTGTGATCGCATGAATATTAGAAAGATTTGGCGTGCGAAAGACAAGGCGCCTACCTGGGATCAACCAAGAGGGCACCAGATGTAGGGATTCGAACGAAGCGCTGCGGCTGTCCGTGGATGATCTCGGTTGGATTTTCAAAGAAGCGTGGAAATCGGGATGGGAAACGCGGGCGTTTCACAAAAGTGAACCTGGAGCACAACCACCCACTTCAGCCACTCATCGACATCGACCCTTTGGGGACAAAATCAATGAAACCGGAATCTAAAGTGGCCGCATCAAAGTTCAAGACATCCAGTGCATCAACCCCACGTTCTCAATCATCTCGCCCTCGAGCCAACGTGTCAATTTCCACTGTTGCTGGAATAACCAAGATATCGACAGGAGCAGACATAACCAACAAGACGACTGAAGGGAAAAGTGCTCCGAGCAAGGATTCTACCGCAAAAGTTGTTGCTAATAACAATGGCACCCTTACAGACTATGGGATGTCTGGATTTCTTCCACAAGGCTCCGCCGTTGCATCTGGACGTGTTTCAACTATGCCTTCGGTATCGCTGTCAGGACTTCAGCCCTCTCGCAATGCCCTGGTGCCTCTTCCGAGCGATGTGATTCCTGGACTTGCAACAGAGGGACCAGATGCCCATCGACCTCTTCAAAGCTTACCGCAAAGGGAGATTACCTGGGATGACATTAAAGCCCAGATGAACCATGTACCGTGGGAACTTCAACAGAACGTTATGAAGGCGTTTATGGATGTGATACATGTCACTTTGCAGTCTTATCAGATACCGATCATTGGAGCCGACCGGAATGCAGCAGGATCGAGCGGGCCCGATGCAGCTACTGCAGCTGCCATCGCCGATGTTGTAGGAAGCTTGCCCTCCAACTACAACCCCAACCCAGCTTCATCTCAGCCGCAGCCACTTCCTTCTCAGCAGACGCAGCCTCAACAACAGCAACAGCAATCACAATCACAATCGCAAAAAACACAGCAGCCCTCATTTACCCGCCATCGTAATTTACCAGGCGCCGCCACTGGGTCATCAGCAATGGAGGGGATTTCTCATGGGCTCACAACTGCAGTCTCGTCCTCGACTTCCAGTTTATTGCAGTTACATCGAAATGGCCATAGTCGGCAAGGCTCTAATGCAAATTCAATCCAAGTGCCAAGCACAGAGGGACCAACCAAGATGATACCCAATCAGTCTTCCACAGCCCAAGTATCGACGGCAATCCCAACTGTTGCACCTACCCTTCCGCTCTCCGCTGCTCATTCGCATTCAATCGCGGTTTCTGCCAGCGTGACAGCGCCATCTACCCCAACATCTTCGCATCCTATGTCCGCTACGGCATCACCACTTTTGACACCCCAGCCGACTCTACGAAATGCCGGCATAGCCCATCTATCCATGTCAGGGGATGCGGCCATTCATCACCATCAGAACAGCTATCTTCATCACAGTAGGCAGTCAAGTCATGCTGGATCTAGCCACAGCCGTTCACTCAGCGCGTCTTCCGTGAATATGACCGCTGTTGCAGGAGGAGGCGCAAATATACAGGGCTTGGACACGAGTGGAACGCAGTTGGCAGTTGGTCATAGCCATAACAAAGGAAGCAGTAGTAATGGCAGTCTAGAGTCGTCCTCGTTGCCAACGCAAGCACTTGTCGAAGCAGCCCGAGTACGTGCACAAGTACAGGCTCAGGCACAAGCACAGGCACAAGCGCAGGCACAAGCGCATGCTCAAGCTCAAGCTCAGGCTCAGGCTCAGATTCAGGCCCAAGTGGATGCGAATGCTGAAGCAGCGGTGACCGCAGCCATGAACTTGAACGCGCTTTCAGGGCCTAATACAGTGACCGGCACACCCATGACAGGAGCAAACGCCTCGCCTGTATTCTCTGGTACGGTCGCGGTATCCCATGCAGCATCTTCGTCAATACCCCTGAACATATTGGATGACGCCGTGAGAATGCATACCTTGGAGATGAACCCAGCATTCACGCAGCTCCAGCAGTTCCACGAGCAACAACAACAGCAACAGCAACAGCAACAGCATCAGCAAAGACTTCACCTGTTGCAGCAGCAGCAGCAACAACAACAGCACCAACACCAACACCAACACCAGCAGCAGCAACAGGTGCAGGTGCAGGTGCATGCCCGAGCGACAGAAGACGATAAGGACGGTCATGATCTGAATGGAGAACCATCCCGGAAACGCGTCAAGGCATAGCATGGGCAATTTTGTGTGTGTCAATAAATGTAGATCTGTACCTGTACACTATGTGTATGTATGTAGAAGAAGCATCGGTATTTGTACGTTATTTCATGCATCTATTTCCATGTTATCCATAGCGAATTCATCTTCATAACGAAGCTCGCTTTCCTTCCACTCCTCTTTCAGCTCCTCGAGCTAGTGCCACCAGGATCGGCTATTTCAGACCTACTTCCTTCATACCCTTAAAGATCAACTCTTTGATAATCCGGAAGCCGGATCCGTCGTAGTGGAAGACCACATAAACCTTCGCTACCTCCTAGGCTTCCTCGATAAGATTTCAGTTCGGGATAGTAAGGAGAAAGGCAAAGGATGCTGTAGCCAAACTTGCATTGAATTAAAGTAGGGTTTGCAGCCTGCAATAGGAAAGTTACAATAGAGAAGTACCATCTGGCGGTCTCTTCCTCGGCTAAGGGGAGGGCATCCTTTAGAAACTTGACTGTTGCGTGTAGGCTCCCTTTTTCATGTTCTTGAAGGTCGTCTTCATTTCATCGATAATCCTTTTTCATCTTCCCTAAATTAACCCCCTGCAGATAAGGGGCGGTAGTCTGTCGGGCTGCTCTTGGCTCTCCTAGGAATGGGTTCTTCAACCCGGCCTCACTCGATCCTGGCATGTAGAATGATCCATCTCCTGCTCTTATTTGCCTCGCTTTACTGTGTCTCCTCCGGCATACCATGACTAGCATCGACAATAGGCAAAAATCAGATAGTAAGCAGTAACCCAACAGTATCGCCTCTGTAGCAGAAAATGATGGCTATGATCATCAATTGACGATCCTCTATACCCATGGTGGATATTTTAGAGAAGCGGAGAGGGGTGTTGAAAGAGTGTACTTTGCTCCTGCTGTAGGCTCATTCGTCATATGCGCCCATCGAAAGCATCTGAAGAGAGTACTCAATGAAGAATCGAATGAGTGACTGGAGCACCAACTGGGTCTAAAGAGACTATGAACAGTATGAGAGTCGAAATAACCTGCACCGCTCTATGTGGAATCAGTTGAAGACCCATTGGACACTGGCATAGCATGAAGAAAAAAGTAATATAGACACGATTATTTTTCGGCCAATCACTGGCGTTTAAATATGCCGTTGTTTACGCGTCTGAAGCACAGCACAGCACACTTCGGCGCTTAATCCCATCCTTGCATTGACGGAGCAAACGTCGCATTGAAGACGTGGATAGTATCAGGAACCCTTTCTAAGGACGAGTACGCCACTCTCAACGTCGTACGAGAGCGTGGCCCTCGCAAGAAGCAATAGAGGATGGGGAAGCTATTGCGAAGCGCTCGCCGTCGACGCTGTGAAGTTCAGACTTAGTCAAGACATCTTTTTCTCTCATTACGAGGGGCCTGGACATGAGCGGAAGGTGGAAATGAAGGGTAGGTTGATTGCTGTATCCTGTCCTATGATCATTGTTGTGGATAGCGGGCCTAAAGACAAGATGGGTTTACAAGACAAAACTTTGACCTGCGTGCTCCTCTCTCCTTGCACCTAACCACCGACGCCTTTATCAAACAACCATTGCTGAGAGAATACTTCACGATGCGATTCTTCGAGATGCATGATGGAAGAAGATGCAGCGTTGGCTGATGAGGGATTTAGGTAAACAAACATAAGCGAGGCAAAGGGCCGCAGGCTCGTCAGACGATCTGTTTTATCTCCCCCCCCCCACAAGGACAATATCAGCTATAAACGACAAATGTGCCTTGTTAATCCAGACAGCGAGGACCCCCCCCCCCCCCCCCCCCGTCTCTGTTCGAACTGCTTGGCGGCATAGACCAAGGAGCAGCGAGAGCGTTACAGAAGAGCCAAGAGATCATTGACAGCTCAGAGCCAGGTTCGGATTCGTACAATGCAGCGAAGGGGAGATAAAGGTAAGCTCTCACGGACATGCTGCCCTCGCTGGATGACATCCCACTTCATCAAGTCTGAAAAAAGTACGTCCTCACTGGCGGTCTCCGTACGGACGGACACAGGGTTTACCTCCTTGAGTACAGTCTTGTCCATTCCAAGGGGCGCAAGAGTGAGAGAACTGACAACGTGCTGCAAGTAATGTAGAGACCAGCTCTGAAATGGTGCTGCTGCAGCGACTTCCGGCATGACCTCAGAGAATGTCGCCAAGTCTGAGAACCAGAAAAGCTTCGTCGTTGCCGCTGCTAATCCGGGTACATGAAGCACAGCAGCCGTTAGTACTATCGAACACTCACAAAGCAGAATCGAGAATTAACGTACCAGTACCAGAGGGGACCCATAATCACTGAGCCAAGAAGAGCATGCGCTGGCTCCAAAAAGGCGCAAACAACACTGATCTACGGCAATGATTAAGAAGCTATTACCGTAAATCCCCTGGAGATATCAATTCGACCATTGCGATTTCAACAAATGGTTAGCCAGCACGTTGGGAAATCCCGAGACGACCATTACCAGACGACCACGTCCTGATTAGAACCGAATGCGGGGTCTATCCCGCAGTTCCTAGTAGTCAGAAGATTATGAAAGCAGGGGCACTCAGCAAGCAACATGCAAAAAATACTGAGCAGGTCAATGCAGTTACCTCAGCCATTGATAAGCCGGCAAAAGTCGCGGCAAAGAGCCAGCTCAATTGATGCCTAATAGCTGTAGTCGGCGATGGAGACTTCCGGTAGTGTGGTTTTCGTATAACTAAGTGTTATTGTTTGTGTAACAGACCAGACCTAAAGTGCGAATGATCGCAAACCCTAAACAGGTCCATTGCCCTTTGCCCTGGGCCCAATGAGCGTGCTCAGCATCGATTTCTTTCTTTCACTTTCTACAGCCTGACGATTGTCGATTCCGACAGACCTCCATCGCAACAGCAAACCAGATCCGCTCCCATCTCCCCTATTATTTTCTGCATTGCATATTGTCTCAGCCAGCATGAGTAGCATCCGAGAGCACCCGCGCCGCTCCATGGACCATGGCGCACAGCACACGCCTCCGCCTGCAACCACAGCAACACGCCGGAGAAAGACCGACCAGGGAGCTGTAAGTGAACAGTCTCTCGTCAACATAGGCTGCTGCTGCTGTATAGGAGCGCCAGCGAGGGGCCCATGATAGAACACCAGTCCTTCTCTTGGTTTGACCCCAATTGACTCAATTGATTTTAATGCATCTGCCCTAGATGAATCCTATCGAGGCAACAGTGACCAAGCTGCTGGTAGCGACAAAGCAGCTGCTTGAGGGCCTCACACTCTGGGCCAACCGCAGGATGACGGAGGAGCAGGTCTCTGATATCTTTGTCCTGCTCGCCACCCAGTTCAACCTCGCCAGCCAGGCATTCCACGAGGTCGGCATTGATACCAGGTAAGGTTTTGCTATTAAATAAGGCGCTTGTATCGAACATCAGGTACAAAGGATGAAGTGCTCACTTCGATGGTGCCTCTCCGTCGCTTAAAATAAAACCGACTGTAGTGAACTTGCGCACATCCCAGACGACTTGCGAGGCTGTCTAGAGACGGCGCTGGGGGAGGACCCCTCGCCTACGTCTTTAGACCAGTACTTGCCGAGAATTAAGGAAATCATCATCAACCTGCTACAGGGTCTCCGTCTGAAGCAGAACCTCTACAGGGAGCGTTATGAGGCAAAAGCCGCACGACCGCAGGCACCACCATCGCCGCCCACAACAACAACGAACGTATCATCGTCTCCTCAGTCCTCCTCAGCTACACCAGCCGCTGTACGAAAGCAAACGGGCGTCAAACAAGCTGCGCCTTCAGGAAAGCGGGGGACATCTTTGAGTGGAGCATCAGCAGCCAGTCCTTCTATGAGGACTCTGGCGGCCGCACCTGCGCCATCTCCAACGCTCTCTGTCACCTCTCCGCGGGACGACCCGTCACACGCCGATACACTTGCGTCGCTGCGCAAGACAGATGCTATCACAAGGCGCGCATCCTCTCGACGGCATTCGCAGCGATTTTCGACTTTGCTTGAACAGAACACCCCATGGACACCCAAACGACAACACCCAGCCTCTGATTCGGGCCTGATGGCGTCGTACCCTATCTATGCGAACTCACAGGGTACCGCGTCGTCCCTACCAGTGCCTCCGCATTTTTCGGTACCATTGAATCAACTGCCACCGCTACCCACCCCGACATACGATCAATTTCCTAGCGTGCCTGGGCATCCAGTACCGGGAGCTAAGGGCAATATGAATGCGATGCCCATGCCACCAACAAATCCCATACCTTCTTCTCCAAGCGATGCTCAGCAAGCATATCCTACGCCGCCTGTACAGGCCACTGATGATGCACCCACACCACCACTATCCGTTGCGGATAGCGCGAATGTCACGGAAGATACTGCGGCAAAGGATTCTGCAACCATCTCGACGTCATCAAATGTAGAGACGACAAAGGCGCTGAGCGCCTCAGAGACACTGCAACCTTCAGTTCCTGCTACGGGAGAGCTCATCGGTAGGTAGTTGTGCTTTTGAGGTTGTGTTCAAGGTGCTTTCAACAGTTGACGATCATGCTCTAGCGAACTTACCATACATTGTTTTGCCTGTAGTCTTAGAACCAGTCGAGACCAGCCTGACATTGTTCCTTCAAGTGGGCAAAAGTGTCAAGAAGACCAAATTCGAGGGCGACTTGACGCTTTCAGGGCTGAGAATGCTCTTTATGGAAAAGTTTCAGTACAATCCAGGACAGGATGATTTTCCGACGATCTATGTCAAGGATCCAAACACTAATATTCATTATGAGCTCGAGTCACTGGCGGATGTGAGGCAGAACGCTTTCTTGTCTCTTAACGTCGATGGTAAAGCGGAGAGAGAAGAGAAAGGATGAGAATACTGCGTCGGATTCGTTTTCATTTCTTTATTCACTGCGTCCCACGCGATTGACTCGGTTTCTTGTCTTTATTTGTTTTGGTCAACTTGATAGATTTGGAAAATATGCAGCGGAAAATGGACCAAGGATTTGCAACTCTCGCAAAAGAGCTCCACGAGATCAGAAAGGCGCATGAAAATATGGAACAGGCACGCCAAAAGGCTGCTACTGCAGCAGTAGCGGCGGCAGCAGCAGCGGCAGCAGCGGCAGTGAACAACCAGTCGGATCGAGCTGCAACGTCGACAAATCCTGAAAGCCCTCAGTTGCTCCGCTCTGTGGTTCAAAGAGCCATCTCCAAGAACAAGATCACCCCATCCGCATCTTCGTCCACAACCACTCAGAACAAGGTTTCCGCGGCCGAGTTGAGATCTCATTATGATGAAGTCCAAACGTTGCGTAGAGATTTGGGCGTTGTCCGACAGCTATACACGGACCTACAGAACGAGACCAAGTCAATGCTCAGCAATTTGGTAGGATATACCAGCCAAATGCGAAAACAGGCACAGGATGCACCAATGTCGTCACGGTTGTTCATAGAGTCGGGCAAGGTCAAGTTGGATAAGAAATCAGAGGACCTTACGAACAAGATTGAGGATCTTCAGGACGTGGTTGAGGACATGAAGCTCAATGTGACACAGCGGCGAGGAAGACCGAGTGATAGTTCGATGGCCTTTGTCGACAAGCAGTGTGAGGATGTTGGTCGAGAGATTGGAGAGCTTTCGGACTACATTCAAACGTTGCGGCCATCGTGGAAGAAGACATGGGAGGTCGAGTTGCAGACGATCGTCAAGGAGCAAATGTTCTTGAAGGAGCAAGAGGCGCTTCTGGAGGATTTGAAAGAGGACAGGAACTCGCTGCTTCAGACGCTTGTGAACCTGAAGAAGGTGATGGAGCTGCAGGCGAAGAGCGGCACATTGAAGACCAAAGAATACTTTTTCCAACCGGTCGTGGACGAGAACTTTGAGGGTCTCAAGACGGTGCTGGAGGAAGTCAAGTTGATCGCGCCGGACTCAGATAAGCGATTGAAGGCCATGGCACAGATGGAGAAGCTGCGACATATCGAGCTATCGAATCGGATTGACGAGTTTGAGCAGGAACTGACAACGTTTGTGGGCGCCAGTAAGCTGAGGAAGACCGGTGGGGCTCTGGAGGTAGAGCGTCAGCGACAACAGAGAGACTCTGAGAACTTGAAGGCAATGTTTGCAGTCAACAAAAAGACAGCGGAGAACAACACTGACGACAGCGGCAACGCTGTGGAGACAATAGAAGAGGAGGTCAAAGAGGAACAGGCCGAGCAGGACGATGCACTACTTGTAGAAGAGGCGACACCCGTTCCTCCTGAGGATATGGACCTGCTATGAATACAACTGAATAAAGTCAAGCCTGGGTGTATACGTCATTGGAAGCCCCTCTGATCGCAGTTGCTGACATGACGCGTTCTGCTACTTTCCCCTCTCAGGACGTGTGTGGAAGGAGTGCGTTGCCCCCCTGCTCGAAGATAGAGAAAGAAGTCCACGCAAGACAAAAAAGCACAAGGGACAGTCAGACGCAGCTGAGGCCCATACCCAGGACTACACAGACAAAGCAACAAAGAAGGGAACTCAACTCGGCATCACTTCACTTCAGCTTCATTCACCCCAAAGCACGCGCCGCATCGACTGCACTCCTCATTCACCACATACACACACACACAACCAAGCAGGAAGCAACTCGCCTCTCAGGAATATATAAAGCATCATGAGCTCCATCGGCACAGGGGTAACGAACGCGATCGTATTGTCTGTCTGCAATATCATCGTGCAGCACCACACTCACTCTGGTCTTTTCGCTTTCTTTTTTTTAGTACGACGTCTCCGTATCAACGTATTCACCAGACGGTCGCGTCTTCCAGGTCGAATATGCTGGCAAGGCTGTCGAGAACAGTGGGTACGATGGAAGCCTATCTCATGGATACAGACAATACAACAGTCGACATACGACGCGCACTCTACTCGATCTATCGCTCATGCATTGTGTCTCTGTTCTCCAATCTTCGTCTGTGATAGAACCGCGATTGGCATCCGTGTCAAGGACGGTGTCGTCTTGGCTGTTGAGAAGCTGATCCAGTCTAAGCTGCTTGTCCCTGGGGCGAACCGTCGCATCCAGAACGTGGATCGCCATATCGGCATCGTATGTTTTTTGTGTATTTTACAGTGTCAATTCATCGTAAGGGTCTTCATATGATGTAAAAGGGATGCTGGACTATGGACTAACACCCGGGATATTATCATCACTACTTTTTTTTTTTCTTTTTTTTGTTACAAATAGGCCACGGCTGGTTTGTTGGCAGATGGTCGCCATATTGTGAAGCGCGCTCGTGAGGAAGCACAAGCTTGGAGAGACATCTACAGACTACCGATTGACGGACCCGTAAGTGAGAAGTTTTGTTTGTATGATCTACGCACTCGTTTTTATGAACATCCAACTGATCTATTCTCACTTTTTCTTCTTCTTTCCAATGTTGGGGGGTATATAGAACATTGCTTCTCGTGTGGGTGACTATATTGGTGCCTATACCTTATATTCGAGCGTTCGTCCCTTTGGAACCAGCACAATCATTGCGACGATGGACAACACTGGCCCTAAACTGTACATGGTGGAGCCTTCAGGCTTGTACTGGGTAGGAACTCAAAAAATCTCGTTTGCGCAGTGGATACGAATCGCTGAAGGGCAAAGCAATTGGTTCGTGCGAAAAGGCAATGGAGGATTAACGTGCATGCTTCACTCTGTTTATTGGATTGTATCCATCGACTGAAATTATAGGGCTATCACGGAACTGCAATTGGAAAGGGTCGTCAGGTGGCCAAGACCGAGATTGAAAAGTTGAACCTGGCGGAGATGACGTGTCGCGAGGCAGTCAAGCACGCCGCTCGCATGTATGTTCCTGTTTGTTTGTCTTTGTCCACGCCATGAATCTATTGTCGGTCGTCGTTGTCTCGTGGACAGATATACTGACATCTGTGGTTTTTTTTCTGGATCAATTGATATATACACTTGGAAACAGTATCTACAATGTCCATGATGATGCGAAGGACAAGGATTTCGAGCTGGAGTTGAGCTGGGTATGCGAGGAATCGAAGGGCCTGCACCAATTTGTTCCCAAGGATATTGCGGACGAGGCCGAGCAACTCGCAAAGGTGCGTTTTTTTTACTATGCATTCGCGACACGCTTTGGCATGGGCCTTGAACGAGGTCTTTGTGCTTGAGACTATTATTTGTTGCAGAAACTAATTGTTTGCAACTTTTGTATTCTTTTGTCTTCTTTTGTCTTTCATGCTTTAGGCTGCTTTGACTGAGGATATGGACGATGACTAAGAAATGGGCAGCAGCAGTATGAGGTTGTAGTGTTGTTGAAGGAGCATCTTTGGAAGACACTACAAATCAGAACGATGTACCCAAGTCGTCCTGAATAAAAATAAAATAAAAAAAGCGAAGTATTTTGTTCCCTTATCTCTTTCAATTACATGCGGCAGGCGAGTCAGGCCCGCCTTTCCATTGGAAAGCCATGCCTCGAGCGTGATTTCTCCTTAATACCTCTTCGTAATCGGTCTCACAATGGTGGATCAAATTGCTATGGGATCATATGGATCGTATTGAAAGCCTCACAGCAAGGCTAGCATGATCCGGCTGTCATTTTGGACATGCTGCGCATGGATCGATCTGGTTCATTTGCGGCCAAAAACCTTAGTGGGTATGCTTTCTACATAATCTCTCTTCTGATTCTGCTCAACAGACAGAAAACACTCCGATATGAATGACAGGTCTTGATCGATTGACTTGAAAGGCGGATTATGCCATGACTTTATTGTAAAGCAAGGAAAAAGAGGGGGAAAGCAGGTAACCGAGAGAAAAAAAAACGATGCGATTTTTAGATCTGGAACTTGAAGGTGAAAAAGTCGTCGTCGAAATGATGCACACGGACATAACCATCCTCTCCGCCACTGGCGAAGGAACGTCCATCGGGGTGGATAGCGATCGTGTTGATGGGACCGAAATGTCCACGGACACGTCCGACTTCCTCCTCCAGAATCTTGTGCCAGAAACGGCACTCGAACTTGCCCTGTCGGCTGCTGGTCCTTGTGACATCCATGGCCTCCTGTCCTCCTCCGACCACCACAAACTCCTGAACCTTGGGCATAATCGCCGCAGAGTTCAGGGGCGTATCCGTTGTGTACGTCTTCAGAACCTCCAATGACTCGGTCTCGATAATCTTGGAAGACTTGTCCTTGGAAGCAGTGATGAAGTAGGTACGGTCTGTCGACATCTGGAGATCAGTCAACGTGAGCTCGTGGACCTTGTTGGTGCTGATGTAGTCTCCAGTCTGTAGGGGTTTAAAATATCCCGATAGATCCATATGTCAATATCGGAGGTGTAAGTTCCGTAAAAGAAGGTGTCCATGAAGTCATGAATGAGAAATGAATGTAAAAGTCAGTTAGAGACTGTTACTCTTGAATGTCGTCCTTAACTGAGAAGACCAAATGTCATGAAATAGTCATGAACAACGCATTCGACGTTACCTGAGGATCCATCAAGGCAACAGAGCCGTTCTCACGGCCAACGACAATGTATCTGTCCAGGGGTCCCCAAGCGGCAACAGTGATCTTGGGTCCATCGGGGTGGAAGACGTTCAAAGGTTCAGACGAAACTGTTGGTATTCAAAAGAAAAGCGTAGAGCAGGACATGTTGAGCACATGGTCATTATATCTCCATGCACGTCCAGCAAGTTGTTCCAGGTAGAAAGATCCGTACCATTCTCAGTGACACCGTTCTCGACGTTGAAGATCTGGAGAGTGGCAGGGTAACCCATACGAGGCTCAGTGACCAGCAGAACCTTCTTGTCATCCTCTGAAAACTGAACACGTCTGACGGCGGTGTTGAACTCCCATGACTTTAAGCACTTTCCGTTCGAGACATCCCACAGCTTGGCAGTGTTGTCGGCCGATCCAGAGACCAAGAGAGTTGTGGTCGCTAAGGGATTTCCAAAAGCAATATCCGTAAAATATCAGCTTTTCTTCTTTTAAATGGCCATTTCAATCTTCAAAGAAGGAGAGATTCCCAATCTCAATTTCTCTATCACTCAGTCCAGCTGCGGCATTTTCCTGACAGTATCCTTTGACTTACAGTTGACATCAACCGTCCAGACAGCACCAACGTGTCCTTCATATGTGCCGAGGCGCTCGCCATTGTGGGAGAACCAGGCATTGATGACATGATCCTTGGACGCGGAGAAGAGCAGATCTCCCTCACGGTTGTATTTGATTTGGGTGAGCGAACGCTCGTGGCCCTGAAGCAAAATGGGACGCTATTTGACGAGGGGATAAGTTGTGGGTGCGGGAGAACAGAGTGCGTTAGAGGCTGCTGCGTGGTAGACAGGCTGATTTTGAAGAGGGATGTGCGCAAAATGGAAGTGCTGGTGTTCCTGCTGCGATGCCATCCTTATTCCTGCGGATCTCGACTGGTGAAAGCTGTCAAGTTGGTATGCCACGTTTGTATGGGTCGTCTTCCTGAATCGACAAACAAACAAGAGATTTGTTGGCATCAGTCTCCTGAAAAAAAAAAGTCAAGGTCGATGGGTCCGTTGGTGCTCATTAGCATGCGCGCAAGGCGTATGTGTATTCTTCTCCTGCTTCTAGAGTGCATTACCATGGCGGAGATGTGATGTGCTGTGTAGTGGAGAGGATGTCACTGATGCTGGTCCCCCCCTGTTGCTCGAAAAGATTTTAAAGCAAAGGCACTCGAGATCGCCAAAACAACCTGCAGCACATACGTCCCATGTATGTACCATGACACCGAATCTTACCGGGTCAACTCTTTAAGTGCATACGATCCATAAGTGCATGATGCACTTCTTCCGTAGACCCTGCAAGTCGGAAAGTGAAAAGCCCTCGACTACGCGCTCCTCCTCAATTGCAGGAACCCCTGCACCCTTTCTCGTGTTGTACCATACCAGTACGCTATTCTCCTCTATAACCGCATTGGCAAGCTATCTATATTCTCACGGCGTCTTATTCAGATCTTTTTTTTTTTTTCGCGTTCCACGTCTTGGTGGGTCTGACTTTAATTGCGGTAGATGTTCATTGTTGGCAAAACATAGTACAGTAGAGCAAGCATGCACTGCCTGTAAAAGACATTAGAGATAAGGAAGTGCATGTGCTCTTCGATTTGCAAGCGGAGAATCGTTCCACTCGCTGAGTGGTAACACAGCTCAGAGGAAATCGTTGGCACTCATTTAGATTCACGGCGTCCTGGATAACCCAATCGCCAAAGTATAAGTATAATTGCTGCACGTCTGGATGAGGTATCGGCTGCTGTGTGGATTCATTTGCTGTCCTGAGCAGCACTAGAAATAAGTCTCTGTCAGCAGCAGAAGGATACCGGAATCCTGCGTGATGACCGCATCGACATCGACATCGATATCGACGCAGGAACAAGAGAAGGGCATTCATGAATGTAGTCGATGGATGCGGTACCTGAAAATGACAAAAATGCGCCCTCAGATAGATACTTTTTGTTTGTTGTTGTTTGTGCTCCCAATCGCTGTAATCATTCTCTCACCTCTCAACTCCACCCTCTCTTCTCGTTGTTCCTTTCCTTTTCCTCCTCCTTCGCTGACCTCATTATTGACTACACCAATTGCTTGTGTGCAGCGTAGTCAATCCAGCCTCAGTGCCCTTTACTCGACCTCTTCCTCCTCCTCCCTCGTTGTCTCTTCCAACGGCTCTCTTCTCTCTCTCTTCTCTCTCCCCTCTCTCTCTCTTTCTCTCTCGCATCCTTCTTTCTTTTCCTTTCCTTTCCTTTTCTCTTCTTTTCTTTAATGATTACATACTCTACACTCTAATACGATCCTTCTCACAAAATGTCGCACCACAACAACAACCATCACCACAACGACGACCAAGATGAGACCGACGACTACGGCTACGATCGCACCGCTGCTGGCGCCAGTGCTCATCCCATGAAGAAAAAATCAAACAAGTGCAAGACCATTGCCTTGGCTGTCCTCGCTCTGCTCCTTATTGCCGTTGTAGCAGTCCTGGCCTGGTACTTTGCCGTTTACAAGAAAAACCACGACAACAAGTCCAGCAGCGGAAGCAATAGTGCTGGCAATAATGGAGGCAATAACGTTGCACAGGGAACCACAAGTATGTCCTTTAAAAAGACGTCTATCGATAAAATAGTTGCTTCATGGCCTTGGTCGCGATTTCAATGCATGAAACACACGCATGTACTCGCTCGTACCACATTTCGCTAATAATAACTTTGATGTCTCATAGTTACCACTCCCAATGGCACTGTCATCCCCAACATAGTCTACCCTCTCAAGCGCGTTTTCTATGGCATGGCCTACGTGCCCTTGAACGCCCAGCTCCCAATCTGCTACAACACCCAACAGACAGTCGACGATGAACTCCAGCTCTTGGTCCAGACCACCAAACGCGTACGTCTCTACGGCACAGACTGTAACGTGCTGCGCTACACAATCGATGCAATCCAACGTCTCAAACTCGATCTCCAAGTCGTCGTCGGCATCTGGATCGATAAGGATAGCACGACTTTTACGCGACAGTCGACCGAGTTCTTTTCAGTAATGCAGGCTTATGGCTGGTCCAATGTCATTGGTGTCTCTGTTGGAAACGAAGTCATCTTTGATGACTATCAGCCCATGGATGTCCTGCTGGCTCATATGGCCGATATTAGGACCAAAGTGCATGCGGTTCAACCTAATATCCCAGTCTTCACCTCGGATCTTGAAAGCGCCAACAAGCCCCCCTTGACCAACCACGAGGACAAGGCCGGCGTCAATTTGCATCCCTTCTTCTCAGGCGTGCCGGTGGATACCGCTGCTTCATGGTTCTGGACGTACTTGAACAGCACCGTCGCACCAGCAGTCAACCAGGGCAACACGAGCCCGATCGACATTTGGATCACTGAAGTTGGCTGGCCCACTTTTCCTGCGAATGACAACACCAGTAAGTTATGCTTCCGCTCTCCTGGTTTTGCGGATTTCAAACTAGAACAAAAAAAAAAAACTGACAAAATGTCGTATTTCCCTCTCCCTTGCTTTTTTAACTATACAAAGATGCGTCGATCCCCTCGATCCCTAATCTGCAAACTTTTATCGATACATGGCTCTGCGATGCAAACACTAAGCAGATCCCATACTACTACTTTGAGTTCTTTGATGCGCCCTGGAAGGTCTGGCCTGGTTCGGCAGTCGAGGGATTCTGGGGACTCTTGACCATCGACAAGAAGCTGAAGGTCAAGCTGCCTGACTGCTTGGCCAGCTAGACGAAGGAATCTCTACTAGGACACTGCTTTCTTTCATTATGCATCTTACACCCATATCGTACCCTAATAAATATGCTTCTGCACTGTGTTCTTGATGCTGCAAAGTCGAATGAATGTCAACACCGAAGGAGACATTTGCAAGATGGCTTGATCTGATACGATTAAGTTTGTGCAATGGGTTTATTGTATTCGCGCGAAACGTATAAATACAGAGTAAGTGTGTAAGTGTGTAAGAGAGAGAGGGGGGAAGAAAAGAAAAGTAAGTTGCAATGAAGTCTAGTTCTTCTTGGCCTGCTTTCTCTCCTCAACGTCGAGGTGGGCAAGGCTTTTGCTAGCATTGGCGAACTGAATGCAATTGATAATCTGCTTTCCAAGGCAGATGGGTCCAGTCAAAGCAGCCAAGGAGTAAAGAAGGACCTTGCCAAGGGTCGAGGTCTGGAATCCAAACGAGAACAGGTACAGGATCACAAAGAAGAGTTCATTGGCGAAGCAAAACGCAAATAGGACATTCTATTGGGAACAAATGAACAAGCAATTGTCTGGTTAGCAATGGGTCCAAGTGACATACGACATGCAGGGGTCGGTTGAATTGCTTGTTCAATGGTGTGCCCTGGTTCCTTTACGTTGTTGCTGTAGTAGGCTCGGAGAATGAAGTTGCTGGACTCTGAGATCTTCTTATGACTAGAGGCTCCAGAGGTGAGAGAACTATGCAAAGACGGGAAAGGGGAAGGAAACGAGTGGTGGTTAGGTTAAGTCTAGGCGGATTCAATAGGGTTCATGAAAGTAATGTGTGAAATGCATCTTGAGAGCACCACAGGGTTTCCCATTCAGACAAACGAAAGCAGGATTTCATGTGAATTATGAACCAAAATGCGGGTGATCGGCACAACAGAACCCGGGAGGAGTAATATGTGGTCGTGACCAAGCAATCAAGACTCTTACCTGTACATGTGCATATAATGGCTGCTGACATCCAAGGCGATCAGAAACTGGAAGATCAGGGCATAGGGCTTGTAAACGGACGCGAGGTAGCAGAGAAGACAGGCAGTTGTGCATCTATCCAGCAAAGTATAAACACGTTTCGATTAATCGGCCAGTAAAAGAATTCCCGGATTAAGATGATAAAATTAGCCTCTGTCTGACCGCGTGTGTCAAATGCGTGGAGGATAGGAGTTTGAAGTGGCGATCGGAAAGTGAGTGGCACACGACAGTGGTATGGAAAACTGAGGGAGATAGTCGGCAACCCAACAAATAGACTAACCACGGCACAAACGAGAAAAGTGCACAGTGGTGGAAGTAGAAACTCCCATGTCAAGATGGGTGAAACACTGTGGAGTGGAGTCCTTCAGAAAGAGAGGGCTCAGGGGTATGCTGTGTTGTATCCACGCTGTTTTGTTTGGTGTTGTTGAATACCTGTCTGTAACCATATCCAGCACTGCTCCAAACTTGCTGCCTAAAGTGAAAGAATCAAAAACGATTCAAATTAGCACAGTCGGTCCTGAATGTAATCCAAGTCAGATACACACACACACGCACATATACGACCGCACTGCAGTCCGCGAGTGCCAACTTACATTGATCATAATATCTCGCAGCCTGACCATCGACGGCATCCAGTAAGCACGAGATAGAGTACATCAGCATGCAGGTCTTTGGGTGCAGAGGCATGTAGTATAAAGAGCCGGCAGCAAGGATGATGCGTGTGTACCCTAGCATCCAGAGATAAGACATGTATACAAAGCTGAGGTGAGTTACCGAAGCTTCAGCTTCGAAACGATCATCAACAGTCCCTGGTTTTTTTTTTGTTCATCCAGGCAACATGAGCAAGATCAGATGAACATGGATTAGGGCTGCATACCAATCAGATTGGGGATAAAAAGGAAGACGTTTTCATCTGCAGCTGCAGGCTTTGAGGCCACTGCAGCGACTCCATTGGTGTTCTTGGCGGGCATGACTGGGTGTGGGATGGAGGATGAGGAGATGGTGAAGAAGGAGGGGTAAAGAGTTGTTGATGAAGAAAAAAAAGCCTGTTTGAGGTACTATAAAATTATACAGGTTCTCGACCTCTACGAAAATGTTTCGTCCTGGAAGGGTGCCCTCACTTCCCACACGTCCCACTTGTCTTCCCCTGTAGTCTGGCACTCGCATCTCCCTGGTCGTCGAACGCGTCGTCACGGAGCACCAGGCATCCGATTATACCATCCAATCTTCAATAAGCAACGACAGTAGCCGTGGACATGGACACCTACCCACCCGAATTTGTCATTCATCTCCAGCCGACGTTGGTCGTCACCGGCCTCACCTCCGTGGAGGAAGCGTCTCATCATGGCTCTACGAATCCAACACAGACCAACAGCGACACCCCACCACCACCACCACCACCACCGCGGCCAGGAGCTCATGCCGCATCGGGCTCAAGTCTAGAGGCACAGAAGGCTGCGCTGCTTCACGCAATGCTCGAACGAAATAATGTCTCCTACTGGGATAACACAAAGGGCCTTGCAGGATCTCTATTCTACGTGGTCCCAGAGCATCGAAGCTACATCCTGCCTCCAACACGAAAGTTCCTTCAGCAAACCGGTCAGCAGCATCTTTTCCAGTCTTCGTTGTCGCCTTTTTCGCCTTCTTCGCCTTTATACCCTGATGGACTGGTGAGCCCCTTGTGGGTACGAAGACACCGCGAGCAGATCCCGTCAGTCTTTATTGCTATTGTGGATCTATGGGATCGGGAATCGATAGTCGGCAATGAAAACAACGGACATCGTGCATTCTCGGACAAGGGTCCTCTAGGCGTCATTGATCCCATGGAACGCGAACACGACATCGTGCTTGCCCAGGAGCTTTTAGAGCGTCGGTATGGGTGTGGATATTGCCTAGAGCGATCGAGACAATATGGAGATTCGACTGACTAACGCCAGCTTGTTTCGATCACACTTTACAATAGGAAAGCCGCCCAGGACAGACTGGTCAAATTTGCAGCCGTTATTATCCTACAACGATCACACATGGGTACGATGCACAACCTTGACAATTTTACCCTTTGCAGCGTCATTGCATGAAAAGACATCGGAAGAGCTGACATCTGTATTCGTTAAACCTGATAGAGGACCCATCGATCGAGGACCGTTTGAATTTTGTACGTAAGTCTGCCGGACTAGACATCAAGAACTCATTTTACGTCCTTCCGCCAAGCAACAAACAGGAGATATCCGACTTTGCTGTCAAGTAAGTATGCATACGATGCAGTCGTCTTATGATGCAGATTCGCTCGCTTCATCGTTAATTCCAATTTCCTTCATATAGTTTACAGCGGTCGCAATACGAAGGCTCCATGAACTACTACAAGGAGCAGGTCAAGAGACATAAGAAGAAGAAATCGAATCTGCCAGCGACAACTGCTAGTGTGCGGCCTGTCCAACAGCAGAGTGTAGGCGGCCCTCAGCAAACACAACAACAACAGCTTCAGCAGCAACAGGGAATCTCTGTACAGGGCTGGATGCTGCGATATGAGTTCAAGATGGGCATGTTCTCAGAGTGCAAGCAGGACATCGACAATGCAGTCAAGCATTACGAGTCTGCCTATGGACTACTTATTGACATGTTTGCTGTCACCTCCACTATCACGCCTGGCGCGCCGGGACTGCAGGCTCGCACAAAACGGTGGGCAGAGGCAAAGGTTCTTGCGGACTGTCTGTGCTTAAAGGTAAGGAAACTTGAATGCTGCACAAATATGTTGTCTGCTTGATCATAAACTCCATATTTAACTATCGATTCCCGATAGATTTGCAAATTTCATCTGTACCTGGATGCCCCCTCAACAGCACTTTTCGTCTTCCGTCGCCATTTGATTGTCTTCAAAGCATTCTCAGAGAGCTGGCGAATGGGAGATGATTCGTTTGAGTACTGGGCATGGCTAGGAAAGCAGTACAGGGTTTTTGGAGACCTATTGGAGATTGGAACGAAACTGGGCCTCAAATTGCCGGCACCCACACCTGGAAGCGTCGTGTATGGATCGTTTGCTGGAATGTCGGAAGGATCGAAGGACCTCAACAAGTTTTCAGGGATCGGGCTCGGAAGCGGCACCACTGGATTCGGTATTGGTCCTGGTGGAGATGCCTTTGTGTACGGTGGCAATGTTGGAGGAGGTCGTGGTGGCGGGACGCATGGCCCCGGGGCTGGCATCAACCCCATACTGGTGCTCCAGCACGCCGGATTCTTTTATCACCAAGCTGCCAACTGTAGCGTACAACGGCGTCTTCGTTTTGAGGCTGCTGAGGAGGTAAGATAAGTTGACTTCTGGATTCTGCTGCCATGTTCAGTCGAGTGTAGCAGCTTCTGACAAACTTTCTATGTTTATATAGGCATATCCGGATAGTGATGTGGCACCTGTCCCTACAGCCAGCAAACCATACCCGCCATCGCTCCAGTCCATGAATGCGGAACGAACCATTGACCACCTGGCATTGACCATTGAGCTACTAACAAAGAGCTATGAGCAATTCAAGCGCTACAAGGCTGGAAGAATGACATTGTTCTTGGCATCCGAGATTGCAGGGACCTACTACACTGCTGGAAAATTTGAAATGGCTTTGAAGTATGTTGGAGTCGCAATGCCTTTTTTAACTCGACAATCTGATGTAACATTAGTACGAGCGCCGTTTCTGACTGGTGTTATTTTTTTCTTTCTTTCTACTGTTCTAGGTTCTTTGAGAGGATTGGAAAGACATATCGCAAGGAAGGATGGACACTCATTTTGACCTCTATTCTGAAGTGGTCTGTTCAATGCGCAAAGGAGCTTGGGTACTGGGAGAACGTGGTCGAGTTTTTGATCGAATTACTGAGCCCCGGTGAGTGAAGGTTTCTTTTGATGCTTCGAGGGACGACCCTCATAATGCACTGATTAACTAATTGCGATTTGCACCCATTAGATATGCCATCAACTGAGGTGAAGAGGCAGAGCGTCTTTGATGAGCTTGTCAGCATCCTTTATACGGACATTCATCCCGCCAACACTACTGTCCACAAACCGCTGGTGCTTTCGATGCCACAGATCAACTCTTTCGGTACGTCTACGCGTCCTGTAGTTCTCTCAATGTGTGATCCATGAGTGCGGAAAACAGTATGACTAATCCATACCTTGGCGACTTCCTTTTGATGTTGTAGTTGGCTGCGCTATTCAGTTCCAGAAGCGCCAGGCGTTTGTATCGTCGGAGAGCAGATTTCAAGTTCAGCTCTCTACTCAAGGCGGTCAGGGAGCGCTGCCCAAGCCGTTCAGGATCTCATTTGTTTACGTCGAGTTTTCAGATGCAACGCTGAACCATCGATTTGAAGACCCACGGTCTTATACCCAGGAGGACACACTCCAAAATACAACCAAGGTGCTAAGTACAAAAGACCAGACAGGACGGACCATTGACTGGATTGACTGTACGCAGTGCTTATTTGAGCAAGACAATGGCGACGGCACTGCGGACGAAGCTCCAAAGAGCTCATGGAAGAAGAATGTGAACTTAGACATCCTTCCATTTGGAACCAAAGTTTTGGAGGGCATTATCGTGCCAGCCAATGAACAAGAACTGAAGGTATGCCTTATTACTCTACAGAGTCGTTTGAGTGCACGTACCCTTCACTATTATTAACGAGGACTCCTCCTCTTGTCTCAACGCAGATCGTCAAAGTAACGTTGGGCATTGTTACGGATCACTGGAATGTCAGGTTCGAGTTCCCGTCGCTGGATGTCGCGCAGGAGCAGGAAAATGGCGTTCCACAACACCATCTCTTGTCTCAGCAGAATGAGCCTCTCAAGCGACAATGGCTAGAGATTTCCGAGTCCAGAGAAGATTCTGCGCCCAAGCTGCGCTTCAAGAGCCTTGACAAAGGAGCAAGGCATCTGTCGTCCCTTCGGTAAAGCTAGCAAAAATGTGACCCGCCTTTTCTTTCATTTTCCATGCGATTCGGCGGCTAACGTGTTTATTGCTCGCTTCATCTTTCTGCATCTAGGGTTATCCCAAGAGAATCTAAAGTGGAGATCAGGACGCTGTTCAAGTCGCCAGCGTACCTGGACGAGTATTTCCCCATAAAGATTAGGGTCCGGAACGGCGAGACCTGTTCGGTGGCCATGGAAATGGACGTGGAGCTGCAGCCGATCGACCCAACCATCGAATCTCTCGACAGTATCGTCCTGGATGCACACGCCGCAGCGGAATCTCTCTCATCCGGCAGGTTACCTTTCTCGCAGACATTGCCTGGCATTCATTTATCTGCGTCGATCGACGGAATTAATATGCAGGCTGAAAAGGAGGAGATTGCTGTTGGTGCTTGGGCAGAACAAACTGTTTTTGTCAAGGCCTTTGAGATCCCGACGCCGCGGACGATTGTGTGCAAGGTCCGATATGAGATTTCGTTGGACAAAGATCAGAAAAAGACCTGGACGGAAAAGCAGCATTCATTCAGGGTACTGTTCATACCTCCCTTTGATGCAGAGGTAGATTATATCCCACAGTTAGCTAGGGTTGCAGCAAGCTGTCATCCTGCAGAAGCCGCGGATGAGTTGCCGTCTATCTTGAAGCCCATTCAGGTGGACGACAAACATGGCGAGGTCTTAATTCCTGCGTTGACACAGAAGGAGATGTACTTGATGTCGACACGGATCAACAACGAAGGCCCATGGCCTGTTGAAGTCAAAGAGGTCAGACTGATCACGGCCTCTTCTGTCGATGATCGGGCAGATGGGCTGAATGCCGATAAAGAGACATCTGCAACTGGAGGATTGGCCCGAAGCTATAGCATCCGAACAAGAGAAAGGAAGAAAAGTTTGCAGGAGGTGGGTGTGCATGTGGATCTCGTCGAGAGTGGTATTTTCAATCCAGTGGACCAGAGTACCCAATGCAACAGCGGGGAGGGCGTTTGTGTACAGCAGTGGCAACCGGGCAGCCTGCAGACATTTAATTACCTAATACAGGTAGTCGCTGCGGACCTGGAGTTGGTGCCTGAACAAATCGACGTTGGTTTCCTGCGTATCGAATGGCGAAGGTCAGTCCACCCGCTTTATCTTGTGCTCACAGCTGCTTTTTGTCCCAGTTGCGCCTTGATGACATGCTTGTTGACATAATGACACGCGCCTTTATTCCTTTCTTTTTTCTCTTTGATGATGGATAGGACGGAAGAGGGGGCAGCTGACATTGTTCCTTATTCGGTGACCAATGTGCCTTTGCAGCCATTGCCCTTACCAAGGGCCGAGGTATACATGACAACTGGTAAGTTCTGCGACGCCTTTTTTTTTTTCTAGTCCTAAAGAGATTGTAGTTGTATAATCCTGTCTGCTCATATCCGCATGCCTCTCGTTCCTATTCAGCTCTACCAAAGGTCGCATATGTCAACAAACCTTTCACGGCACGATATGAAATCCACAACCCGACAGGAAAACTACACGAGCTCGCCATGACAGTAGAACCGTCTGAAGGAATGGTATATGCGGGCACAATGCAGGCAACAATCAAACTCCTTCCTTACTCCAGTCACCCACTCCAGATGAGCTGCTATCCTCTCAGCGCAGGATTAGTCCGGCTGCCTAGAGTGAAGCTCGTGGTTAACAAACGGAAACCGGCCACAAGGCGTGGTAAATCAGCGCCACCAGCGCCGCAACAGGGTGCAGGACTACAGGAGGAGGTCCTGGTCAAGGTCCGAGGTGCGATTCAACTTCAAAATCCAAGGTCTCCATCTACCACTGCCACAACCGAAGCTGTCGTGATCTTTGTCAAACCAGAGTCAGGGCTGATTAAATAAAAGAAGGGCGGGACAGGCGCATAAAGATAATAAAGAACTGAGTGTTGACCTGTGAGGGTCCTTTATGAACAGACATCAATTGCACAGCAGCCGCACGAGTCTATCAAAACAGTGCATAGCAAAAGAATGAGGGTGATGGGAAGGGAAAAAATGAAACAGACCGCTTAAACATCCAACAAGAGACGAACGGGGTCCTCGATGACCTCCTTGAGCTTGACAAGGAAGGTGGTGGCCTCGCGTCCGTCAATAATACGATGGTCGTAGGTGAGGGCAATGTACATCATGGGCCGGATCTCGATCTGACCGTTGACGGCGACAGGCCTCTCTTTGATGGCGTGCATGCCCAAGATAGCACTCTGAGGCACGTTGATAATAGGAGTGCCCATCATCGATCCAAAGACACCTCCGTTCGAGATGGTGAAGGTGCCTCCGCTCAAATCCTCGATAGCGATCTGACCATCGCGGGCCTTGGCTCCATACTGAGCAATGCTCTTCTCGACCTCAACAAAGGAAAGGCTCTCTGCGTTGCGGATGACTGGGGTGACGAGACCCTTGGGCGTAGCAACAGCGACAGAGACGTCGGCGTAGTCATTGTAGATAATGTTGTCGCCATCGATCCTTGCGTTCACGGCGGGTAATTCCTTGAGAGCGTAGCACGAGGCCTTGACAAAGGCGGACATGAATCCCAGCTTTACGTTGTGCTTCTTCAAAACTGCATCCTTGTAGTTAGCACGGAGCTTCATCAGGTTGCTCATATCGACCTCGTTAAATGTAGTAAGCGAGGCTGCGTTCTCCTGAGACTGCTTCAGACGCTTGGCGATCGTCTGGCGCATGCGGTTCATCTTGACTACACGTTCCTCCCGGCTGAAGGCGACGGTGTGAGTGGAGGGCTCGGATGATGATGATGATGATGATGATGGAGATGAAGTTGGGGCCTTGGAAGGCTTGGGGGTTGCAGCAGCGTCTTCCTTCTTGGGCTCCTCTTTCTTGACCTCCACTTTCTTGGCCTCCTCTTTCTTTGGTTCCTCCTTCTTTGGTGCCTCCATCTTGGGCTCCTCCTTCTTGAGTTTCTCCTTCTTGGGTTCTTCCTTCTTAGATGTGGCGCTTCCTAATTACCGGAAGTAATAGCTGTTAGACCGCTGAAGACAGAAGGAGTTGATATTTGATTACATGACTACATGGAGCCTCTACCGCAGAAAAAAAAAAAAAAAAAAGACACATACCACCCGCAGGAGCATCTCCGAGCTTCAATTTGAAAAGATCAGCGCCAACAGAGACGTTATCCTCCTCCTTGGCGTAGAGTTCGACAATGGTTCCAGACTTGGGCGAGTTGACAGCGACATCGACCTAGATGACGCATGGTAAGACGAAAACATGTTGGTATCCGTCTGCCATTCACTTGTCGTGTCCTCTTTTTTCTTTTTCTTTTTTTTTTTTTTTTTTTTTTTTTTTTTGACTCCAGTCGAGTGATGCTGAGTTGTCTCTCCAGACGTACGACAACTACCTTTAATCTTTAATTGCTCCTTGATCCGGGTAGTCGTTCCGCTGGAGTGCTGACTTTTCTGTCTCTTCCATGACTTTGTATTGTAGACCAGCTGATGATACAGGAATGGCTAAAGGATTCATTGCTGATCGAACCATATCATTCGAATGGCCGACATTTGTGTCCTGCAAGATTGCTATCCCGATATCCCGGCGGGAGTGTCCTAATGACATTCTGTCAAGACTCGGGCGTTATTACCTTGTCAGTCTCGATGCTGGCAACCTCCTCGTCCACGTTGACAAAGTCCCCGACCTCTAATAAGAAAAAATAGAAGATGGATGTAAAGATAGTGGCGTATCAATATGATTGATTTTTCGACGAAACAGCCCTGTGATTCGGCTCTTGATTCATTCGTCCTGTGCAATTGCATCCATGACTGCGCGAGTAAGTGAGTCAGGCTGAGGGGAAGCGCAGGTTCCGTTTCTCAACACTACAGTCCATGTCTACCTTGAACCCACGTAAAAAGGGTGCCTTGGTCCTGATGCTTCGATTCCATTGCCCATAACTGATCACGACTCCCATATCCGGGAAAGAAATAAACAAATGGTGCATGTGGCAGTTGACGTACTCTTGTTCCACTGCTTCAAGGAACCCTCCGAGATCGATTCGGCCATGTGAGGGACCTTGACTACGTAGTCGGCTAGTGAGAGCAATATAATGAAATAAAAGTATGAAGATAATGGGCGTCATGGTTAAATAATCCTGTTGTGAGAACCTGCACTGAGCGTTGAAGCCCTGGTCACTTTTTCCGGATTCGCAAATGTCAAGTGATTGCCGATCAGCTTCCTCTCGAGCAACGTACCATAGGAACGGACCTGGCCGCGGTAGGGAGAGCTGTAAAGATAAAGGTGAGACATGTGTAGAGAAGATGATGACGCGTTGGATCAGTCGCTTTGTAGCAATTGGGAGCAGAGGCAATTTGCCTGAGTGATCCCTCTTCCCTCCCCTCCCTCCCTCTTCAGACGTCACAGGAAGTCAACATGGTAATCGTCGTATACCAGAAGCGTTGTGAGGTGACAGTGATGGCAGGGGCAGCGTTGATGGACAGCTGACGACGGGTGACCTGAACGGCAGGGGAGGCGAGGAGGGTGGATGTTCTGGAGAGAGCAGCCAGAGGACGAGCCGCACGGGCGAGCTGCTTTGGGCGGAGAGTAGAGATCGTCATTGGTGGAATATACAGGCAGGTGAGTGAAGATAAGAAGTAAAAGCAAAAAAGCAGAAGTGGAAGCAAAAAGAGAGGAAGAATCGGATTTGAGTGAGCGTGTGCGGTAGCAGAAGCGACGGCTGATCTCTAATTGGCTGGGATGGTTCTGAAAAAGAATGACCGAGATGGCTATCTGTGCGGTGTTCTCCTTTGCCAGCCTCAGTTCCCGAGCCTGACTCGACATGGACCCTCTTGCTCCTGGAGTACCACAATCGCCATCTGGAAGCCCTGCTGCGCGAGGTTTAAGGTAGCTCCATCTATCAGTTGCGATTCGAGCCACGGTGGCGGTTCAGGAGACCTCATCAGCTGGGGGTCTACGGCACGAGCAAGAAGGCAAGTGAGCACCCTGCCAACCTCGGACGCTTTAATAATATTTAACGTTTACGGTTTGTTGTGGGTGTCTTGGCCTGCCATGACATCATAAAAGCATAAACCACACTGCAGGAACATCAACAATGGCGATCATCGTTTTGCCTTTGCTTCTGTCCGGTGTCATTCAGCCCACTATGGAGCCTGAGCGTCGAGAGAATTAAAAACTCTATAAAACCATCCTCGTCCTTCACTTCTCTTAAATCAATCTCAACTACCTTTTCTTCTCCCATTGAATTTCAGCTCCTTCGCTCCTTGTCGAAACTCGGTCCTCTCCGTACTAAAACCACATACAATACCCAATCTCATGTAAGGATCCAGACTGTGCTTCGACCCAATGCATTCTAGGAAACATGCGTGAACAGCTCAGCCCATAACTAACATCATGCCAACGGCCGGGTTCACTCTTTTCAATTTCATAATCATCTTCACAGTTATCATGGTAACGTCCATTAGACAAGACAACGAGCGTCCCGCACCCTCGTCTTCATTCACATCGCCTATCCCGTTCTCAAGCACAGCTCGTGCCCCAGTCACTGGATATTTCAGACCTGCCAGGACCGCCAAATTATCCTCCGAGCGGAGACCCTTCGCCCCGCATGCTCTACCTCCATCGTGCCTAAAGTCCAAATCACTCAGCCACCATTACCAAAACTCTGCGACCCTGCCTCCCCTCCACGAGGATACTATTGTAAAAGTCACAAATCCAACCACGCCTCACCTTCTTGAACTGCCAGCCGGACCATTTAGCGTCCAGTTCCCGCTATGTAAGTGTCTACGCGTATTTTATATGGCATTGGTCCATTTCATACACTCTTCGCGTTAGGTGTTCTGTAAAGACTTTTTTTTAACGCGAATTCCATGCCTTTGATGTTTGATTCTAGCCGAAATAGAAAAGCCTGACAGCAAGACTAGCTACTTGCCTCGGACGCCCTATCCTATGAGCAGCGAAGATGACGACCGCTTTTTTTGTCAATTTGCGAACGTTCTCTAGAATATCATGATGTCAAGCTGTATGGTGTTCTTTGTAGTGTACGTGATCTAGCATTTAAATAAATTCATTTTGTACTTGGATTGTCATAAATGGTCATTTTGGGAGCAGGATGGCTACCTCCAAACCGCACTGCAAATGCGGGATGCATACAACACCCATACAAGAGAACAGTGTTGTGGTAGTGAGTCATCTAATTTCCCTGGTGAGCACAGCGGTTTTGAGGAAGTGGAGCTGAGGACTAATAGTGACATGGGGGAGAACGTGTGCGCGAGAGAAAAAGAAATAAAAAGTGCGGCGATCTATATCAGTCTGCAGAGAATAAATGGAGGCTACTGTGTCAATAGTGCGGCGGACTGCCTGGAGCCTGATTGTAAAATGCAGGTTGTGAGTCAATTGTTTTTATCTTTATATAAATTAGTGACCTCCCCTTCCCTCTCCACACATTCACACCCTCTTTCCTTTCCTTTCCCGCCACCATCACCCTCCGCTCTCATACACACGCATCACAATGGCTGCTCATCTCCGTCAAGTCTTCAACGATTGCAAAGCGCAGAGTAAGCTCCTAGACCCAGCAGTGAACGACTTCCCAACCGATGCAACAAACAACATTCAAATAAACTTTTTCTGCAGCCACTGCCTTCTAAATACTTGATCCTAACCACTCTTCTTTTCATTCTAGAGCGCCCTGCCTTCGTGGCGTTCGTCACCGCCGGATACCCAGAGCCCGGCGACACTGTCGAAATCATGCTCTCGCTAGAGAAGGGCGGTGCCGACATTATCGAGCTCGGAGTGCCATTCACTGATCCGTTGGCTGATGGTCCTACTATTCAGGAGTCCAGCCATGTATGTGATTGAACTCGAACGACATGGTCTTCAGAACAATGACAGGAGATCATTATTGGACCAAGATCTACATTTCCATTAACCATCTGATTATTCCCGCCTGTCGAACTCCATCGTGTATTCCTTTAGGTTGCTCTTCAACATAATGTCGATATCCCAATGTGCTTGAACATGGTCAGGGAAGCCAGAGCCAAGGGTCTTAAGGCCCCAGTCATCTTTATGGGATACTACAACCCCCTCCGCTGCTATGGCGAGGAGAAGATTGTTCAGGACTGCAAGGAGGCTGGTGTTAACGGTTTCATTGTCGTCGAGCTGCCCCCAGAGGAGAGCGCTGTCTTCCGCGGATACTGCACTCAACATGGGTATGTATATCTATCACGCATGAACTTCTGAATTTTGATGGCAAAGAAGATCTCGAATGTGCACTGATTGGTATATCTGTCAACAGTCTCTCTTATGTTCCCTTGGTTGCCCCCTCCACATCCGACAACCGTATTGGTCACTTGGCCCGGGTTGCGGACAGCTTCATCTATGTTGTTTCCAAGCTCGGTGTCACTGGCGCTTCGAGCACAGTGAATGTTGAACTTCCTAACCTCGTCTCTCGAATCCGCCGCTACACTGATCTGCCTCTGGCTGTCGGTTTTGGTGTCTCGAACCGCGAACAATTCCAGGCTGTTGGTGCTCACGCCGATGGTGTTGTCATTGGAAGCAGCATCATCACAGTTCTTCGCAATTCCGGTGAGTTCAAAGGAATTACTAATAAATTACATGGTTTTTTGTTTTCCGAAAGATCGTTTTGCTTACAAGCTGATCGTTTTTGTAGCCCCTGGAACCCGTGGTGAAGCTGCCTACAATTACGCGAAGGATGTTAGCGACCGCACTGGCGCCCCTGGTAATGATCGTGTATATTCTGTATGAAAGTTGGGGAAACAGTACTAATTATGTGGACATTAATTTTTTTTATTTTCTTTTGCGGGGGCCCACTAGACTATAACATCACTCATCCAGACGACCGTATCCCTCCTACCCCTAGTGTAAGACGCATGACACGTCCTTGCTGCGCGACTTCCTTTAAGATCAAACCAAGCGCTAACATAGAACACCCATTATTTCCGACTGTTTAGCATGTTCACTTAATCGACCCTCGCTTCGGAGAATTCGGTGGACAGTACGTACCAGAGGCCCTGGTTGACTGCTTGAGTGAGCTAGAGGCAGCCTATGTCGGGGCTAGGAAGGACCCCTCCTTCTGGGAGGAGTACAAGTCGCACTACCAGTACATCGGTAGACCCTCGGCTTTGACCTTTGCCGACCGCTTAACTGAGAAGGTTGGTGGAGCAAGAATTTGGTTGAAGCGCGAGGATTTGAACCACACTGGATCACATAAAATCAACAACGCCATCGGTCAAATCTTGCTTGCTAAGAGACTTGGAAAGAAGAGAATCATTGCTGAGACCGGTGCTGGCCAGCACGGAGTCGCCACCGCAACTGTTTGCGCCAAGTTTGGATTGGAGTGCATTGTCTACATGGGTGCTGATGATGTGAGACGTCAGGCTTTGAACGTTTTCAGAATGCGCATCCTGGGCGCCAAGGTCGTCACTGTCCATTCCGGCGCCAAGACCCTCAAGGATGCTATTAACGAGGCCATGAGAGATTGGGTTGCTAACGTCACTACCACCCATTACTTGGTCGGATCCGCCATTGGACCCCACCCCTTCCCCACCATTGTCCGCGACTTCCAGTCTGTAATTGGTACCGAGGCAAGGGAACAGATGCTGGAGCAGGCCGGCCGTCTTCCTGACGCCGTTGTCGCCTGTGTCGGAGGAGGAAGCAATGCCATTGGTTTGTTCTACCCCTTCATCAATGACAAGTCTGTCCAAATGATTGGAGCGGAGGCTGGTGGTGCTGGTACTCACACTGAGGAGCATTCTGCCACGTTGGCTACCGGAACAATTGGTGTCTTCCACGGAACGAGGACTTATTTGTTGCAGGACGATAGGACTGGCCAGATTAAGGAAACCCACTCGATTTCCGCCGGCCTGGACTATCCCGGTGTTGGACCTGAACACGCGTGGTTGAAGGACTCTGGCAGAGCCAAGTACATTCCTGTAGACAATGCTCAGTGCTTGATGGGATTCCGTGACCTTTGCCAGACGGAAGGTATCATTCCTGCACTCGAGTCTTCACATGCCCTCTACGCTGCAATTGAGACTGCCAAGGAGTTGGGTCCCGGCAAGGATGTTCTTGTCACCGTTTCTGGCCGTGGAGACAAGGATGTCGAGTCTGTCGCCAAGGCTCTTCCCACGCTAGGACCCATCATCGGATGGGAACTTGAGCTGCCCAAGATCTCTGACAACTATTAAGGAGATTGTCCCATAGATAGCGTTATTGGAGGCGCATATGACCATGCATAAAATCAAGTTCATTCATACTCGTTTTTAAAGTTGATGCTCTTCAACTTACAAAATTGGTGACGCATTGTTGCACGCGACTTTGGACGACGCGTCGCGTCAAAATATTTTTGATGCCTCCCACTTCGCGAGGTGAATAGTACCTACGCCACTACCGATTCTAGACTTTGAACTGTACTCAAGATGAGAAAGGCATGTGGCGCAACAGGCATTGCGTAGGAATGAAGCCATCCGTGGGGAATACATCCCACATATTCACTACACCTTTCCATCCCCCATATTCATCTCTCCTCAACTTCATTGCATCCCTGTTCAACCAGATATCAGTTTGTTCACCATACCATTGCATTTTACGGTATATTATACTAGCGTTATTTACTGGGGGGTGTAATCTAGAAGCGCATTAACGTACCTCTACAAAACCGCGCAAATGCAAAATCTAGAAAGGGCGGATTGACATCAAAGGTACTCTGCTTGTCCCTTGAAAAGAAAGATGGGAGATTTACAATAAAATAGTAACAAAAATGAATAGTGCGACGCGTTAAAGGAACGGTTAAATCCCCCTAGGATGTTTAGCCATTTTTTTTTTGCACCTTTTTTTATCCAGGCTCTTTTAAATGGCTGCTTAAAAGCTTTTTATATAGATTATATGGGCAAGGACTATGAACGAAAGGGAATGTATAGTAAAGGAGAGGGTCAAGTTCAGGGAGCGATAGGAGGGTGAGGAACCGAAAGATGTAGGAAGGTAGACGACTAGTGCGTTCAAATGTTGCATTTTTTTCGCGTTTGCCAATTTTCGCCATTCCGATTGACGGATTGCATCCTAGTTGCAAAGGAAGGAAGGAAGCCTTGACTTTTTGTCTCATTGTGGATGATAATCAGTGTGGTTTGTTTGGATAAGCAAGGGGATACCATGTTAGCTCTTCAAGCGCACTTATCTTACCTGAAGCAACCTTGTAGTAGTTCTCTGCCTGGGCCAATACGTTGCAGTTTTTGCAAGAAGTGGGGACCTTGTGGTGCTGTACAATGGAATCTCTAGGCTGGGGCTTCAGCCATGAAAAAACAGCGTTGTTTTTCTTCGATGCACGCCATTCGGACTAACCTAGTAAAGACCCGCAATGAAGTCTGTGAGAGGAGCGGTTGATCGTGCAGAGGCATGAGGCCCGGAGAGAGTTGTTACCACAAACCAGCTTCTCCGAACAATATGGTATTCTGGCACAAGGCACGACCTTGTTGAAGATGGGCCATGCAGGGGTTAAACACAGAGAAAGATCATAGATACTTCGATAAGTATGAGTACGGTCGCCGCACATGAAAAAAGACATATCTACATATTGCCAATCCCCATGAAGACTGGATAGCGATGCATGCAAATTCAGGGTGAGAAGGAAAACATTCATTCCCACCGCTCTTTGTTTCGTCTTGACATAATGTCGATTATGCAAAGTCTTTCTAGAACGAGGGGCATTACGACAAAGACCAACCTAGTTTTGATACCGTCCCTTTCTGCATTATTTGATCTGTCGTGCCGCATCGGCCCTTAGTGTACGTTGGGCACCCAAGCCTTGTAGGAGCAATGTGGATATCATTCATTGCTCTGAGTAGCTCCCTCTCCCGGTCCACTCGACTCTTTCTTGAACTAACCCTTATCTATATTACGAGAAACCCCTGATTCCCGAAGCATTGGGTTTCGTCATTTTAAAATATATTCTTATATACCAACTTGAGTATTTTGATATGGTTGTCTGAGAGTTAGTAGGAGAAGCGGCTACTTAGACGCCTGCAAGTCTCCTCCACAATAATATGTTAGAAATGGATTTCGAGTCCGCGCTCCCGATGTGTGGGCGCACGTCCTGTTATTTATTAATGTTATTGCGGCGCATGTAGTTTAACGAACATTATTTCCATGAACGATCGACGCAGTGAATTTACGATGAACGACGAAGATCCATCTGCTCCTGTGGCCGTTGTAGGATCATCTTTCCTTTGAAAACGTGGCGAGTCTGAACCGGTGATTCCTGATCTCTAGCAGGTTTGTCCGCCTCGCCGAGCTAGAACGGAGGTCGATGGGCGCTTGTGTATTGTGGACCAGAAGAGAAGCAATAATGTGTACAAGCGCGAATTTTCTATTATGTGGTTCGCAACGGTTGAAAATTTGAATTTAATAGTCGGGAAGGGGATCTTTTTATGCTCTCCTGTTCCCCCTTCCCTCCCTTCCCTCCCTTCCCTCCCTTCCCTCCCTTCCCTCCCTCCCTCTCCCCTTCTTTTTTGTCAATTTCTGTCGAACGCGTGCGTGATCTATAGAGAGGGAAAAGGAAGCTGTAGGCTAGAGACTTGGGAAGGCGATATCATTTCTTTAGTGTGATTATCAAAGCTTAAAAAAAAAAAGAGTGGATGTCTGCATGCTCTTTCTTCAGGGACAGATCGAATCGCTCGGAGGCTGGCAGCCTGTCGAAAAGAATTGTCAAAAATGATGATAAGGAGATCGATGGACGATGTAAATTCCAGCACAAAGACAGCCCTGCTGTATTCAAAGTGGTCAAGCTCGCCGCGCGCATGGTGGCACGCTAAACATGTAAGGTATGTACGTAAATATGTTGCAGTTATTCCCAGGGTACAGTCCTAGAAATACGCTCGATTGTAATTGGTTCGTTGAGGAGACAACAGAAAATGGTTTTCTTTGTCTCATGCGAGCGAGACTCGAATCGCTCTTCGGCCTCACCTCGCCGCCCAAATATTCTTTTACGATTTTCATGTTCGACAGCCAACTTGCTGATGCATTTGGGCAATACACTTTTTTGTGCATGTCTGACCTGCCGCAAACCAACCCCGAGAAGGTCTATCTGTCTTCTCTTTAATCTTCCGCGCCTGCTTTTGCCAGGCTGTTCATGCTTGCTCAGGCTAATAATTGCTAATCAATATACCGCTACATCTCTAGGAGGTTTCGAATCTTCCCTTTAATTGGATCTGATGTCGAAGGTATGTGCTCTAGCACATTTGTTCCTAGACTACTATCGATAGGAGATAGAGCGTCCTCTGCAGGCTTTCAATTCGATTCAATTCGATTCATGTACGAACCATGTCCCCTAACCCTGAACACTATAATTCTCATCCCTACCCTCATTATTCATGTATTAAGGATGGCCCACCAAAACAGGGCACTATTCACTTTGATTTAATATATTTTTGTGCTGCAACTTTCTCTTTACTATTCATTTCCAAGCGCACAGGCCCCAAGAGTCCAAGGATCCCTTTTTCTGTGCCTGTAAACTATTACTGCATTGTAATCTGCAGAACACTATCGGGTCTTTTGGTCCGCACGATAGAATGAAGACCGTAATATATATCACTGTCCATTAGATGTAGCAAACAGTCGCTGGTTCGCTACCTCTTTGCACAAGATATCCATGTCGTATATTCACCAGAGTCAATGCCCGTTGGTATCATAAATACGTTCCTTCAAGTGTATGTTAAACCCAATAAGTCATCAAAGGAATATTCATATACTCTCCGGAGGCGGAGGCGGAGGCACGGCCTCATATCTCTTTCTCACTGATACTCTTCAGCCCATTTCCTCAAATGGATCTAACACAGGTATCGATTTGGTTGACACGGACAATGACGAAGATTCTGAATTTTCTGAGTATAGCATTTTATAAGCAGTGCGGATTCCGCCAACTCTCCATGTCAATCTGTACTCGGTCTGGCCCTTGATACCTCTATACGCGCGCTATTTTCAAAAGGAGTGTATTTTTCAAACACAACGTTGAACGGTTGTGGTTAAATCTATCAGCATGGGATCAAAATCCTTTATGATCCCACCGGAGACTGACGTACTTCGTGACCATGAGATGTCATTCTAGCTCTCCTGGCAACCGCCGTTGACCAAGAGTTGCGAGCAAAATGACGTCTGAAGCGGAGGAAGCGTTTATTTTAGAACCGAGGCTGACTCTCTCGAGTTATTTCTTTGACGCTGCGCGCATCCCTCATTTTCTATCGAGCTGACAGTCTGTACTAGGAAAATAAAGAAGCAAGGGGGGGGGGGGGGGGGGGTGTACAAAGTTTCTGTTTTTTATTACAATTATTACTGAATTACGAAAACTATTCATGGGCCTAGTCGTGCAATCTTTCTCATTCTATCCTTTTCGCGGGCACACACGCACAGGCTACACCCATCTAATTCTCAGAGTATTCAGTTCAGTCTCTATATTATTCTTTTCTATAGTAGTATATGTGTATGTGTATGTTCAGCAAACAACACGCCATGTCTATGTGTCCTCGCACCTTGCCCTCAATCTCAGGACCTGAAAAACAACGCTATCTCTCCTGATATTTCTTCCTTTAGGGATATGTTCTCAATGTACATATAAAAAGAACACGACGGCCACTTCTTGGACCCTCTTCACTTTGCTTTGTTCTTCACAAGACGACATTGACCGTACGTGTTTCTCAAGCCTACCTACCTACCCTCGCTGCTCGTGTATCCCTTCCTTACCTTGAGTTGTCTAGCACCTCCCATCCAACTACGTATCGCCTCTCGCTTCAGTGACATACACACACATACAAACATATACACAAACACACATAAACACATACGCCCACATAATCTCGCACTCACATAGTCGGATCTAAGTCTTTCCGCCACATCTCGCATTATTCCAATCAACAGCAGGACATCTGTCTTCTATGTACGCAAGGTGATCATTGCTTCTCTGTTTGCGTTCGTTTTCTTGTATTATGAAGGGTGGTAGATGGGGTGGAGGAAATATGGGTTTGTGGAAATGCCGTCCATGATCTATCACGTAGCATCTATAGAAAAAAAAAAAAAAAAAAAAAAAAAAAAAAAGGCAGAACTTATCACAACGTGCACCTCTATTGTTCTATCCGTTTGCTCCGACCCAACGTAATGGTTTCTGTGAATCTCCCCCTCCCCCTTTCTGTTCCCCACTTTCCGTGTTCTTCCAGATGCATTTTGTGCGGTTGATATATTTCATACAACAAAAATTATTTCCGCCCCTATACTTTTCTACTTCATCACTTGTCTCGACCATGCCCCCGTGCGCCCATTTGTGGAAATGAATTTTGCCTCTCAGAACGAACAACACAAACGCGAGCCTTTTGATCCTCTGTCAACGAGTATAAAGCCGCTTCCCGAGCTCTGGCATTTTTGGGTAAACACTTGCATCAAACCACACCGTTTGGGTGAAGTGCAGGCTAGAAGAGTGGGGCATGGACATGGTCTGCACTTTTCTGCGGAGAATTCTGAGGCGATCCTGAACTGACCATAGTTTGGGGTTGATAGTTAGAGAGACTGAGCCTTCAGGACTTCCCTCCCTCATATTCACTGAGTACGCATCCGTGTCTATGTTCAATTCTCGCCGAGATTCTCTTCATTCCCTCGAAACCCCCGCCCGTTCTTTTCTCTGCGCATAGACTTAACATTGCTACATTGCTCTCTGTGCGATCTTTGTGCAGGCACCCGATATCCGTGAACCCCCTGTGTTTGCGCCAACTACGGCCTCTTTGTTTCTTTACTATACTCAACTGGGTATTTGCTCTACGCATTTACGTTTCATATGTTACAATCCGCCTCTCTCCATCAGTGGTACAGTACAGTACACGGGAAACGATGCATAATACTTTTCTCGCATTGTGAAAGGAGGGCGATTTTGGTCTTATACTGCTGTCAGCCACAAATGCTTGGACCTCACCATCGACCCTGGCACATTCCAGTCCTCTAGTTTGGGCCCCTAGCATTAAAATTGCACCAGTGCTTATCAAAATGACTGCAAGAATAAGAGAAGAGAGGTGGAAGAGATGGACTTGGAAACACTTCGACTTCTACGGTGGGAGAGGGGGGTTCGGTGCGCTCTTGGGTCCCCCTTGATTATCATTCCACGGTGTGGATTAAGTATCCAACGCGAGGAGAAATACATTTTTGCCTAGATCAACATGACTGGTTACCCTGATCGAATTCAATCCCACGATCGAGGCATTGTCCTGATTGTTTAACATCTGCCTACATCTTCAGCTCTGTTTAGTGGTTCCTCCCATTCGACTCCAACAAAATATAGCTTCACTATCGTACCGCCCGAGAGAACCAGCCAAGAACGAGCGAGCCGTAGCGGCAATCTACCAGCGACAATACATTACACAAGCGTAAGACGATTTGCACACAGACAAACACTCAAAACGCGATCACGACAAAGAGACCAGCTGTAGCACTCGACCGCGGGAGCAAGCAACATCGGCAAAAACCAAAAAAGCAAACGAAAGGCAATAGACACTCTCGTTCTTTGTTCGACCATCCTGCAGATAAAAAGGTCAGGAGCGCACGCAGTATTGGACACAAGCATAAACCTGCATTTTTTCACCTACATACACTAGAACGCCTAGTCTACACTCCCACAACAAACACATCCGCATCATCACCCACCACCCGTTGTCTCGTAAGAATAGTAAGCACCAGCGACTCTCTCTCGTCCACGGCCGTTATTCCTGATCTTTGGTATATATACTTTCCACAAGTCCTTCCCCCTTCTCTTTTTTTTTTTCTTTTCTTGATTCACAGAACTCTTCCCTACGCACCCAGCGCTCATTCTTAGTCACGCCCAGTAGACTTGAGCGTCCCTGAAAGCAAAAAAGGAGGAAGAGACCACAACCCAGCCGTAAGAATCGCAGCTTACCTTAGTTTCCCTATTATAAAAAGACCCCTTTGCCCCCACACTACTTCTTTCTTCTTTTGTTTCAACGTCTTTACCTACCCATATCTCTCCAGCAGTTCTATGCTCGGTGGATCTGAATCGTTACCCCCATCACACCCAGTACAGTACCTCTTTCACACGGACCACATGAGCCCCTCTTTGCAACCCTCCCCCGTCTCTCAGCTGCCACAGACCATCGACAATGGTCGGCTAGTCCTGCAAGACATGCTCGGCTTGGGAGCCTATGGTTCGGTCTACAGGGCCATTGACACTCAAACTGGGCAAAGCTATGCTGTCAAGAGCCTCAACAAGACAGGACTCGACTCTCGACAACGTGCGTTCCAAAACCATGAGGCAAAACTACACGCCACCGTCTCTGGCCACCCCAATATTGCCACACTACACAAAGTTATCGAGGAGGAAAATTGCCTCCACATGGTCCTAGACTGTGGGACAGAAGGTGACCTTTTCTACACCATCACAGAGCGAGGCGAATTTATTGGCAACAGCAGCGCTATCAAGTTGATCTTCAGTCAGATCGCCAGCGCTGTTATGCATTGCCATACAAAAGGTGTATATCACCGGGACCTCAAGGTAAAGAAAGAAATGCCCTATTATCATCTAATCCTCTCACTGTCGCTGTGGTTAGCAATTGGCCAATGAAAGCGGAGGAACACTATCTATATTTTATTTTTGTTGCGGCATGAACTGACCATGGTCTTCCCTTTATTTATTTTATTTTCCTCTCTTCCCCTGGGAATTCAATTTTTAATTGTAGCCGGAAAACATCATCATGTTCGGCCCATCTGTCAAACTCGTAGACTTTGGTCTTGCGACAGTAGAACAGACGTCTAATGACTTTGGCTGTGGTTCGACCTTTTACTTGTCACCAGGTAACACAAACATCCATTACGGTTGAGCATATGTACGACGTGGATAATGTCTCATGAAAGAATAAAATGAATAGCATCAATGTATAGGGGATAGATGGAGCCGAATACTGTAAAGAACAAAATGGACTTGGGCGCATTGGGACATTAGTACTAACGGCAACACTCTGTCTCGCATTTGTTATCGTTGATCATCCGTCCACCCTGCCCGTGACCTCATCTAGAATGTCAAGGCGGTTATATCGAGGCCGTCAAGTCGTACGATAGCGCAGCCAACGATGTCTGGAGCCTCGGTGTTATTCTCATTAATCTGGTCTTTGGCCGGAATCCATGGAAGCAGGCCTGTCCCCGAGACGAGACCTTCGCGGCCTACGTGGCCAACAACGACTTTTTGCAGACCATTTTGCCCATATCTGTGGAGCTGAATGGGATCATCAAGTCTGTGTTCTGCCTCAACCCCAAAAAACGCATCACCCTGCCGGAGTTGGTGAGGCGCGTGCAAGCCTGTGGCTCCTTTACCACGCCCGAGTCCTATGCTTCCTCGCCCAGTGCCACTACAACTGTCGATGCAGCAGCAGCAGCAACAGTAGTGCATACAGCGAGCCATCGTCGTGGAGATGAGAAGCTGTACAACAACGGCGACAAGGAAGACTCTGGCGTTGACCTGCGATCGCTAGCATGAGCACACCGCGTTTATTATTCTTTCCCTTTGATCCAAGCTTGATTGGCCTACGAGAATCATTCGCGTTCTTGGGTCCAAGCGGATCTTACGAACGACATTCATTCATCATAGGCGCATCCCCTCCCGTGCTACAAGGACCCAGACCAAGCATTCTTTCTCACCTGTCTATTTCATTCACCCATTTCTTATACACTTGCACTGCCCGTCATCGCCTTTTCTATTCCTTTTCCAATCGGAACCTCTCTTGTCTATACATCATGGTTTTGTATCAATACCCAAAAAGCGAGGAACTCGTCCGCGCACTTTCGTTTGTATTTATGTTCTTTACATTCTCGTGTCCATATTGTTTTTTTGATAGTTTCATCCGCCTTTTTTTTTTTTATGTTCGCTCGTTCTTTCTACGATTTTAGCCCAAGCAATGCATGTATTTATTTCTCTTTCATTTCGACTTACTTGTACATGTAACTGTAATAAAACCTTTCTTTCGTTGCCATGCTTGCGTTTCAGTTGTGTATAATATAGTATTCAATCCAAAAAGAAGCAATGCTATTACTCTAGATCTTTGCTAGGTACGATTTGGCATGGCACGATTCGCTCATGTTGACGCGGAACCCGAGTTCGCAAATGTCATCGTGGACCTTCGGTCGGTGAATATTCTATCATCGGGGGGAGGGGGAGGGAAGGGTTACGCTGGTCAATTTTTTTTTTTTTTTTTGAAGCACACCACATGTGTAACCTATAATTTTCCCGCCATGGGGAGGTGTAAAACACGAAAACGTGCTATTTTATTTTATTCTATTTTACTTTATTTATTACTACTATTGTTGTTATTATTATTCAAGGCAGACTTACTGACGAACTTTTGAATGGATCTAATACGTGTGTGAGATTAGACCATGTAAACCGCGAGAGAGGGTTCGTTTACAAGATCGTGAATAGGTTTCGTGAGTATAGCGAATTTCGGTATATGAGTGTCAAGGTGAGTACCCCCGATACTTGTTGGACACATGCCGAGAAGTTTTTAAAAAGGAATCGATTGTTGATTTGTTTCGGTTTGTGGGGGTTTACGAGCTGGAAGTGGAGAGGATATGCGAGGGACGCACTGTCTACTGGGATGTGGTAAGGGTCCGCGTGCGGGACAAAAAAAAAAAAGAGAACAGCACATAGATGTAAGACGGAAGACGCAAGACGCGGGTACGGTAAACAGAGCAAGCGAAGTGTGGGGCGTCGAGTACGCCTAATCTAACAAGTAAAAGCTGACGATTGTCTTTGTTCTTGTCAAAGAGCTGTTAAAACAAAAGGGGACGAACAGACCAATTTTTTTTCTTTTAAAGTTTCAACAGAAAAACTCAATTGAGTTGTCGCAATTTTGAGCCTATGATCGAGCAGTTTTACTGTGGTATGCTGCATGTGTATTTTGGTCACGGCCAGACGCACCGCCTGCTGGTTTTCCTGTTCGCATTCGAGACGAGCCTTCAAGTCATCGGCAGTGCTTTAGCCCCATCTGCCTGCTCATCCCAATAGGAAGCCTGCATGAATTGCGCATGCAACTGACTGCGAGGTAAGCTTCATATGACAGGATGTCCCGTCTAGGGATCCTCATCGTTTTATTATAATGGTCATGGTTTCGTTACAGCGCATTGCTGACTTGCTCTGGTCAACATGCATAAATCGTAAATTGTCGTAATTCTCTAATTATTGGCGTTATTTCTTAGGCTTCCATCATGGAAGTGTCCTCATCCTGGAGGTGAGGCTTCTCGTGTCCACGTTGTAATGGCTCGTTCCCGTCACGTTCGTCCTTGTTCACCGAAGAGTTGCCTGACAGGACCGACAGCGACGACTGCAGACCCTTGAGGCCCATACGGACCTCCTCGACCCGATCATGCTCCTTCTCTCGGTCTCGAGTTTGGGCCCTGTCCTCACGTCTTTCTCGCCCTCCAAGTCCGTGCTGTTGCTGTTGCTGTTGCTGTGAATGGCGTACAGAGTCTGCAGACATCAGGTATGGATCACTCTCGTCCTCGTCCTCACCCTCGTTCGCAATATTGCCGCGTCCGCGAACTACTTGAGCTCTATCCAGCTCGCTTCCGGTTCCATATAGATTGTGGTCCTTTGAGCGCTGGTGTTGCCGCTGCGACCCCTGGTGCTCACGGTCATACATGTCCTCTCCCTCCATATCCATCTCGCTATCCCTGTCACGCCGCTGCGTCTCTGGAACCATTTTCGCCCTCGAACGACCATGTCGAGTGTCCATATCCTCGTCCGGCGATAACTCCATTTCCTCGGAACGTGGCGAATAGGATCCATTCGAACGAGACATGGCCATAGTCGATCCAGATTCATGGCCAGAGCGTGCTTCCGGCCCTCTTGCGAGACGGCCATCTCTTTCTCTTTGGTCTGGTTTGGATAATGAAGGAAGTGGTGGCATGGGTGGAAGTGGTGGCGATGAGAATCCAAATCGCTGGAACGACGCATGTTGACCCAAGCTAGGGCTGCTTGCCATCTTTCTCGCGCGCGCTCTGTTGGTCGCTGCCGTCGCCGCTGCTGCTGCTGAGGAGGCAGAGGTAGCGCCACTGGAAGACTGCTTAGTCACAGTCATCGGCGGTGGGGAAGGGATTGTGTGCTGAGGAGGCGGACTTCCAATACGACTCATCAGGCTATCGCTGATATAGCCCTCCCTAGGACTCTGACCATAGATTGGGGATGATGAAGGTGAACGCGCTCGGCTGCTGGGGTGCCCAAATGTAAAAGGTCCAGAGATAGGGCCTGGGCTGCCAGTGGGTGATTGATCCTCGCTTTTGAGTGGTGGAGATGTGATGCGGGATGGTTGGTGGCGCTGCGAAAACGAGCCAAATGTTGTTGTGAGCGGCGTAGATGTCATCCGTTTCAGTGTGCCCCCAAGCACGGCAGAGGGCCCTGGTGTCGGTGATAAAGAAGAGGGATCGAGATGTGTAGCACCAGGCTGCCTGAAGTCGGGAAGGTCTGGTATTTCGTCCATTGTCAAACGACCACTTGCCTAAATAAACAAATGAATGTTAATAAGTAGACCCGTAATCATATCCTATGCTGATAAAAAAAAAAAAAAAAGTGCAGACTACATTACCACTAAGCCAGCCCAGTCCATATACATCTTGATAGTGAGTTCCAAATGGAAATCCTCCGACAGCTCAACGCATCCCCAAGGGTGATCCTTGCACCGGTTTCCATATTTAGTCTGCAGCTCCTGAGCATAATCGACCACCTCCGAGAACTGCACCATCGTCTTGTTCGAAGGTGCTGTAGATGAAGTGCCCAGGGCAGTACCAGTGATGGCAGTAGTGGAGGTCAAAACACTCGAAGCACCGCCCGCAGTGACAGAGGATATTGGAGACGATACTACGCCATTGGCACGTCGATGGCGGTAGCTGCTGCCGCTGCTGACAGGACTTGTCAGGACTGAGCTGCCGACTGTACTACGACTTGCTGGAGAGGTTGAACCGATAGAGGACACTGATGCAGAGGGAGGCGAAAGACGGCTCTGCTGGGCGGCCGCCTCGGAACTACCCCAGCGGAAATGGCTGCTGCTTTCGTTTTCGCGTGCTACAGGCGAAGGTGGCGAGACAGGGTACTCTCGTTGGTAAAGATGGTTATCTGGGGACATTGCAGTCATCTATGTGTAAAACAATGACAAAGGGGAGCCGAAACAGCTTATTCATTAGCAATCATAAACACTGGCGTTCTTCCTGAATAATATGCCTACAATTGCCTAGGATATCTTACAGCCGATACTCGGGCCTGGATCCTTAAGGTGCCAGTGGAGGCATGTCGTTTGAGCGCTATCGTTTCCCGGTGATCTTCGTCCATGTCCTCAAGAGCGCGACCCTCTAGATCCTCTGCGACTCTTGCGTTGATCTCACTCTCATCAAGCTCCTCGCCCTCAGCACTTGTGGGAGAAATTAGACGTGCTATTGGAAATGAGTACAAACCATGCGTTTAGCGATGCCTGCTACTCCCGATCCTTTGCAAAACAATTCATAGCTGAAAACATCCGGCAAACCTACTCATCCTTTCATGTCCAATCTCATGCCGCTTGCGCTTGACATGAGATCCGTTTGAATTTGAAGGAGGCGACTGCTGCACCATTTGAATTTCTGAGCTCGACATAGGAGAACTTGTTGTGCTGGTTGAAGCTGCTGGAGAGATTTCCCCCAAGGCATGGGAATGACTCTTGTAACGTGTTGGGGGAATATCGTGGGATGATCGATCATCCTGGACATGCTGTGATGGCAATTGGATTGGTGCCGAGTGGAAAGGAGCGACTCGGCCAGAGGAATGTGATGGGGGAGAAGGCTGGACTCGCTCAGTATACACATGATGTTGTCTTGAATGCGTAGGAGGTGCTTCATACTGGTGGGGTTGCGAGAAATGTCGTTTGGATCCAACGCCGAATGAAGCGTCCTGTACTCCATGATGCGAATGGTGTTGATGCTGGTACTGCTGGGAACTCTGCTCTCGATAGCTCTGAGAATGTGCGTTGCTGGAGATCGAGAGACTAGCAATCTTGGATGTATCGATCGGCATCGAGTGCCGGGGCGGGTGCACGCTGGAGTGGTACACCGTCGATCCCCCGCTGCCGCCGCCGCTGCTGTCAATCGTGACAGGATGCAGGGTCAACTCCTTTAACAGCGCTACCACCTGTTCGTCATATCGGACATCATCCCATGCGAATCCCAGGTTCTCCTGATGTTTCTTGAGCCCGTTCACGTACCAATGCAGGTTGCTCGATTTGATCCGCTTGGATTGGTGGTGTAGATATTTCAAGATCGCCTCCTTCGAGATCGGGTACAGGGTTCCATCGGGATTCAATAGATTAAGCTCCTCTGCGATTTTTGAATAGGTGCGCCAGGCGGTTGCATATGGGTCCTTCTTCTTGGGGGCAGCACCGGTTCCAGCAGCCGCTCCTTGTTTTGATGTTGATGTTGATGTTGCAGAACTGACGACAATGGGTGCAGACCGATGTCCAGGCCCGGGCAGGTGGCCCGCAGATGTGCTGTGATGCAACCGTGGTTGGTGCTGTTGTTGCAGCCCTGACGGAATTGATGGGGAGGCTGGGTATTGGGAGTAAGGATGCGAGGAGTGGGTGCCGGAAAAGGAGCGTGCATGTGGGCGTTGAGTAAAAGAAGGATCTGAAGATTGAATGATTGGGATTGCCTGATAGTGCTTTGAAGGGTACTCGTCTTGAGCTGGAGGAGAGGAGGGATGATGGTGTGAGGCATGGGTATGGGAAGAGTGATATGTGGGCTGGTGCGAATAATTCTGTTGGTGCGGTTGCGGCTGAGAACGCATGCCATGGCTTTGGCTTTGGTATTGATATTGGTCCTGGTGCTGGTGCTGGTGCTGATGTTGGTGCTGCTGTTGGTGCTGGTATTGGTGCTGCTGTTGATGATGGTGCTGATGCTGCTGCTGTTGTGGATGCTGGGACGAATGTGATCGGTAGTGGCTGTTGCTGCCGCTATCGTTATCAAAATTGCTGTTGTTTGTGCTACCGATACTGCTGCGGTGATGCTCCCTGTGCGGAGGGTTCATGGGCCGCTGATAGGCAGGGGAGGACATGGGGGGTGAGGCCTGTTCCACAAAGTCGCGCGGGTGCTGCCGCTGCTGTTCATGATAATGCGAGCCGTTGGCATGGGCGTGGAGCATGGACGCGTGGCTGGATCGATTCATTATTCTCGATGGGTTGCGGTAGCGGTACTTCGCGCTTCTTTTAGCTGGCTAGCTGATGTACTGAGGACAGGTAAAGGGAAGAAAAAGGGGGAGGACTACGAGGCGGCAAAAGCGAAAGTGGGGTTGGGCATGTTAATTAAATTACTGGGGTACACACACATACACATGGCTCGTGTTTCAGGGGCCAAAAAATAAATAGTATAAAAAGCAGAGGCATGCAGCTGCAATGGTCTGGACAAACAGGAGCGGTGGAGGGTGTGTTTTAATGGTAATGAAAATGTTCAATGAGCGTCAACCATTGAGCGGTATGCAAGAAAGCACGATGCTTGCTCTGCCACAAAGGGCAAAAGCCCCTATAAAGAGAAACATGTTCAGAGGGTAGAGGGGGACGGGTGGCAGAAACAAAAGAGCTGGTGCAGGGCTCTTTGGTGTGTCAAAGAGCTTGATTGGTAGTACCTGGGGGGGTACTGTAGCTGTTTGTTGAGTGCAGTTGTTGTTGGGTGTGCTTGCCATAATGAGTAAGCTACAGGAAATTTACGCGCGTGAGGATAACGTAAAGGGGGGAGAAGCGGGATAGGAAATTAAACTGGAGGGTAATACGAAAAATGATTTACTCCCACAGGAGAAAAGAAAAAAAAATGCAGTCTGTAGCCAGCACTGCTGTAGCAGGATATGAAATGATAGATAGTCTACTATGATACATAGACCATGGTATGGATATTTTGATGGGAGCGTGTGCAGATGCAAGTACAGCAGAAGCAGCTAAATGCAGAGTGCAGAGCGCAAAGGCTCTGGAGGGCAAGGTACCCTTTTATAATACATCAATCTGTAATTTACTGCAATCGCTGATTACATTTCCTCCTCTTTCATGAACCCTGATCCGAGACCCCGGACACGTCCCTATCGCACGCTCTAGATTGATTCTGCACCACCACAGATCTCATCATGCCATTTGCGGATATGGAGAAGGAAAGGAGCGATATATGGTGATGGAGCCGTTGGCAAAGTGAGGACGGGCGATAAGGCTTTCTTGTGTCCCCCACCCCTCTTCTCCCCTGTATATCATTTCATTCATCTTGTACAATCCCTAACGAGGGCGGCGATCAGCAGGGGGTAAGGAAGCAAAGAATGGAGTTTGAATTACAGTAATATTCAATGGGAAAGAGGGGAAAATGTACAAAGCTAGCCCTATAATTCGTGGACTGGGCTTTACAAACGGCATTTCATATCTATAAACCCCATCCTCGCAAATGAGAGAATTTTTTTCCTTGCCTTGAGTGCGACAGGGGAACGAAATGTGGATCAAGACCATGAAACATTATCTGCACTCCCATTTGGCCATTTCGGACACGAAGGTTAATTGTTTCAAGGTACTAACCATCATACCCAATAAACATTTGAGGAAAGTCCTTTGAACAAATCCACGAGTGCAAGTATTCTTCTCCGTACTTTGGGAATACAAGTGTTTGCAGCCGTATTGCAGCTGGCCTTTAAAGTTGGTTGGGAGGGCGGCACATGGGGCGAGTAGCAGAATAGTAACAATGGTGGGAACAGACAAAGTATTGGATTCGAAAAAAGGACGCCCTTCTATGTATTGCGGAGCTCTGATATGATATTTCTCCTGCATCCTACCTTGGTGGTGAGAGGAGCACAATTCCTTCGGATTATTACACAATTCGTCGAGGAGCGCGGGTGAAGTGGTGCTGAGAAGGGGCGGGGGTTTGTGACTCGGGACAGGCGGTTATAGAAGAATGAAGAATGTATGAATATAGACAAAGGCGTCTGTTATGGGTAGGAGTGGAGTGTAAGAAGGACGCCGAAGAATGAAAGTGTGCTAGAGGTGTTGTCTTGAAATGAAAACCACCTTTGTCCGAAGAGTAGAGAAATAATAAAGAGAGATGAGGAGATGGGATAGAAGGAGGAGTAACAGTTGCCAGGGAAAAGTAGGAGGAAAGAGTAGAAAAGGCTTTAATTGGCGAAGGAAAGAGGGAAAGAAAGAAGGAAAGAGAAGAAAGAAAAAAGCAAATGAAAAGAGCAGCGCTCCTCTTTTTTTTTTTTTTCATACCTCACATCTCTCAGACCACACAAAATACGATGACTACAGCACTTTAAAGTCTGCATGCATAAAGAGTTTACAAACATTCATTTGCTCATGTATCCCTATATTGTTGTACAGTAGATGGTCTATTTGGATGGTGTACAGATAGACATAGAGCAAGAGAGAGGGAAGAAGGGGCAGTGTTTGGCACCTACGACACAGATGAGGATAGAATAAGAGTGTTCCACAGACACATCTTTCTTTGGATAGATACGTCGACAAAAGCCGGCAAGGTACGTGAGCAAAGAGAGATGGATCTCTGTTTTTGTTGTTGTTGCCTTAAAGTGCATATCATATCCTTTGACTGAATAGTAGACCATGTACATGTACGATGGTCGCTGTACACTCCAATTGAGACATATAAAACAGAATAAGACACAAACAAAAAGCTCGGTCGCGAAGGAAAAAAAAGAAAGGGGGAGTACCGTGTCCTTTCCTTTATAACAACAGCTGCAGAGATCAGGATTCAGCATGCCATTGTTAATCGCGAGTTTTGTCCGCTCTGTCCCCTATTCACTACCTCTCTCCGCAACCGATTTCGACTACAAGCTCTTGTCCGCTCCCAAAAAATTTCATCAAATGAACGGTCTACTGTGTTTTGAACTGGCTGTTGCAAGTAAAGTTCGATGTCGCTCCGAGGGAGAATCTGGAGACAACAAACCAACGAAGACTCAACAGACAACAACAACAAAAAGCTAATGGCAGTTGTTTACAGGCAATATAACCATGGTTGCACACCCCATCGCCGCCCATGATTATCGCCGGTTGTGCATCGAACTAGCCCTCCGATCAACAATCGTTCCCGACCTTTAAGCCAATCCTACTGCAAATGGCTTTACCGCATCCCGAAAGCCTCCCTCCCACAAATACGCATCCCAAGTATTCCAATGCACATTCACATGCACACATGTGCACGTGCACATATTCACAACGGATGTTTGGAGTTGTATTGTGAAATAATAAAATACCTGTAAAGGACAAAGATTGAGACTAAAGGGCTTCCGCGGTAGCACAGCAAGAGCAGCTCGATAGAGCCAGGATGAATTAATAAAAAGGCGCCCTTTGGTTTACCGCACACAGGTCCCATTTATTGGAGAACGAATAATAACAAAAACATGACCTGAATACATTTTTTTTATTGTGTTCGTGCGTATGAGTTGAGAGCCATATTCAGCTCACTGAATGTTGATCAAAGAAGAGTACAGCACGAAGCCTGGCCTTGTAGCGCCCACTTTCACATCCGTGAACGCGTTATTGAGCAAAAAAAAAGAAAAGAGTCTTCAATCATCCAGCGTTCTCAGTTTCTCAGTATAGACACAATCTGGACGCAAAGTTCTTTCTTACTTTAGCACCTAAAATCAAGTACAGTTGCATGCAGTAACCCTCCGGACACTTGCACACAGGAACTTCTACCCCAAAGTCGCACGACATGGGAGGGCCCACTGTATTTGTATTGCATAGATGAATGCTATGCAGCAAAAACAGCAGTGCTGAAGCACGGGATAAACTATTGATAATCCCTCACCACTTCTTGGAACGGGTACGCACTTTCCGTTACTAGCCTTTGCCTGAAAAAACAACAACACTGCAGCGCTGCAATCAAGGATGATTGACAATACGATAAGTGCATGCTGTTGTTATTTTTCCTGTAGGACTGTACGTACAAAATATACCGCATAACTTCTCCTGCAGCAAATATACCCGATAACCATAAAGATACCCCAGGATATCAGACGCGTGAAGTTCGAAGGAATAATAGATGCGAGAAATGAAAAGATGAAGGAAAAAAAAAACGGACGAAGAGCAAGAACGATGGATTATGCAGCATCTGCTCTCGTGCATAGATTGTACTGTAGTCTATGGGAGGGAGCATCGAAAGCCCCCCTATCCCAAGTCTGCATTTTGAAATCTAACCGGATTGATCATCGGGTTTCCTCCCTCCCCTCCACACATGCATGTTCGGTGCACGTCCATGGGCCCCAACGCCCTCGATGCAACCATCAAACCCCGGCTCTTATAGGAATTTGTAGCGTTTCTAAACCTTAAATATAACGGATTTGGTTGGAAAAAATACTCTCCGTTGGAGCACTCCAATCGTAAGCCCGAACGTTTGGCATCCTTGCATTTCCTAGCCTATACATCAATGTTTCTGTCAATCACTTTGAGTCCACTAATGTTTCCATAAAGTGAAAGAAAGTCTTTTACGCGTCAAACAGTCAAGCAGTAGTTCTGTATGACAATGGGCTGACAGATTTGTAGAATTCTGACGCAGCAGGCGTTTCTCCCGTCTTTGCTAATACAAATGATTGCGCATGGGCTGCTCTAAACACTCATATCGTGTGCGGCGTACGTGCCATTTTTTTTCTTTACACAAATCGATGGCGCATGCCAGACAAGCGGTTTGGATATCGTGTAGATACAGACGCGATGCATTAGATTACCTGTGCTCATTAAAAAAAAAAAAACTCCCCTCCAGAAATAACAATAAGACCTAACACAAACACCGTGCTTGGTGGTTTTGTGTTCAAAATGGGCGTGTGAGAGTTGTGGAGGATCTGGAGAGGGAGTAATCACAGAAGGGACATGCGATGTATTTTTGCTTAGTGATGGTGTCACCTTCGTGGCTCCCACATTCCCTCCAAAAGACATACGTTATAACAACATCCGACATCGCTTTGGACCTTTCCGCCTTTTCCTCCATCTCTCACATGCAAAGCGCGTCGTTGCTGTAAGTAGAAAAACGCTACGAGTTCGTAATAATGCGGGACACGTTCAGAAACGAAAGAAACACTCTATGGCTCCAAATTCTCAGCTCCCTCAACCGCTCACGCCTCTCTTCTCTTTATCCCTCCATCCTTTAAGCAATAGAGTACGATTCAGTCAAAATGAATTCTCAATGGACATCATACGATCGGCGGACCAAATTGGTGGCCGCGCAAAATTAGAGAAGGACGCGTTCATTCTCTTTCAAAGTGAGTATTACGACAAATGTGTTTTTTTATATTAGTTTAGAAAAAAACATCTTTACTTGGAGCCCAGGCTGGGGAAGAGCTCCTGGTCGTCAACGTTGACGGCAGCGCCGCGGGGAGCACCACCGCGGCGAGGGGCAGCGCCGTTGTTGCCGCCACGAGCGCCACGGGCACGGTCACCGCCACGGACACTGCGCTCACCACCACGAGCACCACGGAAGGCACCGCGAGGAGCAGACTGCTCACGGGCAGGCTCGGTGTAGCGAACCTCGATATCCTTGATCAAGACCTTGGCCTCCTTCTTGCCCTTGCGAGACTTGGCAACAGACTCCTTGCCCATCTTAATGAAGTCACCGGTCTCCTCGACCTCGAGGACCTTGGCGTCCTTCCACTGGGAATCATCAGCGCCTGCGTTGGCGGCACGGGCCTCGGGAAGAGCCACCTTGAGGGCCTTGGCGGCCTTCTCAGCCAGGTAGTCGTCAAGAGTCTTGACAACAACCTCCGGCTCAACGGGCTCGGGGGTAGAGGCGACAGCAGTCTCGGCGTTCCTGTTAATCGAGAATGAAAAGAGTGTACAGAAGATTCATTGAATTACTGGTAAGTCGCAAGATCCTGTTTTTAAGCTATTGTACCACAAAGACAGGGCTGTTCATAAGAGGGGAACTATTTTCTGCAAACGGACTTACAACGCAGCATCCTTCTCTCCCTCGAGAGCGGCGATGGCGGGGTCGCCCAAGCGGTTGTTCTCCTTGTTCTCACTCTCGTGGATACCGGTGCCGGAGTGGCGGTCGAGGCCACCATGGCGACCGCCGCGGGGAGCACGGGGAGCACGGGGAGCGCGGGGAGCAGCACCATCACGGGGAACGCGGTCGAAGCGGGGTCCACGGGGAGCTGGCGAAAGAAGAGACAAACCCAAGAAAAGGCACTCATTAATCGCAGCTCTTTGTTGTATTCGAAGGTATTGCAACTGATCCTGTACGCCCCTGTTGAAATATCCTGACCGATAATTATGCGTCTCTAAGAGTCCTGTTCCTGAAGCCGCTAAGCATGAAACACGATGTGCCGTCTCTGGCGCACTCTTATGCTAATGATCCATGGGTTGAAAGAGGTCGCGTATAGGAATCGAGTGTTGTAGCTTAATATCGTATTGCTTCTGAAGGACGTTTTCCGTTTGGTAAATAGACCTGTCGCGACATGCTGCTGAAGGAGATTGATTGGCGGTAAAAGCGCCATATCGGTTCACGACCTCCTGGGTCAACGGTGCCTACTCCAAGAATTTCTCTTGCGTTGCTGGTGCGGTACGTTCGAGTACCCGTTTAGTTATGCGATGAAACCAATCCTGGACACGGAGCCGATTCTAAGTGACGAGCAGGAAGGATGGATCGACAGTTCGAGATGGAAGGTTTCCCCTTGCATCCTGCGATGTCTAACTGCTCCTTCTGCTCTTCCAGGCGTTGATTTCTGATCCCGACCCTTCAAGACGGAATGGCGCTTATTTGGCCTTAGTCCTGAACTCCCTCTGCGCCTGTCCTGAATAGAAGCTGTCCTGATGCTGAAAAACAGGTCCCTGAATATTTTGGAGCGCTTACCACGGTCGTCACCGTCTCTGGGCTTGTTGTTGCGGGCGCCATCCTTACGGGGAGCCTTGTTGTCGACGGGCTTGGAGGCAGCGGCAGCGGGCTTGGCCGCGGGCTTGGCTTCCTTCTTGACAACAGGGATCTGGATCTCCTGATCCTGAGCGTCGTCGTTGAGGAGGTCAAAGATATTTGTAGACGCCATTGCCTGTTCGATAGAAGAGTCGCAGCGAGCGGGTGCCAAGGACATCGAGGTTAATTCACTTTGTTCATCCCAGTCGGTGCCCCTGTGCTGATTCAGTCCCTGGATACAACTCCTGCTGCTTCCATATCAGCTCCTTGAATCCAAAATAACCCAATGATATTAAAAATCCCGTAGGCAGATGACCATCAATGGTGACCAAGTGCTGCCAGTGGTATAGATGGATGGGGTCCGAACTGGCGATGGATGTCAGGATATGTACAATGGATGGGCAATAGCCTTGTATTGGATGTATATCCTGTTGTGTGATGTGTGATTGGCTGATTATGTTGCTGGCGTCCAATATAGAATACTCCTGGGCTATTCATTCCAGCGACATATGCAATGTAGGCGCGCGCACCTTTATAAGAATTTGAAGAGGGAAACCACATTTTACACAACTGAGAGGCATATAAAATAGCATTTTACACGTGATGTAATCGAGTCGGCGAAGTTCCAAAAAAAAATGGCAGCGAGGGTATGCCCAAGAGGCTGAAATAGGCCATTGAAAGTACTCATTAGTATGCGTACGCGTTTAGCGCGGTTTGGAAGATGAGGTCGAAGTTATCAGTGTAAAATCATGATTCAAAAATAATACTGGCGAGAATAGGGCCGTGGAAAGTCCCTGACCATGTAACCGATGTTGCCTATGAGCAATCACGCCGGCGCATATATCCTGCTTTATTGTAGGTGCGGATCAAATTTGTTCGAGGCCGATTCTCATTTCGTAGATCGATGGACTTCAACGGTTCCTCTGCAACGCAATATTCCGAGCAGAAACGAAGTTTTAGTGTTCATAATCAGGGCACGATGGAAAGATAGCAAATGAGAGGAACTTCTGCTTGCTATGAGCACAAAGGGGGCATGCGTTAGTGCCATTGTTTGGTTCACCCCTTTTACCACTGATCTGCTTGTGCTCGATTTCTTCGCTTGCGATGTTCAGTTTTAATAGTGATGATGATTATGCGATTGAAATAGATGTGTGTTCTACATGTGGCCGTCAATACGAATGGTGGGAACGTATTCAGGGTCCCACATCGACTCCTCGATGATGCCCTTCAGACTGACACCCTGGCGTAGCTGGGCACGAGCCAGCCCCTGCTCGTATGCGACTTCGCAGACCCTGGCAGCGACCTCCTTGGAGACTTCACGAAGAGATCCCACACCGGGGAAAAGGGTTCCGTTCTTGAGTTGCTCCTCGGAAGCCATGTTGGCAATCGTGATAGCCGTCTCCATGAACATTTTGCTGGTGACATGAGTGGCACGCGAGACAGTGATGCCGAGACCGAGACCGGGGAATGACATAGCGTTGTTGATCTGGTTAACCTTGCAAATCTTGCCTTTGTACTCAACATCCTTGAATGGGCTTCCACTGGCAAAAATGGCGCGTCCATCGGTCCATTGGAATGCCTGTTCAGCGGAGCACTCTGACTGATGGGTAGGATTAGACAGAGGGAAGACGACAGGCTTCTCGACGCCTTCGGCCATAGCACGGATGGCACCCTCGGTGAAAACTCCAGGTGATCCACTGAGACCCAGAATAACGGTGGGCTTGATAGCCTTGACGACATCCTCCAAGTTCATGCGGTCTTTCATATCCTTCTTGAGGTAACACAGCTGACGTTCATCCAAATTGGCGCGATCGCCCAGGCCAACAGGTGGAGGCTTAGTGCCGTCAGTGGAGCCGACATGAGGGTTACCGATAAGGCCGTACTGGTCTAACATCCAGATTTTGCTGTAGGCCTCCTCACGAGACTTCACCTTGCCCTGTTCGACCATGCAGTCAATAATACCCTCACAGACACCGACGCCGGCGCTGCCGGCGCCCACACAGATGATGCGCTCCTCATTCAAGTGGTCAATTGGCTTGCCGCGGGCCTTCAATGCGGCCAAGACACCTGCCAGGGCGACAGCAGAAGTTGACTGAATGTCATCGTTGAAACAGCAGATCGAATCCCGGTACTTGTGGAGAAGGTTGTACGCATGAGGATATTTGAAATCCTCGAACTGAATAAGTGCGTTGGGATATCTGTTTTGAATGGCGTGAACCCACTCATCCACAAATGAGTAGTATTCCTCTCCTTCTAGGCGACGGTGGCCCATTCCGAGGTAAAGTGGATCGTTCAAGAGCTGCTCATTATTTGTGCCGACATCGAGGACGACGGGCAAGATTGATGTGGGACGGATTCCACCGCCAGCGACGTACTATACGAAACGAATCCAAGCTTTATAGGTTAATATTGATTACCAGCACATCAAGGCTTACGTAGTGTGATCCATTGAGCAGAGCCATAGGCATGCTGTTAAGCATCATACCAGGGAGAGTTTTCCGATGGGGATCTGCATGCCGTTGGCTCCCAAGTCGCCCAGGCCCAAGACGCGGGAGCCGTCTGTGACAACAATGACATCGACCTATGATTACCAAAGATGGGAGCATGCGACAGAAAGTGCACCTGTTTAGTGCTCAAATTTCATTCTTTCAGCAACGTGGAGCACAGGGCACACAAACACAAATATAAACAGCACACAAGGGAAATGTTGTCGACTGATCGCCGCCTATGCATACCTGATCATGGGGCCAGTTATGGACCATAGCCGCCATCTGTCCGCGATCAATTGAGCTGAAGTACATTCCTCTTGAGCGGCGGTAGATGGAATGAAATCGCTGACAGGCCTCACCGACTATTTTTATCACATTCAAACAAACGGAGCAGGTTGTGTTAGAGATGATGCTTCAGCCTCATTGATATCGAATCTTTATGAAGACGGAGATGGAAAAATGTAAGTAAAAATGATAAAGGGCGAGAGCGTAAATAAAGAGGGCGATGATAACGCTCAGAGCATGACGAAGGTCGAAAACAAAAGGGTCAATGAGATGCGGCATTAAAAATCAATGAATAGCAGCCTAAAGGACGACTCGCCATCCATCGATTTTTTTTTTGCCCTCCACTCTAAATCCCCAACATATCGCAGTAGATCAAGTGTAAATAATGCGCGATTAATAGTCCAATGTAAATTGCCCTTTTAACTGTCCATCCTATTACCTGTTGGTGTATAAATAATCTGCGAGAGCTCCTCTAGATTGTCGATCAAGAGGCGGTAGTAGAGAGTCTCATTCCGATCCTAGAACGATGGTGAGGCAAGTAAGCAAAGGAAAAAAAAATTGAGTGACCAATTGCAGCACCTTAGCATGACTACATAGTGAAATGACTCTTTCGAGATTTCGCTTTGAATCCTTGATCCGTTCTCAAACGCATACCTGGAGAGCGGTCATGAAAATGAACTTTTCGAGGGGTGTCCGGCACTCGCGAAGGTTACGGATGATGCGCTGAAGCTGCTTATCCATCTCTTGAGTTCGTGGAGGAACCAGTCCGCGAATGCCGAGACGCTCGCGTTCAGAGAGCGAGAAGGCGGTTCCTTTGGAGAGCAGTGGATCATGGATGACATCCATTCCGTGTTTTGTCGTTGTTTGCACCATGGTCTCCATGCGCAAGTCTGGAAAGGCGGCCAGGGTGGTCAGGGCACGCCTGCTGTAGCTCCTGACCTGGCTGGTAACATATCGTTGTGCAGCAGCGTGCACCGTCTTGAGAGCTGGATTTCTCAACATTATGAACGAGGTGTGAATAGGGGCGAAGGAGGGTTAAGCGGAGCGAGGGAAGCAAGGATGGATCGATCTTATCCCAGAAGAGAAAAGATATGACTGTGGGAGAGAAAAGAGATAGCAGTGGGGAGAGTGAGAGAGGAGTGCGTGTGCAAGTGAAAAGAAAGAGAAGAGAGATATAAAATGTGGAGCAAGTATTTATTTTGTCCCTGTTTGGGAGATAACAAAAACTTCTCAGCAACTGAGTTGAACCTTCGATTGAATGTATTTTGCACCGATACACAAATCATACGAACAATAGGCTTCAGTCTTGTGGCAGTCGTACTCGCGACTCGCGGGCGGGGTTCTTTTAGTCTCCTTTGCCCACCTTGTTCGGTGCTCTCTACTCCACTTTTGATCGCTCGCCGGGAAGATCAGGGGAAAGTATTCATACCCAGCCATTGAATCTCACTACTGCCATGCCCTATTACCCTTGTATGAGTGCTATTGCAAACAAGATCAAGTCAAGCGAGCACTTTGTCCTGCAGTTGTTCGACTACATCCTCAGCAGCAGTAAAAAAATATCTCGCTGCACTCATCCCCAGCCATACTCCGTCATTTTCTTTTTGTTGAGTCTATTTTAGTGCTCTAAGGGCATTAGATATGATGCTGCGGTTGTCCAATGCATGCGATTTTGCACGCTCAACCCGATACACGACCGGAGAGTGTAATGGAAGTATACAGGCACACGTTGGCTGGCAACAGAGAAGAAGCATTAGCATGCGATTGATCGACCGTACCTCACAGTCCCTCATGGGTGCGGTAAACGTGTGCTACTACCCCGCATTTACACGCTGCAGCACACAGCAGCAACAATATTTCAGCAAAACATTGTGTAGATCCGTCTGCCACGCGAGATTTGCATTCAATAGCATTCCCCACATAATATCATCTCTAAAAGAGGTAACTCCTCTGTGGACGGATGCTGGGGTATTCAAACCAATGGTCCTTAACCAAGAGGAAAGATCCCTTTACTGGCAATAAGGGTCCATGCTTTACGCGAAACAACAGCAGCCTCCGGAAATGAGGACGAGACATGTATAAATATTTGTCCTAAACAACCCTTAGTCGCCGTAAACTCTCGCATAGAATTGGATCTCATCCCACAAATCCACTGCAGAAAACGCATCGACCAAGGCTTCGGGCAGTGTTTGAGGAAGGCTTCTATCCGTAATGTGATGGAAAAATCCGTAATGATGCTTTCGCCCTCGTTTAAGCGACTGTCGAAAAGGGGAAAAGACGGAACGAGGTCGTGCTCCACTTGCTTTATTGCGCACCTGTCCACATAAACTTGCCCGCCAAAAATAAATTGGCCGCTTCTTCGATACACGACAACCACAATTGTTCGCAGGCACCTTTGCTTGTAAACAAAGCACTTGACATTGCGTTAAGCATACGATGCAGGCATCTGGCGAAGACTTTAGGTCCAGTGCCTTTGGCCATCCTACAGATGCTTGTCCTGAAGAAAACCTGCTTTTGCATCACTCAGCCCATGTTCTTATGTTTTCTCTTGCAAACCATAAACAAGAAAACGTGGAGAATATCGTAATCCACCCCAAATACCTGAACGTACGGTTCCTGAATTCGAAATGGCTCTTTTTTCACACCTCTGGGTTTGAATTACACCCCGGCAGAGATAAGGAAAGAGGGGCACAGGGACCAAACAACTGCTATCGCCCCCTTGGACACTCTGCCGCCGACTACTTCTGAGGCAGGGTGCAGTCTACAGTCGACTAGGCATTTCCTCTGCACTTTCTTAAGACTCTTTCCTTTGATACCCGTTCTATTATTGTACATCAGATTGTGAAAATGGTCGCCAAGATACTCTGGCGGGCGACCCTCTTTCGCAAGCGCTGATTGTCGAGTTAGATAGCAATCAATGGCCGCAATGTACTTGTTTTCTCTCACCGTTTTCCCTCATGTATCTTCTACCGTCTTTTTTTTTTTTTTTTTTTTTACGAAATGTAGACCAGCATGTCTGTTTGGAGTCGTGAATGATATAGTTATCAGATACATCATTCTGTCCCGTGAAGCATCGCATATGATCTGAAAGAGTGCCTTTGGCAGGATCCAGCTCGAACAGAGTAGGGAGCACGGCCTTCCCCCTGCACGGCAGGTAGCACCAAGAGCCAGTCTAGCCTATAGATATCACGCGAGAAGACCAAATAGTGTTATTTCCCATCACACGAGGAAATAAATGCGAGAGGGCTCTTTGCGGAGGAAATGAAATGGAGCACAAGATACACAAAGCGATCGTCAATCATATCTGGGCATCGATATGCTGTCTTTAAAAGTGTTTTTCTCATTTCTTTGAGAATGATGGATTTTTCTTTAAATATACTGGGGTTGCGCGGTGTGTATGCCTCTATCCCAATTGCACCTGTGCTGCTCAGAATTGATGGCACGCATAGGTCCGGTTTAGGACGGCCCTCGTATATTCTTGAGCTAAGACTAAGACCATGAACCATTTTGACGCCTATATAGTTCGTAGCGCGTTTCCTGAAGACGAAGGAGCGCGTTGAATATAAAAGAAAGGGTGCGCAGGCCTCTGATAATTAAGCCAAAAGATGATTGTCGAGGGCTGTTGGGAAGTTTGACCCGGAGACCGATTGTGTGTGGTTCTGGTCCTTCAAGAAGATACGCGTCAGGCAGTCTTTATTAGGGGATGTCAAAGGATTCTCACCACCCTCAATTGTATTTAAAAGCAGTGCATTGGATAGTTGACCCAGAAATGTAATTTCATGGCTACGGTTCGTGGACGTGTCGTTTGTTTGAAGACAAACCAAACCGCTCTTGAGGATAGTCTACATATTTGTGCCTCATGTTGTTTTTTGCAAGAGAGTTGGGCTCAAAAAAATATAAATAAATGCATTGCACTAAATTAAAAATGTGAAATGTGAAAATATGTGAGAGGCTGCCAATAGGAGCTAAAGATGGCCAGCAGGGTGGAATGATGGATGGGCATACAGGATACAAATACGAGAGCATTTTCACTGTTGTTTTCTCGAAAAAAGGTGGTGCCCTAAAGGAAGTGATGAAGTGATGAGGCGTGAGGTGATGAAGTGATGAAGGAGGGAAAGGGTGCTTATAGGATCCCGCTTCTGAATCTGATTTCGCTTCTTTGTGCCTTCTCTCTTTTCTGGTTCCCCTTTCCTTCATTCGACCCGAGCAGCCCTTGTGAACCTGCACTCCCATCCCTCGCCCACCATCCTCCATCCTCCATCCTCCAACCTCCATCCTTCATCCCGCCTCTTCCTACCTTCCACTCCTCCTCCTCTCCTACCATTTATCCCCCGCCCAATGTATCAGACACTTGCCTTCCACGACAACCTCCTCACGCTCGCAAGCCATCTCTAGTATACAAAGCACTTTAAAAAAAGAGAGAAAGGAATTTGCACAATTCACATCACTAAATTGTAAGCAACCCCCTCGAGCCGACGGCAATTAGCGCCCACCTTGTCCTTTCAACTTCGTTGTCCTTTCAGCTTCATTCTTGCCACACTGAACCAGTTATTTGGTCCAACGACTTTTTGTTTGAAAGAAAGACAATATTTCCCAAGAAACAAACAAATACCCCTGAACCTGACCATGATGATGACTCCGCTACATGATTAGATAATATATACCACCAGCTGCCCGACCATCGACTTAATAAGGAACGGTAATATCTTAACCAAACAAAAGAAACCAACTCGACGCAAGGAATCCCGCCCGAGAACAATGAGAATCTCTTGGGCTTTACAAACTGTGGCCGTCTTCTGTCTGGTTGCAGCCCATCCAGGTAACCAAGCCCAACATGATACTACTGCACCCCATTTCCCTCTCTTTCCCTTACACCCTCAACATCCATACACACACAAAAAATGAAAAAGAGCACGACAATCCTTGAATCGCTACATCAGCCTATCATGTCCCAGGAAAGAAAGGACCAGGCAACAAATAGCCGTTTCAACCATGTCACTCGTTTGGGTCGGGAATGAAGTTTAGTATCTGATGTGCACCTTCAGCAGCAGCTTTGAAACCAAGGAGGAGGACGTCCGTGACTCCTTTCGGAAACACCGACTCCTCTGCGCTCGGACAGACCGTCGCAACACAAGGATGAAAGGAGCAACGGAATATACGGAGGCTGTGTGCGTAGACGTGATTGAGCGCACAGCATGGGCCCGCTCAATGGAGTGCGAAAGAATCCACGGGTCGCGGAGAAGGCGCAATCTCGTCGCGTATCTTTTATCATTCATCTTGGATCGCTGCCATTTTGTCACCAATTATTCTGTTGCTAACTCAACCGTGACTCTTTTGCGTTAATTTTTTTCCCGGTATCTCCTCCCAGTCCTAGCTGACGGCGGTCTCAACGAGCATGAGTTGAGTCTGGAGCCCATCCAGGGCGTCCGTGAACGTCCAGATGTTTACTTCTACAAGCGAGCTGCTGCTGTGGGCGAAGATCTCGCCCGCGACGATAACAGCGCCGAGCATGACCGTCCCCGCTCTCGCCCTGGACCCTCCCGTTCCCACACCCCTGATACGCCTGGTCACCATCCGGATCCTACACATGAGCCCAGACACAAACGACCAACTTCCGACCATGGTGGAAAGCCAACAAAAAGCCATCATGACACCAAGCCCACAAAAGGACCCCACCACCCTTCCCACGGTAAAGATCCCCACCGTGGCAAGGTCCCTCATCATGGCAAGGACCCTCACCACGGCAAAGATCCTCATCACGGTAAGGATCCTCATCATGGCAAGCCTCCCAGCCATAAGCCAAAGCCAAAGCCAAAACCCTCCAAGACCCACAGCAAGCCTACCAACCACCCCTCCAAGTCCACGAAGCACCCCCCCAAGCCCACGAATCACAAGCCCAGGCCAACAGCAACGAAGGCACCATCCGTAACGACCACCACGGATGTACCCGCCATTGTTCCTACCACCACGGAGGCACCCGCCATTGTTCCTACCACCACGGAGGCACCCGCCATTGTTCCTACAACCACTAATGTCTCGACCACAACTGCAACCCCTGTAGTGCCCGTGACCATCAGCGTCCCTGGCAATGTTCAGGGTGATCCATCCAATGGCGCAAACGAACCTTTATCCAGCTCCCAGCCCACATCTGGAATGGTCTCCGGCCCGGGAACAACGACCAAGATGTCTGGAGGCTCCAACTCCGCGCTGGCGACCGTCTTAGGAGTTGTCGTCGGCTCTGTTGCATTGGTGGGCCTCGTTGCTCTGGGCGTCTACCGCCGTCGGGAAAGGAGGCGAGCAACTGAGGAGTACGCGGCACCCAACGTGGAGATGGATGAGGCGCCCCGAACGGCTTTCAGGCACGAGTCCTTTATGGCATTGGTCAAGGATGCGGCGCAAGGATTCTATGCGCCAGGTACAGAGGACCCCACAAAAGCGGTTGGAGCGTCTACTGCTGTTGCAGTCGCCAGCGCTGGCGCTGGTCCTGTAAGCATCAGCCATGATCTTTCCCGCCAGGGTAGTACTCGGTCCCAGAATAGCCAACGCAGCCAACTGTCACGTCGATCGGGCACCTTCTCTGGCAACAACTCTCTCAACGGTGCCATGCCCCCCTCGTCGTCGCCTCCTCCTCTGGCCTATCTTGGAGGACGCTAAATTCCCGTCTATAGGTCCATCATTGTCTTTTTGTCTCTGTTGCCCATCACAGACTTGTCGTTTCTAGCTCCCATTTTAACATCATGAGGATTGTGCGAGACTCGGTCAAGCTATGCAGTGATGATGGACCTCTTTGTTTGTCGTGCTGGACAGCTTGGCAGATGAAAACATGACAATCTTTATGACCATTGATGACAAGCAATCATAGAACACAGAAACACAGAAAGTACTTTATGAAATACCTCATGGACAAGGCGAACAAAATCAAAATAAAAAAGGAGGAATGCTTTCGTCCCAATCAAAACTACCCGTCCTTGTCGCATGTGAAGCCAAATTCAGCGACTGCGCCCAATGCAGCAGGCACAATGGACTTTTCTACATTGACAGTAGGTACCACACTCCGTCTATGATGTTTTAAAGACTAGGCATCATAACAGCAACATCAGCAGTATCAATTGCCTCGAGACGTATGGATAATCTTCTCCAGCTCAGCTCAGCAATACAGGTAGTGTACAAGACAAGACAAAAAATGTCAGCGGGAGAACCATAGGCTTTGTGAGGCAGTTCAGGAACGATGGCTCGGGAATTTTGGCGACATACTTCTGGGGCGCCTGAAGGCGCTTGCTCGTGTAATTGTGGTTTTCAGGTCGATGACCCTGGCCCATCTCGCCTTCACCCTAAAGGGCAGTTGGGAGTGTTGCAACCGGACTGGAAACTCTCGATCTTCTCGTCCATTATCATGATGGATTTCCTGGCGCGTTTGTGGAAGAAGCTACCTCCTGATTTGCATACTCAAATATCTTCCTTATCGTACTTGATGTCTACGTGCAAGGTATGGCATTAGCCGTCTCCTGCGCTTACAATGTCATCAGTAGAATCGGCGTCGTGCTTCCTTTTTTCTCTGCTGTTGCAGTTTACGGAGGCGGCGAAACTCGTGAGAGCCTGCATGCTGCTGGTGATGGCGCTCTTGCGAACCCCTCTGCCTTTTGAGGTGGTAGCCTAGTACTTAGGAGGAAGGTTTCTGCTTCCTCTCACCCTGAGACTCCTTCTCGACAGTCTTGGGCTTGATCTGTATGTCCTCCGCAGGGCGGCTCACAGACATCGTGTCGCCTCCGAACCTAGACAGAAAGAGTTTGTTTTACACAACAGAGATGCTTTGTTGCCATTGAGCAAAGTCTGACACGACCCTACCATGCTGCAACATGCCCCATAGCTCCCTAAATGTGTCTGCTAGTACCTTGGTGTTGTTGATAGGGCCGGGCTTTGGTCCGAGTCTCACTCTCTCCGATGAGGCCCCTTTCCTTGCCGCCTTTGAATCCAGAGGCCGCGTTTCGCTACACAATGCTCTAGATAAGCTATTCTCGCCGTTGTCTTTGTCGCTACTTTGTGCTGTTTTTTCAACCAACAACGTTGCGCGCCAGTTGTAGCGATAAATCCTATTCGAGCAGCGTGTATCTACGCTGCGGTTCAATGATTTCTATGAGAAATCGCGACGCCACTTGCAAGGAGTGCGACTGGGCCTTCCACCGAGTGCCCATAATATTATCTGTATTGCTAGAGACTTCGTTGCAAGCGGATCAAGATTCATCTCTGTGCCCGTATATACAAAGCCGAAGAAGGCCAAGACAACGACAACTCCGCCAAACTTGGCCGGTCCTTCGATCCCCTCCTACTCTTCTTCTTCTCTGCAGCCGCAGATGCCATAGTAGGCGCAGGAACAGACCTCCGAAGTCGAGATGTCTCCAGCCCCAGCGGACGTGTTCTTCTCATGTGACGGCCCTTGCCCAAGTTGTCGCTCAACGCCCGATGCCCTTCATCACTCATCATCCCAAGCCTGAAACGCATTCCACCATCCCTCATCCGTCTCGCATCTGGCCCGGTCATAGCTGGACTTGGCCTTCCATCTACCCATGTTCAACACCCTCCTCAAAAAGGCGTCTGAGTCCTCCTTTGCTGCCTTGGCCAGCGAGGCTCTGGACTCCAGGCCGGGATCGCCTGCGCCCAAGCGCCCTCCTGGTTCGCCGCTTGCAGGGCAGCAGCAAAACGGCGCGAATAGCCCTGCTCGAAAGGCATGTGTACAACCTATGGCCATCAACACTGGCATCAATATCTAGTATCAGGACTTTAACCTTTTACTTCCTTGTTCCTTTGTAGCCAAGGAATCCTAATGCGAGGGCAAGCGCTTCCAAGTAATGATGGATACTACTTGCTTGATCCTACAGCTGATGGATTTTATACGCGAGAGGTACTAATAACTTTCTTCGCCTATTTCCAGTCCACACTCTACCAATGCCCAACTCTCGTCGCAGCTGGACGAGGCCTATACTGATATCGAAGCCTTTCAAAAGATGCTTCAGAAAGCTGCTCAGGAAAAATCAGAGGCAAGTACCTCGTCGATGGTTGTCCGCTGCAGGGGATGGGCTTACCTGGCATCAATTGGTTGATGATAGAGATTAACGACAACTATATTTTTTATCATACAACACAGATCAGCAAGGACGCAGATCAGCTCCGGGAAGAGAATGAATCTTTGAATGAGGAACTACAGGAAGCGAGAGCTGTTATCAAGGCGATGAGGGCAACTCTGGAAGACAAGGCAACGGACGAGTTTTTGTCGCCGAAATTGACAGCAGAGAAAGGATCTCAGGATGTGCAAGGTGATCGCATGCCTAACATCGTAACAGCATCAGAGGATCCACTTGGCGCAATGCCAGTCAAAGAATCCGAAAAGCCGGACATAGCTCCGTCCTCAGCAAGTGCAGCGTCGGTGGAGCCGGTACCTGCAACATCGACAACTTCTCCCGATACCAATGCACTGGAATCAAAACTTAAGGACTTGACACAGCAGCTGTCGGCCAGAACGGGAGAGTGTCATCAATTGGAGGATACTCTCACTCAAAAGACAAGTGAGCTGGGAAAACAAAAGTCAGATCATGACGAGAAGATGAAGAAGATGAAGGCGATATTCGCAGCCGCCAACAAGAACTTGAACGAATATCGTCAATCGATCGCAGCAAAGGACGAAGAGATCGCGGAGCTCAAGAATCGATTGGATAACCCGCAGCTGTCGGAAGAACAAAAAGCCGACCAGAACCGTACGTTGCAAGACATAGGCGCAACAAATTGTCAAAATATTTCTGCTTGATGAGCTTTTGACTGACAAGCTGTTTTATCATCCGTCTCGTCAATAGAGGCAATCCAGGAGCTGGAAACGGAGCTCCGAACCCAATCCGAATTGGCCGGTTCAAAACTTCAGCAGATGGTACGCCAAATGGAAGCTGCTGTCACTGATATACTTCATATGCCGATCTCGACTCCCCACGTCTCATTAACTGTTACGATCTTCTTGATTCCACAGGAAAGCAAGTACCGGCAAACAAACACACAACTCGAGAAACTCAAAGTGGAGTACCAGCAATATAAGCAGCGTGCCAGTGCATTACTACAACAGCAGCGCGAGGCAGTACAGTCTGACGACGACAATAAACTGAAAGAATTGCAAAACCAACTGGAGGTCCTCACGAAAGAGAACAGGCAAGATCATTCAACTGCATCCACAATGCGTGTAAAACCCAAGCACATACCTGGAAGAAGTAGTACTCATATGTTTATACTCTTCGTTCACTCAGATCGATTGTCAGTGATCTTCAGGAAGCAGAGTCCAAGAAATCAGCATTGGAAGGAGAGTTGCAGTTGGCAATGGATCAGATTGCCAGCCTAGAATCGAGCCATGAGATTAGTCGTCGCCAGGAACGACAACATACACGTCAATTAAAGGATTTGGAACGGTCGCTCAAGGACGCTCAGCGAGAGCGTGAAGCTGCCGAAACACGCATCGCTTCCCTGCAAGAGCTGAGGGCCGTGGAGGCCCAGAGTCTGATGCAGGAACTTGGTGGCAATACCAAGTACATTGAAGATCGGCTTGCCAAGAAAGAGGAAGAAAACGCTGAACTGCAAAAGATCCTGGATCGAGTGAGTGACGAACTTGCAGCCGCAAAGCAGGAGATCCAGAACCTCAGGGATCTTATCAGTAACTTTGAGGCGAGCAATGAAACGCCCAGTACGGCGGTAGTTACATCAGGCTCCGCATCACCGAGCAATGAACAGGACAATAAACACCAAGGCCAGCTCAACATCTCAACGACACTTGGTCCAAGGTCTTCCTTCTCGCCATATGACCAGGAGTCGCCTATTTCACGCGCATCGTCATCCTTGTCTCTTCCAGCAGAGCGACCTCCTGTATACTGTAAGCAGCTAATGGGCATCATGATGCTTTTACGATATTGCAGTATTATGATACTGACGCGTGCTATACTTATTTGATTAGCAACACTATCTGATCTCCTGGCAGCTAAACCATTGGTGGAAAGATCTCCTTTTGGCGACACTAACGTTGGTCTTGGAGTAACAACAGCATTGGCTTCTGCCAAAGAACGAGAGTACCAAATCAAGCTGCAGCATTTGACGGAGTTGCTGAATGAGAGCGAGGCGAACCACCAGCGCCTGCTTGATCAAGAGAAGGTAAGTCGCGCACATTGAATATCGACCACAGTGCTGCTTGAGTGGACGTTATATTTTAGCTAATATGCTGTTTCTCTCGTCGTCTTTAAAGGTTCTGAAAGAAGAAATTCGAAATCTGGATCGAGCGGAGAGGCGGCAGAACCTGAGCGTGGATTATCTCAAGAACATTGTCCTGAAGTACCTCGAGACACCTGATCGAGAGCCACTTCTCCCGGTTCTGACAACAGTCTTACAGCTTTCGCCTGCCGAAGTTGCTTCTTTGCGGAAAAAGACAATTCAGACCTCGGCGTCGTCTAAGGTTTTAGGAGGTCTTTTTGGCGGAGGGAGTCATTAGTCCAGTCATCCATCTTGCTATCTGCTTCGACAGATAAACGATGGCCTCATAGAACTTGATGGCACAATGTGAAGAAGTCATCTTTGCTCGTCGAAAGTGTTGTTTGCCCGTGTTGCGTTGGTCGCCGATGTGTCATTTTGCGATTTAACTGTGGAACGAAGCGATGTCTTTGATATGAAATGGGTTCAGTGACCTTAATCGCTTCCAGGCCCAGGCACCAGTGCTACCATGTTATTTAAATGTACACCTTTGCGAAAAACGCCCCCTCAATGTATGGCTCTTGCGCATGGACGCATTTTGAGCCCGACTCCTTTATGACACCCTCAATGGGATGGCGACAAGACCCACAGGACTCTTACTGGACGCTTATGGCCATCCTTGCTTTTTTTTTTTTTTTTTTTTTCCTACGCACTACACTGGACTCCAAAACAGCCCCCCCTTTGCAACAACTCCTTTGAAGAAAAGAAATGAAGTCTCAGGCTCCTTTCCCTTGCCAAATTGCTGAATGCCTACCTGCCCTGCAAGGGTCTGTCTCCTTTTTGGACCAGAAAACCCCCTCCGTCCACTCCCTCCCCCGGGAAAATGAACTGGGACAAACTGACACCGAATTGCCTTGAGCCATTCTTAGCCCTCCGCCCGCAGCTCCTGTCCGGGCAGCCCTTACGCCTTTACCTCAGTCTCTCTGGGTTGATTCATTGTACTTCATCACGCCTTTTTGCTCCCCTTACCTACAACCGTTGCCTCACCTTGTCGTCCACCCTTCCTTCCTTCCCTCCTTTGGCTCTCCTTACCTTAATTCCGACTCGTCACCTCTGTCATTTCTGTTCCCTCACCGATGTTTTGACTTGAGAAACCCGCCTCTCGTCATCAGGATACCTGCAAGCAACACTCATATTTTAGAACTAAACCCCACTCTAGGTCCTGGCCCCTACAAGAACAGGTCTTTTACACGTCCACGCTGTTGCTTCCGCCACCGCCACTGCCGCCGTTATCACCTTTGCTGTCCGCAATTCATTGCCGTAGCGTGTGAAGCTCCTCCTCTGGAAACCCCAATTGATGCCGCCAACGGAATTTATCATGCAGTCCATCTCCGCACCCATCCCAGTCCCAGGAACCCAACAACTGCCAACCATGCCCGCCATTCCACCTGATGGTGATGTTGCGGCTATTCCATATGCTGGCGGCAACACAAACTTAGCCGCGACAGGCCTCTTGCACATCTCTTTAACGGACCAGAAGCCATCATGGAGCATCAGCAGCGGAGATATTTCTCGGCCCAACAGCTCTGCCAGTAACCATCACCTCCACAACCAGCCTCGCCATAACAACAATTACAACTCGAACAGTGGCCTGCGCAAATTTCCGAGCATTGGCAGCAACAAAAAATTGACTATTGAAAACACGATGCTTAAGGCCAAGGTCATCGAGTTGGAACGATACGTGAAAGGGCTCAAGGAGGAGCTAATCCTAGCCCGCCGCCAAATCCATGCGCAAAGGGCTGAATTCAAAGCTGCAGAGGAGCACAAGACAGAAGAGATCGAAGAACTGAACGATCATATCCAGAAATGCGAATACGAACTGGGTCTCAAGATTTTGGAGTGCGAGGATCTGCTGCAAAGTCTGGGAGGGGGTCATAGGGCTATGGGACAGGGGACAAATAATACGAATGCAGAGGGCGGGTACGGTCGAGTCGAGGTGCTTCTGAACGAGAATGCGCGCAAAGATGCTCAGATTCATGCGCTACTCGAGAAAGTTGACTGTCTAGGCACTGCGATCCTTAAACTTGAACGTGAGAAGGCCTATCTGGAGAGGCCACCTACCCCACCCGTCGACACAGCCCCCACCGCCCCTGCACACAAGAGCGCCAGTTCATCAGCGGACGCTGCGTCCTCTTCGACATTGAAAGATCTAGTGCCTATCACGGCGGCAGTGATTATTGCTGCGACAACCCCGAATTCGCCCACTCACAACCCTACCTCTCACCTTCGAGATCTATCCGATTCTGACTCCGACAACAGCATCGCTACGAGCGATAGCACTGCACCCAGTGCAGTCCAAAGCGACCAAGGTGCTGTCAACAGCGTTGGCTATAACCTGGCGGTGGAGCATCCGAAGTTGCTGTCCAAGTTCCAGGCTCTGAGGATTCAGCATGCTCAAGTATCCGAGTACCTGGATACACTGGAGAGTGAAAACTGGGAACTCAGGGTCCAGCTGTTGGGGGTCAACAATGGGTTTGGAACAACAGCGCTTTAAAAATATTCACCGCCGTGTCGGCACAAATCCTTTCCTCTTCATTCACAAACACTCTTAGCCTTGTGCTGCGCCCATGTGGGGGTATTCAAATAAAATAAATGCATTTGCTCTCAAGCTTATAACCACGCTGAACATCCGTTATTTCCTGCGATGCAAACACATTTGCAAAATGGCGTGCTCATGACAAATTGCATCCACAGACCATAAAATAGAAGAGACATGCTTTTTCTTTTACCTTTGACCACCCTTACCCTCTCTTCCATTGCCCTCAGCTCCCATATCGTCCTTTGTTATTCGCTTCCACTATACCCAACAAGACTTGGTCAACACAGCCATGGACCCTGCAAACACCGCTTCGCCGCAAGGTTTTGGCGCGCTCCTTTCCCACGTTATTGGCTGGACCTATTTTATTGCATGGTCGGCCTCCTTCTACCCACAAGCGATCCTCAATTGGAGACGCAAATCGGTCCGAGGACTCTCGATGGACTTTATTTACCTGAACGTCCTCGGGTTTCTCTGTTACTCGGTAGGGCCAAGGACTACTTTTAGCGAATTGCATGTTAAAGTATGACTTTTGACCTCACACGTCCGTTGTGTGTGTCTTTTCAATTTGCGGTGGATAGATCTTCAACCTCTCGTTTTATTACAGCCCAGAGATTCAGAAAGAGTACCGGAGACGCAACGCTGGTCAGGATAATCTTGTGCGTGCCAATGATGTCCTTTTTGCCGTCCACGCCCTCATCCTCTCGACCTTTACGCTCTCCCAGACCTTGATCTACAAGGTAACCCGAACCCCCGTCCTCTTCTTGCATCACGCAATGGCACGCTCGTTAGTGAGAACATGTGTCTAATAGTCTCCCTTCTTTCCCTGCTGAACGCTAACGCTCCTTATTAGCGCGACCATGATCAAAGGGTCTCGAATCCCACCAAGCTCTTTATGCTAATCACGGTTTCGGGGGCCGGGATTATTCTCGCCTCAAGAACGATCTTCTCGTCGTCGCCATCGTCGCAATGGATCGACTTGCTTTATTATTTGAGCTACATCAAACTCGGCATCAGCTTTCTCAAATACTGTCCTCAGGTCTATCTCAACTACACCTCCCGATCGACCGTCGGCTGGAGCATCCACAACATCCTGCTGGACTTTACAGGCGGCGTGCTCAGTATCGCACAACTGATCCTGGACGCGGCGATCTCGGATGACTGGTCCGGGATCTCGGGCGACCCTGTCAAGTTGGGGCTGGGCCTCTTGAGCACCTTGTTTGATCTGGTGTTTATGACGCAACACTATGTCCTATACCGGAACCGCGAGGATCGATATGCGCCCGTGGCGATGGTCGAGGAGAATCAGGGTGAGCACAAGGGGTTGATGGTTCTGTTCCAGGGGCGGAAGGGGTATGGGAGCGTTGTGGGGGACGATCGCGAGGCGGAGATCGTTGACGATAATGGCGCACGACGACCCGGGGGGAGCATGAAGGATTTGGAGATAGGGCGCTGATGAAGACTGCCGTTAATCGTGGCACTGATCGTTGAACAACAACAACATCATCAAAAAAAATAATCTTTTGCTTTTGCTCTTTCTAGATAATATCCCACTTTCGGCGATGTGAGGCATCTCTGTAACATAGCATATACCAGCCAATACACCTGTAAACAGTATTCAAGTCGCAAAAAAAAATAATAATAATAATAAAAAGGTGAGAACGATTAGGGCTGGCCGTGTTTATGGCTGTTGGAATGATTGAGGCGATGGATGAGAAGTAAGGAACGCTGTGCTGCCTCCTTTATATGAAGGAACGCACACGGCAAGCCTAAAGATATAAGGTTCTCACGGTGTACAAAGGAAGGACTGCCCAATGGGGGCCATGGCATTGAGATCGTACGATGTCGCAAAAAAAAAAAAAAAAAAAAAAGAGAGAGATTGCGTGGATACACATGGCTGTAACCGCTGTGCTGTAACTGTTCCGCAACCGCTCTATCCTCTCGATTAGGTCGTCCTTCGAGTTGATGGCTGCGCCCACCGCAAAAGAACCTGCCCTTGACGCGTGAGCGCGTTGCGTGTTTCGTTGGGTCATTGACGTGAAAGGCGTTTATAGGACAATGGCTCCGGATAAAACATTAGAACGCAGTACGTACCGAATACAACGTTTCCGGATCCAACTATCAGTCCAAAAAAAAAAAGCAGGGTATGGGGGGCATCCGTTTTTTTTTGTATATCGCTACAACGGGTGGATGTTGTCGGCAGAATACTTACCAAGCAGGGGCCTGGTTATATATCTGCGTGTAGGTAGAATAGTTCTCGCCCTTTGGCCCACCTATCCAACCTTGTCCGATGGATCCATGTTTTTTTTTTTATGTCCTTGCTGTTTATCCCGCAGTTGTGCGGTATGGATAGTATGGGCATGTGGAGAGAGCGAGACTAAACAAATAAACAACTGGGTGTGGGTAGGGTGTGAAATGTATCGCACACGGACCATCCCTACGGTGTGCTGTCGAGTGCTGGCCCTGCTCTTTGGACGGACGTGACCCTTGTGCCACCTTCTTACGCAAAGCAAACAAACAACCCAGAAGAAGAGGAAAAAGCGCCAGTTTGTTGACGATCGGCGCCTGCGCCGTGTCCTGTAGGAGGAGCGTGATCAAGGATCAGGAGTAGGGTCGAAGGTTCGGTTCGTCAAAGGCGCGGCAGGAGCGTGCGACATCTGTTCTGTACGACGCATTATGCCATTGGCCACGCGCGGTCGGCGCTGTTGAATCCAAGAAGGAGGACGTGTGAGGGGGAGAGGGCGTTAGGAGGATAGTTCAGGAGATATGTAAGGCGAGCCGCATCCTGTGTCTTTAGTACAGCCAAGGAGGACATGACCTCAGTGGCACCAGAGGTGATATCCGGTATCCACAGTGGTGGGCTCTCAGACAGGCTAGGGAATGTGGGGTAGAGAATGCAGATGTACGCCAACTAAGAGGAGATGACGACAGTCGTACATGTGTCATTGCTCTCATCCGACATTTGTCCTTCTGGCGAGGTCATGCAAGAGGATGGACAAGAGTGAGCTCCTCTCCACATGCGTGCATGCACCACGTTTGTGGGTTCCTCATTGATCGCATCAAGCTTATAGGATGTCAAGCTTATAGGATATCAAGCTTATAGGATGTCCTGTATCCAGCCACGTAGTTGTTCTTCAGTAGACAGTAGCGTGCGCCGAGGGAAGAGTGAAAAACAAGCGCTCGCTGGCGAGGTCCACTGGCTGAATACTGAGCTTGGACTTGCTGTGGGTGTGGAAACCTCTTAGTCAAAATAAACGGCCTTCACCCGGGAAGGAACGCCGCTGCGCTGCATGATGACAAAAAAAATAACCGGACACTCGGATGATGGCAGCAAGAAATGGCCCGACAAACACATCGATAGCATCAGCAGCCTCTATTTGTTGTTGTCAAAGAAGAAAGGATGCGTCTGGGAAAATTCCTCTGTCGTTAAGGCCCAGATCTTATTTAAGGTTTTTCCACAAATGCTTGAACCCTTCGATGTCGCGCCCATGCGAGATATGGCTAAACCGGTTTTCAGGAATTTGAGTACGAGATGAAACGAGCCAGATGTCTGCAGCAGGCATACATCGGCGCTTTTGTTAATTGAGACCATGTTGCGGACATTCAACACTATTCGTCAAAGGAACCCCTGCCTAGAGTCCCCGATACAGTATCTACAGATCTCGAGGGCTCCAAGTGCCCTAGTTCCTTGAGATTCAGGAACATCAAGATAGGCGAATTTAAAAAATTGAGTCCTTGCGATGCAATTAATGATACAGCAATGCGGCTGCATGCAGTCGATGGTGGTGCTTACGTGGGTATAGCGGCCATGTGCCATAAGTTACATCCTGGGCATAGGATGGCTGTTTCTTTTGTCCCTCTCTTGGTGTCAGAACTGGATGCTCCCGGTGAACGACTGTGTGTGTATAGTACGCAACTCCATCTCGGTCCTAGCTATCAAACTTGGATATTCTTACATTTTAGTGCCATATCTCAGCAATGAATCCTGTTCCTGAATTATCAAGCACGCTAGCAGCGACTAAGTCAAATACATTATATGCATTTCTGCATTGGCATGTTTATAATGTGTGCAGATGCAGCTTTGTTTGTTCTCTTCTGTCCAACCCGACTTGTTTTTTCTATCCATCCCACTCGGTCATGCTTTCCCTTTCTCCCCTCCGCGCTCACCCCCTCTAGCGCCGCTCGACCGGAGCCGCTGGTGGGCAACAAGCGCCCAAAGCAACGCGAGCAACATCCTTACCGAGAGTGATACACCAAGGGGTTCTGTATATTTCCGTTTGGTGCGATCGCCATTCATCGGGGTCGATCAGGTCAGCAATATATAAGACTCGAATCTTCGCACTTTTTTTTTTTGGAACCGGTAGTGCCATCCTCTCAAGCAACTCAAACCCCCACCCTTGACCTTTGCTCCGGTCCCATCATCCTTCACGCCTCTTACCATCTGCCCCCTCGTTTTTTTTTCTTTCTTTTCTTTTCTCGCCAAGAGTGTTCAGTGAACGAACTACACATCAAAAGAAACGTCCTTAAACGCGCACAAGAATGGTCCTTTTCAAGAAGATCTTGTCGGCTTTTGCCGTCCTTGGCATTGCCACCCAAATCCACGTTGATGCTGCCCCTGCAAAGATCGAGAAGCGCGTCCTTCTGCCAACGGCTCCCCTTGCCAGCGACATTGACGGTGCCCACCTGCTTCTCCAAAACGACGTGGACTCGAGCAAGATTATCAAGAACGCCTATATACTCCTGAGCAAGCCCAGGGGTTACTACGATGGAATGGCAGCGTGTACTTCCATGGGTGATGGTGAGCACTGATCGACATTGTGCCTTCTGCCGTTTGTGGTGTATGTCCAAATCGTACTTACAAGCGTCCGTTCCTGCCGCTTGCGTCGTCATAGGTGGATACATCTACATTCCTGGAACTTCTGGAGCAACAGAGCTCGTCTCGCTCCTGAACAACAATGCTCCTGCACAGAAGGAGGTCTCTCGCTTCGCGCAGTTTTGGGTTTATAATGGTAAGTGTGGATGGACCCTCTTTTTTTTTTTTTTTTTTTTTTTATATATCCGGGGGATTTATAAAATTGAAATATCGGCCATTTACGAGCTAATCCCCATATTCGCGTCAAATCAAATTCAACCCCCCTTCCCGACATGCACAGGCGTCCCTGGAATCCTAAGCAACTGTCTAGCGGTCAACAAGAACAATGGCAAGACCGATTGGATCCCCTGCAAAACTCAGCTGCCAACGGTCTGCTTCAACAGCGTCATGCGTCGTGTCCTGCTCTTTGACGATACCTCGCGTCAGGTCAAGGTCAATACCCCTGTCGGCCAGATCCAGGGCTGGCGTGATCAGAACGCTTTCCGCTTCTTGGGTATCCCCTACGCTGAAGCTCCAGTCCAACAGCTTCGCTTTGCTGCCCCAGTCGCTAAAGCCCCATTCACGAAAACCTGGGATGCCATCCATTACAAAGGAGTCTGCCCACAGACGGCCCAGTCTGCAGGATTTATTCCTTTGGTGCTTAGCTACCTCGAGAACGGCGCTACCGAGCAGGAGGACTGTTTGAACCTGAACGTCTATACCCCCAGTTTGAAGGGCCAGGGCGATGAGTTGCTTCCAGTCATGTTCTATTTGCACGGAGGAGGATTCACAACGTAGGTCTCTATCTTGTTTTCTTTCGTTAATTTGAAACGGCCTTGATACTAACATATGCTGTAAATCATTGTCACATCTATCTTCCGATAGTTACTCGGGCTCTGTCATCATCTTTGAGCCTGGTAATATGGTCTCTCGCGGCGGTGTTGTTGTTGTCACCATCAACTACCGTCTCGGAATGCTCGGATGGTTCGAGGACATCTCTAAATGGGGCCGTTCGGCCGTTCCTGGAAACCAGGCCTTCCGCGATCAGATTCTCGCTCTCCAGTGGGTCAAGAAGAACATCGCTTCGTTTGGTGGAGATCCTAACCGTGTCACCGTCTTTGGTGAAAGCGCTGGAGCCACCAGCATCCGCGCCTTGCTCTCTGCTCCTTCGACCTTTGACCTCTACCAGAGCGTTATCGGAGAGAGTGACCCAATCAACATCCCTTTCAAGACAACCGACAAGGCCGCTTCAATCGCTCAGTATTTCATGCAGGCATTGAACTGTCCCTCCAATGACTTGGACTGTGCTCGCTCTCGCCCTATCGATCAGGTCTTGGAAGCCCAGAAGACCGCCAACGACAAGGCTCTTGCTGATGACAAGTGGACTACTTGGGCCCTTGTCGAGAGACCCACCATCGACGGCGACTTGATCCCTGCAGAGTTCTCGGCACTGGTCAAGTCAGGCAAGTACAACACCAAGGCTAACATCATGTGGGGAACCGTCCATGACGAAGCTGGTCTCTTCGTCCCTCAGTACTTCCCCAACCCTGTGCCAGTGTCCAATGCCTCACAGGCACTCCAGCTCTTCTTTGATGCCAACCGTACTGCTATGATCTTGGGATCCCAGTACTTCCAGATCAACCCTAATGACTCTGATGCTGTCCGCAATCTCTTCACCCTTGCTGGCACGGAGTATTACTTCCTCTGCCCACTTCGCTACCTCAGTCGTCAGATGACCAAGGTCAAGAAGGTGTACAACTTCCGCTTCAACCGCGGTCGAGACACACCCCTGGTTGGCGATAACTACTGCTCCTCCAGCACTGGACGTGTATGCCACTCGGCTGATATCCAACCGGTCTTTGCCAGTGGTGCTGCGGTGCCTGGCTTCAAGCAGACCGGCGACGACGCCCGATTCGCACGCCAGATTGTCGATCGATTCACTACGTTCGCGAAATCCGGCAATCCCAACCCTAAGGCTGGCCAACCCGGTTTTGAGCTGTCGAACGCGGATGTAACGGGTGTGAACTGGCTGGCTTACGATGACACGAACCCGATCCTGGAGCTGAACGTCCAGAGCTCGATGTCGAAGAATGCCGAGAACGATCCCTGCACATGGATCGATACCGAGTTTCTGTACGAGTTCTGGCGTCAGGTCCCTAATAATTTGCCTTGAAACATTGCTTCGTCTTGTTCCTGAGGGCAATTGGTCCTATTGCTTTCCTACTACTTAATTCATTATTTAGCCATGTACATACATACCCTCCTCCTTTTCGAGTGTAGCACTTGCAGCACTTCAATTATTCACGCATTTTGTGGGATAATAATAAAAAAAAACCAAGTCAAATGAACATGTGCTTCTCTTTGTCTAAAAGGCGCGCTCTGTGGCAGTAACTTTGAGGAATGCATGCTCCTAAGGTTTGTTCCCCATACTTGGCCAACTTTTGCGTCGCATGAACAATGACAAAGCCATTGAGCGATGGGGGACATTATGCAACCAACTTCATATGCCGTCGTTTTTTTTTCTTCTTGGTGGGTGGAAGTAGACTGTTGCCTCGTTGCTTTGATGTATGCGTGTGGGAATAGATTATGACAGCTGACCCCGTGTGGATTGCAGCTTATCTTATCGTCTATGAATTCACGCAAAGGACACGCTATCTAGCAGAGCATTCGGCATTGGGGGTGTGGGGATAGGCGCGCGCGAGAGGGGAAGAAGAAAAAAAGAAAGTAAAAAGCCGGCTGGGCGCCCTTGATGACAAAACAAATAACCGACCTTAATGGGAACATGCCACGATCAATGGGATGTTTGCATTGAACAAACCGTGTTCTCGTCTGTTCCTTTCATTGCCCCCCTCCTTCTTCTCTTTAGTGGGCGCGCGCAGCGAAAAAAACAAAAACAAACAATAGCTATGGAATGCGAATGCGAACGAGGAATTCAAAGGTCATTCCGTCTTGTGTAAACATTTAATCGATACGCCAGTGGTGAAGCGAAGAGAAAAAAGAAGAAAAACAACAACAGCAACAATAACAACAATAACAACAACAACAAGACGCGCTCCATTCCATGCATAATAACAAACGGCGGATCATCCGGGGATTGTTTATATGAAAGAAGACATGCATTAAGACCGAATGACTCAGGAACGGCATGCTCAGTCTAGCTAGTTGGGCCTAAAAGGACGGGGGAGGGCTCAAGGGATGCAGGTCGACGGTTTGACCAATGCATTCACGCGTTCACGCATGCATGCAAACGTGTTGTTTGCGGTGAAGATGGTTAAAGACAAAGCAAAAAAAAAAAGTGATCGAGAAGGCAATGACACGCTACCCTCATGTAACACAGAAACCCCCCTCCACGCGCCCTCTCTCCACCTCCTCCTTCTCTGCCTCTCTCGAGCATTGGTACCTCAGCTTTAACATCGGCGATGTCATCGGGAGGAGCCTCATCTCTGTTTGGACAAAATCCGATCCGGCAGCTACTTGTCCAAGTTCTAGCCCCCGTCCTGTCAGCATTCACCCGCAACGATGTGTACGTCCGGGCCGTGATGACAAAGGCGATATTCAAAAAGCAATGCAAAGAAATCACAAAAATGAATGCTGGCATATGAGTCTTCGCCTGGAAACGGACCTCTGGGTCCATGTGGACTCCCTTCTCCCATCCTATCATACGGCGCCCTGGCTTCCAATGGTACATCCTCCAGAGGGTGGTGTCTGATCGCAGAGCGCGATCGAGTTTTTTGAGGGTAGATTCAGATCATTATTGGTGGCGTTAAATATCCTGTTTCAGACCGAGGACTTTCCGAGTACGAGTGAGTGTGGGGGATGAACCCTTTCTGGTACCTGAAAAAGGACGCCGTCCCCACATTGGAGCAGATGGACCGGCGAAAACTGTTTGTAAGCGGTCTAGAGAAGCATGAACAACAATAGGGACAACAAACGATAACAACAGCATCAACAACAAGGTCAGCAGCATCTTTCGCACACGCCCATCCGTGGATTAGCTTCTCCAAAAAAGATACGCATCGAGAAAGGCATTCTGACATGAGGAAAGGTTTTTACATTGTTGTTTTTTTCTCCCGAAGACTTTTTGTTGTCTATGGAATGTGAATTATCTCTGTCGTCCGACTCCACACACCCCTGAGACGAGCGGACCCTGTTCACCGATCAGACTCCTGATTCCACCATTCGAAAGAAAAGCAAAAAACGCGCGCGCCATTTGGGGCCAGTCCAATGCGTCTTCGGGTGCAACACACATGCAGCCTCCTGCTACCCGTTCTCTTTCCCTGACAATAAACAGGATTGGCACTCCACAAATAACCCCGCTGTCTCGCATCATGATCCTCGTCTGAGAGACGTGCCATATGCGGTTAACGAGCTTCATGCCTCACGAACTCTTCTTGTCCTTCAACCAGTTCTCTATAAAACACGCGAAATACCCGCGCACCTTACCCTTTTTTTTTCTTCTTTTTCTCCTCAGTGCCATTCCTCAGCTCACTCACGGACGCTTCCCTTCCACTCCTCCTGTTCATCCCACCTCTCTCCTCTCTCCTCCTTGCCGTTGCGCCAGCAAACCTCCTACTTCTCTCTCTCTCATCTACAGTCCTTGGCTCAGAAGAAAAACCTTTTCAACATGGTCCATTTCAAGCCGATTTTCACGGTACTGTCGGTCCTACTTACCCTCGGAGTCTCGAATGCTGCGCCGATCAAGAAGCGTGACCTGAATGCATCCGCGCCCCTGGCAAGCGATATCGACGGTGCACATCTCCTGCTCCTGAACGATGTCGATTCCTCGACGGCCAAGAACGCGTTCCTGCTGCTGTCGAAGCCCAGGGGGTACTATGACGGCATGAGTGCCTGCAATACCATGGCCGATGGTATGTGCGTGTTGCGTACATGTGTGCATGTGTGCTTGTGTGCATGTGTGCTTGTGTACTTGTGTGTTGTTGCTATTGTTGTTGTTGTGGAGAAGAAGAACATCAGCGGATCGTGTGCGCCGAAATGGCGATGTATTACTTTGTGAGCACTTGTGTGCCCCCCTTCCCCCATATGTTTCTTCTACGTTTTCTAAGCCGTTTGTTTCTTTTCTTGTCACACCACAGGTGGATACATCTACATTTCTGGTACGGCAGGAGCCTCGGACCTGGTCAAGCTCCTGAACAACAACGCGCCCGCGCAGGCCGAGGTCTCTGGATATTCCCAATTCTGGGTCTATAACGGTATGTTGTCATAGTTGTGTCTGTCATTCCCGCTGCTCTCTCTCTCTATCTCTCCTTCTGAAACCGGTCTTCTCGGCTAATATCTATACCCCCTCCTCCTAGGTGTTCCCGGAATTTTGAACAACTGTCTGGCGGTCAACAAGAACAATGGCAAGACCAACTGGATCCCTTGCAGCACCCAGCTGCCCACGGTCTGCTTCAACAGCGTCATGCGCCGTGTCCTGCTCTTTGACGATACCTCGCGTCAGGTCAAGGTCAATACCCCTGTCGGCCAGATTCAGGGCTGGCGTGATCAGAACGCCTTCCGCTTCTTGGGCATCCCCTATGCTGAGGCGCCCGTGGGTAATCTGCGCTTTGCTGCACCAGTCGCGAAGGCGCCCTTCTCTGGAACCTGGGATGGCCTGCACTACAAGGGTATCTGTCCACAGACGGCCCAGTCTGCAGGATTTATTCCTTTGGTCCTCAGCTACCTCGAGAACGGTGCTAGTGAACAGGAAGATTGCTTGAACCTGAACGTCTATACCCCCAGTCTGAAGGGAGCTGGACAAGCTGGATTACCGGTTATGGTTTATATCCATGGAGGCGGATTCACAACGTATGTGTTTTACAGCAGCTGTCGGATCGATACTTCTTCCGCGTAAACATTTGTGTTGGTAATCCTAAGCTGACAGACATTTTTTAATTTCGAAATAGGTATTCTGGCTCTGTCATCATCTTCGAGCCTGGTAACATGGTCTCTCGCGGCGGCGTTGTCGTTGTCACCATCAACTACCGTCTCGGAATGCTCGGATGGTTCGAGAACACCGCCGCATGGGGACGCTCGACCGTTCCTGGAAACCAGGCCTTCCGCGATCAGATCCTTGCCATGCAATGGGTCAAGAAGAACATTGCCTCGTTCGGCGGTGACCCCAACCGCGTTACCATCTTTGGTGAGAGTGCCGGCGCCACCAGTATTCGTGCCTTCCTCTCTGCTCCCTCAACCTTTGGCCTCTACCAGAGCGTTATCGGAGAGAGTGACCCAATCAACATCCCTTTCAAGACAACCGACAAGGCTGCGTCGATCGCCAGCTACTTCTTGCAGGCATTGAACTGCGCTACTAACGACCTGGCCTGTGCTCGCTCTCGTCCTATCGCTCAGGTCTTGGAAGCCCAGAAGACCGCCAACGACAAGGCTCTTGCTGATGACAAGTGGACTACTTGGGCCCTTGTCGAGAGACCCACCATCGACGGCGACTTGATCCCTGCAGAGTTCTCGGCACTGGTCAAGTCAGGCAAGTACAACACCAAGGCTAACATCATGTGGGGAACCGTCCATGACGAAGCTGGTCTCTTCGTCCCTCAGTACTTCCCCAACCCTGTGCCAGTGTCCAATGCCTCACAGGCACTCCAGCTCTTCTTTGATGCCAACCGTACTGCTATGATCTTGGGATCCCAGTTCTTCCAGATGAGCCCTAATGATTCTGATGCTGTCCGCAATCTCTTCACCCTTGCTGGCACGGAGTATTACTTCCTCTGCCCACTTCGCTACCTCAGTCGTCAGATGACCAAGGTCAAGAAGGTGTACAACTTCCGCTTCAACCGCGGTCGAGACACACCCCTGGTTGGCGATAACTATTGCTCCTCCAGCACTGGACGTGTGTGCCACTCAGCCGATATCCAATCGGTCTTTGCCAGTGGTGCTGCGGTGCCCACCTTCAAGCAGATCGGCGACGACGCCCGATTCGCACGCCAGGTCGTCGATCGGTTCACGACCTTTGCCAAGACTGCGAACCCGAATCCCCAGGCCGGTCAAGTCGGTGTGGAATTGTCCAATCCGGACGTAGCGGGCGTGAACTGGCTGGCTTACGACGACACGAACCCGATCCTGGAGCTGAACGTCCAGAGCTCGATGTCGAGCAATGTCGAAAACGACGTCTGCACATGGATCGATACCGTGTTCCTGTACGAGTTCTGGCGTCAGGTCCCGGGTAACTCGCCTTAAACACGAGACACCGCCTTCTTTATCTTTTTCTATATCTATATATTTATATAGTATTATATATCCCATTATCTACCTTGATTCATTCAAGCAATCCTAGTGGATCTAGTTTGCTCCGCCTTGAAGGCAATAAAAAAAAAAAAAAAGAAAAACGTTGTATTTTTTACTGTAAATGTGATCCTATGCACCGTCAATGACTGTCCTCTAGTAGGAAGAGTACCTCATTCAGTCCGTTGTTTTTTGCTTGTATGTTCTTCCGTCCCGATCTCAGACATCTTCTTTTTGAGTTCCTCATGTTCCTGTTTCAATTGCTCGTGCTGGAGACTCAGATTGTTGTAGGTTGCCTCGGCCACGCTCTTCTCCAGCCGGTACTTCTCGAGCTCGAACTTTGCAGTGACCAAATGGTCAGCATCGCCCGAGAACCGCTCCTTGTCGGCCATGAGCTCCTGGATGTATTTGACCGCCTGTCGGAGGATCGAGCCTTTGTTCTTGTCCGAATTGGGAATCATCTGGGCCAGGTCGTTGATCCCGGCATTGATGGTTTCGCGTCGTCGGCGCTCGACTTCCTTGTGGTTGTCGCGTCGTTGTTTGTGCCATTCTTCTGATCCTGTCACGGGTTTGGCCAGTGCTGGTCCCGCTGCCGCTGCCGGTGCTGATGTTGATGTTGATGGTGGAGAACTAGGTTCGGAGAAGATGAGGTCTTAGAGAGGAACGGCTGCCAAATTCTTTTCTTTTTCTTTTTTCTTTTTTTCTTTTTTCTTTTTTTCTTTTTTAGAACAGCGAGCTCATTGACGCAGCACCGCCTGTCATTATAAAGAGAAAAAATACACAGCTGCTTACGTTGATGCCGCTGCGATGGGGACGGTAGCAAGGGTACTGCTGGCCTCTGCTGCTGCTGCTGCTGCCGCGGCAATATGTTTCAAAACCTGTTGGTGTTGATCATCCTGTTCCTGTGGCTGTTCCTGTTCCTGTTCCTGTCCCTGCTTTGCTTGCTTTTCCTTCTCGAGCTCCTGGCGGTGCTGCTCCGCAAGACGCTCCAGCTGCTCATGGGTGCTTTGGCCCTGTACACTAAAGTGTGTGGACTCGACAGTAGTAGGTCCTGCTGCGGATGTAGGTGTGGCGATTGAGGCGGGGTCATCCGTTGCGGAGGTGACGGCGGAAGTGGAGGCTGCTGTAGAGGCCTCAGTTACAGAGGCAGCGACGGCAGCGGCAGCAGCGGCAACCGCGGCGGCTCGCTGAGCGGCGGTGTCAGCATTATGTTGGGCGAATGCGGCCTGGAAAGATTCTGCAAAGGCCTTGTCGCTCGCTGATCCTGCAGATATTGATTTGGTCTATAGACAAATTGGTTATGGGCGTGCGTTGGGGTCAAAGGTCAAGAGCTCTCTCTCTCTTTTTCTCTCTTTTTCTCTTTTTCTCTCCTGGCAGGCGGCATTCCTTACCAGCGTGTTGAGGGCCTCCTGTACCTCCTTGTTGACGTCCTGGTCGGTTGCCATTATGATCGTGATCCTCTGCCTCTCTATCGCTCCTGTCTATCGCTCGGACTCTGGTGTTTTTCAAAACTGGGGTATCTAGACAGCCAAAAAAAGCACACACACACACACACACATGTGCCGAGAGTTAGAATCTAGAGTGTCGACATGGCGCGCGCTTTGCAGCAATCTGTCCCTGAAGTCGATGACGCGTCCGCTGGTTGTAGATGGAGGAAACAGGAATGATGCAGGTCCTCCCCACGGACGTGGACACTGCATGGATCAGGCGCACTTACAGCGTGTGCTTTTTGGAGTGGGTCGAGGGGGGTCGTTTCCCTCTGCAGCGTGTCGAGTCTGCGACGTTGAGCAAATGCGCAGGGTTGAGGTGAATGGGGAGAGGGAGTGACAGCGAAAGGGAAGAAAGAAAAAAAAAATTCCCGTGACTTCTAAGGAGGGGAGAGAGAGACGTCCGCCCCTCAAAAGCAGGATGTGTGGGCTACGCGACTTGATTGGCTGCAGGAGGAGTCCAAATAAGGCGGGAGGCATGAAGGGGCATCCACACTGCCGGAAGACGCATTGGCTGCCTCTGGAATGGTGCCTCCAGCAGCCTATGCAGCCCACATAGCCAAGCAGCACCGGCAGGCGGCTGGCATGCCTGCATAGAGCGTGCCTTGGCCTATGCTCCTCCAGCCCCACGAGTCCTACTCGCCTGGCTAGACCTGCTTTAATGCCTTAAGAAGAATAATACCAAAGGTGTGAAGAAGAGGCTACGGCCATGGAGCGGGGGTGGTCCTGAGAGTGCAGCAGACGCCTACGACAGGGACGCTTCTCTTCTCTTTCTCTCATTGAATTCCACATTCAACTCATTCCATCCTTCGCTCATTCCTCATTCACAAGACCCCTTCCCAACTCTGCTTAGACCTGTTGGTAACCTCCAAATATATCCATCCATTCCCTCCCTTATATCTTCAAGCATGGAGCTGCCCCATACCGCCACCAACTCTATTAACACCAAGCCATGTGTAGCGCCCCCACAGCACTCTAAAAAAGAGCTATGCGACCACGACTACTCCCAGGACCCTCCCCGGATCCTCTCCAACTACCTGGTCCACGCGCCAAAGCCCTTCAATGCCGAGCCCCATCTCCCTCTGCTCATCAACGCAGGACACATCACACCCACAGACGTGTTCTTCAAACGCAACCATGGCCCCATTCCAGACATCCGGTTGGAGGACCACAGATTGTACATTGGTATCCAGCAATACACCCAGGCCAGTCAAGGCCAACTCGGCCCTGTCGAGTGGAAGGTGCTGAACATGAACGACATCATGACAAAGTGGCCCAAGGCCACCATCGCTGCTTCTCTGCAGGTAAAAGGATTACTTTCATGCTAGTCTATCGTTGTGTTCGTTTTTAACCAGAGGTGACACGAAAAGAAGAAAGGCTTCTTTTCTTTAGCTTGCTGCTCACTGCTCCCTGCCTTTTTTTTTTTCTTTTCCTCATTGCGATAATTGTTAGTGCGCTGGCAATAGAAGAGAGGGATTGGCACAGGTCAAGGAAGTGAAGGGAGTTATCTGGAAGGCGGGTACCATCTCCAATGTAAGTATTGAGCTATGCCGTTTCTTTCGCACGCAGTTTACGTCCATTGTTCCATTCTATTGTGTATCCTTCATTGTTGTGTTCCACGGTGGAAGGAGTATATACAACCTTGGGGCATGGCCATGAGAAGAAGTGGTCTTCATATTTTCTAGTGCTGTCGCCATCTGACGCCATAACTTTATTTCCCTCGCATGACCGCCGACATCCACTACTTTCCCCCCTTCCTTTGTACATCTGGCACTTTTGTGTTTTCTTCCCACCACTGTTTACAGCCTCCTTTTGCTATATTTATCCTCTGTTGGTCAATGAGCCAGCTACTAACCCCTGTTTCCAATTGCGTCTCATAGGCGGTCTGGTCTGGTCCTCGGCTCTGCGACATCCTCCAAAGCGTTGCTGGTGTGCCGGGGGATCTGCACCATGGAATGATCCGCAATTTTCATGTCTCGTTCGAGGCTGATGACCACGTCAAGGAGGATGCATGCTATGGTAGCTCGATCCCTCTTCGAAAGGCTATGTAAGAATGGGTTCCTTGTCTGTGTGGAACTCTTTGTTGCTTTCCATTTCAGCGATACTCTGGAGATGGTCGTGCGTATTGAACGCTCCTTTTTGCGTTCCTTATCCTATTCACTCTAGGGATCCACTTGGCGATGTCATTCTGGCCTATGAGGTATGGCATATTTCAACGCAGGCAGTGCCTGTTGCAATGCTGCACTTTTTTTTCTTATTTTTTTATTTTTCCTGCTGCAAGTGTCGATTCGCCTAAACCAGATGTTGTATTCACTTTCCACGACAGATGAATGGCAAGCTCCTGACGCGCGACCACGGATATCCGCTCCGAGTGATCGTTCCTGGCTATATCGGCGCTCGATCTGTCAAGTTTTTGCAAAAGATTGTCGTTCAGCCACAGGAGTCCAATTCGTTCTTCCAGGTATACATGCCAAGTGAAATAGAAATCCTTCCTTTCTGCGCAGGAAAGGATGAAAGCATAATGCAAAAAAAGGCTGACAACTCGACGTGGTGTAAATATGTAGAAACTCGACTACAAGATCCTTCCTCCATGGGTAAACCTTTTTTTTTTTTAACTGCATTTGTTTTTTTCTGTATTGCACAAGCACAGCAGCGGACTCTAACACACGAGTACCTTTATTTTAGATTGATGCCTCTAATGTGGACTCTGCATGGGACTCTGCGCCGTCGCTGGGAGAGATGAACGTGCAGTGCGTGATCTGCACTCCGATGGACAAGGAAGTCATCCTATCGTCCAAACCCATTACTGTCAAGGGATACGCCATCTCGGGTGGTGGCCGGGCCATCTACAGAGTCGAGTTGTCCGTCGATGGCGGTGCAACATGGGAGCCCGTCGACAAGATCGAACAGACCCCGGATAAGGTCAGCGGAATGTACTGGGCATGGGCGCTGTGGGAGAAGAAGGTGCCAAAGATCTCGACGACGTCCCAGTTGGTTGTTCGAGCATGTAAGTTGCAGGTGTCATTTCGGTCAATGATGCTCGTAGTGTTGACAAAGGCCCTTTGTTAACATGGATTGCGTTTGTTGGATGCTAGATGATTCGAGTGGAAACATGCAGCCAGAGTTCCCGATCTGGAACTACAGAGGTGTGATGAACAATGCCTGGTTCCGTGTCTCGAATGTCACCCAGATGCCTCAATCGTATATGTAGACATGTAGGGCTTCATGAGCGTATAGCGATCGTGAAATAAATCAGTTAATCTACGATGATGTATTGGGTATCGGTTGCGAGCTGCAGCCATGTATTGTGTGCGTGTGCATGGGCGAGGAGGTCCGATGGACTGACGCTGCCTGGATTGACTGGAGCTGGCTGGGTGTTGGTAATGCCGGTTAAGAGGGTTTGCCCATGGTATCAGACATACTGATGATCTCTCTAGGTCCCAGGATTGACATTCCGATCCACAGCGGTGAAGAAGGGAGGGAGGGGGCGCATGCACGATCAACAATGAAGACGTAGAGAGGAATAGACGGATATGAGTGTGAGACATCAAATGAGTTGTAGTTGTAGTCAGCATCGCAGACAACAAAGCCCACGAAGAAGCCTCTCGCCTTTCCTCCCTTCCTTTTCTCATCACATCGTCCCATCGCCCCTCCGACGACCATTCCCTCTTTTCTCCTCATCCCCATCCCCATTCCCATCCTCATCGTTATTGTGTCCGTCGCATCCCCTTCCCCTCTGCTCCTGAACAATGATCTCCTTACCGCGCTCACCCGTGGTCAAGCTGTTCATTGGCCTGGTCGTCATCTTCTGCCTGTTCGCCTTCGGCTTCAGATACCAGCCCTCCTTTGACAGGGAAAACTGGACCAACCCAGGGCGGTCCCGCCAGGGCCAGGACCATTCCCAGGTCGAGAAGCCCAAGGAGAGAGCCCCCCTCAGCTCTTTCAAGGTACGCGGGCGATAAAGACCTCCATACCTACTTGCTTGCCTCCTTGTCCAAGACACTATCCATTAGACATTGGACAGACCAATTGGACACTGTGGATAAAGCATTTTCACAGTCAAGGCAGTTGCACAATCTTGTCGGCATCGATAATGATGGTGGCCCTGGATTTTTTTCTGCCCTGCCACACCATCATCATCACGATAACAACCTTCCCGCTAGCTTTATTTTGAAGCTCTGTATTGGAATCAGGGGGGGAGACATCTTTGGTCTGAGTATTCGGTGCTAACACGTCTTTCCACTGGTCCTCCTAGGTTCCCGAGTCCCTGCACCTCACCCATGACGTCGCCATCCCGCATGACGTCCCGGCCTGGACTCGTGAGGACACAGAGCTGCTGGATACAACCATCGGCTTCAACCTAAAGACCGAGATGCTGAAGGAGGACTACGGGAAGAACGACAACTTGGCGGGCCACCCAGAAAAGATCAACTTTGCAGCGCTGTCCCGGGCAGAACGACTCTATAAAGCTCTCTGGAACCACGTCCTCCCCATCTACCAGGGACTTGCGGGACGTGAGCGTGAGCGTGAGAAGGCTTTGGTCGAGATGGCCAAAACCCGCCCTGAGATTGATTTCTTCCTCCGTTTGGAAAAGAGATTGTTCCCCTGGGTTCACTATGCGCGCCAGTCGTCCTTTTCTCTCTATCGCTCATACAAGGGTCGTGGGCTGGTCTTCTGCGCAGGCAACGGACAGTTTGAATTCGTGGTGACCTCGATCCAGGCGGTTCGCAATCGTCTCAAGTCGAAATTGCCTATTCAGGTCTTCCACATGGGCGATAACGACCTGTCGAGGGAAAGGCAGAAGTACCTGAGAGACATGGCGTCGGACATTGAGATCATTGATGTGACCCAGATCCTGGACAACGACTATATGCAACTCGGAGGATGGTCCATCAAACCATTTGCGATGCTGGCCTCGAGCTTTGAGGAGGTCATGTTTATCGATGCCGACGCTTACTTTTTGCAGGTAATACAGTGTTCGAATCAGGCAGATGCTACTCGATTGGTGCGCACTTTAATCCCGTATAAATGTGTTCTAACCAGAAATGCCTTGATTGGATTGTCATGGATGTGATCAGGACCCCGCTGTGCTTTTCGAGGACCCAGGGTACCTGGCAACTGGAGCGTTATTCTTTTATGATCGAACACTGTTCGCCGGTGGGTCTAAAGGATCGGACTGGCTCAAGTCGGTGACGCCCATCCTCTCGTCCTTTCCCCCAATCTCCCGCATGTTTAGACGGGTTTCGGCCCATGAGCAGGAATCCGGGGTGGTACTAGTCAACAAAAGAACGCGCTTCTTGGGCATACTAGCGACCTGTAAGAGCAACGGCAAGTGGGAGCGTGATCTGGTCAGCTACGAGGTCTTCCATGGCGATAAGGAGACGTTCTGGACAGGATTCGAGATGATTCAGGAGCCCTATGTGTTCATGCGCAACTATGGTGGTGTGATTGGCGAACTTCGACCTGACAATGATCAGTCTGTGTGCGGTGCGCAACTGCATGAGGACTATCGCGGGCAGCCTCTGTGGTGGAACGGTGGATTGTACCGTAACAAGAACGCGGGTAATAACCGGTATCTGACATTCGATTACTGGATGTCGGGTGGCGGACATCAGAAGCACCGCGAGAGGTTCACGAGAGATCCCGAAGGTATGAAGGAGGTCTTGCGGGGACTTGGACTGAATTCGCAGGACCAACTGCAGCTGGAGCCCAAGGACGCCGAGTGGGACTTTGGCGAGAGTTGTCTCGCGGGAGCCAAGGTCAATTCGCTAACGCAGCGGGAGAAGGATTTGGCGAATGGGTATGTGGGAATCGATAGGATTGCGAGGGAGGATGGGCAAAAGATGAAAGCTGGGCAGGCATTGAATCCCAAGGTGCACGACTGGGACAATGCTTAGAAGATTAACAGACCCTCCCTCCCCGGGTTCTTGCGCGACTATTGTATCATATTTATTAAAGAAGAACACAGAAAGGAGGAAAGCGAAATGCGAAGTCGCAAGTCAAGTCTTTTGTGGAATGTCAATCGGGGAAAGAAGAATACTCTTGATGCGAATGGAATAAAAAAGATCGGCCGATCTCCCCCCCCCCTTTCACTGTTCCTTGCTTGCTTTCCCCCCTTCCTCCTGCCTCGCCTTCTTCATATATCCAGGATCACGACATACCATCCTTATCAAACGACAGCAACCATGCTGATCCTCAGAGTAGCAACGGCTTTAGTGGCCGTGCTCACCATACCTTCGAGCTGTATCGATGCCCTTCCATCCTCACCTCAGGGCACTGTGAGCGCCGCGAATCTTGACAGCGATGCTCCTTCAGCCAAGGAACTTGGTGGGGTTCACCTCTTGATGGAAAACGACGTTGACAGCAGCACACCCAAATACCCTGTCATCCTACTGTCCAAGCCGAGAGCTTATAAAGATGCAGAAGCTGCGTGTGCGAGCCTTGGAGAGCGTACGTGTGCTTGCTAATGAAAAAAAGGAAAGAAAGAAAAAAAAAGAAAAAGTCTCTATCGTATGAAACTGAGAAATATCCTATCATTTTAACGAACCTATGCTTCGCAATGCTCGAATATTAGCTTTGGTGGATGCGACGTACGGAAACCTGCCACGACTACTAGACATCACCCCTGTGGCGCAGAGCGAGCTCAAAGGAGCCCGCTACTTCTGGATCAACGCCGACGTGGAATGTACGGCCCTGGACCGCCGATCGGGCGAGACCCGACAGTTTCCCTGTACCTCAGTTCAACTCCCTGCGCTCTGCACCAATTCACTCCCACGGACGACTTTCCTCACTTGGGACAAGTCCCAGCAGATCAAAGTCGAGATACCGAACATGGGCACGTGGCAGGGCTACCGCGATCGCGATCAGTTCCGGTTCCAGGGAATCCCCTTTGCAGAGCCGCCCGTCAAGGGTCTGAGGTTTATGGGGCCGGAGGCCATCAGGGATCTGGGAAAGTTTGAGGGACAGGTGAACGATGCCACGAAGTTTAGTCATGCGTGCATGCAGCTGACGTTCAGCCAACTGGTCAGGAGCATGTCGCCGGTGAGTCTGATCACGGGTGCGGAAGAATCAGAGGATTGTCTGTATCTGAATGTGTACACGCCAAGTTTGAAGGATGGCAAGGTCGGCAAAGGGCTCCCGGTGATGGTCTATGTCCATCCTGGGGGTTTGTGTTTTTATCTGGATCAACGTCCATATTCGAGCCTGGGAATCTGGTCTCGCGGGCGGGCGTTGTGGTGGTAATTATCAGTAAGTTCAGATGCTCTGCTGGCTCTCTGCAAATCGAGGATGGGGGAGGATATCGCTGTTGACCTTTTTCCACGTCTTTTTTGCTATTATTATTATTCGCTACGTAGATTATCGCTTGGGTATTTTCGGCTCGTTCGAGAACACACCGGAGATCCCTCGATCGAAAGCGCCCGGGAACCTGAATTTTCGTGATCAAATCGCCGCACTAGAGTGGGTCCAAAGGAACATTGCGGCCTTTGGAGGCGATCCGAGCCAGGTCACCATCTTTGGTGAGAGTTCCGGTGCTTACTCCATGCGCGCTCTACTTTCGGTCCCGTCGGCGTTTGATCTCTATCGAAACGCCATCTCCCAGTCAGACCAAATGGGCATGTAGGGGCAATCGCATCCTATTCTCCTATTCTCTTTTTTTTTTCATAATTGTCTGGAATGTGGTAATGTGATATTGTGGTACGAAGGCTAATAATAATTACTCTGTCAAATCGAAAACGACTTAGCCCATTCTCGAACGTGGCGGATTCCTCAAGAATGGGGAACCTCACCATGCATTTCCTAAACTGTCAATCCCCGGATTTGGACTGTGCCCTGAGCAAGACCGCCGCTGAAGTTAAATCTGCACAGATCAAGACCATCTCCGTCCTCCTGAACAGCACATCAACTGCATGGTTACCCGACGGCGCCCTCTTCAGGCCCACGGTCGACGGTGACTTGTTCTCCGCTGATTTCGCAGATCTGGTCCGGTCCGGTCAATACAACACCAAGGCCAATATCCTCTGGGGCACCACTCGCGATGAAAGCGCCTCGTTTATTCCGACTTACATTCCACTCCCAGTCCCTGTTTCGGATCTCGACAAGGTCATAGGCAAGGCGCTACGGGAGGAACGTACGCATGCGCTTCTGCAGTCGCCCTATTACCAGTTGAACACCTCAGATCCCGACACGGTCCGCAACGTGCTCTCGAATGCGTCGTCGGATTTCTATTTCAACTGCCCACTCCAGGTCATGAGCCAGGGCATCATCACCCATCGATCCGGACTGTACGTCTACAAGATGAAGCACGGCATACCTTTAGTCCGGAACTATCCACTATTCTGTAGCGGCCGCGTCTGTCATTTTGATGATGTTATCCCCTCCTTTGGGTCCGGAGATGTCTTGCCTCTCAGCGAGCAGACTGGAGACGATGCCCGGTTCGCACGCCAGGTCATCGACAGGTTCACGACATTTGCAAGATATGACGATCCGAACCCCAAGAAGGGCCAGCCCGGTCTCGCGGTCGAAAACCCAGACCTCATGGGTGTCCAGTGGCCAACATACGCAAAGTCGGATCCTGTCCTCCAGATTGAACTGGATAACAGCACGGTCCTCAATGATGTGGAAACATCACGATGTGATTGGATCCAACGACATGTTCCTTACGAGTACCAAGTCCACTCACCAGATGGCCACTTTGTCCCCATCTACCCGTCTCGCCCACGACATAAACCTAGTAGATCTCATAAACCTCGTTTCAAGTAAACGCGCAAAGACTATACACTATATATTGCTAAAACGCACTTTCGCTTCTCAATGGTCTTGCTAGCTTTTTTTTTTTCTTTTTTTTTTTTTGCTCTTTATAATGATGACAGTAACAACCATGTAAATATCGAAAGCCTCGTTTCAATTCAAAACATAACAATCCTGATGCGTCTATCTATTCTTCAACATGTACGCCTTTTTTTTTCTTTTTCTTTTTTTTTTAGTGACCATGACCATCGTCCTGCTCCCGCTGCTCAGGTGCCACCGTGATCATATCATCGATACGCAAGATCGACAGCGCCGTCTCTGTTGCTGAGCGCAGTGCACGGATCTTTGACATGGCCGGCTCAAGAACACCGGCGTGGATGTTATCGCGGACCTCGCCCTTGATCAGATCCAGACCGTACCATTTCAAGCCCTGGCGTGCCTTGTCGTTCTGCGATGCGTTGTGGTAGACACGAAGTGTTGCAACAAGGTCGGTCGAGTCCTTGGCAGCATTGACAGCCAGGGTCTTGGGAATCACAAGCAGAGCACTGGCAAACTCGGCAATCGCCAATTGCTCACGAGAACCCTAATGAATCCGTAAAAAAAAAAAAAAAAAAAAAAAAAAGACGCAGAGAAATGGAAGGGTGTCAGTCTACGCAACACTTGTGCGACAAAAGATGCCAAATAAAAATATAAAAAAAAGCGCAACGCCAGCATACCAAGGTGGTGGCAAAGTTCTCAAGGTAAATGTTCAATGCCGTCTCTACAGCACCGCCTCCAGGAACAACACTTCCACTCTCAAGGGTCCTCTTGATCACGCAAAGCGAATCGTGCAACGAACGCTCCATTTCATCCAGCATGAAATCGTTGGCTCCGCGGAGAATGATCGACGCCGAAGACTGAGCCTTGGTGCCCTTGACCAAGATGCATTCATCGTCAGAGATCCTCTCCTGGACAACCTCCTCTGCATTTCCCAGGTATGAGGCATCATAGGTCTCCTCGCCTTCCAGGTTGGCCAAGGTCGAGATCAGGGTAGCGCCCGTTGCCTTGGCAATGCGACGAAGATCTTCCTTTTTGCAGCGACGAACAGCCATAGCACCAGCCTCAACAAACAGCTTCAAGCACATGTCGTCGATTCCCTTGGTCGTCAAAATCACGTTGGCTCCAGTGGCGAGAATTTTTTTGATGCGCTCCGTAGTGATGTCGCTTTCCCTATGTGCCATTTTCATGGTGTTATGAAAACTTATTAATGTCCATTCCCAAAACAATCTAATCATGGTTGATTATCAAGAGTCGAATATTCCAACATTGGTTACCTCTTGCGGATATCCTCCAGCTTGTCTGGGTCGTCGACCATGATGTGTACTCCCAGGTTCATGCGGACCTTCTGGAGGTTGATATCCAAGCATGCGATCTTGGCGTTCGTGATCTTGGTTTTCATAGCCTGACTGGCGACCGTACAGTTGAGAGCGTATCCCTTGACGAGCATCGACTCGGTGGCGCTGCGTCCATGAGCCTTCAAGATGTTGACAGCCTTGACGGGATATTTATGTTCGCCACGGCTGTTAGTCGACTTGACAGCGAGCATGGCATCAACAGCCATGTTCGAAAAGAACTCATCGTACCTAAACAAAATCGTTCATTGCGAGGCGCAGTAGAGCGAGTACAATCAATGTGCTGAAGTGATTCACTCCCTGTTCCTTATCGTCAAATTCTCCATATGTAGCCATGGAAAGCGCTGCATGCGAATCCTGTCCATCCAGTTGTCGACACTAAACTTACGATCCAATAATCTTGCTAGACATGCTAGTCTTAGCTGCGTTAATAAGGCAATCACGTCCGAGTGCCTCAACCTTGATCGACATCTGATCCGCAATGAACTTGCAGGCTTCCTTTGAGGCGAGTCTGTATCCGGTGATGATGGTGGTGGGATGGATCTTGTTCTTGACGAGCTCGTTGGCACGCTTCAAGAGCTCTGCGGCGATAATGACAACTGAGGTCGTTCCATCACCGACTTCCTTGTCCTGCTGCTGGGCCAGTTCCACAAGGATCTTTCCTGCCGGGTGCTCGACCTCCAACATGTTAAGGATGGTGGCGCCGTCGTTGGTGATTGTAACATCCTAAGATGAGATGGAACGCGTACGTGAGCACAGGAACAAAGAAATAGACGCGGAGAGTATATTCAGTACTCTGACCACCGATATTCCTGAGGACAACTGATCCGCAGACATTGTAGGGAGATGCTTACTCCAATTTCGTTGACGATCATCTTGTCAAGACCAACAGGTCCCAGAGATGACTTGACGATGTTGGCGATCGAGGATGCCGCAAGGACTAGTTTCAAGTAGACGAGACGTATCTTCAGCGATTTGATTCGTTCCTTGCATGATTCTTATAGCATAGCGAAGGCCTTTTTTTTTTTTTGGCGATGCGCCTCAGGTCCATCAATTGCAAATTCGTCTGGTTCTGTCGTAGAGTGCGTACCATTCTGATCCCTGATGTTCTGTCCGCTGGTGCGCTCTCCTCCCAGAAACAGGCTGGTGCTCTGCTGTGAAGTATACATTGGTGGCGAGTCTGTAGAGTGGACGGGGGTGTGTTGGATGGAGAAGAAGGAGTGAGAGAATGAAGGAGGATGGGGATGGTTGCGGACCGTGAACGAACGTCTTGCAAGCTGAGTTTCCAAGGAACAGAGAAGAAGCATTTCTCGATTTATTAAGGGCCACTGCAGTCTACGAATTTAGGACGTGTCGTGTTTGTCGCGTCTCTCAAGTCGCGTTTCAACTCCGCTGCTGCCTCTGCAACGGGTGAGTTCCGCTCATGATTATTGTAGCTTGTGTGGTTACCTGCTACCAATTTGAACGCCAAAAACTGGCCTGTTATAGGCTGAGTCCGTACACGAGGACGGATGAAAATACGACCTTATGGATCGAACGGTAGTACGCATGTTGTCCACCTTTGGATAATCCAATAGATCAAAGGATTTGTCTCCACGGAATCACCACCCAGTCCGCCTTCGTAGGCGTAGCTGCAGTAAGCAAGCTCCCAGAGATTTCAGCAGTAATCAGCCTGAGAGGAACCACAATTTTGTCTATCCAAATAAAAGAAATAGAAATAAAAAAAGCAAGGCGTACATTGTTGATGTGGAGTGCATGTAGGTGTTGGCCGTGTGATCGACCATCCGTGCTCTTTCATGTCGCCTGTGTCTTAAACGTGCGTGTTTTGTGTGTCGTTCATGCGTGAGCTGCTTTGGTCTCTGTTCTACTCGCCTCTGCATGTGCAAACAATGCAGATAGCACTGGTGGCTGTCAATGGACCGAGGAGTCAATCGGTGGAGTTACTAAAGAATATGGAAACCACATCTTTGTTGGTCATCCGCTTTGCCTCGGCCTGCCTGGTTTTTTTACTTTGATTAAAGAAAAAAATAATTAATTAGAAAAGGGGGGTGTTGACCACGAATTGAAGAGTCGTGATCACGACTGCAGCCTGTGGGTATAACTTGCTTTGCTGCCAACAGGCAGGAGCCAGCACCACGTTTTCTTCTTTAATTCTCTGCCTTTTGTTCTCCCATGTTTTTCTGCTGCACACCGGCATTCCTGATCTTTATGATCTGATTCTACTCGCTGGCGAACACTTTCTTCACATTTTTCAAACAATAAGAGTTCATACCGCCGAATTCCCTTGTCATAAAAGACCTCACTGCGCTCATTTGTCCCGTCGTCTTTGTTCGCGACTCAGTAGCAACCGATCCCCCAGAACACCCATCGTAGCCAGAATCTTGCAGCATGGACTTTCTCGAGCAGAATTCATCGGGAAATATGGCAACCATAATCACGACAGGTACAACTAGTTGCGCACTCCTCCAAAAAAGAAGCCTGCATTATCGCACTACGCTTACAGATTTATTTATTTCTTGCATACACTGTCCTCAGGGGACGATTCTTCAAGACCTAAATGGGGATGCTTTCAATCGACTGCAGCTCTCCCTCATGCCGGGTCATGCAATTCCTTCCCCGACCTAGTTAATGAACCCAACACCAGTCCTCTAAACTACGCAAATCTTTGGGAGATCCAGCTTGAGCTCGGCGAAATCCCAGATATGATGTCCAACAACCTGCTTGAGCCCTGCTCTCCCTTGTACTTTGCTCGGGGCGAATCCCGATCGTCTTTTGCCTCATCAAGTAAGGATTACTGCCTCGATCGAGATGTATTGGAAGATGAACAGGAGGAGTACGACGTGGAAGAGGAGGACGGAGTACTCATGCTACATCTAGGTGAGGTTAGCTGCGAGATAGAGCCTCCTATGCAAACTGAGGATATTCTGCCATCCATGTCCTTTCTCGATCTCATGGACATTTTGGGTGCAGGGGTTGGTCAAGCAGAAGACGGAAACGGAGAGGAAGACGAAGAGGAAGAGGACGAGCTGGAAAGGAAGGACTGGAACACAGCCGTGATTCATCCTGTCTATGGAATGCTGAGAAACCCTCTCGAGGAGCAAGGGGGCGAGTCTCGCCACGACCGCAAGGACAGTGGTGTCTTTGTGCATAGTGGAGGGGAGGGATACATCATCGAACCAATGGCCGTACCTGAGGCTGATCAGAGGCCTTTTCCCAATGCGGTTGGTTACAAGGATGCAGGCCGAGAGGGTGTTGTCTATAGCGCAGCATATTCATCGCTTCAGCGTATCGCCTCCAGCTTCTCTTGAATCATTTGCTTCCTTCATTAAGGCCAGCCAGTACTGGCTGCCGTTTATTGTACATAATCCGTAAATACCAATATATTAATTGATAGAAAAAAAAAAAAAAAAAGGCGTGTGAGAAAGGCTTGGCTACCTCTCGATATAGAAAAAAGACATCACACAATCATATACCGAGTAAGAAGAGCATCGATCTGGTCTAGAAATGCCGCTAGGAATCTCACAACCAACAACGAGCACACTGTACTCAAGAGAACATTTGTTATATAACATTTATTTATAATAAAAATTTTTAATTTTTTATAATTATGGGAGCCAGTCAATAAGCCGTCACTTTGGCTAATATTTGACCTCATTTCGGTGGCCCACTTTCACTAGCCAGTCGAGCCAGGTAGTCTTCCCATAGTTCAGGCTGTTGTCTCTTTGATTGGCCATGTTTCTCACTCATTAAGTTTTTTTTTTTTTTTTTGGCGCCAATCTATCGAGCGTCATATTGCGGTCCCCCCGCCAAATGCCCTGGTTCTGGTTCCGGTTCATGTTCTAACTCTCGCAGATCTTGTCTCTACTGCCAACTGAATCCTTCCTCCCTCTTGCTTGACATTCCATCGGACGCCTTTTCTCATTCACTCATTCGCATCCTATTCGAGCCCCTCCACTTCTACCCCGCACCTCGCCCTCTTGCCAACACCCTACCTCGACGCCAAACGAAATTCGACTCACACCTCCTCATTCCACAGAGTATACCTCGCTTTTTTCCTCCATCGCTTCAGATCTCTCACAGGCTCTTCTGACTCCCACTCGATCCTTTGCATTCTTTGACCTGGCCTACACTCCTCCTTCATTCGCAACAATAAGAAAAGGAACTGAGGCTGACGGGGCTCTTTCTTGGTAAGTCGCCATACCAATTCGTCTCTTAGTCTATTTCAAATCACCCAATAATCCCAGTAATTTACCCATCGTACGATCATAACTCCCCTCCCCCTCCCTCCTCCTCCTCCTCCTCCTCTTGCTACCCGCTGCCAGTATAAGCATTATGACCACAGGGACACCACTAAACAGAGGGTCATGGTGATGGTTGGAAAGCAATTGAAAGCGCCATGCACATGGCCCATTTTCTTTCATCTCCGATAATTATTTGTTTACCCCTGGCATGAGATGCGTCAGACATCATGATAATGCGCTTTGCTCCCCTCCTCGACCGGCTGCATTTAATTTTCGGTGATTTATTTTCATGGGCCACAATATATTACTCTGAACACCAATTTCACGCTAAGGCTTCTTCATTTATTGACCTGCAGATGCAGATACCCTTTCCCATCACTTTGTCATCGCCCCTGCCTATCCCACCAAAAACCATCTACACCAGACACATGCAGGCGCCAGGGCGGATCACCGCTGCCTCATGCAATCCTACATGACGTTCCCTCCCTCTATTCCCTCTCGCAATTCCACTCATACAGTTTCGTGTCCTCGTGATGTTCCTTACCATTATTGCACCCTTTTTCGGATCCCGTTTATTCTCGATGATACAGCACCGGTCCCTGCTTTCGTCAGTCTTTCTTTTCTCTCTTTCGTTGATCTATTCTTGGCCGATTTGACGCACGAGCATACCAGGTCTCGACCGTTACTTTTCCTTTTTTTTTTCTGATATCTGCATTGGGCCTGCGTTTGACTATCATTGTCGCTCCTGAAGTCGAAGCATAGAAGACCCATTTGAATATGAGTATGGCCCTTCTTTTATTTTACTTTTTCTCCTGGAAAAATAAATAAATCACAAGGGCGACTTCTGTCGCACAGACATGAAACGCGGGAGGTCGTTGGGTGTGCTTATCCGTCGCGCTGGGGTTGGGCAGGCACGCCTAGTCTGATATTCGATTCATTACTCGCGCCCTCCTTGCCTCTATTTGGTTGCATCGCCCCATTGTCTCTTGTATCCTCAATTGTCTGGCTTACCTGACACTTGAACCCTCCCCATAAGCGCTGCCTGCGATTGCTTACTATGGCCAATCGTCAAACGCCCCTCTTTTTGTTCTTTTCGACCACCTCATTTTCCTTTCACCAGTGGTTAAAATATGCTTTCAAACACGGCAGCGTGGGCCGAGCGGAATTATCTTACTTTGGATGCTGGTTAATTGCTTTCTACTCCGTCCTGCATTTTTCCTTGCAGTTGTTACTTGTCATTTTGTCGTGTCTTCGGGGGCTCTCATTTTTTTTTAATTTGGATACTGAATCCTGAGCGTGGAGCAGCGCACAATACGGTATTTTTAATACAACAGAATGATCATCATTTGTTATCGATGGGATGGGTACGATGGATAGGATGGGGGTGGGGATGGATGGCTCTGCCCTTGCATGGTATCTGTATAAAGTATAAGCCCAATTCATGAATTCGCTACCCAAACTGCCCAGCTTCTCCTCAAAGCCCTCAGCAGATCATCTCTGACACGCTGTGGGGCTGAAGAGCAGGGTGAGGAGAGCGTGCATGTAACAGCCGGCACACAGACTCACAGCACTGGCATCAGCAAATAATAATAATAATAATAACAATAATAATAACAAGATCGAACTAAAAGCTCGATCCCTTCGACCTCCTGTCGTGTTTGATTGCTTTAATGTTATTGTTTGATTTGTTTGATTGTTTATATTGCTTATTGTTTTTTTTTTATACTTCGCTGTCTTTTTGCTTTGCATTTGTAACGAGTTTGTCCCTGATCGCAGTGGTGCATCTCAGCCCCATATAAAAGATCCAGGACAGCCTTTCCCTCTCAGCGCGTCCTTTTGTCTTCTCTCTTTCTCTATCTATCTCTCACTCAGACATTTCTAACAATCTGCTGCTTTGTTTCGTCTGTCTTGTCTACACAGGGTAGTTTACCGTAGCACCACTCACACCAGTGTTGTTTCTCAGGCACCGCACACTCATCCTCCACCCTTCCTCACACACTCACATCCGCAACCATGCCGTCCCACAGCCTCTATGCACCCTCAAATGAACCACTCCAGACCTCATATCTCCTCTCCTCCACATCATCCTCATCATCCTCAACACCTTCACCACTACACCGGCAGATGCTTGTAAAGGAAATGAAAAAGACTAGGAATTCGAAACAGCTTTCCTTGAAGATGTCGCCTTCCCCTGGCAACATCACCATCGACGACAGCACCAGCAAGAGCGCTAATTTCCCCATGAACATCGCCCCGTCGCCTTCATTTCCTCCCTCGTCCACCTCATTATCTTCTCGACGCCGTTTCACACCAGCACCGCTGGCATCCGCATCCTTGCACACCCCTTCATCTTCTTCGTCAGTCTCCGTCTCGGCATCAACATCAAAAAGAAAGAGTCAACTCTTGCTCGACAATGCCCTTCCCACTCCAAGGCTACCGCTGCCAACCACAACCAGCCATCGCTCCATTTCAGCCTATTTCTCCGACTACAGTCTGGAGTGCGGTGCTGCCTCACCCTACACATCAGAACCCGTTTGTGTACTCCCAAACCTCTATCTCGGCGCAGAACACAATGCCACAGATATCAGGACACTTCAGCGGCTGGGCATCACCTTTGTCCTGAATGTGGCAATCGAAATCGCACAGGAGAACTCAGAGTCGAAGCCTTACTCAACAACGTCAAAGATTAGCGAGGACGGAGCTGTACGCGGTAGTGTGCATTTCAAGAGTCTTGCCTGGACACATCATCAAAAAAGCCTGCTGCGCGACTTTCCGGCAGCGTTCGCACTCATTGATGAAGCAATTGCCTGCAACAATGGCAAGGGCAAGGCGCTGGTTCACTGTCAGCTGGGAGTGTCGCGTTCGGCCAGTCTGGTCATTGCCTATGTGATGAGGTCGCTAGGCATGGGTCTGACTGAGGCATACGACTTTGTGAAGCAGCGGTCGGGAGTGATCTCGCCCAACATGAGCCTTATGTACCAGCTGGCTGAATACGAGAAGAGTCTCAAGAACCCTGGAGTCGTCACAGTAACGACGCCCGGTTCACCATCGGACTCTACATCAGCACGGAGCAGGAACTCGTGGAGCTCCCAGCTGGACGACGACGAACCACCATACCCATTCTTGGCTGCGTTCTCCGATACCGCATCCTTCCCACCCAGTCCAAGCCCATCGAGGTCGCTGCCCATGTTCGACGACTGCATACCGCCATCGACACCAGTCCGACAAGAGTTCTGCAAACGACCTCTGACTCCAGAAAATGGTGTGGACCATCCCAACACAAAGCCCTTCCAGAGCTCGAGCAGGCTGGCCAATCCAAGGTCGTTCCTGTCTCAGCGACGAAACCAGGGCTCCAGACCCGCACCGCGGTCTCCCATGGACCTGTCTCGATCGACCTATCAACGCTCCCCTCTGGCCGCCTCCGCCAGCACCGAGTCCCTGACGCCGACGGAAGAATCCATGTCGCCCAAGACACCAACGGCGGAGAGTTTTGCGTCCCTCCGCCTGGACATGTCGTCGTACGACGTGGAGATGGTACCTCCGACGCCCTTGTTTCAGTCCTCCTTCACGATCCCGCCTCTGTCGTCGTCCTCGTCCTCGTCCTCTGCCTCGTCCGTGTCTTCGTTCGAGGGCTGCTCCCGGCCATCGATCTCTTCCACATCGTCCTCATCTTCGTCATACTTTACGGCCTGTGACGATGAGGATGGGTTGGTGACAAACGGCACTGCAATTTCTTCACCTCGTAATTCTGGAACATGGTCGCTCCTGCCATCGACTTTGATGTTGTCCTCGTCCGAGGCCGCCGTGGTTGTGAACCATGAAGACCATGAGCCAAGTCATCATCATCAGCAGCAGCAAGGACATTGTGAGCAGTCAGACTCAAAGAAGAAGAAGAGGCCCAATCCTCTCTGGTCCGGACTCAAGGCCCTCCAGGCCGTGACCGAACCACTGGCGGGGAAATCGGCAGAGACTAAGACCAAAACCACGACGACTACTGTCGCGACTGCGGTTCCAACATCGACATCGACGACACCTTCGCTCCCGATGATCAGTACAGGTGCGGCGGGGTTGTCAAAGACGGCCAAGCTACCGGACTTTATCTTTTCTCCACGATCTTACACCCCTACTCACCCCGAGACGCGTTCTTTCGGAGAGTTTTATCAGGTGCTTTGTCTGGAGAGTTAACTAATGAACAGAAACACACACAAACAACAGCAACAACAGCAACAACAGAAAAAAACAAAAACATCCAACATCCAACATCCACACACATACACTGCAACCAGCAGTATGACTTTTAACATACCAATATCCACAGCACTACTACTGCTACTACTACTACCATTACTATTACCACTACCACCACCACTACCACTATCACCATTAGCACTTACTAGCAAAGAAACAAAAACCTAATATGTATATAGAAACCTCTACTGCCCCTGACTATAATGACCTCCCCCTTTTTACGACAACAGCTGCCTCGCAAGCCAAAATAAAAATAAATATATTAAAAAAAAAACTAGTGGCTCCATTAGACTAGCATCATAGCTTTTAGCAATATACATAAACAAGCACTGCTTTTTTAAAAAAAACGGTGATTACAACGACAATTACAACAACATCAACGACGACGACAATATGTGCGTAATAAATGAACTTGGAAAACCCTCTCTCACATTGTTGTTTTTTCTCTATCGTTGTTCGACGGCATCATGTCAGTCAGAGATGGGGAGGGGGGGGGGGGGGGCTTCGGGGAAGAGTTTTTTTGCTAAATTGCTTTCAAGATTAGGAAAGGCACATGTAAAAAAGACTTTCTTTGTTTAATCTCATTTATTATGATCGGATGCGTCCGAGGAGCAACGGTTTGTATGTACAAATGGGCTAGTTTGACTAAACTGTAAAAAAAAAAAAAAAAAAAAAAAAAAAAAAAAGTGCGGGAAAACCAAAGAAGAACAAAGACGTTTTTGTTTTTTTTTTCTCTTTGTAACTGGGGTGGAGTGGAGTGGGGATGGTATATTGGAGAGTTATTCGTTTGTCTATATATACAGTATCTGCCAAGAAAGGGATCACACATCCAAGGAGAAGAATAAAGATCACAAGGAAAAGAGAAAAAGAAAGAAAGAGAGAGAGTATGTGTATGTATATGTGTATGTGCGAGGAGTATTCAAAGGTGCTGGATGTGCTGCTGGAAGTGTTGTTGGTGCGACGAAAACGAGTCGCTCATGTCCTCATCGTCCTCATCCTCCTCGTTGCTGCTGCCCATTGTGTTACTGTTGTTGCCCTGGCTCATCATCATATTACCGCCCATGGCTCCGTTACTGTTTCCACTGGCAAACTCGTTGCCTGAGGCAACAAAGGGCACCAAGGGCGAGAACGTCGGCATTTGCACTCCACTCTGAGCCGCCAATGTCTCGAGGATCTGGAGTCGTCGCCATACTTCCTGGTTCTCGTTGTGGATGGACTTCATGAGCTCGCGTGTCTGGTCGATCTCCTGAACCTTCTGCTCGAGCTCCTTGATGTAGGCCTTGCGACGGTTGCGGAACGTGCGTTGGGCAGCACGGTTCTGGGCAGCACGGCGGGGGTGAGTGATGTTACCGGTTTGTCCGGATGCACGAGACGCTTGGGATTCAGTCGTGGTCGAGGTTTCGGGCTGTTCGGAAGATTCGCGAGATTCAGGGGCAGTGGACTTCTTGATCGTCTTGCGAATGGCGCGAGTGGTGGTGGCGGTAGTGGCGGTTTTGGTCTCGGTGGTGGCGGAGGAAATCATGTCGGCAGCGGAAGGGGTCGAGGAGATGGAGGAAGAGGAAGAAGAAAGAGTGGATTTGGTGACCTTGGTCGATCGGGTGGCCTTGACTTTATCCAGGCGTGAGCTGGTCGAGAGCCTGCTCGATGCTGCCGCGGAGGATTTCTTTGTGGGAGGGGGTGTCACAAGGGCATTCTCAGGGACTGCAACAGCGGCGGTGGATGCCGAAGTCGACGCGGACGAGGACGGGACCGGCTCGAGGGTGAGCTGTGGGGAAGTCTGTCTTGGGATCTGCTGTCCTGATTCCTCACGCTTGCGCTTAGGCGCTGCTGGGTGTGCTGCGGGCGAGTAGGTGTTGAGTCGTTGGAAGGAATGGGAGGGGACATTATGGATATCATCCTGTACAAGGGAGGAGGGGTGGAAGAACGGTGCGGAGGTCGCGATGGCGGAGGGGGCAAAGAGACTGGAGCTCGAGGTCGCAGAGCCCATTGTGGACATCATTGAGGAGGTAGCGGGAATAGACATGGATGTGACAGTCGAATGACTGGGTGTGGTGTCGTACATCATTTGCTGTTGCTGCTGGAAATGCAGTCTGAGTTGTTGGGCGTGCTGCTGTTGCTGCTGATTATGTTGCTGGCGCTGCTGGATGAGCGAGACATCTGTGTAGGGAGACCGTTGAGAGGGGAAGATGTGGTGCTGTTGTTGGTCTTGTGCTGGGATATCAAAGGAAGAGGGGAAAAGAAGGTAGTCCAGTGTGTTCTGCGATTGGACCTCCTCGCTCTTGATGATGGGGTATGGTGGTGAGGACGGTGCGCTATGGGTTGTCATTGTGGGCATGGATGTGGCGACTGGGAACTGGAGCTGGTGCTGGCGCTGGTTGTGGTGCTGTTGCTGTGGGTGATAGGACGGTGCCATGATGTAGTCCTGGACGGGCGACGTTGATGCGGAGCCGATGTAGGACTCCATTTGGTCTGAACTAATGAGCTTGGGCATATTATGGTCGTCGAGCATCGCCGGTGCGACGTTGAAGAAGTCGTTGCTGTTTGGGAACACCATTAGGCTCTGCAGCATGGTTTTCTGATTCTTTTTCAGGCCGGGTATGGTTGAAGACGTGGGTATTGGCTAGAAGAGTGAAGGAAGGAGCGGGGGAAGGGGCGGGTGAGTAGGCGATTAGGAGTGTGCAGAGAAGTGTGCACAGCTGTGCTGGTTACATGTCCCGCTATTGGGTGACTGATTGGAGGAAGTGTGGGGAAATGAGACTGTTCAGGGTACAGAGGGTCCGGCAGAGTGGGAGGCCGCCGAGTGCGTACCTTGACTTGGTTAGCTTGATTAACTGGAGTTGGCGGGGGTTTGTGAGAGTGAGGGAGTGCGTTCGGATGTTCTGTTTCTGGCTTCGTTGCTTGGGCAAGGAATGTTTGCTGAGGTATGAAAAACTGAGAGGTTGAGTGAGGATGAGAGGGAAGTCGAAAAAAACAACGGGCATTGAACGGCAAGGGCCTTGAATTTATATTTTCTGTGGTCTGCTCGCTGTAATGCTTTTTTCTTCTTGTTTGTTTTTGCTGTTTAGTGCAAGATGTCAGAATGCATATGCAGCTATTCAATCGCTGAATACACTTCTGACAAGGAATAAAGTAATTATAGACAAGGAGATACAATAAAATGACGCACATAGGAAAGAAAGCGAGTCGATTGGTGTAGAAACCCGACCACTGTATTGCAGTCCAAAAATTTTTCTCAATACCCCTCCTATTCATTCGTTCCTTGTGCTCTCCCACTTCAAAATTGAGTTCAATTCAGTCGAATCGGGACAACCTTATTCGCACTCAACTCTCAAAAAAATATGTTCGTCTCTGCGATGTATCGTCCGCATATTCCGCCTATGGACATTGGGCCCACCATCTGCACCTGCCCCTCGGTGGCTGCATTGCATTGTCCATCTGCCTAGAGCCGATTTGAACGGATCGATCACAGGGCAATGCAAGGCACTCAGCCAGCCAGTCTCGTCTGTTCCGCCCCCTACATGTGCATTCCAGGTCCTGAAAACCAAAGGAAATACAGGGCCGCTGTGGCCATACCAACTGATCGCCCTCGTCCTCGTCCACGTCCTCACCGTCTCCTGGAACACGAGCTGTGTTTGTGTCTGCAGATCGAAATCTCCGAGGCAATACTCGATCAACCATGCGCATCCCTCTCGTAACACAGATCCTATCCCTTCGCCTTTGTAGTTGTGGTGCACTCGTTTTGTCAGCCCATGATCCTTTTACAGTTGAACGTCCATTAGCTTCCCCCTCCCCCCTCCCCTACCATGTCGCACACAGGCACAGCATCATGTTCCATGTAGGGAGTAACCAAGCCCGAGGGGGCAGTCAAGAATCCTTCCTAGTCCTCGTCGTGTTAAAGACCTCATTCCCACTCTTCACTAGGATTCCAACCTCGCTGACGAGCAAAGTGCCTGTCCGTTGCATGTGCCTATGCACCCATAATTCTGCACATGCAGACAATGAATGCCAAGACGTTCAGGTGCATGAAGAGTGCCTCAAGATGGCCGCAGCGAATTGGACATCTTTTTTAAGTTATTCCAATAGCCCAAAGCAGCCAAATTAGCATCTTTGGCCTTCCTTCTCCCCGATTTCGTTCTCCCTCCATTCCTTCCTCCATGCAATGAATTATACGGGAAGGAGGCGGGCAAATCCTCACATGCAGATCCATTACTACTTACCCTAGAACGTCAGAAATGGACCAATCAGAAGCGACGGCAATACTCGCTGTGTACTTCCTTTACACATCCTTCAGTTCTACTGGTCAATGCGCAGTTCATGTTTCATAGCGATGATAGAAGGCACCACAAAGGATTCCGTCTGCTGTTGTGGCTGTCCCTTAATTGTCCTGGAATCTTGATGCAGGAATCGAGGACGGAAAGGAAGATGAAGAGAGAGAGAGAGAGTAGCACACTACGATCAGGAAAAAAAAAATCAAAAGGAGAGAGGGAGACAGGGGAGGAGAAAGAAGAAACGAGCTAAAGGATGGGGATGCCAACGGGCATTTTCCAGGGAGAGAAAGCGTAGTAAGAGAACAACGACTTGATCCCGTTCATGCAACCTCCTGTCTGTCCTTTTTCATTTCTCTACCATGAAGCCTTGTATGTTTCTGAGAATTATGCCAGGTGGACTAGTAAGAAACATCGACATGGTCGATTTCTGCATAAACCTCAACAGCGGACGGCTGTCGTGCTTACCACGTTTTCTTTTCTTCTCCTCCCATCTCCTTGCATAACAGAGAGTGGGGTATGGATGATCTTACTGCCGCCGACATGAGTACGCCTTGAGATCAAAAGGAGGGAAAGACATTTGACCAGAGCCACCCTCGATCCGCGGAAGGAATAGCGTGAGGTGTTGTCTGTAGCTTTGATTGATTACCAGATCTAGTCATACGGCCTAGTCGAAGTATGTGCAGCTCGCAGAAGCCTCACACATGGCGACAAATGGTGCATATGTACTTGACGTCGTGGAACGACATGGACTTTTGCGCGAACGAATGATTGGACCCTGGTGAACAACATCTCCGAGAGACAGAGATGGATACTGCAACTGGAGCGCGTGAATGGATCACGATGGACAACGACTAGTGAATGAACTACCAGGTCTAATTTGAAGCAGCCAATGGCGAACCGCAAACAAAATGGCGGCTAGAATGGTGGAAGAGGAGAAAAGAAAAAAAAGTCCCGCGGAGGAGATCGTTCTGTCAATGCGAGGAAAGAAGGAACTGAGGCGCGCACTTTTTTTTCTTACCGAGAGAGGACCCACTGACCATTGCCTTAATAATTATTCAGACTCTGGGAGAGGGGAAATGGCCTTCTGTTGTGTTTGTGGTCTTGCATGCATCTGGTTTGTTTGATGGTTTCGATACATTCCTCACTATTCATTCTTTTTCGTACCACCAACTCTTCCACATTGTTTGTTCCGTTTGAGGTACGTCGTACAAATAGAAAACAGTAATGTAGCGAAATGCCGATGCAAATCCGGCAAAAATTTTTTTTTTGCGGTCCGACCATGGGTGGTTCTTTTAGAAGCGGATCCGTTTGTTGATGCCAATTACGCCTCCCTTTCTTCACTCTTGCAACTCGATCGGTTGTTATTTTAGTCTACCGCGCCTGCGGTATGTTTATATATGTCTGCGTGATTACTCGCCCACTGTTCCCCCGGCTTACAGTGGCTCGACCTTTTCATAGTTTTGGACTTTCGGTGCAGACGGTAAAGAAAGCTAGTTTTAAGCTAGACCTCGTGTCAGTGGGTTTGCCGCTAAATTAGGACGAATCACAGTATGAATCGCCGTTTCGTTTCGGGTGTGGCTGAAAACAAGCTCCCTCCCTCCCCAGGTCGCACAGCTCCAGGTCTTCCGCAAAAGTCTACAACAACGAACCAAAAAAACGTGCTTTACCAAGAATCGCCTAGATCAAAATTTTTCATACTCTCCTTTCCATCTCACATCTCTTTTTCTATTAGTTGCCTAGACTCGATCGCCATATCGCAGTGGTCCTTCCCCCCTCGTGCTAATACCAAGAGCAGGGTCTTCTGGTTACTTTTAGCCCGATGAGCGACAGCAAAACGAGGACCCTACTGTCGTCAAGACAAACAGCGACTAGCTCGTGAACATGTCGAGTTCTCCTTGGTACAGTTTTGTCCGCAACCTGTTTTTCCTTCGTTCTGCGTTTCAGTCTGTGTTTCTCCTCCTTTTGCTTAATCGGATGTGATCTTTATAGATCGGGCTGTATGAGGGTAAACGTTTTTTCCTCGGTGGAACCAAGAGTCAAGGGAAACAGCTGCGGGAACAGATCCTCGGAGTTTTCGTCCTTCAATGGGTCTGTGTGGACAAATGCAGAGTCAATAATACGCTTAAGAAAGAGACAGTAAATAGAGGGTGGAATGCACACCCCCCGTTACTCTAACGGGTGCAGGGCTATTGAGAGCGAAATTTGTAAGCTGCAAAGGAGATCTGTGTGCACCCTTCCAGCAATTGGCCTGGCTCGCTTGGCTCTTTGTGTTCTTCAGACGCTCAGCTGCTTCTTGCTGCAATTGTCATTTCCATAATGGGTTAGCGCACATGCATGAAGCCGTCCATGACGTCGGTATCTTAATACCAAGGCGCGGAGGGCGGTGTGTCCCCTAAAAATAGGGAGGCATTTCGGCCCACGCTATCCGCACTGGGATGTTTGTTTGTTTCCATTTGCTGTGTCATGCAGTAAGAGAAAAATTTTCTTTGGAGTACTGGACTGGACGGGAAGGACGGAAAATTGAGTTTATGCTTTGACCCCTCCCCTCAATTCAATGCCAGCCCAGCCATGTATTGTAAAAAAAAAATTTGTCCCCCAAACCACAAGGCTAGTCTAGGTGGCATCGCGCTCCGGCAGACATCCATGCAGCAATGGCTACCAATTCCGCCCAATTGCCTGGATCCACAGACAGGCCATCTCTTTCAAAGCGAAGGAAAAAAAACCACTCTTCATAAAAAACGGCGCGAGTAGACGGATGTTTTCCCTCTTGCATTCTTACACTTTGTATTCTCTCCCACATCCCCCCTCACCATCTCTCTATATCAAATTAGGCTACACTACAGGAGCCGATCTGAATCTATCTGCGTAGCTTTGCGCGCGAACACGATTTCGTTCTCCAGGTGACATCAGAACACAGTAACGCTGAGCCATGCGTGGACCCTTTAACGCATCATTATGGAGCTCTTAAAACGAACGATGTCATCATACTTAACCGCGCATGGTACGAATGAACCCTGATGGTTAATAGAGAGCCCTCCAGGAGGCGCTTTGAATTTTGGATTGGAAACAAGGGCAGCGAGATGGTATACGCAAATATTCGCATGATCTTAAAGCACCTCCTTAAAGGTTCGGACAATGACGACGTTGCTTTGGCTGCAGACACTCCTGGCTGGTGCGTACATCATTTTAAGGGATTTGAATGTAAGGATGATGAAGAGGTTGATATGGCGATTCAACCGTAAAAAAAAAAAAATGACGGCATTGACCAAGAAGCGTTGTCAAACGGTTTTCTTCTCCCTTACAGCAGTATGTATAGAGATGCAATTGGAGTGCTCAAGACAGGCTGTTAGAGAAGAGCAAGAGGGAGGATCTGTATAACCAGCGTACATGTAGAGGCAGGACAATAGGGTTCAACGAGTGAGATGCCTGTTACGGTGTGCTCATTTCCTTTTTGCGTAGGTCGTGAGCTATGGGAGTGGATCGACGAGGAATGTTCGGACTGAGCAATAGTTGCTGCTGTGCCTTGATAATGAGAGCTATATTCAATCAGTATTGAGAGTATTGAGCTGTCTCTCTCTGTGGGCGTGCCCAGGACAGTGGAAGACCACATAAACAACAGATATGCATTGTTTAGCCAGTCTCGTAAGCATTTGAGGCAGATACAAGAACGGGCTGAGGTCAATTGATTTTCAGGCACAACATTACGACATCTCTTGAGCCGAGCAATTGGTAACGTGAGGAGGGTAGGAAAAGTATAAAAGCACCCCCCAGTCCCTCCTTTCTAGAGAAATCGGGATGAATAGGCAGGAGACGTGCCTTGTTGGTTACTGATATGCTCTTTCTTTTCATTTTCAGAACGTTGGCCGCTAGCTGGCAACGCCTCCTCCTCTGACAAGCGCGCACATTTTCTGTTCTGTACGGTATCATGTACGATAAAACTGCTTGCGAGGAATGAGCGTTTCAGTCCAAAGCGACATGCAAGAACTAAGGCCCAGACAAAAACCTCAGAGTGCCGTTCCGCAGATGCAACTTCCAACCCAGAACAGCCTAGTGCATAGAAAGGCTACCGGTGGAGCCTTCCTTAAGTGCCGTTCGGTTGTTCCTTCGTGTTTGGTGTTCAAGGAACCATCTGCCGGACTTACGTTATGCCTGTCCTCCCAATGGTTTATCCACACATGAGATGCATGCCCTTTTGATGGTAACACCAAATAGACAAACAAAAAGGTCGGCCAAATGGCCTATTGTGGTCGGACAACGATCGGATTGGATGTTGAGAGCACCAAAACAACATGGAGGGGACAATGCACAATTGCATAACTTAAAGAGTTATATTAAAACCTTACAAATAGGGCTCTCAACTGATGTATCCCCTGCCTTGTCTGTCCCCCGCCTTCCCGCTCTGCGGGGTTGGAACTGCAAACAACCAAAAAAAAAAATAGGGGAAAAGGGGCTCAGTTGACCTACAGTTGACCTACAGTTGCCCTCAATTGCCCCAATCAGATGAACAATGATGGCACAGATCAGTCCACGTTTTTTGTTGTTGTTGTTGTTGTTATTGACTTCATGGATCTGGCGGAGCTGAGCGCTTCAATCTCCACTGTTGAGGCGCACAACCATAGAATTTCTTTCAGTGGCCATACCGTGCGGAGATGCACCAATCAAGGCTCGCTGGATGGTTCTTTCGGCACTCACATCCTACAACGTGGAGATGTAACCCAAATATACTCCATTGCTCGCCCTTGTCTGCTCTCCCCCTTGTCGATTTAGATCGTTCCCACCTTGTTTGACGCTGGTGAAGAACTCGAGCACACCATCCTATCCTCTGTTAGCGGACAGTGCCCTCTAGCAAATTGCAGTCGATGAGTTGTTACTGCTAATACGTTACATGTGGTATACATCTGAGGTTTCTGAACAGGCACTGAGACGACTCGCCCAGTTCTGTTCTGGGTTCGCTTCCAGGAATAACTTTTTACATCAATGACAGAGAACTGAATCAGATCGGCAGGGGTTTATCGCAAAGATTAGCTTTTAACATCTCCGCTTTGCCATCGCGCTCCTTTTCTGTTTAACGGATCGTTAGTCTATAGTCAAGTCTATGTAGCTCACCGCACCTTTTATGGTTCTAATTTCACTTTCAAACAAAGCAACGTATTGAGTTCGAACAGCGCTCCTTGTAAAATTAAAAAGGTATCCATCCGTCCGCATGCAGCTGTGATTGAAAATAAAATAAAAAACTGAATGGACGGTGTGCAGAACTTTAAACTCTAAAAAAGTCCCGGGCGCAAAAAATCCGGCATTTCTCCGCGGAAAAGAGAACAGGTAAAAAAGAAAAAAGAAACTTCCTAGACTAGACATGTACATACACATGTATTTACGCATTGCATCGTTGTTTCAAGGGAACGAAGAGTAGATGTCGCCCAATCATGGTTATCTCTTCATGAGATGAGCAAGGAAGGAGATTGATGAGATCTCACAAATAACTTTTGAGGTCAAAGTGTGGTTCTGGAACCCCTCCCCCTCCCCTAACCCAACCTAACCCAAGCGACACCATTGAACAGCAAGATATCCCTGTTTCATCTTTCGGTCCTGCGCAAGACCTCTTTGTCGTCATTTTTTATTATTTCGATGGCCACGTTCGTTTTCGGCACCGTGATTTATTTTTTTGCTGCCCTATGTATCTTTCTTCCCAGTACGCGTATCAATCATCATTATCTCTTAATCGTACAATCACTAAACCAGGAATATCGATAATTGAACGCTCGTGGCAAACGTACCGGCCATCCACTAGGACATTGTTGTGGAGAAAAGACGGCGCCACTCAGGGGTATATCGTCATAGCTGTGTGTGAACTCTGCACTTTATTTTTATTTTTATTTTTTCATCCTCAGCCCAGTCCGCGTTGTTTGTTCTCTATGCTGAAATTTTGTTCCGATACATGGGTGTGAATGCAAATGCTGCCTATAACGACCACAGTCCCCATCAGTGAATTTAAAAGCCCTCAATCCTCCGTCTTGTTATCGATCTCCCGACGATCCAGATCCCCAGAAACGTCTAGGCATCGTAACCGCACCGCCAGAAGGAAGCCGCAGAACCCACAGCATGAAAAGAAAACCTCGACGTAGGTATAGACGGATGGATCCACGGTCATCAGTTTCGCCACAACTAGCGGGAAGACTGTGAACGCGAGATTCATCGCAGAGGAGGATATTCCACTAGATATCAATGTAAGATGACAGCCAAAAAAAAAATATGTCAGAATTAATATTTCCTACGCAGTGGCATTGAAGGGAGAAAGCGTTGGTTAAACCCCTTCCCCCCCCCCCTCAAACACTTACTACGCTGTCGCAATCTGATGGCTTTTGACCAGAATTGGAATGGCACTCGTAATGATAGCGCCGATGGCGGAGGATATACCCAAGGCCATGAGCGCAGGGACTGGGCTCGAGATAGGAATCAGACCCAGAACAAAGTGCGAGAATCCGATGATGAGTCCACACAACATGAAGAGCCATGACTTTTGACCATAGTGATCCACAAAATAGCCGACCGGAAGCACCAGGACCGCAGAGAGCAAATCAGGAACCGTCATAATCTGGGCAGCTACAACAAGCATGCAATTTTAATAAAGGTTGGGGTCAATTGGGATAAAGCAATTCTATGCAGAGAATCATAAAGTTGAAAGCGCAAAGAGTACAGCATACCTTTTTGAGGGTCATTGTGGTACCACCTCATCTGTAGAAATCCCGCGTGGATGCTGTTGAACGGCACTTGGACTCCGATGAGAAGGAAAGTCATGACGAAGAGCACCCAGAACGACTGCGAGTAGTCGAATACAGCCAATGCAAGCGCGAGACATTGTCCAAACGGCGAACTGCTGGCTGTCATGTCTTTGTACACGACCAAATCATCCCCATCTCCATCACTGTCATCCTGACTATCGTCATCACCTTGGCGAGAGGTCCTGTTCAGTTCCCCATTGGCTGTAATAAAATCCGAGTCTCCCATGGTTCTTTTACGTTCCCGACTCAAGACCCGGGCGCTGGACCCAAGGGCATTGCCGGTATCATGCAGGACTTCCATGTCGATCTCCTCGTCCGCATATGACTTACGCGTCTTGCCTAATGAAGGAGGGTCATAACGTCCTACCACAGCTACGTCAACTGCACTGTGGTCGAATGAATGTCGAGGCGTATCGATCGAGAACCTTGTACCACCGTGATGCGAAGGTAGGCGAGAGAACCCTGACGCAACAGTCGATCCGTAGCGACGATCCATCCACACCAAGGCGCATGCGGTCATGAAGGAGAGAACGCAGGACACAAAGCCACCCCAGAAGGCGGTGGGAACAGACGACTGTGACCAGATATAAGGCGTGAGCACATCGTTCAGAACACTCCCCAATCGAGAGATACTATTGGGGGGTGCAAAATGAAGACGTTAGGCATATATATATATATCGAAGAGATTAAGCATCTTTGCGTAAAAAGCAATGGCGCGCAATTGCTTTACCAGAGATTGATTCCCAAGGCCATTGCAAGTTCTTTTCCCCGAAAGTACTTGACTGTGATCGCAGACTGGGCAACGGCAAGACTCTCTCCGGCCCCAAAGAGCACCCTTCCAAGGATCATGGCTGGGACGTGACGCCTCTCGACTCCAAGACAGACGACCAGATGTCCAAAGGCGACCATGGCCGACAGGAACAGGAGCAGCTTCCGATGGCCAAACTTGTCCGAAGCGTACCCACCAAGCCAGGGCAGGACAATATTTGGCAGTGAGTAGGATGTATAGAGAATGTTGAGGAAGTAGGCGTAGGTCTCGTCTGACATCTGCATGTATTCCTGTAGAGGTTGGTTGAGCGAGGCCGGATTGTCAAAGGCGTAGTAATTGCCAAACATTACGAGGCAGGCCGCGGCGAGGATTGCCCACCGTACGCGGCCTCCGAGCGGGGAATGGGGTGTGACAACATGGATAGGGTTTGAGTAGTGAATGTCTCGCGTGGCCTCAGTCGTGAGGGTTGATGTTGAGGTCAATGGTGCTTCTTCTGATGATCTATGACCTACAGGTCCAGTATCATAGTGAAAGTCGTTGCTCATGTAATGGTACCTGGACCTTTAACTGCTGGGATCAAGAGATGCAAAGGGACATGAAAAAAAAAGAGAATGAGGATGCAGGATGCAGGATGCAGATGATAAGCGCAACGGTCCTGGAGCAGCGTGATGAGGAAGTGCAGTGCAGACAGGCAGAGATAAGGCTGTGGACACAATTGGGTTTCATGTCAGGGCTATCCACGTTTCATTCGCACAGCCCAAAGCTGGCCCTCATAGCCACGAAACTATTGTCGGTATTCCATATTCCAAACAGGGATTATTTTCATGCATATTGAGGCTATGCTAATGCCTTGCAAAAGCAGACAATTCCTCCAAACTATACTCGGTCAACTCAGTTCATGCTGAATACCATTAGCGCTCCGGAGCCATGTGGAGAGTAGAAAGATCGAATTTATTATTATTAGTATTCGGTAGGTTGTATGAACGCGTTGTTTACGCGGACTTGATCTTTTTCTGCTTTGGATTCGGACAGGCGACGGGCGCTGGATCCTCTTCAGTTCCAGGATGGTCCCATGACCTCGGTGCCAATGCCACCGGCAGTACCCTACCATTTCATTCAACATCCAGTTAATGAACGAAGCTTGTGTATTCAACTTGAAAACATAGTAGAAAAAAAAAAAAGGTGAACAGCAAGGGATTCATCCTTACCATGTAGCCGATAGGACAACGCCCTTACCCAAGTCCTGCGCTTGGATAACGGCCCACTGGAACCCGACCCATGCAGAGATGATCCTCGAGAGTGGAACCAAGGCTGCCAAACCTGGCATGCCCGCAACAGCACCACTCAAGAATCCAAAAAAGATCTGACTGGTGTTGGTGACCCGTTGGAGTTTCGACATACATTTGTGGGGCACGTAGATCTCATACCCCCACCAGTATGTGTATGCGCTAATCACATTCGTGGGCGGCGCCTTGCCAAGGGCTGCGATCTGTTTCTTGATCGAGTTCAGGGTCGAGTTGAGGATGGTCTGGTCCGCAGCATTGATTTCGGAGGTCGTTGTAGATGATGTCGTGGTCATGGTGATGGTTCCTTTTCGCTTCTCTGTCCCTACTCCCTTTTCGGATTTTGTATCTGATGGGGGAGTTATTGGGTCGGTGCTGGAGGCGGGTCGGACCAAGACGGTTTCTTCCTCGGACCCTCCTGACTTCGTCGTTGCGTCCTCTGTATCGTCCTCAGTCATGGTGACAGTTGTTACTGTCGTCGTGATGGTAGTCACCGAGGGCTGTTGAGTCGACGGCGCAGATGTGATGGATGCCATTAAAGACGAGAATGAAATCGCCCACCAAGATGACGGTGCCTTGACCACTTCCGACTCCGCGTCCACTTCCGGCTCCGCGTTCATTTTCCCACCCTCATCCTTTTGATTGCTATTCTCTGCATGTCCTTCATCGTTACTATGATCCCCTCCAGGTGTCGGTGGTTCTGGTGCAGGGTCTGAATGATGGTCCTGATGCTTGCTGGCTTCCCGGTTATGAACGGTCTTGAACTCTACGACCGTAGGATCAGGCATGGCCTTAAGAATCGCGATGAGGTCATTGACTTGGGCTGAGTCTGCTTTTTGGAGGGCCTTGACAGCCTGTTTCTTCTTGTAGGTGTCCAGATGTGCCTCATGGTTCGCACCTATGTAGTTCCATTGACAGGAGGAGCGTGTTAAAAATATAAACCGTAAATACATGCAGCCATACAGCCTTCGAATGCTCTTGTGGGTACCGGTGATGAGGTCGCGGATGGCGTGGGCTAATCCAACGGTGCGCGCCTCTTCCTCGACCTGGCGCTGGCTTCCGCTCAGGAACAGTTTCCGGAGGGCGACCATTGTTCTCGATGTTGGCTGTCTGGTGGTCGATAAATTAAATGCTGATTTCTTCTTGGTAGTAATCGGGCTTCTGGCTATGAACGCTGCCCTGGTATAAGGATGGTGCAAGATTGTGGAGGGAAGAGAAAGGGAGGAGTGGGAAACGAGTAAAGGGAGAGAGACCCAGGCGATGGATGATGTGCAGTTGCGCTCCTGCTCCTATCCAGTGGATGTGACCAACTGTCGTGACCAGCGGCTCTACAAGAAATACCCCTATTTTTTTTGTGCCTTCTTGTTTGAAAATGACATCCTTGTCGTTCATCCCCTCCTCCAATGTACGCCCTTGGACTAATGTTACCGAGTGACCCATCATGCCATAGCGCCAAATAGGAGGCATTGTTGGGTTATTGGTGGCCAATCTGGGATCGTGGAGGAAGTATGCTCCCCTTAACATTTCACACCATGGTCTGTGCAATTTTATTCGGCTTCTTTCCAACAACCTAACCGACCCAGCATAGCACGTACCCAGCCAAGTATCGATGGAAGAATACCAAAACCGGACGGACCCCCGTAAAGCTGACAGGGAGACTCAAGGTGATGACTGTATTTAGACCATAGAAGCTAGCCATCCTCACCACTTGACCTGCCCGAGATCCTGTACAGTCTAGTCCAGTTTCTTGATCGGACATCGATTCTGCAAGCATCCTTGGTCTGTCGAACTTGGTCAAAGCTCTTCACACCGATGCTGTTCCGCGAGATTCGGTCTCAGGACTGGAGTCGCCCATCCTTTGCGGCTCTATTCCGAAAGAACGTTTCGCAGGTCGTGACACTAGAATGGAAAAGGTCGAGGACTGCGGCCAGGCGACGCTATCTGGAGTTGTTGATGCAGCATCAGGAGCAGCAGCAGCAGCAGCAGAAGCAGGAAGGATGGGAAGAAGCATTGGAATCACCTTCAGCGGAGCCGCTCCTACCTTCGCTGGAAAACATCTGTCTGGATGATCTGACATCGATTCTGACATCAACAACGACCCCACGACTGCGCCTACTCGTCGTCCAAGGAGAGATGGAGCTCCGGCGGTTTCTGAGGACGATCTTGCCACGGCTACCGAGGCTGACCTGTCTTCGGATCGAGGATAGCTTTTCGTGGCAAAAGATTCATATCAGGGAGATCTTGTACGCATGCCAGTCTTTATTGAGTCTAGACTGTGATAGTTCTGTGGCCTTGCAATTCGATGACGCCTTTCACCAGCAGGGTACGATATCCAAGGACGAAACGGCAGCGGCTGGTCATGGTGACAACAACAACAACAACAGTAACGCAAGTAACGACGAATGTGAGGACTCCAACAAACATGGCAACGTCCATCAGGCTCAGGGAACTGGATCCGTACTACCAGCGCCAACGCCAACATCAGGTTCCTTATCGACATCTGAGTCGACACAGCAGCGTCTGGATTTACCCGCACAACATCTCCGGATTTTGCGTCTGCACAAGACAAGTCTCACTGATCAAGAGCTCCTTCGCCTTGTCCAGGAATGCCCTCAACTCCAAGAACTCTACCTTCATCAAGACCCAGGCACAGCCCCCACAGGAGGCCAACATTCTGTTTCTGCAGTATCGAGCATCTCAGGCTACACCTCCGCTGCAAGCTCCTCCTTATTGGCCCATCATCATTCATGGAACTGGTCCACAGAGTTCGTCACGGACTTGGCAAAGTCTTGTCCGAATTTGGTCCGCATTCACCTCAGTCCCGGGTGTTTCCAGTCTCTGCCGGAGGAGGTTTTGCTCAAGGTTTTGGATGCGTTTCCGAGATTGCGTGGATTAGGGGTGCCGTTTTCGAAGTTTGGTGATCAGACGATGCTGGAGATCTTGCGGACAAGGACAGGGACAAGGACGCGACCCACACAGGCATTGCCGCCCCTAATGCTACCCTCGTCAACAGGGTCCGGTTACCTACCGCTGCAGGAGCCACCACGGCCTGTGGACGGATCGCTGTACTACAGTGCACTGACGAGCCTGGATTTGACGCATATCAAGGGGAATAGATTATCGAATGCGATGCTACAGACCTCCTTCGAGCGATCCCCTGAGCTGTTGCGCTTTTGTGGGAACGAGCAGATGATTGACGTTGAGGATATGGTCCTGCAGGACACTGGCGCGCTCCGGCCTTGGGCTTGTACCCATCTAGAGACGCTCATCATCGGGTTCCGGTTTCAGAATAGCGATGATCCTTGCAACAGTAGCATGAAAGATATCAAAGACGACGACATCGTTTACCAACAGCTAAGTCGTCTGACGAAGATGCGGAAGCTCACGATCCTCAAAGACGGGCCAACTTGCAAGTCTAGGTCAAGCTTGGGATTGCTGGCCTCGTTGCAAGTTCTGCAGTCGTTCATGATCCCAAGATGGGATAACAACACAGGGTTGCAGACCGAGCAGTTGGATGCGGTGCGGTGGATGGCCAAGTCATGGAATTGCCTACAACAGCTTCATCTCCCTTGGGCCGGAAACACACCCCGGACAAAACAAATTCGCCAGTTGTTACATGACCTCAGTCGATCGAGCATTGAAGTTGTACCATCAGACGATTGAGCAAATAAAAAGGATATCAAAACCCTGTTTCTTTTTATTGTGCTTTCATTTGTACATTGTCAGATTAAAAGAGGAAAAAGAAAAAGAAAAAGAAAAAGAAAAAAAAAAAAGGTCTAGAAGTTGTAAGTGCAGGTAGAGTAGAGATGGATAAGACGCCTTCTTCTGCCACTTCAAAAGGACTCATGATGATTATACATCTCGTTCTGGTGAAGCAAAAAAAGAAGAAAAAAAGGACGAGCAGCAAGGACCAATGAAATATGCATATTACGACGAAAAGACGTTGAGAAGTGATGAGTGAACGGCCTTATGTACATGAACCGACTACTAAGTAGGCTAGTATTCTCTTAGTTGCCATCATCCGTTCCGCTGGGAGATCTTGTCATAGGACTAGGTCGTTTGATGTTCTTGCCAAAGAGTCGGTTCCTGAGCGCTCTTGATGCAAAGACTGTCAAGCCAAAGCCTGCCCAATCTGAATCCTGAAGGTCCTTGAGATCTCCGACTGTCATGATGTCCTGGTCCTTCAGCTTCAGCAGCCATTCCTCGACTTTGTCAGGCCCACGATGGTACGCCATCGCAGTGTCGCTGACTAGCTCCTCGATCGGCGTATTAGGTGTATATTCTATAACGTTCAAAAGGAAAGGTCAGCGAGGCCATGCCATCGCGGAGATTCAGAAACACAAACCAATCGCTTCGGACCTCCTTCCTTACCTTTGAAAGGAAGCTCAACATCGCCGGCGTAATCCGGATTCGAATTCCTGCGGGTCAGATTTGTCGTGCTTGCAGTTTGTGTCATTGGGCTGGACACATCCAAGGCCATGGGAGATACGGCGCCATAGGGATGGTTGTTTTGCATCATGGGTGATGACGGAGGATGGCTTCCAGCAATATCCTTCTTGTCGCTGGTTCCTGCCAACTCGCGTAATATCCGGTTGATGTCGTGGGTGATGAATCTCTTGTACTTCTGCGGAAGCACCTGTTCTTCAATCTAAAGAAATTCCCCCCGAACGCATTTCCATCGTAGATGTCAGATTAGACGGTCATGTAAGACACAGCAGACGCCAACACCATCTTTGTACCACAAAACCCATTTCGTGCGAAGTGCTCACCATCTCGTTGACCACCTCCTCGGCTGTGTCAGTGTTGGTATTGAACTCGAACTTAACCGACAACCTGTCCATGCCCTTGAACACAACCTGTAGCGTCAAGTGGTCCAGGGCCTCGTTCGCCGCCCGTACTACGACCTCTGGTTCTAATGCCAGGAACGAGTCCTCGATTGCCTCTTGTGCCGAGTATCTAAAATGAGCAGTATAATATGTAAGACTCTGAACTTGACCATCTCAAAAACAATGAAGGGATATGGCAACTTGTGGCTGAGGAAAGATACCTTTCATGCTCAGGAGCAATGCAGTGGTTGATCAAGCTAAGGACCTCTTGATCGGTTACCTTGGCAAGACAGTCTGGTTTATGTCCCTGTGCAAACATTAAAGAGCATCGGCATTAGCAACTTGTGAATTGCATGTTAAACATAGAATAAATATCTTGCTGAACCATAACCTACCTGCGACACTTTCTTGTAAATTTGGGCAGCGTTCTTGCATTCGCTGTAGGGATATTCGCCCGTGACCATCTCCAATAAGCACATTCCAAAGGCGTAGATGTCGACCTTTTCGCTATACCCTTTTTCCTCGTACATTTCTGGGGCCATAAACTCAGGAGTGCCTATGAAATGAGCATCATTACCATTGAGGTACATTAATATGAGGGGTAAATTGACGAATACAATGTCCCCGGAGAGATGTTGCCTTTAACATACCAATGACTGTGTACTTCTTGCCAATCGTCATCTTTGCCGTTCCCATATCTCCAATCTTGACTTCACCGTGCGCCCCGTTGATGAAGATGTTATCGCATTTGATGTCGCGGTGGATGATTGGAGGGTCGTATGAGTGGAGGTAGATGAGGCCTTTGAGAATTTGCCTACACCATCGCTTGACGACTTTGACATTTGGATGTTGCAGCTTGCGGATATATCTAAAAGAGAACAGTTCTGAGGAGGTTAATGCCCTGCCACACTGCCGCAAAAAGAGAGGTGACATGTTCTTTCCAGGTTATGCGGTGGTAGTGCTGGTGCGGAGAAGGATATACTTACTCTCTGAGAGTGCCAGATGTCATGAGCTCGGTGATGAAGATGAACTCGGTATTGCTGTACCAACAGTCGTGAAAATTGATGATGTTGGGGTGGCGGACACGCTTCAGGATCTCGACCTCCTGCGAGAGTTCTGCATATTCCTGCCTTGTGGTCTGGAAACAGTTCCAAGCAACTTCATAGCCCTCCTCGTGGTCGATGCCCTTGTACACAATCTTATAGGCCCCCTTACCCAGGACGCTGTTGAGCTATTGTTTTGATATTGAGGACAGACAAATTAGAACGTTGGATTTAGGTTGCCCTTATTTCTTCTACCGCGTTACAGAATCGTGCTGGTGTAACTTGGACTTTTTGCATATGAGGCATTTTTTTTATTCCTTCCTTGTAAGATGATCCCTTGATAACAACAACTGGAGGGCGATAGCTAAAGGGAATGAGGGTAATAACATGTGCGCGATTTTTTTCTTCTTCGCTCAATCCATTGAAAACGAAGCCGAGAGTGACAGAAAAGGTTGCGCTGAGGGAATATTGAGGATAAACTAAACGATGACCTTCGCATTCACGAGTGCTGTGTATAAAAAGGACGTTTTCCCACCATATACTCGTGCACGCTCAAACCACGCACCTTCATTTCCTCCCCTTTTCTTATCCTTTCTTTGTCCCTGTAAATGCCGCTTGCCAACTGCCTGTTTTTTGCTGCTTACCTTGGCGTATCTCCCGTTCGGACTCACTTCGACGACCTTTTCAGGATCGTGTTTAGAATGATCAACGTACTCAGCTAGGAAATGGCGACAAAGGGTATGAGTGTGCCAGTTGCTCGTGCGGGACATGACCAAACAAAGCAGTTTAAAGTGGACACTTACAGAATGGAGAGTAGTTTCGCTCATGTTCTTCGTCATGAGGATGATCCGATCCCTCTGAGCCGCTGTTGTAGGCTCGTACAGAGATGACTGGATCTGCCATAGTGGTGGTGCGAGTATCCTGTGAGAGTTGAATGCGATCCGACACGCGGGAAGACGAGATTCAGGAGCAATGGGAGGTGTCAACAAAAGACAGGAAGAATGCTGTTGTTCACTTTGAATCTGAATAGGATTGCGAGTGGAGAAACGAGTGAAGGCAAGAGAGGGTGGAGCAGAGCGATGAGGACGAGAGGAAGGCGCAAGTCATGGAGGATATTAAGTGCGAACGAGAGAGAGGTGAGGAGGGTTGCCTTTTGTCGACGGGAGAAAGAAGAACGAAAAGAGAGATGAAGAAACTCGATCAGACCAAGGTCAACACACTTTTTTCTCTTTTTTTTTTTTTTTTTGGCTTTTCTGCTTACGCCCAGCTCAAAAGGAAAAAAATCCCGAAATATAATAAAAAACAGGCATTCTTCACTCCATCTTCATGCTCCTCTTCCGGGTACATGTCATGTATCTCAACGAAGTGACAGCGATAGAAAAGACACCTAGCCCAGTCCGATGGTATGTATTCATTCTTGTCAAGTCAAAAGGAACAACGCCCTTGTACCATACCGTGCCTGGGACACCCAAACACACACAAGCACGCAGCAGAAATACGCACAAGCGCACGCACACGCACACATGCGTCTTTGTGGTTGCGCATCTGTGTTCACATGTAACCCTAGAGCATCTTTTCCTTCTTGCTTTGTATTCCAGCCATGCCCATGGTTTGATGCATTGTGGTGCCATGTGCAAGCTCACTTGTCTGAAAGATAATGCACCTTGCATGGATGCCCACCCCATAGCAGCCAATTGCCAATTGGCTCAGGAATAACCCGGAAAGTCCAGTAGTCTTGGTGGAATCGATACCTTGACGTCATTGGTCTGTGCACGCACGAGCCCTTGTAAAGATACCATTTAAATCCAGAAACGGGTTCGTGTGTCTTATCCAACAAGGGCGCCAGATATGGATTGTAGCCTGACATAGTGCTGAAATCTTGTTGCAAGAATGAGATAAAAAAAAAGAGACTGGAATGGTGTCTGTTTTGATTCCCCCCAGCAGACAGCAGGACAGGAGGGTGCATAAACTGAAAAGCAAGGGCCTCCCCCCCTTTCTAATTGCAAACAAACAACCAGAAAAAAAAATTGCTGTCGTCACGTTCCAGCGCGCGCGTTGAGTTGAGAGAAAGAGAGAGAGAGAGAGAGGGTGAGAGAGTGGATGGGTGGGGGAAAGAGGGGAAGTGGTTGTGCTGCATGCAAATACACTCGCCTCGCTTCTCATCACGACATCTTCATCCTCTTCAACCGCCCCTTTGCACCACCATCACTACCACCGCCACCGCTACCGCTATATTCACGTACAGTACATATTCTCGGCAGACAAGCAGATTTCAAACACACAAATCTCTTTCTTTCTTTCTCTCTTTCTCTCTCTCCCTTTGCCATCAAGCTTATTCATCCATCCATCCATCCATTCATCCATCCATCCAGCCTGCCTGTCATGAATCCCGAAAGTGAGGAGCTGTACCCTATCGCGATCCTGATAGATGAGCTGCGTCACGACGATGTCAGTCTCCGCCTCAACGCCATCAAGAGACTGAATACCATCGCCCTGGCTCTGGGCCCACAGCGTGCCCGAGACGAGCTGATTCCCTTTCTCGATGGTAACATACCAAACCCCAAACAACCGTTTCCGTTACATTGGGAGCATATACATGATGTGAGCGGCACAAAACTAAATCCATCCTGTCTTTCTGCTAGAATCGATCGACGATGAAGACGAGGTTTTGTTGGCCCTTGCTGGAGAGCTCGGCGACTTTGTAGAGTACATTGGAGGCGCGCAGTATGCCCATATTCTGCTGCAGCCCCTGGAAAACCTCGCTGCTGTCGAGGAGACCATGGTTCGCGATAAGGTACCGTGCCCAAGACGCGCTCTTACCACCAGTGTTTACGCTGCAAGAGTCGATGTACTTCATCCTTCTTCATGTATAGGTATCATAACTAACAATAAGCGTATCGTTTTTGTTCCATAGGCCGTCGAGTCCTTGAACAAGATCTGCCCATTGTTAAGTCAGTCCCAGCTGGAGCAATACTATATCCCTCTGCTTAAGCGCCTCACCCTGGGAGATTGGTTCACGAGTCGCACTTCAGCCACGGGTCTCTATGCCTGCGGCTATGCTTTGGTCTCGCCAGCACATCAGGAAGATATGCGCAAGTAAGAAGAGTCATTAACAGCATTCGTTGTTACGCGCGATCGCTTGAATGCCAGGATCATGGGTCTATCAGATGTACAGGATCAGATACTCATTCTTTTGTTGCCTCGATGTCTTCTCATAACCACATCAATAGGGCCTTCGGACAGTTGTGTATGGATGACACCCCCATGGTTCGTCGTGCAGCCGCCACGCATCTTGGAGTAAGACATAATTCACTCGTACTTGGATACGTATCTTTCTGTCGTGGACCTTGGCATCTTTGAGCGATGCACTAACTCAAATCCATCGTGCTTATACTTGTCAAATAGACCTTTGCCAAAAAACTCAGCAAGGAGCACCTCATCTCCGATATCATCCCTCTATTCAACAAACTGGCCCAGGACGAGCAGGACTCTGTGCGTCTGCTGACCGTGACCGATCTTGTTGCCATTGCAGAGCAGCTCTCGCCTGAGGAGAGCAAGGTCTACTTTTTGCAGACACTCAAGGTTATGGTCGCCGATAAATCCTGGAGAGTTCGTTACATGATTGCAGATAACTTTGTCAAGGTATGGATAGCAATCCGCACTATTGCAATGCTATCGCCACAGTATACATTACCGATGACGCCATGCTGGTTTTGATTTTTAGCTATTGCTTACAGAATTTGTATGGTATTGGGACATGTAACATAGTTGAGTACTGCTGTCGGCCAGGAAATTACACGAGAGGATCTTGTGGTTGCCTTTGTTCGTCTACTGAAGGATAACGAAGCCGAGGTTCGCACAGCTGCTTCTGGACAAGTTCCTGGTAAGTCAGATTACTCTTTGATTATTACCCTTCCTTTTCCTCCCCCCCTCCCCCCTCCCCCTCTCTCTCTTCCTTTTTTTTTTTTTTTTTTTTTTGACACGAGGGCGCTAATCAACTCCATCCTTATCTTTCTTGTAGGTTTCGCGAAGTTGGTGGATCAGGAGACGATTCTCAACTACATCTTGCCCTGTGTCAAGGATTTGGTCACGGATACCTCGCAACACGTTCGTGCGGCATTGGCAATGCAGATCAGCGGACTGGCGCCCATCCTCGGAAAGGAGGCTACGACGGAGCATCTTTTGCCCCTGTTCCTGCAGCTGCTCAAGGACGAGTTCCCGGATGTGCGCCTTAACATTATCTCAAAGCTTGAGACTGTGAACCAAGTGATTGGTATTGAGCTCCTCTCGCAATCTCTGTTGCCTGCAATTGTCGAGTTGGCAGAGGATAAGCAGTGGCGTGTGCGACTGGCGATCATTGATTACATCCCCTTGTTGGCAACCCAGCTCGGAGTCCAGTTCTTTGACGAGAAGTTGGGAGCCCTTTGCATGTCATGGTTGGGCGACAGCGTGTTTTCAATCCGTGATGCTGCCACGGTCAACCTCCGAAAGCTGACAGAGGTCTTTGGCGTCGAGTGGGCCAAGCAGACCATTATTCCCAAGGTCCTCGCCATGGGGACACATCCTAACTACCTGTACAGAATGACTACCATTTTTGCAATCACGGTACGGACCCTGATGTCGCTATTGTCGTTGGGGAATTTGATGTTCAATTTTTACACTTTCATGTCACTAACTCACTAACTCACTAATCATACTCTTCTGTTCTTTGTATTCATAGGCGATGGCATCAGCGGTGACACCAGAAGTGATCCGCGACTACATCCTGCCGACTGTCACGAACCTAGTCTCAGACCCGATCCCCAATATCCGCTTCAATGTTGCCAAGTCGATAGAAGCCCTGATCCCTGTGCTGTCGCAGAACCCAGACACGAAACCACTCATTGAGCAGCAGCTTAGACCAGCCCTTGTCAAGCTGAGTGAGGACTCTGACAACGATGTCCGCTTCTTCTCTCAAAAGGCGCTCATCACCGCGCAATAAGAGGGCGATCCCTCTCTCTCTTTCCCGGAAGAGAGAACAAGCAGGCTGGAGTCCATGTATATTTTCATGCAAGCACGCAATCAGGAGGTCAAGAGGTGGGGGGAAATGTGCTGTGTGTTTGAAAGAGACGGGAACAGAAAGAAAGATGGAGAGATGGAGAGATGGAGACTAGAGACCATTAGGACCACATAGGTTTTTTTTATTCATTAAACTGGAAATATTCAAAACATCTTTCATCCGTCATCTCTTCTGCCTAGACACGTCCAATTTGCCAATGGTATCCAAATACTCGAGCTCTGTCGACCATATACGGGGGGGGGGGTATATTCCTCTGCGGACCAAATCGCTTTCTGTTGCTGCCCTATCTAGACGTCCTTAATGGCCAACTCGTCCAAGGCAGTGTTGACCTTTTCCACATCTTCCTCGTGAGTCTCCTCGGTACCGCTCAGGTTGAGGCCCTTCTTGCTTATGAGAGCAGCACTGACGATATCATGGAAGCTGAGCGTGCTTGTTGGACGGCCCTTGCCGCCCCCAACGACCTCGTCATTCTCTTCTCCAGACCCAAAGGACGATCCTGATGAGTTGGCCTGCATCTTCTTGATAAGACCGACTGCGCGGACGGCCTTCTTGAAGGCCTGGCGAGCATTGAAGTTCTTGCGCATCCCAGGCAACAAGTTGACGCTGTCGGCGGGAGAAACAGGTGTGACCATGTCTTGCTCCAACATGGCACGGAACCAGGGGTGGGCCAGAGCTTGGGTAGCAGTGGGTCTTTGATTGGCAGGACGAAGAAGTGAGTCGATGAATGATTTGGCGAGCTGAGAGATATCCTTCCAGTACTCTTCCTCATACTCGTATTCTCCCGAGATGATGCTCTCGAACAACGAAGGTTGGTCTATATGCAGAGAGATACAACAATAACAACAAATAATAATAATAATAATAATAATAATAATAATAATAGTCCGTTGTAAGTAATAAGGTCCACAGTTCCACACCATATTCAAAAAGCAGTGTGGCAAAGACGTCTTCATTTTTTTGCTTACCTTCGCCCCAGAATGGCGTGTATCCGCAAAGAAGGGTGTAAGCGATGACTCCGACGCTCCACATATCCACAGGCTTGCCGTGTCCAATCTGCTCCAGGACTTCGGGCGCGACATATCCAGGGGTACCGCAGGCGGTCATGAGCACATCGTTTCCGCCCGTAAGGACCTTGCTCAGCCCAAAGTCCGTGATCATCAGCCGTGAGTTCTCAGACTTGTCCTCAAACAACAGATTCTCCGGCTTCAAGTCGCGGTGGACGATGCCCATGCTGTGGAGGTATTCGACACCCAACAGGATCTCGTGGACCAAACGAGCGGCATCCCCCTCAGTGTAGAAACCTTTGTTCAGGAGTTGATCAAAAAGCTCTCCGCCCTTGGCGAGGTCCGTGATCAGATAGACGGCATCCTCGGTCTCGAACATCTCCAGCAATGATACGCAGTTCGGGTGACGGACTTTGGACAGGATTGAGATCTCAGTGTCGAGCATAGTGCCTTTTCCTTGGAGGGTTTTTTTGAGAATGATCTTGAGTGCGTACGACTTGCCTATCATTCATCAGATGCGTGTAGTGGGACATTTAGTACACCATGCATATCTGTACCTCAAAAAAAAAGGCGCTCAGACCATCCTCAAATAGAAAACTCCCATTTTGCATGCTGCGTTCTTTCTTTGTTTCTTTGTTCACGCGCAGACTGATAATCCCATGACATTCGAACGTACCAGTCGATTTGAGGATAATCTCCTTGACGGTCGCAAACGTGCCCACACCGAGGACATGGTCTGTGACAGTATAGAGCTCCAGCAGTTCCGGATGGACCTTCGGTCCATGCTCCTTCTCCCTCTTTTTTTCTGCGGCCGCTGCGGCTGCGGCAAGCTTCGCCTCCTGCTGTGCGGCTTCCTCTGCTGCGCGTTCATCGTCGTGATCGTGACCGATGTGGGCATGGTTCTTGATCTTGTCCAGGATTTTCATCATCTTGAAGAAATGTGTGTTGAGTGAAAGAAAAAGGGAAAAAAAAAAAAAGGTGTCGAGTGCTGCGTTTGACTGGCGTAAGGCAGTTGATTCAGGATGCCTATGAAATGCAAGAAAAACCGGGCGACGTTTAGTTGAGCTATTCAAAAGGCGTGATGTTGAGGTGGGTTGCCAGCAAGCACGAAGAATTCGCGAGGTTTAGGCCATTCTCCTTGCCAGAGCTTGAAAAGTTTCCTCGAAGGAGACCTTCTCGGTCTCACTTAATTCCTTGCTGAGCTCACCTTTGTGTTTATACCGAAAAAAATATAAAAAAAGTTATAAAGGTCGACCGAGTTTGCTGTTGAATCAGATTCGTGAAAAGGACAGGTTGTTCAAGTTCGAAAGATGAGGGATGGTGCCTGATGAACAAAAAAACAAAAAGAAAAGATGAGTGAATATCATTTTGCTGCTTTATGAATCTTTTAACTGACTTTTTTTGAAACGTTGTTTTTCCTGCCCACTCCCGGCTGGTGCAATCCTAACACGGGTTGTACAGGCGACCAATTGAGCCCTTTGAAAAAAAAAAAAAAAAAAAAAAAAAAACACGAACCTTTAAGAGCTCTGGGATTTCTGCAGAGAGGAATGAATGAAGAATAAGCCAGGGGGGAAGGATGAAGAAGGAAGAGTGAAGAAAGTCAAGAGAAGAGGTGAGGGGGAGAGGTGTTCCTTTAAGCGTTTCAGAGGGATGGATGGATGTACTGACCACAGACTTGGCAAGGTATTTTTGCATTCTTTATTTGGATTCGGACCTTGTGCCATGTGGGCTGAGGTGCTGAGGTCCATTGCGACCTTCCCTCGTGAGAAGATGCACTCGAGCAATGCCCCCTTTCCCATTATTATCCTCAAGCAGTAAGCATCTTTGATTCCCGGGATCGCCATGATCATCAGTATCATGTGCTTCGCCTTTATAGCAATAACACCTGTTCGTATATCACCTCGAGCACAAGGACCTTGCCCTGGCAACAAGGGTACCCCAGGCCATCACCCTGTACAGCATCATCAGCCCAAAGACTATTCCAATACAGCGCTCCAAACTCTGGTCCGCAAAATCTAAAAATTCTAACACAGCCTCACCCTTCTGAAAAGGGGTCGACGATGGTGGTGTCTGTGTCAAAGATGCGTTCGATATTAAACCTATATCTGAAGGAACGATCGATGCCGATGCTGATGCCGATGTCGATACCGTCATCATAGCCAGGCCTCGAAACTCGTTTAAAGACAGTACTCGCGCAGAATACCGAAAGATGGAGGCGAAGTTCATCTGACAAAGGATCCATGGCAGTTTCGGTGTCAGAAATCCTGCCATAAAGGACATCCACAGCACCTATTAGATGCGAAATAAAAAGACATTAGCAGTTAGTTGGAGATGTTAGACTACCTCGTTTCAGCGGGATGTAGGCACATAGTCCAAGACGAAAAGAAGGCGGGAGTGCCGCGGAACATCCTCCTTCCATCCCTGTGTCACAATGCTGCTTTTTTTGTTCGGAGTTCTCGAGGCAGCCACGCTCATTCTTGCTGTATCTTTTCAGGGATGATGATTCGTACCGTTGAGTTCATAAACGCCACACCAAGGCCTCCATTCGATACGAACCAGGATGAATAAGCAATACCGAGGCTTTCTCCGGTGGTGATGTATGCAAACATGACCAACACCATGGAAGAAACACTTTTGACGTTCGTCTGGAGCCCTGTGACTTGAAAGATAATCCCTGCGGAGAGGCACGCGCTGAGTAGGGACAACGGCAACTCGTTGATCATGTACGAAACTAAGAATGCAGTAGCGTCATATCGTCCGTCAGAGACCTCGCGAAAAGCAATGTCTCTCTAAGATTTCAAAGAAAAAAAAATTCACGCCTGAATGTTAGGGACAATATTTCCTCGTACAGTTGAAAAGTTGCAAGCTGACAATGAACATACTTCTCTCGGAAACACCTCGATGTGAACCATGAGCCCCGCCAGTGTGGCTCCCATCAATTGGTGAAAAAGTCCCAAGCGGTTGAGCAGGCCCACGGAGGTCGATTCCAACCTCCAGAAGAAGATCACCGTCAGGAGCACAATGAGAACGGGCTGTAAAATCCGGTTCAGATAGGAGCCCGGTTGCCTGATCGCGTTCTTGAACGAACGACGTGTCAAGATGCTGATTGAACTGGAAAGGCTAGCGCGAGCACGACCGGGCGTTTGGATCTGATTCTGGGAAATCAGAAAGCTGGCGCCATCCATCGTTTGTTGTATTTCCTTCTCGCTCTCCTCGCGATACAAGGCAAAGAGCGCGTCCGTTGTCGCTCTGGATGATGCATAAAGCTCTGCAGAACGCGAGTTGACAGATATTGTGTCAACTATAAAATCTAGCGAAAATAAGACAGTGCAGGTAGGAGTGAGTTGAAGCGAGGGGCGCAATTCGAGGTGCATCGGACGCGATACAGATCACACTGAGAAAAGTCGTACCTGGAGGATTCGTGTGTTTGGGCATGACATGCCCTGCTCGCTCAAAGAAATTCACTGCCTCGGTTGCTTTTCCTGCAAAAGCTGGTCTTCCGCCTTCCATCAGCAAAATGACATTATCGAACTCATCCCAGATATCCCCTCGCGGTTGGTGAATTGTACACACAATAGTTCTTCCACTTGCTGCTATCCGCTTCAGCAGCTGTACCAAAGAAAGTGCTATCAGTAAAAAAATTGGTGAGTTGTTTTTGTACGCCAATAGTCTGGCATCACGACATCATATCCAATTGGAATCCTATGCTCCACTGTTCATCGCTTACCGGTCAACGCATCCAGACCGCTGGTGGGTTCGTCCAGGAACAAGCATGCAGGATCTGTGACCATCTGCATACCAATAGACACGCGTCGTTTCTGACCTCCAGAACATCCCATAGTGCCGTATCCTCCGATCATCACATCGGCGCATCCTCGTAGTCCAAGCACGTCAACGATCTCCTCAACCTTGACCCACTTTTCAGCTTTCGACAATGAGCGGCTCATTCCAAGTTCTGCAGCATACCGAAGGGTCTCTCTGACAGTGAGATGTGGCATCAAAAATCCATTGTCTTGTCGGACATAGCCGCACATAGCGTTGGTCTGGGCCATGGTCGGATTCTTGATTCCGTTAAAATACAAGTTGCCAGACACATGCATGTTGGAATAGTTTCTATTGAGGAGGGTGTTGAGCAGTGTCGTCTGGAGCGGGAACAAGAGGTCAGCAGAAATTGGTGGCGTTGGCATGTATGCGGGCGTGCAACCATAAAAAAAAAACACTCACCTTTCCTGAGCCGCTTCCTCCTAAGATAGCAGTGAGCTGTGCTGGTGGGATTTCGAGGCTGATGTCCTGCAGCAGGGGCTTCTGCATAGCCTGAGATCGCCGCGTCTCCGGCCACCACCCACTGATGTATCCTGCCCAGTTTGATCGCACCAGAGATAATGATAAATTCTCGACTCGAATAGCCACCGACGGCGTTTGCCCCTGATGCTTGTTATCATCAAGCGCGTCAAATCGCAACTCATCCAGCTCTGTCATTGCGTAATGCGCTTCCCCAGCGGGCAGTTTACTCTCGTCAAGAGTGCGCTTGTTACTAAGACTCGCTTTGGTTATATGGCGCCTCTCGCTGTAAATTAAACTCATCAGAACTCGGAACGCATGCTCGATCGGAGACCCATTAGCCGCCTCATACACTTGATCCACAGGTCTCGCCAACAAAACCGCCCACGCCGCCACAGTATAGACACAGAAGTGGATCAAAAGTAACGCGATCGGGCCTGGGAAGAAACGAACAAGACCTTCAAATTCGCTCTGCAGAATCGTATTTCCGTTCCATGAAGCACATTTTGATGGGTCCGGTAGCTCATCAAGACCATTGGCTGCCAATACCTTGTAGGGGCAATCGAAACTACGGTCCGAGAATTCCAGACTGATAAGGATTTGGTATGTGAGACGATGGAAGGATATGTACTTGAACCAACGGAGTAATAGTGGGATTTGACTTGAAGAAACAATGAATCCTGCTGATAGGGCTTGAAGCAAGAGAATTAAAGCGCGTTAAACAAGAGTTCGTGTCAACAACTACCATAAGGACAATTCACTATTCAAGTTATTACCAAATGGTAAAAAGAACGCGCTTCCGATAAGTGTCGCTCGGTCAAAGTTACGTTCCAGAGCTGTACATAGCAATGCCAACGCGGATCTAACGGTCGGGAGGAGAGGGAGGAAGAGGGTTTAATGAAGAACACAAATGTTGTACCTTGAAAAGTCAAGCATCCGTTCTAGTACTTTACATAATCAATTGGAAGAGAATGTTGACCAGCATATACCATTGCAAGTACGCGCTCGCATCTGTCCGAAACCCTACTGTCATATATATGATCAGAGAATACACTGCACAAAGCACAGCAACATTCGTGTCAGTCTCGAGCAACAACAACCTATCCTTTCCTACAAAAAAATATATGTCGTATTACTACGTCCGTTACCTGAAGTATAAACGACAACCACCGGCAAGCTACAAATCATATGGCTCACTATGAAAGCCGTCGGACCATACAACCGCTCCCTCCTCTCCCTCTCAAATACCCTCATGTCCGCAACCCCCTTGTATATCGCCAAGATCATACTGAGATATGGCTGAAACGCACACAACAGATAACACACGCTCCCACGCGCCCGAATCCCTGCTTGATCTCCATCCAGCCTCCAAAATACAGCCGCGACCGAAAAAGCGAGCAATATGTGAACTGCAAGCGAACCCCAGTACATGAGCGCGTCCCTTCGTGTGTTTAGCCAGTTCCGTTTGCAGAGGACCAGAATTTGTCGTCCCAGATCCGTGTTTTGTGGTCCATATGTCTGATCCTGCGTCGTCCCACAATTAGCGGTTGAGATTTGCGATTGAGTGGTTGTAGCAAGGTTCGGTGGATCTAAAACCGAGAACATTGAGTTCGAGGCCGGATTCTCTGTATCAAAAGGTAATCTACAACAATCTGGATCGTCCATACGGTCGAAACTTGGCGATATCCCTGATGATATCGAGCTGCAAATATCCAATGCATAATCTAGTGGATTCATATACTCTGGACAGGGCTCGACCCCAGCCGACACAAACCACGACAGGAGCCGATTGATAGGGCCTGCGTACACTACATTGCCGTGCGAGAGTAGCAAGAGTTGACATCCTGATGCCGAAAGCAAATGAAAGATCTCGGAGCGCGGCTGATGGATCGAAAGAAGGATTGTCTTGTTGGAGGATTTGGCGTACGAGTCAAGCGTCTTGACAATCTCGAGTGCCGTGAACGCGTCCAGCCCTACGCATATGGGGGAGGGGGGAGGGGGGAAATAATTAGTGTCAGTCCATAGTTGCTCTGTTACATGAAGCAGGTGCGCAACGCGATCATAACGCACCTGAGGTGACCTCATCGCAGATGAGCATGCTTGGACGGGTCAGCAACTGAATCGCAGTCGAGACGCGTCGCCGCTCTCCCCCACTGATACCTCGCGTCCCTCCTTGACCCTCCTCGTACCCCTGCGCATCCCCTACTCTGGTATCAGCGCACTTGTTCAATCCGAGTTCAGTAATGATCGACTCAACTAGCTGCGCTCTCTCTTCTTTCGACATGGAGAGTATCCTCAGGTCTGCTGCAAATCGCAGTGTCTCTCGTACCCTGAAGAAATGTCACAAAGACAAGAGAATATTAATAACAGTTAAAGATGAACTCGTCTCCACACCGCCTTTAAGGCAGAAATAATACTAGACATACGTGATGAAAGGCAATAGATGGTCTTCCTGTTGGAGGTACCCGACCTGACCAAACTTCCTGTGCGTTTTTGGGCTTCCACCATTAAAAAGAATGTCTCCAGAGATCTTGATCTGTCTTTTATTCACCCTTCCTGCAATCATATTCAACAGCGTCGATTTCCCGGAGCCAGACTCTCCCAAAATGAGGCACACTATCATTGACATTAGTATTGGTTGTAAGAAGATTGCAAACTGTCGCATGCATTTTGAAATGAAGGCCCCCGATGTAACGGTCCTATGTACCTTGGCCAGGACCAACAGTAAAGCTGACGTTCCGCAGGATTGATGAATCTGTGCTCTTGTCGTCAGATGTCGTATTGCGCCTTGCACTATACTGCTCAAGAGCTCGATTCCATAGTCGCCGCATTGGGCCTGGTCGAGACGCGAGTGATACAGTCAAGTTACTCACCTGCAAGGCAATCCCAGAGGCAAAGAGACCGGGATCAGTGGGTGATAAGCCTGCCAAAGACTTTTGCTCACAGTTCGCAGCTGAATTGTCCATTGTGGGAATGTTGAGGTGCTAATGTAACACTGTTGCGTTACAAATGTGCGAAGCGAAGGGAAAAGAGCTTTCAACCTGTTTATACCTCGCCTCCGGCTTTTGGTCACTTCTAATACCTTTTGGATGTTCAGATGTCCTTTCGCCAACATATCGACCTCCAGAGGACAACAGGCATCTTAATAATCAGGGGAGAACCGCGGTACCGAATACCCCCTTGATAACCTCCTAACTCTGGGAATGGAGTAAATCATTGTGTAGCGCGTGGCCCCTTGGCTCCATGTAAACTCTCCTTACAGTTCTCTCTGAGCGACGTACTTAGCATACGTTGTTGACGGTGCTTGCTTTATCAATTGCGGGAAAAAGCAGAGGTCGTTCAAGGGAGTGATACGACCAGGTTTTTTTTTTTTACCTGCGGTAGGAGGTAGATATGATGAAAGTTCCTACTGAAAGGGTCGATCCAAATTTAGCCTTCAGGTCATTGCTAGGGGTATAGTAGTATCACCGCCCAATTGCCTTTCACAACCTGTCGTGTGGTCCCGAATCCAAGGTATTCGTACCTGATCCGTCTCTCTCCTGACCTCCTTATTACTTACTCCTCGCGTAGTATCGCGCCAGCAGAATTAGTACGCTCGACCAAACCATTGTAATCAAAGGCATCGAGTGAATTTTCACGGGTTATTCCTAATACACCAATCCGCTGCAAACTAAGATACGGCTCAACCAGCCCTTCCCAACCCTTATACCTCTAACGTACATTGCAGGCTTGAGAACATTCTTCATAACCTTAACCGGATCCAGTGTGCTGATCAGGTCCAACGCGGCCCAGCGTCTTATAAAAAAATCGAAATGTGTGGACTGCGACGCGTCAAAGACTGACGGTTTATCTTGCGACGATTTCTACCTCACTCCTTGCGGAAGGATCGGTTGATGATACCCAATCGCAGGTAGACAACATCGATTCCCTTGGGCCCGATCTTCGCGTCTCAAAGGGTCCGTAAAGCAACTCGGTCCGCATGATGACGCGCAGATAGACGACAAGTATCAACTATAGGAATCCAATATCGGCAGCAGCACCAATGTGGTTTACGTCTCAGCCGATCAACTTGCATAGTTATGAGTCTAAGCTCTTTATATTTTTCTCAATTAATGTTACAGCTTTATTTTGTCTTCTCATGGATCTTCAAGCGTGTCCTGCCTATCGAAGAAAGCCGACAAGGGACGTCTACCAGCTGTCCTATTTTTTTCCTTCTTTTTCAATTGATCTCATCCAAAATACAATGCAAGAACCTTGGAGCTGATGTTCACTCCAAAGATCAAAGCCAGAACATAGAGGATAACAAAGATCGTAATCGGATATAAGAACATCTCTGGATGCCTCAGGAATGGCAATGCTAAAAGAACGATGCGAGAAAAAAAAAAGATTCGAAGGGGTCAATATTTTTATATCTTGCATCAACCACAAATAAGATCGTTAACTAGAACACCAACAGTTCCAGTGTTGCACTTTGGACTTACCATTGTACCCCAAGAAGGTGATGTAGCAGTAATAAACGATCGCAGTCATGTACAACGTGTTACCGAGCATCGCGCAAATCCAAAAGTCCTTGGCCAGGATCTTCATAAACACCATCTGGATGATATACAGCAGCGCGATCACCGGCATGAACGCGTTGCAATGGATGTCGAATGCGTACTGCCATTCGACCGACTGATCTGTTGAGTAGACGCTTGCCCTTGCAAGAAATCTGTTTGCGATAGTCCTGATCGAGATGGGTCGGCAAAAAAAAACTTATGAGAACCATGGTCGTTGCTTTTTGACACACACACACACACACACAAAAAAAAGCGCCCTCAACCGCAAGTCAAGACTTCGCGCTCTTACCAGCAGACCGTCGCAACAATCACTCCAATAACCACGAAGTCGACAAAGACCATATATAGCATCATCCGAAGGATGCCCGTCATTCCATGTCCATATACCAATCCCCAAGCGATCGCCGAGCCTATCGCAACGTAAAAAAAAAAATAATCGTATATGAGATCCCTTGCCACTGTCATAGGTACAAGAACCAAAGTCGCGTCATTGTACTTACAACTCAAAATCCCTGATAGAATCACCATGAATGCTGGATCGTCTCGTGCCCATTGATTCTTGGTCTCTGTAATGACGAACGTGCGATACATTCAGTTAGTCAGTCAGTCCTGATGCCATTGATGTCCAAATCGTTTCCATATGCTGGAAAAGGAACACTCCCATGATCCCTGTCGACTGCAATCCTCCCTTACGTTTGTGGTAATGAATGTTCCGATATCTATTAGACAGCAACGAAGCATTTTTTTTTTATATTTTTTTTCAAAGTATCAATTAGCTCTGACCATAACAAATCGCAAACCAAAAGTGTACTTCAAACAGTTTCTGTCTACGATCGACTTACACTATCCTTGGCGATATGCAGAGATAAGCCATCTGCCATAATGCAAACTAAAAGTCGGTAAAGTGGTTGTCATCCAGGGTTAAGCAAGGAAGGCAAAGTAGGAAAGTCCACATCCTGTCAATTTCGCACTGAATCCTGTCGTGCACGTTGCTTTGCTCTCTCCACAGCAGCATTCATCGATATATAAATATATATATTCTCTTTTTTGGTTGCAAGGAATTCTCCTCCATTCCGCGTACCTGGAAATCCATGTGGGGGAACCTGAATAGTCGCCTCAGAAACAAGGGCATAAAGCTTGTTATCCCGCCGCTGGACCCATGCAGGTTTCCATGAACTCGTCTACTGCCGCCATCTGATTTCCTCCGACCGAATCCGTCGCTGGGAAGACCGATGGTCAGCCCGCCCTGTGCAGGAAAGTAGGATGCATTTGAGCTCTGGTTCGGTGTGCTCCTCCCTGGCGTCGAGTTCAGAGGAAGGATCGTCATTGCAAAAATAAAAAAAGGTCGGTGGTCAATGTGAAGCAATGGGAAGCCGATGCCAACGCCCTAAGCTTACTCGTTTTTGCAAGTCTCAAGTCTCAGATCATGCACGTGACCATAAAAAAAATCCAAACTCCCAATTCCGCAATTTAGGGCCATGAAGCCTTGAGAACAACAGGAGCAATTGGAAGAGAATATGCTTCGTTTTCCGTTTATTTCAATACCAAGATAAACAAAAGTGAGAAAAGTACATGAGGAGATGGGAGGACAGAAGACAAAACAACTGCCTTTCTACCTGTGTTTTAATAGCGACCACCGCCATATCCACCGTGTCCGGCAACTTGACCATGCCCATGCCCACCAAAGTCCAGCTCTGAAGGCTCGGCACCATAGCCATCCATGGCATTGAAGTTCTGATGGCGCGGTGACGCAGCCCTGGCAGCTGCAGGAGACGCAATCGGATGCTGGGGATACTCATCGTATCCAGTGTTGTCATAGTAGCCATCGTTAGTTTGGCCGCCATGCTGACTGTAGCCATAACCATCGTCCTTCTGGCCATTGCCATAGTACTGGTTGTTGTCGTATTGGTCATGGCCATGGTACTGATCCTGGTGCATCTTGCCCGCGTGCATGTTGTTAGTATACCCAACAGGTTCTTCGTAGTACTGGTTGTGGTTGTCGTATCCGTCGTTGAAACCGGGTGGTGAGGGAGCATGGTCGTTTCCATGAGCATTGGGACGGCTCGAGAACGGATAGCTCTCGACAGCCTTGGGTGCACCATAGTCCATCTCTCCGAACATCTCCGCGGGCATCTTTGAGCGCTGACGACGACGTTGCCAGCGAACGAGAGCAAAGGCGACACCCAGCGCTGCGACAGATCCAACAGCAATACCGGCAAACTTGAGCGTGGACATGACGGAGCTGTTGTCAGCCGGTTGTTGGCACTCGTTGTCCGTTCCAGGGATTCCAGTTCCGGTGCAGACATTTGAACCATTGAATACAGCGCAATACGAGAACGCAACGTTAAGACAGTCTGCGCTGGTGACACAGGGTTGAAGCGGCTGGGCAGCACAGACATTGGCGACCTTCATACACATGCCAGTGGTAGAGTTGCCAGCGAGACCACAGATCTGCCCTCCTGTGCAGGTCAAGGAGTTCAGACATGAGCCATCGGTCGGAAGCACAGGGGCGGTTGTTGTTGGAGCTATTGTGCCTGTGAGTGTAGTGACCACGGCTACGGTGGTCCTCGAGGTGGTCAAGGTATGGACAGCGGTCGTGGTGACACTTGCTGTTGTTGTTACAGCAGGTGCAGTGGTCGTGGCAACTGGAGGGGCGGCCGCGGTCGTGGTGGTCGTAGTCGTGGTGGGAGTAGGTGTTGCAGCTGAAGGATGAGGCGCCCCGGTCGCGGGTTCGGTCGCGGTTTCGGTCGCGTGTTCGGTCGCACCGGGTAGTAGAGGGCCATGAGTGAGGCCCTGTGCGTGGGTAAGAGACGGGAGGGTGACCAGCAGCGAGGCTGCACACAAGGCCAGAAACTGGGTGGCCCTTGATAGCTTCATGTTAGGGGTTTCTCTTGGAAGGGCGGGCAAAGCAGGGAGGAGGGTGAAGAAGGATGAGAGGAAGGGATGAGACAGGAGGGGTCTTGCGAGATGAGGTGGGATGAAGGAAGTTCGAGGCGATGGAGGACTTGGGCGAAGGGGGTGATCGTCAGAGGGTGCCGGGCTGGAGGCGGAAGGGCAGGGGATGGGAAGAAGGCAGGGGGAGAGGAGGCGAGAAGGAGGGGATGGACTGGCAAGAGGAGGAAGAGGGCTCGAAGAGTAAAGAGAGAAGAAGAGAAACAAGAGAGCAGGCTGTAGGAGAAGGGGAAAAAGACTATGGCTGGGTATCAGTTTCAATATCGGGCATCGGTATCGTCAGCATCTCTTCCTCCTCATCGATCGATACACATTCCTTGTAAGCCGGCGACGGAGGCAAGGGCGAAGGAGACGACGATGGCACTTTGCTGGCATGTCCTGGCATGTCCGAAAGCACACTCCATCCAGGTTGGATCCATAGCACAGCTGTGCAGCCCTTGCTGCGTGAAGATCCTGGGAGCTGGGACAAAGCTCATATGCTCCACCTGCCATTCCTCAGCTCAGCCATGCAAGCTCGTCCAGCCTCACTATATACTTTATACACATCCCTGTCACCCTGTCTTCGCAACTCAATGCTATTTATCCGCTACGACAAATAAAGGCTGTTACGAAGAAGGGGATGGACAAATCATGTTCGACTGTTTGTACCCGACTCGTATTTCTGTTTGTTTGCTCTCAAGAAAAAGAAAAAAAGAAAAGAGCAATCAACTTCATAATCAAAAGACGCAGCAACGACCAATGCGACCATGATGGTCCAGATCACGGAGGCTTAAAAGTGTTTCTCTAGCCCACATACTAGTCCATGTAGGCACTACAGCAATGCCACATGCAGCGTGCCGATATCTAGCGTGCCAATAGATCCATAGTGCCCTTCATACCTCGATTGGTTTCACTGTCCAGCTGGGATGTATATTACTTGCAAAGGCTCCCTTTTTTTTTTTGGAGCACTGGCGTTTTTCTCCACTTCAGAGTCAGGCTCTCCAAATATCAGTGAACAAGTGAACAGCCCTCAAAGTGCACGAACAATTGCCGCCAAACAGCTTTGGTTTTATTATTTGGTGGGCGACTAGCATTGACATATTTGTGTGCTATGCTGTATACAAATAGCATTGTTTTTTCCCTCCCTCTTCCTTTGCATTTGTATATAGGAAATAATCAATTCCTTGATCGTGTGTATGTGGTGTGTGTGAATGGATAGCATTTGCCATGATCTCTTTACGGGTTATACTTCTTGGCGATCATTCCCTCTGGAGGACGCGTCTCAACAGTTCCCTTGCCGACCTCATCCCAGTTAGTCGACAAGCATGTGCCATTGCTCTCCGTAAAGCTCTTCATCATAGCCCGCTTCGCATTATCATCAGCATCCTTGTAGATCTGTGCGAACAACTGGTTCAGTGCCTTGTCCCCGTCTGCCTTCTCCTCATCCTTCGCTACCTCCTTCTCCAAAGCGTCCCAATTCTTGGCCTTCTTAGAGGATGTCGGGTATGCTGGCGTAGCACTCGCTATTGTTTGTTCATCGTCAAGTCAAGCAGACAAGAGAGAAAAACAAATAAGGAATAACGAAATAGTATCACAATACGTTAATAAAGATTGCAACTTCTCTCTTAGCGTAATGCATATTCAGCCCATTATAAAAAATATATAAAAAAAAAGGGAAATGGGCGCACGGATAAAAGACCCACCTGAAACAGTGGCCATGGAGCCTGCATTAGCATCGTTGCCCTCGAGAGCGCCCCACTTGATACCAAAGACCTGCTTCTTGAGCTGAATCTCGATCTTGGTGGAAAGGACCTCGTATTTGCTCTCCGAGGGGATCACCTCGTGGCTTAGTGGGTCTAGCTCCAGATTGTAGTCTGATCCGGTCGGCATCTTCACAGACACCGATAGAGCCTTTTCAGTAATGTTGATGTCGACAGCTTCCTTCTTCGTGTTCTTGATAAACACGCTGATGGTGACGAAAGTGTCGTTCTGATACCACTCGTGTCTAGTAGTCCGAGCAACCGGAATTATGTTAGTAAGATCCTCTCTCTCCCTCCTTCTCTATCTGGTCATTACGTGTCACGTTTCAGAAGCGAAAGACCAGCAAGAGTTAACCCCGTACCTGACACGGTGGGCCGCAGGAGTCAGGGGAGCAGGGACTGGAGTCGTGGCGGGTGAAAGAGACACGGTCGGCGATGCAACTGGGGTAGCCTCTGAAGCTGGAGCTGCTGCAGGTGCAGGCTTGGGTAGCTTCGCCAACTCCTGCTCGTTCTTACGGATCCAGCTCGCCAACGTGCGCTGTTCAGGGCTCAAAACCTGACATGCCTCCAATGCGAGCTTGGCTGTCTGATAGTCTTGGAGATGGAATGCCGCCACTCTAAATATCAAGCAAGGGAGGATTTTTTTTTCAAACGTTTTAGTGGCAATGAAAAATACTTGATATGAGAGGGGCGGGGGAGAGAGTAGCCAAAACGAAGTGGATTATCAACAAAACAGCGTTTTTTTGTTTGTTTGTCCTCACCCCTTACGAAGCTGGGCCTTGGCCTCAACTTCAACATCCACACCAGGCTTTTCCTTGATAAGTGACAAAGCCCGAACAGCATCCTCGTAGGCCTCCTTGTCCTTTCCAAGTTTTTGATACGTGGCAGAGCTATGAATATGAAGGAAACAGGGTAAGTTTCTCAGTTTTGAGTGTTATGCTATCTCAGTTCAGCATAAACGTTCAACGACTTGGACAGTGAGTGTTCCCCCCATCACAAACCAGCTGGCTGGCTTACCGCTTCAAGAAGATCTCCGCATGAGTCGCGTTGATCTCAATGGCTTTGGAATAATAGCTCAGGGCCTCTTCATAGTCCTCATCTGCAAAGGAGTGGCTGCCCTGCGCGAACAAGTCTTGGACACTCGTCATTCTGTGGATATCGCGTCGAATGTGTGTGTGTATGTGTGTGTATGTGTGTGTGGGATTCCTTCTGGTGGGAAAAAAAAGTGTGTGGTTTTAGTTGGTTTGTCAGTGAGGAGTCTGTCGTCTTTAAAAACAAGTACGAAAGAAAGCTCGCGGCGATGCATTACTCTTACCTTTTTATGTTGATGGAAGTGATGGCGAAGATTGGATGGCGATGAAGGAGCGAAGAGAGTGCGAGAGATGAGAAAAAGAGAGACAAAACTGCTTGCTTTCCTTTTGTTCGGTTCTGTGAACTCCGCACAAAACGGATCGGTGGCGACGGCATTTTGCACCCCAATTAGGTTTCGACACTCGGCTGTGCCTTCCCGCAGTGCGCGTGTATTTTTTTTCCATGCCCTTCCATGACTATTTCCTTGGCTGCACACACACACACACACGGCAGAAAAGCCATTGCTGCACAAGGACCAGTTCGGGACATTCATACATCGCATAATGCATAGAGGACTTGCCATTCCTCAATTGTTACTTTATTATTGTTGTGCTGCTGTTTCGATATAATACTACCGCAAGTTGCTTGAGTGCCAAAAAAAAAAAAAAAAAAAAAAAAAAACTTTAAATATGAACAGTTTTGCGCGATCAGCAAAAAGAGATTATAGAACAAAAATCGTGTAGCGAAAGCAAAATCAAAATCAGACCGCGATATTGATGACGGCACCTTCAGGCGTCGAGTCCCAGAAATCAAAGAGTGCTTCCTTGGGCAGTGATCGGAAACCTACAGTCTTGCTGACCGGACCATAATTCCTGAACATGAACTTGAGCGCCCTGTGGCGCAGGCCAGTTTGTCCACTCAGCCCTGCGCTATGGTAAATCCTTGCGACAGTTTCAATATCGATCTGCTGGTGGAGCACCGAGCTGCAGAGCTGGACCAGTCTCTGCATCACATACATGCTACCCATGACAAGCAGATCTGCAATTGTATCCGTTAACATCCCCTCAATTGTGTCCGTGTACAAGTAATCGACAAACGCCTTGACGGTCTCGTATGACTCGGGCACCGTAAGGGTGTTCGTTTGGGCTTCGAGCATTCCAGACTGAACCATGTTGGCGAAATGTGGCCACCGCGCCATTAGGATCAACTTGTGACACAAGATAGGATCTTGTTGAGGACTGTGAGCGCGGCTGGAGGACGGTGTCTGTCGCTGTGATCGGATCCTCCGGCTCATGATCATCGGATGACTGTCGATCATCATATCGTGATCACCACTACTGTCCGAAGGCGCATAATATCCGCTGAAAGGTGCCATCCCCTGCAATGAAGTAGCCTGAGCGTCCACTCCTGTGCACAGAATTTGAAAATCGGCCAGCGACATCTGATCCTGCAGCAATCTTCCAAGCTCATATCCTATCGTCACGGGTGGCTCCTGGAAGGTCCCGTACTCTCGTAAGTCGATCGTGAGCAGCTGTTTGAAGTACTCGTCCGACTCGTGGACGTCACCGATCAAATGGAATTGTTCACCGTCCCTCTCCATAGAAAAATAGTGCCATGTGCAGTCTTCGCCCAGGACCTTCCAGTCGTCGTGCTTTATCCACTGGAAACAATCTAGGTCGAGGGTCCAGATACCACCCGTAAACTTTTGCAGCTCGTAGCGGACACCTTGGGAAATGACCACGACAAGGTGATGTCCACAGACCTGTGAGAATTGCTGTGCAGCGACGTTGGGCGCAATATCGTTCGACACATTGATTTTTGTGACTTGGTATGAGTCCATGTCCATGTAGGCGATCACCCCTGTACGATCCATCTCCTCGTTATAGCCGCCGTAGGCAAACAGCTTGTCGCGATATATAAACAGCGTGTGCGTGTACCGGGGCACGAATTCAATAGATTCCTCCCACTCCCAGGTTATCAAGTTCAGGCAGAGCAGCTCCTGCGAGACAGCCTCCTGCTCAAGGCAGCCACCAGAAACGTACAATTTGTCGTCTACAATCGTGGCTGCATGCTTCACCCTCCCTGTCGGAATGATACCACTCACATCGGGCGTCTCCCAGGTCAGGGTCCGCACATGAAGGACATGAACATCGTTGCAGTACTGGTTCCGCTCGTCGCTTCCGCCAAAGATGACTACGCGATCGTCGCCCCAAAGACTGGCCGAGTGGTCGTTACGTTTCGAGGGCGGTTCGCCCTTGGTGTAGATCAGTTTTTCCCAGGCCATTGTATCGACATCGAGCCGGTAGAGATCATTGTTGACCGCGTCTGTATATTGATGGAACCCTCCGAAAACATAAAGCCACAGGCGGTCCTGGCCCTTATCTCGCTCTGTATCTTCCCGACGGCCTGCTCTGAATTTGGAAGAAGGTCCTGAAGCTGAGGTGCTGCTGCCATTACTGATACCGTAAAATGATTCCTGAAGCCCTCGCTTGGCGGTGAAGCTGTCCTGGCGGGAGCTAGCTACGCTAGGACCAGAGCTTATGCAGGTGATAGAGGCATTAACGATGCATGTCATGCGGTCGCCTTGAGTGGGTCGGGGGACGATCGATGTGTTGATACTTCCAGTATGGGGCTGAAAGTTGTATGCACTGCTACTGCTACTTCCTATAACGCTCTGCTGCAGCTGGTGAAGGTTCTGAGAGGAGCCATGGTTGGACGGCATTGCCTGCTGCTGTTGCTGCTGGTGCTGGTGCTGGTGCGGCGTGGAATGAGTGCTGGACTTAGTATTGCTGCTGTTGTGGGTATTGCTTTGAGGTTGACTGAATGGGTGCGCAGGCGACAGAATGCGTCGCATACGAGCGAGAGGAAGGCAATGGTCCTTTTTTGAAGCGGAAACAAGGGAAGAGCTGGAGTGGGGTAAAGTTCACGGCTCGAAACAACCGACTAGAGAGGTTTCCTTTTGTTAAGCGTGGAGTAGAGAAGTGAAAAGGTCATCACGTGCAGATGTGTCGTCACTTTTTTTTGGGAGGATAAAGGGGATAAAGCAATTGGCGCCTGAGTGGCCAGTTGCAACTCCTCTTTCCCTATAGCTCACCAAAATGGTAAAATATTCTGCGTTGACTGATATCCATCGACCGATCATACACCAAACGCATCCATCCAATTGCTCTACAGGACCAACGACATCCATCAATCGAACCATTTCAACTCCAACATCTTATTGATCTTCGACGGCCCTCTCAGGCAGGCAGAAGAGATGAGACCTGGTGGGAGACCTTCAGGCAGACAGGATGAAGACAGAATCTTGGGAGCAAAGCTGCATAACTCAATACAACGGCGGCTATGGTGCACCTTGTAGAAGCGGAACGCATGATGGCACTGCCGTGTTCAGGACAGGATCTATATCGCCTATCAACCGCAATATGTTAATCCAGCCGACAACCACTCGTTCCCCCCCCTCCTCCTCCCACATATACACACACACACATTTCCAACTATGAACCTCAATTAACCACTTGCAACAAATTATCGACACATTTTATATCCACAACAGTCCAAGAAGGTCAAGTCCACCCCTAAGGTTCAGGAGAACATCTCGCTCGGCCCCCAGGTCCGCGGTGACGAGGAGGTCTTTGGTGTTGCCCACATCTTCGCCTCCTTCAACGATACCTTCGTCCACGTTACCGATTTGACCGGCCGTGAGACCATCTCCCGTGTCACCGGAGGTATGAAGGTCAAGGCCGATCGTGATGAGGCCTCCCCCTACGCTGCTATGTTGGCTGCTCAGGATGTCGCTGCCAAGTGCAAGGAAGTCGGTGTCACTGCCCTCCACATCAAGCTCCGTGCCACCGGTGGTAACCGCTCCAAGACTCCCGGTCCCGGTGCCCAGTCTGCCCTCCGTGCCTTGGCTCGTGCCGGCATGAAGATCGGACGTATTGGTAAGTGTTACAAATCATGTCGGACGTCCATTCGTGGTTTTGTTGTGTTTTTCGGAGCAATCCTGTTTCTTCTGCCACCTTAAGGAAGGTGTGCTGGAGAGACACGAGCGTTCTTGAAAGAGCAATAAAATACTTATGCACCTCCTTCCTCTATAAATTCTCAATTTATAGAGGATGTCACCCCCACCCCCACCGACTCTACCCGCAAGAAGGGTGGTCGTCGTGGTCGTCGTTTGTAAAAGAAAGGATATGCAACATCGAATACAGCTGGCCCCCCCTGCTGTTATTGCACTCGTGTTGTATCTTCGTTCTTTTACATTCTGGACAAATGTCTTGGCGGTTTGAGCTGGTCTCGTTTCTTTCTTTCTTTTGGCGACAATCTTATATCGATCGGTCAAGACTCGACTTGGGAGAAGCGATTCTGGTCATGGATTTCCGTCACGGACAAGGGAAAGGACGCAAGGAATTAGGAACTTCAATAAACGCTTCAACAACAACCACAACAAAAAAGTCCCAAAGACAAACCGCCTTTTGAGTCGAAGCACGAATGTACTCTTTTAGAACGGGGGTTTTTTTATTGAAATGAACTCGGTACTTTTACTACTGCTTGTAATCAATTTAGCTTTTGTTTGGTTGTTTGGCATCGTTTTTGTTACTTTTGATGATTATAAGTGGTTTTTGCGGTATACATGTGTGTCATGATGGTTGTCTGTGGACCGGGCTATTACTTGGGTGTTTACATTTCAGAGACACCTGTGCGGGTCTTGGTAATCCCCGCATAGCTCAGAGGACTATTACTACGGCTGATATGATCAGCCAGAGCGGATCCCCCAACCTCCTGACGAGTGCTGCTGATGTTGCTGAACATTCCCACATCTACAATCGACAGTGACGAAAAATCGATCCCGTTCAACGAGGTTAGACCTTCGCCCTCCTCATCCAACGCGAAAAGACTGATGGGTGTCATGGTCCCATGCTGCTTCAACAGGTGCTGCTGCCGCTGCGTCTCTAATCTGGAGTTTGATCCGACGGCGCGATTCAACTCCTTGGTGATCGTTGCAACTGTAGTGTTTGCTTTCGAGCTATCCACAGAGTATCCCTGACGGTCACTATTGTTGGCCCTGTGCGACAGCGCCATTTCTGCTGATACGTCTCCAGTCGCTAGATCGTCATCCATAGCAAACTGGACTTCTTCTGCATTATGTGGAAACGGACAGAACGGATCGAGTGTTGTGCTTCTCTCTTTGTAATGCGATCCCTCTTTATGCGACATATGGTGTTGGCTCTCGTCCTCAAATAATGATCGATCCTGCTGTGTATACGACAAAATTTGTCCGCCTGGAATAGCCAGGGCTAACGTCGAGATGGATCCGTCCGCATGGTCCAGCTCTGTGAGCGAACGCTGGAATTGAGATCTGCTGTTCGCCTGCACTGTCCCTACTTGTACATGGTTAAGGTGCAACGTTGCTATTAGTGTCATGGCACATTCCGCATATAGTATTCCTTCAAGAACGACCCAGGCACTCACCAGCCAGATCAGTACAAGAGCCGCTTATGCTGAGCAGGATCTCGTCCTCATCTTTGTCATCGCGCATAGATCCTGAGGCGGGCGAGGGAAGCAAGATGGGCCGGAATTCAGCGTCTTCCTGTTTGCTCTGTCGTCTCTGTCGCTCGTGGGCTGTCAAAAGATCGTTGAGAGAGGCGGGGAGGAACCCTTGATCCAGGCTACTGTCGTCGTCTGAGTCTGAAAGTTCGTTCTCCTGCATTCCATTATCGTACCCAGCAAAGCTACTTCGTCGACGCACAGTCTCGCCACCACCACTTTGACTATTGTACAAGTCGTGTAGCTCCGGGATCGAGTGCAGCCTTAAAGGTGAAGATGAGTTGGTGTCGGCCTCACAAGAAACTGACAGGAATAGGGCCTTGTTGCCTGGTTGGTGAAAGGGCGATGTAGGCAGAGCGCCTCCTTCATGTGATAAAGGCGTCAATCGAAAGATGTCTGGCAAAGACCGCTGCCGGATCGGCAAGGGGGCAGCCAAATGCTGACGCGATCGGTAATCCAGTAAACCCAATGGAGCAGGCGATGCGCGACCGGGATCTGTGCCTGCAGGCTCGTCATCTGAGAATGGTGAGCGGCGTTCGCCAATGTCCATTGAAGAGTTCATGTATAGCGCATTTCTTAGATTCTCTGAGGTTGCCCTGTTCAGTACCGGCCTCAAGTATCCCTGCTGACTTGCCGATTGGCCCATAGAAAACTCAACATTGTTGTTATTCAAATGCAACGTCTGCTGCTGTGGCAAGGTCGATCCATAAGGAGGTGACAAGGGTTCTGAGGGCCACATATTGTTGCTAAGAATAGCACCACTGGACGCCCGCCTCTCCAACCTTGTGCGGCCTAGGTTGCCACCAGGTAAGAATGCAGAAGTCTTGCGATCTGGTCCCAGGAACGAGTGAGACAAAGAACACTTCGCGCCAAACTTGCAGTTGCCCTTCAAAAAGTATTTGCAGACGAAGTTTTCTGATGGTGGATCTCTACTGTGCGAGAAAAGACAGTTCTTGCCGGCAGTGCACGCGCCGCTTTTGAAGAATTTGCAAGGGATGTGTTGGAGATTAGACGCTGTTATTGGACCGAGAAGGACATGGTTAGCTATAAGTTGCATAAATGACGGCCTGTGCTCGCCTCCAATAAGGCCCTTGGCTCACAAGACGAACGGAGATTGTACCTTTCGAAGACTGAGAAGGCGTGGGTGTTTGTCTGGGGAAGGGCATGACAGGCGCCCGATCCATGGGCCACAAAGGAGGTCGCTTGACGTTGAGGCCCATTCCGAAGCTATTATAGTTGCTGGGAGAACGGGCCATGGCTCCCGAGGGTGTGAGGGGCGGTGAAGCAATATGGAACATGTCGATTTGTGGGCCTTTTGTGGGATCGTTCCAGCGGCTGGGATCGAAGTTCAGTGGGGAGTCTTGATTCAACCCCTGATAATGTTGCGCGTGTGTGTTGGCGGGCGAATCCAAAAGCGAGGGAGTCATTGGTGAGTTCATGTGTGAATCTATCACTTGTCCGGCTTCTAGTCCTTGGAAATGAGAGAGCTGGTGCTGTTGCTGCTGCTGCTGCTGCTGCATAAAATGGATCTGACTCTGCATGTTGAGATGCTGTTGCTGCGCCGGCTGTTGCTGTTGCTGTTGCTGTTGCTGAAAGGCGCTGGAAGCGGACGCTGGCCTGGGGATTTGTTGTTGCTGCAGAGGATGGATAGATCCGTACGACTGAGATACCAGCCCCTGGTTGAGTACAGAGTGGCCAGACCTACTGCTTGAACAATCAAATGATGCAGAGGATGTTTGTTGGTTAGCATTGGCAATGTAGTATGTGGTATTTTTCGTTATCCATGTCGGACCAGCTGCTTTGTGGTTCCCATCTATGGCTCTTTTTAGTGTCAGTTCGCACTCCTGCAATAGGCTTCTAGCCTCGACTCTTCAGGGGCGATCAAACATAAAATGATATATAATGCAAAGTGAGAAAAAGGGGGAAGAGGACAGTGAAGACAGGATACGCCCGGCAACACAATAAGAAGAGTATAATAAAATATAATGAAAGAACCAAGCGACTTTTGCAGATTGCGATTCCAGGTTGGTCTGTCCGGCAGCATCTTACGTCCTGTCCTATCCTGTCCTGTCAGAGTAGAGAACAATGTGCTATCTGCATCCTCTGCTCCTTTGTCGAGGACGCAAAAATGAAATAAAAGAAAAAATAAAGTAGCATCTCTCCTTGTAGAGTAAGCAGGCAAGAAGAAGGAGCGGATGCAAGGCGGAAACAGGACAGGATAGAATAGGATAGTTGGCGTCTTTGCTGTCCAATCCTTTAATTGCGTACTCCCAGTCCGGATTGAGTACTCGTTGCGCCCTGTTCGCTTCCTTCCTTCCTGGAAGTGCTCTTTATGAATACATTGTCTTCTCTCTGGGCGAGCAATGTAGGCAAGGGAGTAAACTCGGAGCGGAAGCGCAGGAATGCAGTGGGAAGTGGAGTGGAGAATGGACTGCTCGCTCATTGTGTTCGATAGTCCCATGCATGGACCGTGACCCCCGCAGACGGCTCTCCGGACCCTCTTTTTTTCTTTTCTGTGTCGCCCATTTTCATTCAGGAGTCTCATAGCCACCATCACACAAAAGAGCCAATGACACTCTGTTCGTGGCAAACATTGTCGCCTTGTTGGCCTCTGTTGTTCTTCCCTCTCCTTACCTCGGCAACGGTGAGTATTCATTGACCACCCAGGGGTTTCCAGCCTTGTCACGGGAAGCAATTGACCGTTGCTGTTGTTGCTGCTGTTGCTGTTGAAGCTGCTGCTGAAGTTGAAGCTGAGTCTGGAGTTGTTGCTGTTCCTGCAAATGCATTTGGAATGAGCCATGCAACGACTCATTCAACGACTGAATCTGTATAACGGGCGTTGGTTGTTGCGGTTGCTGTTGCGGTGGTTGTGGTTGAGTCGCTTTTAAAAAGTCTTGCCGAGGGGCCGTGTGGTTGGAGTGGAGCTCTGTCTGCTGCGACTGACGGGGCACGACCGCTGAGCCATTGACCGGCTGTTGGAGCGCCAGCATTTGGTCGTTTATGACGATAGGACCGCACACTATTGGCGTTTTGTTCTGGCTCTGGTCCCTCTTTGTTTGAGTGTCGTGCTGCGACGGATGTGAACGTTGTTGTCGCTGTTGGGGTATCCTTGCTGCGGTTAAATATCTCCAATTGATTAGTGCTTGTAGGGACAGAGAAGATATTGGAAGGATGAATTGAACAGAAGAGAGTCGAAGAAGCAAAAGAAAGAGAAGAAGAAGAGGGAAGTAGGTAGAAACCACGTATACTTTTTATAGCAGAGTAGAAAGAGGAGGTGACAAGGCCCTCCTCTCATCATCTTAACCTTCACGCGTCCTACCGTCTTCCTGCTCTCGTCCGTTTCTTTCTCTCCACGATCGATCCTTCTCAATGTAACCTGTGTTATATTGCTGCTCCGGATAGCCGTTCTTCACCTTCATCTCTAGCTCCTGTCTTGTTGATCCACATCCTTTAGCTCTTCCTCTCCAGTTTCCAGTCTCACTCAACAATCAGGAACGAAAAAAAAAATCGCCGGGCGACATATCGTTTAACCATGATCGGGTCGACCGAGCGCGTCCTTACTAACGTAGCCAAACGCGCCCTTTCCCCTCCAACACGCAACACTATCGGAGACACAGTTGGTCGAGATTCCCACATGTATTGTGGTATGGAGTTGTCTAGTCACTTCATCCTGGCCCGTGGCTCATCAGCCCAATAGGTCAAGATGCAAAGTATATCCAGTCAAGAGGGGGTAGACAAGGGCAGCAAGGGATAGTGGTGCAAAAAAAAAAAAAAAAAAAAAAAAAAGAGGAGCAGGAGTAAGAGGAAGGGACGGGCAACAAGGGGTGCAGCCAAAGATGAGGCAATAGATGCTTCGTAAGACAAAAGAGCAAGTGAATATGAACAAAAGGGCGAAAAAGGGAGGTGGATAAAGATAAAACGAGGGGTATAATAATGCAGTGGAAGGGTGAAAGACAAAGAAATGAAGAAAAAAAGTAGAACCCACCACGCTGCTCATCATGGTCTTTCCCAAAGGCATGGATAAGAAGTGTGCCTGACCAAAAATATAACCAACATCGGATGTATCCACCCCTGCATGCATGCACGAAAAATTTTAGTGGTTATTTCTTCCTTCGTCCCTTTCTTTGTTCACCAAGAGGAAAAAGTAAGCCAAGAACAGCTCTGTATCATTGGCACATTCCCAAAGAGATATTTAAATTGGAGGAAGTAGTGCAAACCGAATAGATGGACGAAGGGAGGACTATCCCTCTCCTCGGTGCAGCTCATGAAACCAGACCGACGGATGGTTTGTCAGCCTAGGTCGCCATAAAGGGGCCAGCAAGGAGTCGGGCACATTCAATCTCGACTTGATAAAACTTACGAGATGCTCCATCTACTTCGCATAGTAACGCATCAAGACGCGACTTTTTGTAACTTTATTTCCTAAGACCCTGATCCCATTCCTGTGTTTGGCACCGCGACATGCGCCACCAAAGGACTGCCAATCCTGCCTTCAGGCTTCACTCGCTCTTGCCTCTCCTCGTCTCTCCCCACACTGTCATGCATCTGCTTCCCATGAACTGTCAGTAATGGTGTCGTTTCTGCAGTATGGAATGAAGTGAGGCCCAGTCGCCTTGTCCTGAAATGATAATACAGGCACATTCCCAAGAGCACAGCCTGAAGGACTGCCGCAAAAGCATACGGAAGCCATGTAGACCAATTGGCCCCGGGGCTCAGCGCCAACGAAACTGTCAGCATAATCGCTCCTGGTGTCTGCATCAACATCATTGGAATACTCAGCGCACCTACGGACTAGCAAAAAAATAAAAAAAGCGCTTGTTAAAAAGGCAAAAAATATCAAAGCAATAATATTCCGCCCTTCAAAACGTACTGATACGGTTTCTCTCCTTACCTTTCGAAAGCGCGTTTCAAGGATCTGAGGAATATACTGGATCATGGTCAAGAGCACACTGGCGATCCCCAAGAACCCGGCCCAAACCAGTGTCCATGCACTATGACGCTCAATACTGTTATGGACCGACGCTAGGAGGATGGTCGTGATGACGGTCGAGACGACCACGTTTCCGGCAATGATCTTTGCGAAGAGGAGAGAGATTGCCCAGGTGAACGAGCGAGATGGCAAGCAGAACAGGCGGCATTTCCGCACAAGCGGGTTGATCTTCTTGTGGGGTGGAAAGTAGATCAGGTACAAGGCGAATCTAAAGGTGGAAATAGGGGGTGAGTTTGAATGGATGTGGTCCATTCGGAAAATCCATGTGCCCAAGGCGCAACTTACATTAAAGTAAATAGCACAGACTGAACAAAGAGCTGTGCGATCGACAGTGTGCTCTCTAGACAGCGTCCTGCGCTCTATTACCGTGGAAATCAAAGGTCATGTTACGGGTGAGTATCATTTTTTAACGATCGTCAATTCAGTCTTCTTTGTTAAAAGATGCTATTTGTATCATATACAACTACTTACTGTGATTGCACAACATCGGATGGACCTCCATTGTAGGATGAGGATATTAAAAAACGACCAACTTGTTGAGAGGCATCCAAGGAGTAGGAACCAAGGACTGAGGCCGTCACTGCTGCCCTTGTGGATGATTCGGAAATGCTACGAGTATCCGGCTTTGGGTGTTATTCATCAGCTGTACGACTTGAATGTCATTTCATAATGACAGTATGTACCTGAGGCAAGTAAGAGACTATGATGCCTATGAGCACCAATATCGAGAGTGTCAGCTCATAACTGTTACGCCTTGATGTACACTCTTCTGGTTGTGGTGGCCTCGGTAGCGATAATGAAGCGAGTATTTCAAGTACTGGTGGAAGAGGATGCAGCATCGTGAAAAAGGCTGGAGGAGGGAAGATAAAAGAATGAAGAAAGTGCAGCCCATGTTGGGTGGGCGCAATTCGAATTATTCAATGGCCCCTAATTTTCATATCTTCCCCCCTATCCGCGTGCAACGAAACGGTCAGATGGTTGGGCAAAGGTCTTCTGCTTGGGGCGTGCAGTCTTCTTAGACGCCTTTACTTTTAATGGCCTCCTGCGCTCTTGCACTTTGCCAGGCAGACGACTCCAAATTGGACAAAGCTGCTGCAACTGGTACCCACGGTCTATCGATGCTGTGCTGCCGACACAATAACCATGTTCACTAGGAAGGATCACTCTTCAAAGGGCTCGTCGTATTCTTTTGAAACACTTACCTGTCAAACTGCTTGATGGGTTTAATCGGTCAATTGCTGTGCTTCTTTTTCTACGCGTTCTGAACGAACTAGGTCGCGTCGTGTCTTCTTGAATTGTGACCAAAGTGCATAGTAATACACAGTCACTTTGTTTACCTAAACCAGCAACTTGACAAAAAAAAGGTGTTCAACCTTCAAACCCTCAACCTACCTCGAACCAGTGCCTCTTCGCCTTTCAGGACTACCACCACCACCACGGGACCCTCTAGTTTGCGTCCCCTCACCTACTTCATATAATATCATCGACAATGTCAGAGGACGCAGGAAGCTCGAGCACCAACCCTCGCACAGGTACGCCTGCTGCTACAGGTTCATCTACAGGAAGTGCATCAGGAAGCATTGGCTCTCTTCATACCCCAACTGGCACGCCCGCAGGACGGCTAACCTCCCTCCGTGGGGGACGTGGAGGTGCAGGTGCGGCCCTGGCTTCGAATCGCGGTGGTGCCTCCAAGGTATGATTTCATTCAGGGACAAATTGCGCTTCGAGAGCAACTGCGGTGGAGCTGACAGTACCCATGGGTGTTATTTTTATTTTATTTTTTGTTGGCTGCTGCTATAATAGATGAAATTCACCCCAACAGTGCCAAGTAAACGTAACAAGAAGGATGCGTAAGTACCCTCAATAGCTATGGCTAGCTGCAGTAAACTACAGGATGTGTATTGGAGAGATTGAACTGATGTGTCTTTTTTTTTTCTTTTGCGTGTTCAACAATAGTGCACCCTCTCTACTGGAAGAGGCTAGAGCTGGCGCTGGATCAGATTTTGGACGCGGTTTGGTAAAGAAAAGTGGGGAGGGCCTTATTTGCTTTTATCGCTGGGAAAGCTTTCACCACCCTCATGCTTGCCACCAGCAAATTTGAACCAGAATGACTCACAGTTGCGCTCGTTGTCAACAACGTCTTTTTTTTTATCTCCTGGATAGAACCGTGGACGTGGCGAGCGTGGAGGCGCAAGGGGACGTGGTCGGGGAAGGGGTCGTCCCGATGAAGTCATGGCCACAGCTTCTGGACCCTTCTCACTTGGACCTGCAGCATTCGGTATGCAGCTATACTATCTATGATTGCCATGGTTTTTTGCTGTTGGTTATTTTTTAATTTTTATTTTCATGGTGCTTTGGTCTGACCAGGCTACGATTTTATTTTTATTTCTTTATATAGCTCGCTCGAGGCAAGTCGCGACAGGTGGAGGCGCTAGTGGAGCACATTCGAGCTACACGGGCATTGAGACAATCAAGGTCGAGGGCGGCGAGGGCTTGTCAGGCGAGGATCGGGATTACTATGGGGCCTTGGCTGTTGACATGAAGTTTGGATCGGTCGCCACAGATGCCTCTGTACCTACTGGAATCGAGGGTCCAACTGACGATATCAAGAATGGAACTCCCGGGGCTGGATCTTCGATTAAGACTGAAAAGATGAAGGAGCAGGATATGGAAGACGTCGCTGTTGGTAGCGGTCCAAAGATCAAGGATTACGGTATCAAATCATTCGAAGGCACAACAGTGGACGAAAATGGTATGTTTCAAATGGACCATCGGCTGTCGATTGTCAAGTGAGCATTGGCAAGCGAACTAACGACCCGACACTTCATGGCTATTTTATTGTGAATGTGTACAGAGGGAGACGACGAAGATATCAAGCTAAAGCTGGAAGGACCGGCGCAGGATCTGATGCCCTCTGTAGGTTTTTTTTTTTTTTTTTTTTTTTTTTTTTTATCAAGTCGCATTATACAGCCCGCTCTTTTATTTTGTCCGCAATTTGCTACAAGCTAGATCCATAACCTCACTCTTTGTCCTTTTTTGATGATGGCCAATTAGTGGGCTGAGGATCAAATGTTCTTCTTCCAATTCCCTAGTGTCATGCCCTCGTTCAAGCCCAGACCTGTCACCGATATCCCCATGTCCTCCGTTATCTCCTCCTCATCTTCGTCTCCAGCATACAATTCCCTTTACAGCACACCCGACGGCACAGAAAAGACGGAAGACTCTGAAGATGGATTGTTGGCAGTCAAATCCGAGCCCATTGATGTGGATCGACCGATTTTGATTCCAGACCATGACCGGAATTTAGCGCAGGTCAAGGCAGAACAGCACGATGTCAAACTGGGAATCGCCGCGATGGACGGTGCTGGATCCGGTAGCTCTGCGCCGGTCGGTCAGCGCGCGAAACCCAAGGCCCCAGCAACAGCAGGAGCGAATGCGACTAACAACAAGGGTGCGGAAAAGGAGGAGACTGAGGAGAGTCATCTGCAGCAGGAGGGCAAGATTGGACGGCTACTGGTATACAAGTCTGGCAAAGTCAAGATGCAGATTGGCGACATTGTCATGGACGTGTCTTCTGGATCTGAATGCTCATTCTTGCAAGACGTGGTTGTCGTGGACTCGAACAACAAGCAGGCGTTCGTGATGGGATCTGTGCAGAAGAGGATGGTTTGCGTGCCGAACTTGACGCAGCTGCTGAGTGGCCTTGAGGCCATGGATGTATAGTTGTCGAAGGAAGGAAGAAAGGAAGGGCACGACTAGGGAACACGCTTTTCATCACACTCTGCATAGAATAAAACGCATTTCATTCATAGTTATATTCAATGCCGTTTATCTTGAACTCTTCAAATGGTGCCATCTGACGACGCATTATAATTTACTGAAGTTTGAAAATCTGCAAAAAAAGAAACGAGTTATAGTGCAACAAATTCTTCGATCCTCTCTTGTATTATATCCTCCGCACGACTAGATGCCGTTATCCGTAAACTTCAGTCCGAAATTGATCATAATGGCCGCCAAGATGAAGACACACAGCACCGTCGGACCAAAACGATCATCATAAGGGCCAGGCTGTCTCTTCCGAATCCGATCTGCTCTCCAGTGAAAGGTGACGAGGGCGTAGATCATGACGACCATGGCCACGAACGTGAAGACGCCAGCAGAGATCCGCCCGACACGGTCGCCAAAGTTCAGCAGGCCAATGGCAAGGGATCCCAGGAGGACTGTGAAGTTGAGCCAGGAGAGGAACGTGCGTTCGTTCGCGAAGAAGACCTTGGGCTCCACGCGGACGGGCAAAGCGATGCGCTTGCCGGGTGTCGCCTGCAAGATCGGTACGGACGATGAGGTCGGCATCGTCAGGGTGTGGATATGTTGTTGGGAGGATCCTGCTGCTACTGACATGGCTGTAGTGTGTTGTTGTCGTTGTTGTTTTGTTCTCCTATGCAAAGTCAAAATAGAGATACCATCAGACAAGGGCAGCACCACACATACAGACATAGCACTGATGGGGTTTACTGATCAATAAAATGGTTGCCCAAGTTGAGGGAATTTGATGGAATTGGTGGTGCTGGTGGTGCTGGTGGTGTTTCGCGATGGGTCCGTTCACCTGCGTTTGGTAATCCCTGGTAATCCCTGGTAATCTTTTGTAATCTCTGGTAAACTTTCCCCAAAAGTTGATTTCAAGAACGCAATGGTGGAGTGAAGTTGTCTTGATGGCAAGGAGCGTTATGAGAGTGGACAAGCATGCGAGAGGGATCCACTTACGAACAGATGGAGGAATGTGTGGAGGTATTCAAAAAGAAGAAAGGAGGGGAAAGTGAAGTAGTGGAGTGCGCTGTGGAGAACCACACAAAAAAAAAAAAAAAAGTGACTGTGCGGCCCGAATTTTCATAGACTGGACCAGGATCAGTATGAAAGGAACGGCATTGAAGATGTATCTAGTCTACTATCGCGCCTTCTTGAAAAGAAGCAGCAGTTGGCACGCCGCTCAGTTTATGTGCATGATAATATTACATGATTCAAGATCCCTAGAGGGCTTATCTGTCTAAAAAAAAAAACTAACGAGGGTATGGTAACAGGGCGATCTAGATGTTTGTCATTGATGTCCCTGCTGAAAGGCAGAAAACGAGCAATGATGATAGAGATAGAAAAAATATATACAAGCGTAAAAGTACAGGATGGAAAAGAGAAGAATTAGCGAAGTATGGGAATATATATATATAATGATGGACGGACGAACGCAGGAAGGACGCCTTGAATCCTTGAATTAAGCAATGTGCACCGCAGGAGATCCATTCTATTTCAACGAACAATAACAAAAACGTTAGTCCGTGCACCGCAACAAATGTAAGCTGAATTGAAAGCTAGGGGCAGCCATGTCAGCAAGAAACAGCACTTACGAAGGGGTGTCTCCAGCCGCACTGGAACTGGCTCCGGTGGTAGCCATCGCCACTTGTCGAGGTATTATAGCCGAGATGGCCCTGGAGAAGTGTCTTGCTGATGACCATCGTGCCTGCGCAGCTGGAGCAGTAATCGTGCTTGCCCAACATGCAGTTCTGGAGACTAATGTCGGGTGGAGACGCGACCTCTCCGCGCTCATGGGCAAGGACGTCGTTTTCGAGCACGAACGTCGCAGTCAAGGCCACAGATCGCTTGAAAATCAATCCGCTGCCGCCAGTCGCAACAAACACGCCGCAATGGTCAGGCACCTGTCGATTGGCCTCGTAGATCGTGTTCAACGTTTCCTGCCATCCTCCTGCACAGAAAGGGAAATCATCCTCCATGATGCCGAGGTAGACCGTATCCTCTACTGTTCCAACTTTGCGGATCGCACTAATGAGGTGCTTGCGCTGGTTCTTTTCCGACCCCTCCTCTCTGACCCACTTGACGTGCTTGCGGGCCTTGGGGATGGTGCTGAAGTAGGCCTTTGCCTCGTCAAACGCGTCAAAGTCCGTGAAATGAGTATACACAACAATCTGGATACGTGAGTACAATGGATCGGCAGTCTCGTCCGGAAAGTTGTCTAGGTACGATGTCAGCGTCTGTTTGATGTAGGCAACTCCGTTCCTTCTGGGCGCAGTCATCAAGACGAGGGTGAGCAAGAATGGTGCTTGTGGCTCAATGGCTTCGTTGAGAACATCGTTGGAGATATTGGGCCTGTAGGTGTGGAGCTGATTGCATCCGATGAGTACCAAGAGGAGCACAAGGATCATAGGCAGGATGTATGTCATGGCCTTCCAGAGCGTAAACGACAGCTTTCTTTCGCGGATTGAAGCTGATCCTGTGAGGGTGATGTCCGGGTAGTGCGCCGTTGGTGTCGACTTTGGAGATGATGCCAAGGACTCCAAGTGTTCGCTATCCAGTTCCTTTGAAACAGCCACCAATTGCTCCTCCTCGCTGGCGTAAACAAATAGGTCCGCATCCTCCCACTGCTGTCGTTCAAATACGGACGTTTTAACCTTGCCACCCCAGCGACCCATCCTGCGCTGATATGAGACAACAAGCGCGACGAAAAAACCGACAGCCAGACCTGTACCAGTCCACCAGACAATTGCTTTCGGGATGACGTTAAACAGGCAGAGGATGATCTGAATATGGATCCTGCGGAAGATCCAGAAGGATGTCCATGGCTTGCTGCTGCTGCTGCTGTTGTTGTCACTCGGTGATGATGATGATGACAGGGTTGACTCCGGGAAGAGTGCCTGCACGACCAACAAGGCGAAGAGAAAGGGACCCAGGCCTGTGAAGACAATGACATAATAGAAAATAGTGGTTGTAAGCAGATGTCATTCCTTGACGCGCCAGTTAAGGTTTTAAACTGCATTGACGATTGTGCCTGGAAATAAGATTATCTCATTCTGACAGCTGATAGCGAAAAGATAACCCGCGTGGTAAAAACATATGGGAAAAACGGACAGGGCTGTGCCAGCGACAAACATGTCATTGGAAGGAGCGAGAGTGGGCGATTCGGGCAACCTATTTCTCATTGAAAACCACCAACGCCAGCACTTTCATCACCCCATTGGCGCTATGTCCCTGGAGAAGTTTTTTTTTCTGTGTTTTTTGCATCGCCTGTTTGATCATGCAGGCTGCGCCCTGATTGCCATTGACAAGACTGAAAGTCCACTTTCACGAGGTTCGTCCAAGCTGGCATCACGCATGTCAAACTCGACTGGCAAGCTGGGATGGTTGAGCATTCGTTCAAAGGAGAGATCCTGAAACCGAATCAGAAACGATTCAAATCGACTCTGTCGCAAAGAATGAAAGGAGCGAGAGCCATCCCCATGAGAGACGAAAAGCGGATCCTTTTTTGTGTGTGTATGTGTGTATTTTTGTGCATACAGATCGAGTCCTTTGGTTTGAAAAATAACCGTAATCTTTTTCCTTACCTAGATTGCACTCATGCATCGAGTCGCTGAAGAACAGCGCAGGAAACTGCCATCCCAGTGATCTGGAAAAAATGAAGCCCAGGAGCTGGCGAGACGCCAAGACCAGAGCCACAATCGTCAGAAACAGGTTGCGGAAGATCCGCGAGCCGTTGCCATTGAAGATAGTCGTCAGTCGCTCCTCAAAGAGTGCCAACGAGATAATGTTGGATATGGCGAGCAAGAGCGAGGTTCCAAGAGTTTGTTGAGCGGAGACCAAGAGGGCTGGCGTCAATGGCACCACAAAGGGCGATGCAATCATGGCGGCATACTGTCCTGCATACAGAACATGCGATGGTGCTGTACAATGATCAGGAAAATGGCCTCCCAGTGCAACAAGACTCTGCAGTAATGTCAACAGAACGACAAAGCGAGTGACAGGCTGAGAAAGAAGCGATCCAACAGAGAGATTAAAGACACTGGAAGGGTTGCTGGAGGGATCAGACGAAGGTGCAGATCCGACAGGTTGAGAACCGAGTGTGATGACTGTGCTAGTGCTACCGCTGTTGCTGTTTGGTGCTGTAGGCGACCCTGGCGTAGATGCAAAGCTCTTTAGGTGGAAGGAGGTTGGCGATTGAGGCGGGGTCGGGACAGTGTAGGTGGAGCCGATCATGGAGGCCGGTGAAGATGGCCTTGAGCAGGGCGAGGGTGAGATAGAGGAGGCGTAGGAAGTGCAGGCGGCATGGGAGTGTGAATGGGAATGCGGATTGAGGTGCTGTGAAGATATTGAGGAGTGCATCATTGGGGAAGCACTCCTTTGTTGTGATATTGATGACATTTTCGTTGCTTGGTACAATGTGGAGATGAGAGATAGAGAGTGATGGATTGAGAAATTGAGGAATTGAGGAAGAAGGAGCGAGAAGAGAAGAGTAGAGTCTAAAATAAAAAGAAAGTCGGTCTTGTTAGAATCGAGAAGGGCTAGGAAGACGAAGCCGAAAGAGAATGGCTATTCCATGGAGGTGCCACAAGTTACCGTAAGCCAGAATAAAAAGAAGAAATTAAAGTGATCGAAGCGAAGCAGCGAAGCAGTTAAAGTATTAGAGGGAAAGGGGAAGAAGGCGGTGTAAAAATACCGGAACAGGAACCCTTTTATAGTGCAGCTAGCGATCCTTGGGCCTGAATGCCTTGATTGCATAGCACAAGTCTATTACCAAAAGCCTAAACTTTCTTTATTTTTATGGTTACAGCCCTTCTTATGATGTTGCGGTGATGTCCATTTGTCCCACCGATTGCACTGCCTATGCACCTTACACCATCGCAAGCTAACAACCCCTACACAGCACTAATCCTCAAATGACAATCCTACACTGAGAGTAAAAAATAAATCATCACTTCTTGCCCCCTCGTCTATTTTTCCTCTTGGCATCCCTCTGAGTGGCAAGTGACATTCGGCAAATGGTAGCACAGGATGCAGTTTAGTCACTCTACATACCTGACACACACCAATGTGATATGACCTTCTATCACCGACTTTTCTGCAATAATCGGACTCACCCCTTGTGGTCCTAGGTGATTTTCCTGCTTCTTAACATTCCTTCGTTCGGCGTTGTAACGATGAGACAGGAGGAGTGAACAAAGGAGTGGGGAGAAGAATTAGAGGGGTAGATATAGTTCGTTACAAGCAACCGCCGTTCCGTCCTGTTCCCATGGATCGATCAGGAGTACATGTGCAGGATAGGTTAGCCAGACGCAGGGAGCATTATTAAAATGAGAGCTTGCAGCAAACTAACTCCTCTTCAAAGCCCATGCTCCCCCACTTGCTTCCATTGAGCGATTGGCTCTCATTCTCTTAATCAGCTTTTGGTACATGTACATGTATATACAAATGAACAATACGGTTAGAACTAAACGTAGTCCATGCAGCGAGAGCATTTAATTGTTTGCAGAAAAGCTTTTTATTATTATTATTTGAATAGATCTCCTTAATAATGGATGCTGGCTTCCAACCGGTCCCCCTGTGCTTTCATATTGTTTTCCATGGACACCCGCTCAAAAGAGAGAGAACGAGTATGTGTCTTATTCTTCTCTCCTAGAATATTAAAGGTTCGATTTGCCTCGGCGCAGCCATGATGATTACCGGGAGTGCTACTTGAGGGTATCAACCGTATTACTTTACCCCTGTACGGCTGAACGCGTGCCTCCACAGTCCGCAGGCCCTGTCCTATGAGATTGTCCCCGGGTTTGAAAAGGCCCTGTGGTCTCTACACGTGATGTCGCTATTATTATCGCGCGTTCCTGGTGCCATGTCAGCCTAGCGATCCCTCCATTGCTCTACCATCAGCATCCTTTCCTTGTCCCTAACATCAACCCCTTCCAAGTCTTGTCAGACATCCCTACACACCTTCGCAACCCCACATACCTACTCATCCCTCATGCGCGCCTCACTCATCCTTTCCGTGGGCGCTATCCTGCTCTCCTCTTTGGCGGCGCACTCTGACGCCCAGCAAGTGTGCAACGGCTATGCGGAGCTGTGCTCCAAGACGTTCGACAAGGTGTCGTATGCCACCACCCATAATGCCTATGCCTACACTCCTCCTGGCGGGCTGGCCACCAACCAAAATAACGACATCCCGACTCAATTGAAGGACGGCATCAGGGCGTTTATGCTCGATGCCTATCCCACACCATCGGGCAATGCAAAAGACATTGAGCTGTGTCACAGCATGTGTAAGGGTGTAAACTATTCTCTTTGGACACACCCTCCTCAAATTACATTTCGTTGGCACTTATTCCGTCAATGACTCTCTCCCTCTAATCCTCCATAAGGTACTTTGCTCGATGCTGGCCCGTTATCCAAGGTTCTTCAACAGATCAAGACCTTCATGGATGCCAACCCCAACGAGGTATGTTTTCTATCACCCCTTTCAATAATGTATTTTTTTTTCTTAACATGCATTAATGTGCTACAGCTCACCATCTTGTACGAATGTATTTTTAACCCTCACTGACCTCGTTTGTAGATTATTACGATTTTATGGGAGAACGCCGGAAACCTCAAGCCCGCGCAATTCCAGGTAAAGTGCTTTCAGCCATGCTGCCATGTGTCACATTGACCGCCAACTCCAAAGGGGGAGGGGGTTTAAAAAAAATCAACTAACAACTAACAAACCTCATTGATAGGCGGCGTATGCGGCTGCTGGGCTCGATAAGTACGCGTACACGCAGACAGCTAGTGCTAAAACATGGCCCACACTCGCTCAGATGATCTCGAGCGGAAAACGGATGGTTAACTTTATTGACGGCGGTGCGGATGCTACTGTGCCATGGCTCATGGCCGAATACTCGTTCGTGTTCGAAACACCCTGGCAAATTCCAAAGGGTTCCGCATACCCTTGCACGGTGGACCGTCCCAAGAACCAGCGCAAGCAGGTATGATGCGCGATATCATGCTCTGGTTCGAACTTTTGGTGTTGCATACATTGCGCATTCCAATTCTCATTATGGTCTATTTTTTTTTTTATCTTTTTTCGACAGATGTATGTCTTGAATCATTTTATTTCGGGACAGTTCCCACTCCAAGGTCTAACAGTGGACATGCCCCAACCAGGCGCAGCGAATGTTACCAATGGAGCGGAACTGACCAACCATGCGAAGGACTGTCAGAAAACTTTCAACCAGCTCCCCAATTTTGTTGCCGTCGACTTTTATGAAAAGGGCAACTTGTTGCAAACCGTCGCGGAGCTCAACAACGTCAAATGGAACAACCAACAACCTACTGCTGCTTCCATTGCCGGAACCGGTACTGGATCTGGATCTGGATCTGGATCGGGTTCTGGAAGCGGAAACGGAGCTTCGTCTGACTGGAAACATTTGAGTAAGATGACCCTTGGAGCTGCTGCTTTAGCAGGAGGCATTGGAATGATGGTCCTTTAAGATCGAGTAGAACAGGCCCTCGTATCTAATAAAGATAATAAAAATTTCAGTTGGCAGGCTATGCTGGAATGATCTGTCTGGAGCTTGCTACGGGTTCCTTGAATTCAATTAACGCGCTCGTCGGCTGTGCACCTCGATGTGTAGTTAGACCGCTATGCGCCATAGTGCATTGCGTGTCCTACAGGAGCGTGATGGTTAGAAACGCTTCCTTCTTTTCTTTGGTTGCAATTGACTGCATTAGACCTCCGGATTCTATCCCACTCTAAACAAAGTGAATGACGGGTTAGAGATGTATAAATAGGATGGTTTAAGAACGCTACCACCAGGTGAGAATGTAGGAACGATGGGTGATATTTGTACTTTATGGTCAACAATTCACTCGACAAACGACAAACGACAAACGGCAACCAAACAACAACTTGGTCCTGCGCTATTATACCGAAACAACAACGTGCAGGGAACAAAAAGAGTTGGATGTGAAGGAATCATAAGCTTTTGGGCAGGCGAGCGTTTAAACCATGCTTGGATTTACGTTACACGCGCAAAGGTCCTCCGTTCTAGGAATTTTTTATGGGGTAACTAGAAAATCCATGCAGATAACCAAACGCGTGGTGTCCAAAGATCGTTTATGCGAGAATGAGGGGGAAAAAAAGAAGCATTCAGTTGTCTTTGTTGCTGTTACTGGTGAAGATGTTCGATGTCGATGTGTCGATGTTGTTTTGGCAAGCTAAAGGAGGACGCCTAGGTCCGTAGACTATACGCGTCAAGGAGGGTCGAGGTTTTGGGCGTATATCTTTTATGGCGTACAGTTATAGACCATGACGGCATGCAAAGTCAGAGGGCGTAGGTGGCCAAAAGGGCAAATAGGGTCTTACACTAATTTGTGAGATTTCTTGAAGGAGTGAGAGCGAGTGATGAACCCTATATATGTTTGCCATATAGCCGTTGTGGACCTTACTCTGGTCCTCTGAGGGACATCTTTAATAAAGTTTTCTGCAATTTTTTTTTTTACGAAGGACTTGTTGAGAGCACTTATATAGACTAGTAGACTACATACCATTGCGGAGATTTCATAAGTGCACATCGATAACCTAAAGTAGACATTTTATTGTGTGGGAAGAACTGGCCCATGGATCGGACTTTGGGGACTGAGGGATAGCAACCACTATGATTGGGCACCACGCCTGGGCATACATGTGACATGAGGGCCGTAGGGACGGGAGTATTTGTGGGTTGCAATGAGCACTGACTGTGGTTGAGACAGAAGCGGAGCGGGGATTCATGGCGGTGGAGTGTGTGAAAGCGGGGTAGATGATGATGTGAGATGAGGCGACCAGAGGGACAGCGAAGCATCACACCGCACAAAAGAAGAGGACTGTATTGCTATCTTCCTGCTCGACCTAATGGATCGACAGTAGGAGCAATAGACAGTGTACCATGCTCTGGTTTGGGTAAATTGTCCTTTTTGTTTGTTTTGTTGTTGATGATGCCTAACCTTAGTAAGTTATTCTCCATCTAGTAAACACGGGCGATCTCTAAATGCAATGCGTGAACAGACGAGCGACTTGTCCCCTCTTTCCTTGCCATTGTTTTCTTATCGCCAACAGGCCCGAATTAGGGTTGGGCGATATGAATCCGGCCTGATCAATCGCTCGAGCAGCAAGGAACCAGCGGCCACGACAAGAAACAGTCTGGTCTGAGTGAGTGGAGCGGAAACTTAACCAAGGCAGTGAGTGGCCACTCACTCCAGTAGCAAGCGGGCTGCCGTTTTTTCACTTTTACCCTTCTTTTTGTGCCCGAAACGCTAATCGGGAATGACCAAGTCTAGACTAAAGACACATGAAGTGTGCACAAACGGCATCTACGGATACGAGTGAATTGTACAAGCCCGAAGAGTGCCATGCAAACAAGTACTGCTGCTCTCGATCTTCATAAAAGGGTACTTACTATGCCCCCGTGTCCCGGTTCCTCTTCTCCTCTTGCTTTTCCCTTCTCAGTCTTTCTTCGCACGCTTGACTCCCTATACCCCTCCCCCTTCCTTCTTTCACGCACCTGTACATTACCGCCGAAACTATCTCCCACAAATCAATCCCCTTTCCTCCCTTCTACGTAGCCACATACACTTCATCTGCTCATAACTCATTGACCATGAACGGGGATCACATCGGCACCCACGGTTCAGGGGATAAGATGGAGGTGCAATCCTATTCCCAGGGAGCCCCCATCGACCATTATGACGAGAAGGCAGATGTCTCGCTCCACGATGACACCGATCTGAGCAACCCCACCACAGGCGATGTCGGCCAGGGACTCCAGCGCAACCTTGCAGCCCGACACTTGACTATGATCTCTCTTGGTAAGCATAATCAGACACAGTCTACCTTTATCTAGTCCCCTCCTTTTCATGGCATAGCAAATCCCATTTCTTCCCTTCGGCAGCTCTGTCCTTTGTTGCCTGCATTCAGCCATCGATCTTCAGTCTGGTACATAAGCAATGGAGCATACTGGTCGTATGAATCCTTGCTTTGGATCATCGTTGCGTATGCTTTATGTTTGCTCTCATAATCGTGTTGCGATCAGCCGTTTGTTTGTTTGTCTTCGCATGCACGGCCTTATCGAATTTCTCGACCGGCGACAAAATCCAATGCCTCAAAAATTCAAAACGGCCAAAAAAGTAGACCACTTCACCGGCTGTAACCTTAAACACTTGACCAGTCGCCCACGGCTGTTGTAGGGACAGCCATGATCTCATCTCACATAGCTCACATAACTCACATAACTCGCATAACTCACAAACAACTTTTTCTGTGCATGCTTCACAGGAGGAACCATTGGCACAGGTCTTTTCCTGGCCTCGGGATCGTCCATTGCTACAGGCGGTCCAGGTTATTCGCAGATCGCATACACCCTTGTGGGAACGATGGTCTTCTGCTTCATGTCTTCGCTCGGTGAGATGGCCACCTACCTACCCATCACAGGATCGATCAACGCCTACGGTACCCGCTTCTTCGATCCTGCTCTTGGATTCATGTTGGGTAAGTACTCCTTGGAAATATTTTTTACCAGCTGGATGAAATCTGTTGGGTGGCTGGCCAGGGCCGAACTTTTGACCCAATCCCCTGGGTCCCGTCTTGGTCCTCATCTGGGGCATGTGACCATGCAGCTTTTTCTTCTCCGCTTGGCTTCTAAGACTCAAAAGTTAATCACATCTACTTTCTCATATCGCATCTGCTAAAAATCTCTCAGGTTGGGTCTACTGGTTCTCATGGTCCATCACCCTCGCTACCGAACTCGTTGCATCCTCGCTCATCATCTCGTATTGGATTTCGACCGAAGCTTGTCCAGGATGGGTTTGGGCTTTGGTCTTCATCGTCATCCTCACTGGGCTCAACCTGACGACCGTCAAGGCGTATGGTGAGACCGAATACTGGCTCAGTTTGACCAAGGTCCTTGCAGTCATAGTCTTCATCATCGTCGGTTTCCTCTACATTGGAGGCGCTATTGGCACACCCATCGAAGGAGCACCCAAGCCCGGACGCGAGGTCTTTGACATGGACCCTTTCCATGGTGGTTTTATTGGTCTCTTCTCCATCTTCTTGAACGCTGGGTTCTCCTTCCAGGGAGCAGAGTTGGTTGGAATCGCTGCTGGTGAAACAAAGAACCCCCGCAAGAACGTTCCCCGCGCTATCCGTCAGGTTTTCTGGCGCATTCTGATGTTCTACGTCCTCACTATCTTGATCATCGGCATGACCATCCCTTACGACGACCGAGAGCTTGCCAACCCTGACGGTGACGTCAAGGCTTCGCCCTTTACCCGTGTGTTTGTCCAGGCTGGGATCAAGGTCGGCGGCGATGTCATGAACGCCGTCATCCTCGTCGCCATTCTTTCCGCTGGTAACTCTGGTCTGTATGCCTCCTCGCGTGCACTTCACACTTTGTCGAAGGAGGGTAACGCGCCCAAGTTCCTTGGCTACGTCAATCGCTGGGGTGTGCCCGTGTACTGTGTCCTTGCCACGACATTGGTCGGCTGCTTGGCATTTATTGTATCGCTCCCTCAGGTCGGTCAGGGTGAAGCCTACAACTGGCTGCTGTCTTTGTCCTCCACGACTGGCTTTATTGCGTGGTTGGGTATCGCGGTCTCTCACATCCGCTTCCGCATGGCTTACAAGGCCCAGGGCCGGTCTTTGAGCGAACTTCCTTTCGTCTCGCGTCTGTACCCGTTCGGACCCATCTACACTATTCTGGTCTGCTTGGTCATCTTGATCGGCCAGGGCTACACAGCCTTTTCACCCTTCGACATCAAGTCCTTCCTGTCGGCCTACATCACGCTGCCATTCATCGTCCTCCTTTACTTTGGAAAGAAGTACTGGAGCAAGACCAAGATCCTCAAGTTGGTCGATGTGGATTTGGACACGGGACGGAGCTTCATGCACTCTGCCATGCCTGTGATGGACAACGAATCTGAGATGAACCAAAACAAACGCAAGCCCAACATCTTCCGCCGCGTACTCAGTGCTATCTTTTAATTTATTAGAGCGTTTTTTATAAATATACCAGAATAAAGGAAAAAAGCTGCTCTTACTACATGCACGATATGTTTGCATCACCTTTTGACCCTGGATAACGGTTTTTTTTTTTTTTTTTTTTTTTTTTGCAAAGACTGCCTTAACAGCATATTTCGCAGCGCTTGCGCAATGCCTTGAAAGAGAGGGAGAGCAGCAGGTACAGACACCGTTTAATTCATTTATGCACTTTCTTGCCCCCTCTGATAATTTCCTTTTGCGCGTAATATAGCAAGATAGAGCCAGAGCATTCTACCTTATACCACGCGTAAACTGCTGTTTCTCTTCACGAGAGCCGTCATGGCCACATATAGAGTCGTGCCTAGTTCTACCAGCATTCATAGGGTTGGTTGCACAAACGAATGCAGTGGTAGCGACCAAATGTCCGTGCGCTCATGTCATTGTTTGTTACACCGGCGTCAATAGCACAGCTACCACATTTCATATCTCTTTCTCGACGTCCTTCATAAACATTTACTGGTGTGACTCCCGATCTCATGGATCCACACCGGTGCTTATTATCTTAGCATGTATGCATGCAGGTTGCGGCGATATTCTGTCTGGACCCAGACGTGCTCAGACGTGCTCAGCTCCAGTAAGTTGTTATCGGCCTCCAGGAGACTCTGTCTCCGTCCCCAAGAATCGAAAGCACGCGGTGCAATCTAAGGATGCTCGGGAGATGCTGCTTAACAGAGCAATGAATTCCAAAAAATAGGAAATAGGAGATACGAGCTCCTCCCGCTCTGTGATTACGATGGCGCCAGTGGAGAGCTGGTGGGAGTCTCTGTCACTCCCTCGATTTCTCCTGACCCCCCTTCCCCTTGGTGTCCATGCGTGCTCCTAATTAATGCGCTTCACGTCTTTGTAACGAACCTTGGGGAACGCGACGGGCCCTCCTTTCAATAAAATCCTCACTCCTTGATCCCCTTTATTTTTATCTGCCTATTCGCCTTCCTCGCTCATTAAACAAAGTTAAAACGCGATCTTCGGGCGGGTGTGGTCCACCTGTGTTGGCATCGTAGTCGAATCGCTCATCAACAGCCTAGCAAATCCTGCCTGCCCCTTACATCTTTAAAAAAAATGCACAAATGGCTCATAGTACAAAGTGCTCGCAAGCATCCCGCATCCGCTCACTGTTACTCTTTTTTTACGGCCCTTTCGATCAACACTTTCTCGCTTCAAGCAGCTGCAGCGACCGCCTACCACTCTTCATAAAGAACTCGCCAAGACTCATCCTAGTGTCGAGTTCTAATCAAGCGAATAACCCCAACTGTCAGGTCCCCCCCTCCCCCATTCCCCTTGTTCGTTTTACCCCTCGTTAACTGTGGTACCAAAGCAGTGCATCTACGTGTATATATAAAAGCTGGCTATCCATCCAACATCCCATCCCTCCTCCTCTTCCTGCTCTCTTGTTCTCCACAGCCCTTGACACGTAAAACTTACCCTCTATTGTGCATCATACAATCGACTTTCTCCCCCAGACAACATCCCTCACGCGTATCCCCTCGGCATCACACAGACCATGATCTTCTCTACTACCACCTACACCGCCATCCTGGTCTCAGCCCTGGCCGTGTTCTCCTCCTACACCCCTCAGGCAGAGGCTCACTCCTGGATGGACTGCGTCGACTGGAAATTCAACAACCCCTCCAAGCCCGACTGGTCCGACAAGGGAGGCAAGTGCGTGGGCTACGCGCGCCGCTATCCAATCGGAAAGCCCTTCGCCTCCCTGGACAGCGCAGATCCCTCGCGTCATTACCAACAGGCGGGTAACCCGAACACAGCACTGCCTTGCTCCGATCACAAGCACGGCAAGGACGTGGGCTCGGACGAGACACTGGCCCGCATTCCTAGCGCAGCCTATGGCGGCAAGTGGGGCCGTATGACCATGACCTCGGTCGGCGACACGCTGTGCGTTCGCTGGCCTGCCAAGAACCATGCGGAGCACAACGAGGATAACACGGTTGTGCAGATTAACCTGTCCAAGAACAAGAACGGCGCGGATCCGACCCAGCAGCAATTGCTCCAGAACACGATCGCTAGGTTGCCCTACAAGAACTGTGGATCTGCCTCTACGCCCGATAAACGTCCCTGCGGTGGATGCTTCAAAGTTCCTGTCCGTGCTAGTGGTATCTACCTGTTGCAGTGGAGGTGGATGGTACGTTCTATTGTAGCGTTGCGGAAAAAACGGGAGGATGCAAGGTGAAAATGAGGGGGAGTAGAAACGAATGGGGCTAACATACAATTTTCTTTTCTTTTTTTTTTTTTGTCCGTTATCTGCAGCTGAACCCCGGCGAGTGGTACACCTCTTGCGCCGTAAGTTTTCCCTTCATTTCTATATTTTGTCTTCTTGCCCTGGAAAAGATACCAAAAAAAAAAAAAAAAGGTCGTAGAGTACTAAATACGGGTAATCTTGCTCCCTTGTGACTAGGATATTCAAATTGGTGGAGATTCTGGCGTCGCAGTCGGCGTGCACAACGTTGCCGCTCGTCGTCACTAAAGAATCGCCCGGTTATTCTGACCCCTGTAGCAGAACACGAGTAACCGACGAAACCCTCTTTTTTTCCAGTTCGTCCATCTATCTAATTAACTATACTGTTTCTGCTTGTTATTACATATACTGGAGGCTTGTGATTTTGCATTTAGCCGTAGAAGCTCATCCTTTCTAGATTAACCACGATTAAAAAACACACTAACGCGTTACGCGTACCCATGAGAAACATGAAGGACGTGTTGTTGGGAACTGAGCGTCGCGTGGGGAGAGAGAGAGAGAGGGGGGGGGACGGAGCGTCTGCATCCTGGATGTTCTAGATCCGGGCGTTCATTTACGAAGACATGGAAGCAGATCCAATGTGTGGAGAGCAACGGCAGCTCCAATGCTTAAGAAATGAACCGGGAAATTGCCTGATTTTATTTTTAGACCCCGGCGCATAGCCAGTCAGGTCGCTCCAACGGAGTGGTAGGTTTCCTTTTTTTTTTTTTCTCATCATAAGCCAGTGTAACGCAGACGCCTTTATCTTTCTTCAATAACGGAGACATACTGTCTTTATTTTTCTCCATCCGCTGAATACGGATATACGCGCCCCCCCCCCTTGCCCAGACGGTTGCGTACAGGTTACTGAAGTAGAGAATCGAAAGGTGCGCGCTCCATGTTTTTTTTTGCCTATTTGTCTGTATAGTATTACGAACCTTATAAAAGAAAATTGGAGGAGGGGGGAGATCATGATGCTCACTTTCCGACCAAATGCCAAATGTGTAGTGAGCAAAAGTGAAAGTGAGAGCCAATTGAGCAGGTACTGCTGTTATTGTTACTCGACCACCGAGGATTTTTCTATGGCTAGGCCCGGTTTTTTTTATTTTATTTTATTTTTCTATATTTATCACCCACTTTCACTTCAATCTCTCCGGCGGAATGCAGACATATTGTGGCAATGGAGTCTAGCAGCGGCTGATGATGGAAAGTTCTTTACGTGAGCCTCAAAGTGTGGGTATTTTTCATGAAAGAACGGACTAGAAGGTGGTCCTTCTTCGAGGTAGACTAGATGAAATGAACAGCGTGCTGGGCCGGTGGACGCTCAGAAGAGAAGACAAGGAGATGAGACAACGAGGCTGACCAACAAGTTCTCGTTTGAGCTTATCGCCAAAGAGTGCTCATGTTTTTGTGCTTTTGTTTTTGTATCACAAAAAATTTCTCTGAATGCCAGGGAGTCGGTCTACCTCAATACCTCAAAATCCGGGGAGAAAAAAAATAAATAATTTGGTCTGCCTCAAAATCCGGGGAGGAAAAAATAAATAATTGGCAAAGCCGGGAATTGTTCGGTGCGTACGTTCAAAGAGCCACTAATGAGGGAAAGGGCGTAGACAAGGCTAGAAGAGGACGGATTTCATTTCCGCCTTGCATAGAGGGGAACACAATGTGGTGGAGGGCGTAAGATAATGCGCCGAGTAGGTTTTCGTATGTCGTCGTTCGAGAAGCTCTGCTAATATGAAGATACGCGGTTCTTTTTTAATTCGACGCATGGGTCGAGGGGGAACCAACCAATAAAGTAAAAATAAAGTCCACTCCAACGGTTGCGCTGTACTGTACCTTGTCAGCCAAGGCTCCAGTGCTCATCGGTCCCACTCCCAAATGTGTACTTTGGAAGGCATGGGGCATGAAATCTACACTAGCCTTTATCTCGATCGAGTCGTGCGGGTCCGTCTGTGGATTATTTCTGCTCATTTTTGGTTTGAAGTAGTGCTATTTTTTTTTTTCGATACTAGCAGAGCCTTGGCGAGAGATGTAAATATACCATGGAACTCAATTACATAGCTAATCAGTAAGTACCCTCAGCCCTGCACCGGGCCACATTCCATTGCTGACGGGCCAGCCTTTCATCAACCTTCGAGCATCTGCGTCCTCTCCAGGACTTCCCTGCTAGCGTTGTATAAATACCAAGGGCCCAAGACCCCTGCTGAGGTTTTTTTTTCTTGCTCCTTGTCAATTCCCCCTTCCATCCGGTTACCCACACGCCCTTCACGCTACACTACCTAGCAACCCCCTCTCCCCTACCCACACTTCAACCTTCCCGCTTTCCGCTCTCACCTCAACCCCTACCTCCGAAGCCCTATCACCATGCTTTTCAAGACCTCCTTCACCGCTCTCGTGGTCGCCTCCTTGGCCGTCCTCTCCACCTACACCCCCCAGGTTGAGGCTCACTCCTGGATGGACTGCGTTGACTGGAAGTTCAAAAACTCCAAGGTCCAGGACTGGTCCGACAAGGGAGGCAAGTGCCAGGGTTATGCCCGTCGCTTCCCTCTCGGCAAGGCCTTCGGCTCCTTGGACTCTGACTGGCCTTCCCGCCACTACCAGCAGACCCACAAGAACCCCGACCCTAACCATGCAGTCGCCTGCTCTGACCGCAAGCACGGCGCGGAGAAGGGTGCTGATGAGACCCGCGCCAACCCTGTCTCTGCTGCTTATGGTGGCAAGTTTGGTCGCATGACCGTCACCTCCGTTGGTGATACCCTTTGCGTCCGCTGGCCCGCCAAGAACCACGGCAAGAGCGGCGAGAGCAAGACCACCGTTCAGATCAACTTGTCGAAGGTCCGCAACGGCAAGGATATCAGCCAGGCTGATTTGCTCAAGAACACCATCGCCAAGTTGCCCTACAAGAACTGCATGAAGGGAAGCAACGAGGACCGCCGCGCCTGCGGAGGCTGCTTCAAGGTTCCTACCCGTGCCTCCGGTGTCTACCTGCTCCAGTGGAGATGGATGTTGAACAAGGGCGAGTGGTACACTTCCTGCGCTGTAAGTATCTTTATATCTGTCTCTGCTCTCATTCTATCTGCAAATCCCTGGTACAAAATATGGCCATGCACTAAACACGCGTTATCTACTCTTTGCGTCGAATATAGGATATCCAAATCGGCAAGTAAAAGAAGCATCCTTGCGTCCTTCCTTCACCATACCTCCTCCGTCCTTGGAAGAGGGTCCGCTCCTCTCCTCGCATTCCAACCAAGATAGATCGATCTTTGAATCGAATGGAATAAACCAAGAAAAGAAAAGCGTTTTCTGTTCCTTTCAATCTCTTTTAGCTACATAACTAAATTGCTGTGTTGAGTGTGTTCCCTCGAAACCTCCTCATTCCCCTCTCTCTTCCCTCGAGAATGAGTTTGAATCAGGCACGCTACTGAATTAGTGGAGCATGTTTCATTCACCCGCCAATAATCGGGTCTTTTGGAATCAACCCCTGGGAACAAGGCATTTCTTAGAAAATCATGCTCAAATAACGGGGGACTGAACGGGTTCATGCTCATACAGATTTCATGTGGCAACAAAGAAATAGTAATATTCAGTGTGCAAGTTGATCCCGGTACTCGTGAAGGAGAGCAATTGGGGCGTGGCGTTAATCAAGCCTACTCGACGCCATTCGATCACCTTGTGAGAGCTTTCTGGCTGTCGTTTTGTGTCTCTAAAGAGAGAGTGAGCAACTCCACAATGATACCTTGATATCTGAAAAATGAAAGTTAATGTATGACAGAGTTAAGGACGCCCCCAACTGATTTAATAAGTAGTAGGAGTGCTGAGAAGCTGGCCCGAGCTAAGCAAGCGTCTTTTAGCCAAGCATAGCGCTTGAGGTGCCGCAAAGATTTGATAGGTGCGCATTCGATGACTGGCCTTATCGCTTGTAGACTAGGGGAGTCGTGTGGGCCTCCTAGTCTGCATGCTATTTTGATGCTTCCATCCCACCAGTCAGCACTTGTGTTCTACATGGTTTAGCACAAGAAATTAAAGTAAAACGTGCATGCATGAGTGGTATCCGCGAGACACTTCGGCGTATGCAAGATAACACGATGAGAAAATCCAACTAGGAATAAAGGTGAAGATCAGTCTTCCTCTCTCTCCTTCCCCTCAACAGCTTTTCGCTTGCAAGACAAGAAGTCTACGATTCATGTATATAATCCACCGCTATGCCAACGGCCATGGCGTATACGCGCGCATTGCAAAGTGCAAGGTGTTCTTTTTTCTTGTAATCCTTCTGGCTCAAGAGAGAAAGCTCTCATCTTATATTTTCTTTTCTTTTTTCTACGAGCAATCTTCCATGGTTGCACAGGAATCTGTATCCATATGCCTGAGGCGCACATGGGGCCCAGTCTACGGTTTATCTAGATGACAGCGCCTATAGGAAGGCAGCCATTGCGGATAAAAATCCTTGAGCGTTATGTTTGCTCTCTCGAGAGACTTTTTTTTATATATACCTTGGCGCACGCGCAGGTGGAGCATGATGTTGAGAAATAGAGACCTCTCGTCTTCCTCATGGAATCAAGAAAGGAGCCCCATTGATGTTAGAGAAGCTTTATTTCTTCTTTGCTTCCTTCAATAGACAATATCATCATTACCGCATTGTTTGCTGTTTGAGTTCCCCACTACTATTTGTGTGCCTTTTGTTGTGCGCAGAGGTGAGGAATCCAAACGATGTAAAAATTTCATAAACAAAAAAAAAAAAACCAACAATAAACAAGCTCTATATACAGCACATTCACACAGACCAAGCACGTCCTTGAAGCTCTTCTCAAAATTACGCGTTGTGACAAACAAGCTGGATCCACGCGAATCAACATGTCATCGCCGTAACACGACGACCCTGCGCCAGGGTCAATGTTCGGATGTCATAATCGAAATATATATATTTTGTTTTGCACTACCCACAGCAACAAGAGGAAGAACTATGACGAAATTACGAAATGAAGAGGAATCCACAAAGAGGACTATGAGAAGGATGTCGTTGAAGGGGACAATAAATGAGAGCAGAAGTGGATCGATGGACGATTAAACCGCGATGTGCCTGGAAACCCTTATCATGGACATCACATCATCCTACTGGATCATTGTAACGTCCGCACACAGGTCCTGTACCTGCAGACGGTCCGTAAACCGATTTTCTCTGTCCGTTGTAGCAGGTACCGCCAGCAGGGTCAACGACGAACCTCCTCTTCACCCGCCATTGGCGTCATAGACAAGGGCTTAAACGATGACCGATGAAGTGCGGCTGCAAATGGAGATACAGCTTACACGCCCGCTTTGTTATCTCACTCTATTGGGTCTGTCTTCCCTATGATATGCCCCCTGGCAGCCGTTCTGAGTGCCAAATTCATGAGAACGAGAGCAGCAAAAATCAAAAACGTTAAATTGTTATCTGCTTGCCTGAATATAATAATCCCGTTTCCAGCGCCTCACAGCGCCCGTCCGTCATCGTTCCCACTCTTATTCTTTACACATTTTTTTTTTTTGCCAATTATTTATTCCTTTCGTTCCTCGCCTTCTTCTCTAGCGCCCATCGCTGTCCTCCCATCATTCCTAACGCCCAACTCTTCCTGCAGTGTTTTCTATCGCCTCTCTTCATTTTTGCCCCGTCTGTCGAGTAATTTCGCGCTCTCCACTTTGCATCTCTTCAACACTCGCACGTAGCGCGATTTTTTTCTACCCTTATTTTTTTTTTTCTGCAGCGAACCTTCACTGCACAGCATGGAATCATCACACACCACAGGAAACAGCTCGACAGCAACACCAGGAACAAAGACACGGCCATCGTCAGGCCTTGTTCCCAACCATGCGTCCGCATTCGCCATGCCAGTACCTACACACCATGGACTCACAGCCAGCGTCGATAACACACCTCCAGCTTCGGTAGCATCCACCTCAGCGAGCGTACCGACCTCATCCGCATCCAGCTCACGGGGGACTGACCGGCCGACACATGTATCACCTTTTGCGCACTCTCTCAACTCTGGCGAAACCGCAGGTTATCCACAGTTCAGCACCCGGCTGGCGCATGATCATTTTAACCCCGCACATTTGCCAATGACACCTGGAGAGGAAATGGTTTTCGATCGCGGTCTTTTGTTTGCTTCTCACCAACCTTCGACACGGTCAGACCCAACGAATGCCCTCAGGAGCGCACCCTTGCCTGAGGTGCCGGCGATCGACCGGAGCAGTTCCGATCCAGAAAACTCTGCGGAACAGAATCATTCAGGAAGTCTGCCACGCCAGATTCGATCGACACCTATTCATATCCCAGCAATCCACCATTCTTCTCCCATGCCCTCGAATCGTGCGTCCATTGTCCATTCTCAAGGATTCCCATCACGCTCGCCTTCGCCCAACCCTTCGACAACCACTCAAGGGTTCGCAATGTCACATCCAACGCCCGAATCGGATATTTCTCTGGATCACCAGGCCAATGGCGGCACACACCTTCCTTATACCCGGCCCTCAGCAACGCCCGCAGCCCTCCGGCCGGACTCTGTATGCTCCTTCCCCGACAGCTCGCCATTGATGGCCCCAAATGTCCTTGCAGCTGTCGATGCCAGGTTAAAAGAATCCTCACGCCAGCGAGCCTTGGCTGCCCAGCCCTCTTCATCCTCTCCCCGCCCACCACGGCCACGGTCTGCGGTCCTAGGAGCCACACACAGTATTTCGTCCAATGCCAACTCACCAGCCTCTAGTCTGGCGCCCGTCACAACACATCTCGCGGTTTTGCAGAACTCGGAATCCATCACCAGCAAAGAGGATCTGTACGACATCTTGAACAGGGATGACGACGATGACGACGTGTTTGGCAGTGACAGTGAGGGTCTAGGGAAGCCCCGGCCGGGTTTCATCTCCTCTGGTCATCGATCTTCGAAATCGTCGCGTCCGAACTCGAGCTATTCTTCGTCGAGTGCTGGGGGTGGTGGGATTGAGCTGAACGCGAAGGGAGAACGACTCCTGGCGGCGTCGCTGCCACGGCCGGTACAGGCCAAGGTCAACAGGGAGGGGTCGATCAAGGGCTCGAAGAGGATGGAGCTCGTCTCGGCCGCGATGGTGACCAAGGATCAGAAGGAGAACTATAATTCCTCCGACTCGGATTTCGGCGGTCGCATCCTCATGGAGAAGAGCGAATGGTTGAAGCGCAAAAGCAGGACGAGCCGCAAGTGGCGCGGGATCTGCTGCGTCGTCGGTATCCTTGCCCTGGTGGGGGTCATCGCCGGCATTGTCTTGGGCTTTGTCACGCGCAAGGGCAAGATCGATGGTCTTGCTCCACTACCGTACGTTCCTTTTTTGAATCCTGAATCCTGAATATTTTTTTTTGTGTCTCTAAAAATGCTGCGATGCTGTGCCAGTCTATTTTCGATTGTCTAACCCTTCATAATTTCATGCATCCATTCCATTCCATTCCTCCCCCCACTTCCTGGATATAGAAACCCGGACGCGCCGCCCAAGGACACTCCGTTGATCACGCAGTTCACACCGAACCCGAACCTGCACAAATCCTTCTACGGACTCGACTACAACCCCGCCAATGCCCTCATGCCCTGGTGCGGCGCCACGCTCCAGAACGTCGTCGACGATGTTATCATCATGTCCCAGCTCACGAACCGCATCCGCCTCTACGGCATGGACTGCAACCAGGCCGAACTGACCTTCCAGGCGATCCAAGCCCTCAAACTCAACAATACCATGAAGGTCGTCCTGACGCTCTGGGTCGACACGAACCAGACGACCGTCCAGCGTCAGTACGATACCTTGTTCAAGGTCCTGGACACCTACGGCACAGATATGGTCCAGGGCATCAGTGTCGGTAACGAGGTCCTCTTCCGCAAGGATATGACCCTCGCAGCTCTGGGGAGTCTCATGTCCACGGTCCGGACGAACATCCGTACCCGCTACAACAAGTCCATCCCCGTCTTCACATCCGAGATCGGGAACAATTTGAATTCGGCCCTGGCCGAGGTCTCGGATGAGCTCAGCGGTAACTTGCATCCGTACTTTGCGGGGGTCGCCGCCGCCGAGGGCGCCAACTGGACCTTTGCACAGTACAACTATACGATCATCGGAAACCCCACCAAGTCCGGCATCAAGGGCGCAATCTCCGAAGTCGGCTGGCCATCCGCTCCTGCCACTGCTATTGATTCGCCCTCGGCCGTCCCCGGTGTCGATAACCTCCAGATCATGATCAATGATTTTATCTGCCAGGCCAACACTCAGGGCATCCCATGTAAGTTATATGTAGCCGCAAATGTTCGATGCACACACCCTGTTCCGGACTATTCATCAGATCGCCAATTAACCTTTTTTTTTTTGTTTGTTTGTTTCTGTTTTGTTCATACAGATTACTGGTTTGAGTTCAAGGACGAGCCCTGGAAGACCGACCCTTCGGTACCTGTTGAACCTAACTGGGGCCTCTTTGACAAGGATGGAAATCTCAAAGTCACGATACCCAACTGCGTAGTAGCATAAACAAATTCATTTAATCCATTAATCCATTATCTAATAAAGCATTTTACTGCCCTTTTCTTGTCTCGCATAACAAGTAATCGCGAATATCGCGAGCGTCTGCAGGAGCATTGGATTTGAACCAGCTCTTGGTTACGAGTCCGGATGGAAACATGTTGATGCCCAGAGTCGGCAGAGAAACTACCCTCTCCGACAACGAACCTCTGCGTCCGAACTTTGTATTCGTGCTAGGATTCAATTCATCCGTCCTGAGGCTGTGCTCTTCCATGTAACAGATCACAGGGATGGTGAACCTGACCTTTCCTGAGACAATGAACATCCAGGTCTTCAATTTGTTCGAGTCCTCTCCATGCTGCGGGTCCGTCTCAAGCAGTCGCTGAATGGTTGGGACGTCGCTTGCGGCCAATGGTCGGACACGAAGATGGCTCTGTCGCAGGGACATGGCTGATCCTGGTAAACCAGGACTAGGTTCAATTCTGATAAAAAAACGTTGATCCCAAACCAGGTCCACTTGCGTGTCCAGATCCGCACACACCGAGGCCGCCAATTGTTCTGCAGAGGACATGGGCTGACGTGAGAGCGTCCAGTGATCGAGGACACCTTTGGTCTTGCGAGGTGGAGTGAACAAGACGCCCGCAATATTAACAGGCTGCCGTGTCAACAATGTCGTGGACAGTTCCGCTCTCTGATCGTTCATAACGTATCCAGGATCCTGGGATTGAGCTGTCTGCCGCATGCCCAGTCGATGCTTAGACGCCCGTGTTTTCTTCCGCCTGTAAACCGTAGAGCTAGCATCATCTTCATGCTCGATCGCAGGCACAGGGGGTCCAGGAATCGAAGATGATGACTCCACAGGTGGCTGTCTCAGATGGTTGAGCAGTGTTTGGATGTCCTCTAGACGGGGTGAATGATCCTTGCAATTCACCCAGCGCACCAAGAAGGAAAGTATCCGTGTTGCAACATGGGTCTCAGATTCCTGCAGCCACCCCATATTAGTCGATGCTGCAATGTTGTTCGGCACAGGCGCTGTTTGCAATTTGATATGACAGACGCCGTTATCAGAGTCAAACCAAATGTCCCGTAGCCATGGCTTCACTAGGTAGAAAGAGGAGTCGTATTTTGGTGTCATGAGTTCCATACACCACTGTATCGGAACGTAGCCATGTTCTGCTGAGTACCTTGATCCCAGACAAATCGACGATGCTGATCCATTCGTTCCCGAAATGCCAACAATGCACTGGTTGATAACGGGCGCAATCGCGACTGAGGATCCTGCGCGACCTGTGCATCAAGTTCGTGTTGGTAATGGCGGATCACGTTGCGCTGATAGTCTAACGATCGGTTCGAAGGATCCTCGACCCATTGTATGCCCGCATCTTTGCACGTTGCCCGTAATCGCTCCTTGATGATCAAATGTTTGTGGACAATGTATTAGACCATTGCGCCCTCACCCTCAATTAACCCATATCGATACACACGACATAAAAAGAAGGTGCTGTATACCTTTGACACATTGAGCAATGGCCGGATAACTCTGATATCTAGGGCTTCTGCGACATGTACGACGCCCAGTAACGTCATATCCTGGATACCCGCTAACCCATCAATTCCGCTCGCTCTGGAGAAACGAAAGATGACCGTTTCAACCTGATCCCCCGCATGATGTCCGACAAACAGATCCTTAATTTGAAGGGCATGACATTGTTGAGCTATTGCTTTGTAGCGCTCAAGGCGAGCTCTGGTTTCGAGATGGATCTTGTCGGGCCTGTGGGAAATGGCGCCATCGCCTTGGTCGCTATCGTTGCTGGTACCTTTGGTGCTGGAAAAGTCCTTGTCGTTCATGGACTTCCAGGAGAGTGTAAGGATATGGGGCATGACATCTATGAGATGTTTCGA